GAAATGAAAAAGAGGTTGAGACAGGCGACGATGGTGAATTCAGACGATGCCTTGGAGAACCAACCAGGGAACTGGTACTCCTCGCTCTGATGACAGTATAGACTCATATCTTCCACGATCCATCCAGGGCCTGCCACTGCTCCAACTATAAGATCGACTACTAACAGATGGATGATCAAGTATGTGCTTCGGCGTAGTAGCTGGCGCTTCTTCACAAACACAACAATGATGATGATGTTAAGAATAATTATGGCCAGAAATTCAGCGATGAACACAGCTAACCATGGAATGCATTGTGATTCTACTGGTGCTATCATGGACAGCTTACTCACATTCTGTTGATTACTGGCACTGGTGTTCAGAACCATTGAGTTTCCTTTGATTTTTATTTGTATATAGTTCAACGACCTAAAGATAAAGAGAAAAAAAAGTCGTGGAAAAGAAAAAGCAAATTGATTTACTTTTTTCTTTTATTTTACGTACTCAATTGGTACTAAATTTCGCGTTTTTCGCGGACATGAAATAAATAGCTGAATTAAAGAGGCGCGAATAAAAATCCTTGCGAAATTTAAACACACATTTATAATCCCTCTGATTGGCAAAATCTAATTCCGTCAATATGAAAAATTTGAATCACGGAAAAGATGATCAACAGGTCAAAACAACAACATATACAGTCAATTACACAAATTATTTTAAAACTGGTCTCACTGGTAAGTTCTGAATTTTGTATCTTTTGTGAAAGGACGTTGGTTGATTGTCAAACCTTTCGCATCTTTGTCAGCGTTGAAGCTAACCTTCAATTATCTTTCCTATCAACTGAGTTGATAATGTAAACCAACCACTGTAACGAGTTTTCAAAGCTAACTTTTTAAGCATTAGCCTTTCGTCAGAGAGAATGATTAAGGGCTAACGCTCGGGACATCAGCTTAAGAAACTCTTTACAATGGCTAATTTAAATTATAATTTGAGGTAATAAAACCAAATTATCGTGTAATACCCCACTGACGCAGCACCACGATTTCCTTATAAATTTACCACCTTGATGAAAAGTTTCCTACGTTTGTTAACTAATGGTCATTATAACCCACCTATTAATTTTCGCGCAATCCTATTGGCTCATAATTTCACATTTGTCCTCGAATCTACGCCTCCCGGCCAAATATTCATTTCTCGGCAATATCTCAACCGCAGACACTATAAGCCGACATGCCTGTCGCCTGAAGGGGTCTATTTACTAATAGCTGTTACCTTTTAAAGATTTTCGATCATATCAAGAGCAAACTTTGTTTTTGTAAATGAACTGTAAAAACATTACGTGATGACAGGAATCACAGGCCATCTTTTGTGAATCAAGCTATTTTTAAACAAGTTTTACGATTAAAAGAAATAAAAAACTGTCCTTCTTTCAGTCATGAAAATACAGTCAAAAATACGTGCCCTGTTTTCTGAGATTAAACAAGATTGTGACACTTGCAAATGACATAGCCATACGAACATACATTAATTGCGGTAAACTAGTCAACTAGATTAAGTACGAGTAACTTTCCCATATTCATAGAAATTAACTAGAGGTTATGTATCGGTGGACAAGAAAAAGAATCATTTTCATTTAACTAAGTAAGAGAGCACGCACTTGTTAAAGGACTTAGGATATTAATTCAAAATATGCTGTGCGAACTTACCTGAACAGAAGGATCCTATGCTGTAATGTTTTCAAGCGTTCGGCAACAAAACTTAGTTATCAAAAGTTTGAAGGCAGAGCTAATGATATGTTTACGTTAATGAGCATGTGTAAAATCCAAATAGGTGCCGACTAAATACTCGCTACGTTGTTTTTTTGGCGCCAGACGAGGTCAAATTATACAGGTTCTTTACTTGGAACGAGAAAAATGCATGGTTAGTTTAAGATAAAAGCTTGCTCTATAAATGATTTATTATCTAACTGAACATTACTTAAAGTGAATATTTTGCCTCGTCATGAGGAGCACACGTGGGCGTGCACAGGCACGACAAGCCCACGTGCCCAACTTAGTCATCCAGTCAGAACTCAGAATTCGCCCAATCCAGCGCTTGTTCACGGAGCCGGTCATACATGTGTATTGAGAAAAACTGTTCCTTCCTTCTATCCACAAAGAGTAGTTCCCAAACTCGTTACGATTGATCAAGAACGAACAAAAATTGAAACAGGGACGGATCACAACTCACATTAATCCCATAAAAACTACTCTTTCATTTTAACGCATTACTTAATTCATAAAAGAACAGGAATAAACTATCGATTTAGCTCACATTACCAGAAAATACCGCAAACTTCATCATAAACTGTGTAAGCATGTAAACATTTTTTCAGCATAATTGAATACAGGGTTTTATTTGATTTTAGTCTTAAACGTTTCATAAAGTGTCTCAAATTCAAACCCACTGATGTCTCTATTATTATTTCATGTTCTAACTTTTGGCCTCTAGTTTTCGAAATACTTCCTACGGCCATATTTGAACATCGCCGGCATCGATCGCATGAGGCGTGGGCGAAATACGAAAACAACATAAATAAAACCATTCAACCATTCTTCATGCATAACCAAATAAATGCGGATGGGCTAGAAAGTTCGTTACTCTAATTATAGAAAGCAAGCCTGACAAAAGGGAAAAAAAGGAAAAGTTTGTATCGTTGAATAATACCATTTTTTAACTTTGCTTTCTGTTCGTATTTTTCTCTGTTCCACAGTGTAAGACCATTGCATAATTTGCGCGTTCCAATGCCCTGAAGCTAAGCTAAGGTAAAAGCTAGTGAAATTATAATGTCCAATATACTATGGCTTTCGGCCGGAAGTCTTTTCCGTATTTCTCTCTGCGTGGTGACCTAAATTATTTGCAATGAATTGCAATAACGTAATCATAGATGAAAACCGAAATGCAAAACCGAAAAAGGTTGCCAAATAGGAAATTTATTAGCCTGTAAAACTACCCCCAGGAAAAATTATCTCAAACTTCATGAGAATATCAAATGTTGTTATGAGATTTCAAGTGATTTAAAAAATTTAAAAAAAAAACAAACATCTCTAAAGTAATACCGTTTGTATATGCTATATGCTAATTAATCGCAATTTGGCTTTGTCTTTTTCTCTCTTAGCTTTTCTTTATGATAACGTCACCGCAATTTGGTTTGACCAGCAGGAGTTGTTAGATATATTATTTTGTCGCAGTGGAGTATAAATAATATGGTAGAGTCGACTATTTCTATCCAATTAATTTTGCATAGAGTGATTTCAATCCAGAGGTCATGAAACTCACATGAACGGATATTTCGTGGGTGGATCTCTGGTTCTTTCCGTTAAATGTTAACAGCCTGCGGCGAAAATAATGTCATGACGATGCTGAGTTCGCAGATCGGTACGCCAAACAAAACGACGAGATGCATTGAAATCTCTTTTATATATATTTTAAATATTTTTAAGAATTCGCGTTTTGAAGCGCAGCTTTACCCTATCGAAGATCAAAAGGGTGAGTTTTACGCCGTCTGGTTGGCTGATATTAGTCCGTAGTCCATTCTTCTCTAAGTTAAGGCGATGTCGCCAGGCTTCAAATTGACCGTCTCGGCGGAAATAAAGAAACAAAATATTCTCCTCGGGATGTTGCAGTCTTTTGTTTCTCTCGCATCGGCACAATAGGTAACGTTATTCCGCTTTCAAGCAACAGATAATGAATTTGTTGAAAATTATAGATGTTTTTGGAAATAATTTCTGTCGGAAAGAAAAAACCAGAGGAAAGGAAACTGAATTAAAATATGTATTGAATGCACTATTATCTTCTTCAAGTTGATAAGAGTAATTTCTTGCTTTGAACTTCGTGCAGCATCAAACTGAGGAGTGTTAGAAATTCAGAAAATTTCCCTTCCTTTGGTTAATATTCTGAGCTCGGATGTATTTATGTACGTAGACAGTCGGTTTGCTTATGTTTACCGAAACCCAAAACTTCCTAAAGCTAGTTACTAATCCTTTTATCACTCTGACGAAGCATAGACCATCACGAAAAAACTTACGTGCTATTCCAATACTAGAGAACTAACCCATGACGTTTTTGCCGAGATGCGGAAAGCAACCGAAGAAGAATCGAACTAATACCGGCGTGCTTTGACGTCAATAAATCGACTGAAAGATCGTCGTTCTAGCATAGAAAAAAAAGCTGGTCGCATACAAGTAAACAGGCTCTAATTGAAGATCGCCGGCAAAAACCCATTAGCCGGCAGGAACAACAAATTATAACTCATATTTTGGTGGTCTGCAGAGCAGGCGTATTTTTGGCGAGCGAATGCTCAGTATTTTCTTCACGAAAACTGTGGCCGCCATCTTTGATTTTAATGGCGGCAGAAGGCTGAGGAGAGAAAGAAATTTGTACTAAAGAGGTAGTCAACGGTCAAAAATAAGGAGAGGGATGGGGGTGGGGGGAGTGAAGACTACTTTTCGCCCTTTCCCCGCCCCTTACCCCCACCGTCCACTCTCACTCCAAATCCAACATGGCTAGTCAGATGAACGATCACGAGCTTAATGGTTCGCTCGCCCCAATAATAAGACACCTGCAGTGCAGGCTAATTTCTTGAGAGTTAACTTTGCATGTATTTTTCCTAACCAAAATGTGACCAAATCGCAATGGATCTATAATTCATACGGTAACTTTAGCATAAGATAAAGCGGGGGATCTTGATCCCGTTTCACGCACAAATTTAAGAAAAATTCACGCGTCACATGTACTTTAAAGAGCATTTCACACATCATAAATTTAAAAGGGGCAATTTTAAATCTATCTCCTTGTGGGCGGGATTCACGGGTCACGTATACTCCAGGAGCCAAATCACGCCCAACGCTGGGTCATGAATTCACGAGCCACGCTCGTTTTTCTTTAAGTCTCTTAACCTTAATCACGCGTCACGTTTAAACCCTTTCTCACCCTCCCCCTGGGGGCAAAGCAGATAAACTGATATTACAGCCATTGCGTGACGTTCAACGAGGAACTGAGGAATTCGAGCAGAGGCCTTTTTGATTCAGTTAAACGATGGCGGATCGTTCTCCTTTCCTTCGAAGGAAGAAAAATTCAAAGTTGCCGGGCTATTCAACATTTGATTCCAGAATTTCTAAAGACAGCGGAATCTCGAGCAACATAGAGGAAACAGCGTCAACAAAACGTGGCTTAAAATCAAGCACAGTTGTCGAAGACGCGAGTGACAGGGTTTCAATTTCTTGGGAAAACATTCAAGTGTTTGTTGAGAATCCCAGACCGTCCATTATAAAGAGACTCTGTTCGTTTGGGAAAAGTGAAAACGAAGTAGTTAAAAGCAAGCAAATCTTGTTCAACGGTAGGTTATGAAATGAATTTCAGTTTTCGGTGTTGAATCCACTCAAGGTCGTACCACCGCTCGTAGTCTGGCTTCCTGTTTTTCGTATCATACCCTACTGATCGGGAACGGAAAGAAAGCCCTCTGGGAGCCATGATTACCTTGATGGTGTAAGAACAGAGAACTCGCATAGGCTTCGAATGGACACTTAATCGTTATATTTCGCAATTTTTCTGTTATAAACATTGCATGTTCTGTACCTCGATCTATGATTCGATTTACTCGCAGCGTGACATTAATACGTCATTGGAAATAGGACCTATTCCGCAAATAGTACAACAATACATGGCCGTCGAAAACAACACTGTCGAGTTTAGCTTCAGGCCTTCCGCAATTTACAGATATCACGCTCCTTCCCAAACCCCTACACGTCTTATATCTTCATTTTTTACCATTGCTGATCTAAATCATCCCAAAGTTAGCTTCAATAAGTTGAATTGTTAAATTGGGATTGCAACAATTAAGGTTTTCGAGTGTTCCCAAGCTTAAGGAAGAGGTAGGAACGAAAAATAACCTCTTAATTGTCCAATTTTCTCGTTGTAACTCCAAACTTTGGTTTCGTCCCTAGTTAGCGGAAACGTTGAAGCTGGTACCTTGCTGGCTGTTATGGGTGCGAGGTAAGATATAGCCTACGAAAGAGTGGTCACTTTTTGCGTCTTTTAAGCCAGCAAAGACAAGCGGCGGGTGGAGCGTGAAGAAAATAATATTTTTGGCCCTTTCCATTGTTGTCACCCTCACCTTGCGCCCGCCTGTGTCCGTCTGAAAAGCATTAAAGATAAAAAAAGGCTCTCTGATTCCTCCACCTTTTTCGTTCAGCTAGGTCGCCTTTTTGCTGATCTGAGCTCCTGGATCAGCTTTCATCTTACAGAATGTCTCTTTATTTTCCTGCAGCGGTGCTGGTAAAACCACTCTAATGAATGTGCTGGCCCACCGCAACATCTATCAGATGGAAGTAAGGGGGACTGTGGAGATAAATAATCGTCCCATTGGACCAGAGATCTCTTCTATGTCTGCTTACATTCAGCAAGAAGATCTCTTTGTCGGGACTCTCACTGTTAGGGAACATCTCACGTTTCAGGTGAATATAGTGAATACGTCGTAGCAAGTTATTGTTGTTGAGTTAAGGGGGAGAGGTTAAAGAAAAGCAGAAGAGGGGGGGAGAGTAGCTAGGAGAAAGGAAATGGAAAAATCCTGTTTCATGGTCCTCCATTTTTCCAGAATTTGGGCATTCTGTAACATTTTCTAGCAGAAATCTCGTACGTTCATGTTTAGTCGATTTGGCAGTCAAACACACAAGCACCATGGCTAATTTGCAAATGTAAGCACGACTTTTCTGTGGAGACATAGTGTTTTTAACAGTTTCTAAGGACATTTCGACGTTTCTAAGGCCGAGATTTACATGTGTTGTCGTTCTAGACTTTTCTGACTTTGTGGTAGTTTTATGACACTCTGCTGATTCCTTTTTTCACAGTTTACACTGCACGGTGATGAAGTCGCCCATAAGCTCGGCCGTGCTGGCATTAGTAATTATTTGTTGTGTTCATAGTAGAGTTTCCGGTAAACACAGAAAAGGGTTCTGTCATTTGTCTTTACCACCGAAACGAAGCATGCACAGTGTTTGACCGTTGTGATTGTTTTGCCAGTGAATAATTGTGATGCTCTGGATTTTTACCTGAAGGCTTTCCTGCGCATGGAAAAGAACGTTCCTGACAATCAGCGCAAAACTCGCGTCGAGGACGTTATACTTCAGGTGAGATGCATAAAACCTCAAATTAAGAAGAGCTTAAAAAGAAGATGGCAGAGCTACTGTTAGACTTTTTTTTCTGCCTCTGTCAGAAGAGCTAACCCTTTCATTAAGACTGATTTTAATTCGAAAACTCTTTCTCATCCTGATTGGCAAACCCATTAAGCATGTTTTCCCTTTTCTTTCATTCTCGTGCTATTTTCATTTTATCGTCGTTGTCTTCGAGACAAAGAAGACTTTTACGGCGTGGGAGGAAATTCAATGAGAGTAATTGCTGAGTATGATATTGTATAGAGGAATATTAAATTGGGATTTTGCGGATAATCCGATGAGATTGCTATAGTTAAATTTTTTGTGCCTCTGATTAGTTGATAAAACCTGAGCCACCTTCTCAGTAATCAGATACAAAACCAAAACGGAAAGTTATTTAAATAAAAATTAACTCATTTCTCCAAAGCTTGGGCTGACGAAGTGCGCCGACACATTCATTGGAATTCCGGGACGTCTGCGCGGGATATCGGGAGGAGAAAAGAAGAGACTGTCATTTGCATCTGAGGTATGAACGCATATAGAAAGCATTGTTTACAGTAGCTATTCATCGATGCTGTAAGAGTCATTGCTGTTCATAGCTCACGTAGATAAAAATATTTTTAGCACTGAACGTAATATTTATTTTACGTACATACTACAATTACAAAGTCACTTACCTCAGCCATCATTAAGCAACTGTTAATGCGATGCAAAGAAACTCCTCGTTTTTGAAGTTATCATATTTCAATGCCATTCTTCGTCAGATCCTCACAGACCCCCTTTGCTGTTTGCGGACGAACCGACCTCAGGCCTTGATTCATTCATGGCTCAGAGTTTGATAACAGCACTGCAGCAACTGGCGGCACAAGGAAGGACAATAATTTGCACCATTCATCAGCCCTCCTCTCAAGTTTATGCCATGTTCAACAGGTAACATTAATCATTTTCGTAGAGTTTTTGGATAGTGAGGAAGATCCCCTCTGGGCGAGTGGGCGATAGAAAGCAACTGCAGTCACCTATTGATTCGTCGACTTATTCACTCAGCCATATATTCATTCATGATCATTCATTCATCCACTCACGCACTTACAAACCCACTCATTCATTTATCCATGGATCCATTCATTTAACCATTTATTCATTCAGGTAGTCATCCATGTAGCAGTCAGTTAATCAATTAAACAACTATTTATCAGCACTCAGAATAGTCACAAGTGTTGTGAACATTTCTCCTTATTCCATTTTCTTCAGTATCCTGTTGCTAGCTGAGGGAAGGACAGCTTACCTTGGCCCCAGAGCAGATGCCATTCAGTACTTTGACAGGTCAGGAGCTTTTATCTTAACAGTCGTGTCACACCAAGAGAAGTTAACTTGAAAGACTGATTCCTCCAAATAGACCTTTTGCCTGGTCTTTTTTAAGTTGTATTTAGATCATTTCCGTGTTCGAAGATCTCCGAAAGGTCTCGAAGTAACCAATCCTATGGTGCAAATTTAGCTCTCGTGAACATTCTACATGGCGTAAAAAGACACGCGAGGCACATGTAGCCTGCGATACAGGAATCATTGTTTTGCGTTTTTCTAGCGGGCGGACTAGGGCGCGAGGAGAGAATGAGTAAAGCGCACAAGGCGAATGAAAAAAAAACATTTACGCGTGTCTCGCGCAGCGCGATATCCACGTGACACCTTCAGCCATGAAGATCGAACCCCTCAGCCCAATAACCTCTTGTTTAGATTTCACACAACAGTATATACCACAAACTTCACATTTGAAAGGTCTGTTTTGTCTGATTTCGCATGCAAAACAAATATGTCCTCTTTTTACCTGCACCCTGCAGACATGGCCTAGTTCACCAAAAAAACCACGCCAGTTTTTACCTCACAAGACCTCAAGTTAAAAAAAAGTAAAAAGTAAAAAAAAGTTAAAAAGTAGATTTCCGCCTTGGGAAGACCTCCGGAATACTCGCTCCTGGTCGTAAGCGTTTCCGCGTGCGTTTTCTTATTAAAACGAATATTTTTCTCATTAATATTTACAGCTTAGGCTATCCATGTCCAGTCAATTTTAACCCTGCTGATCATTTTATCCGTACGCTGGCAATCGTACCTGGTGATGAGGAAAACTGCCGTAAAAGAGTCCAGGTTATAAACGTTTCGTATCTTTAACATTGAAGGACTAATTCATAACTCCTCCCATGCACTTTTTCTTGCAACTTAGTTAAGAGTAGTGTTGTAGAAAGACAACACTATTGGGCTGATAAGGTTGCCTTTTTTTTTTTCCAGGAAAGTGTGTTGAAATACGAGTATAGATAGGGGAAGTCACATGATATTCCTTGTGGTAGATGATAGGTTATTGAGTATGGTCAGTTTATAAAGTGAAATCATGAATCATATATATGACCCGATGACTCTGATTTCACAGTTCTAAGCGGGGCCATTTGTAGGATCACCTTAAACAGCCATGCACGATTATGGTGTTCTTTATATGGCCTTCATAATTTGAAACGAAGGTTGATTTGATTTGGTTGAACGATATGGCAAATCGTTAACTCGGAGTTACTGCGTGACTTTTATGGAAATTTTGAGCCAGTTTGAACTTTAGTCACCCCGAATTCGAGTTTCTGATCATCAGGCGCCAAACCTTTCTCATTCCTATCACTCAGGACATATGTGACGTGTACTCGGCGCGTGAAGCAGAATTCAGCAAGCCGGAGACACAAGAACGACAGGTAATCAAGGGGGGTGACTGAGATTTACCAAAGCAAGGTACTTGCCCAACTGTCGAAGTGAACACCATACTGAAGGGGACACCAGCATTGGATTAGCAGTGACTGAGTGGTGCATGCCGTGCAGATTCTTGGATGAACGATTTTTCACGTTTCGAATTTTAACGTTTGTTTGTTGTTGATGTAAAGAAGGAAAAGTGGGGGAGGGGGTACATAGGCACCCTAGAACCACTCCCCAGTGGACGAGGACCACTCCAAGTCCCCGAAAGAGAAATTTGTGGCTTTTGAATCCACAGGGTTTACACTTTCCTCGATTCATCTTCCGTGATTGATAGATGGTTTAAATCATTTACGGTAATATTCATTATATCTTGTAGGACTCTTTTAGGGAAGACGCCAATTCACGTTCAGCGTAAGATTTTTTTTTTCAGTTGATGATAATGTGTTAAGATATTTCCGTTTGTGTATATTGCTAGAGCTACCATTTGTACAGTCGACGCTTAGTTTCCTGATAGCACTGAAAGTATTATAGATTCTTCCTAGATGTATGTTTTAGAGCCCCGCATAGATTCCAATCCTAAGTGCTCTTAAGCGACAAACATTGAGTTCATTCGAGTAACTGCTCTTATTACGTTAAGTAATCACAACGGCAAACCAGAACAGTGGAACCATTGATAACTCCAACTGAGAGCGAGACGAACGCTTGGAGTGCAAGAGAACGCGAGTGACCGAAATTGCTTTTAGTTTTCGTCAGATCACGTGCACAGCAAAGTCGAAAGAAACCCGATGCGATGCCTGATTGCTGTCGACATTCATTTGAAAAAACAGCCCCTTATATTTTTTATTTCCATCTCTGCACGCCTTTTCTCCAAAAAAAAGTTATCTGGGACGAATATCCTTTACTTCATAATTTCTCCATGTACTTTTTTTTTTAGATACAAAGCATCTTGGTGCAGACAGTTCCGTTCGGTGTTTTGGCGATCATGGCTGACCAATAAGCGAGATGTTCTTATTTTTCGCATTAGATTCTACCAGAGCATAGTAAGTGTATAGGTTCCAAGGCGATCGCTGAATCTCGTTAAACAGGGCAGTACATCGCTGAGCAAGAGATCGTGGAGCGAAAACGATGTATCACTATGTCGTATGATATATCAGACCGAACTAAAATTCGCCATTTTCGCGACTGCTAGAACGATAGCTTTACAATGCATTCGATAACTCACGATTTTCACGATAATCGTCGATTATCGTTTGCATTACTTACGCAGTACTACATCTCTGACATACATCATCAGTTTTTAAACTAATTCTGTTGGCTTCTGTCGTGATTCCGTCTCGTTATTACGGGTCAAAATATGATTTTCGCTGTCTTTTAAGTTCATAGGTCTTGTTACTGGGATTATTTTCTTCCAAACAACGATTGACCAGGACGGTATTGAGAATATTTATGGGGCCTTTTTCTTCCTTGTGACTTCTGTCTCCTTCTCAAACATTTCGGCAGTCACTTTCGTAAGTTTTGACTATCATTTTCTTAGGTTGGTTTGATAAAAGTTAGATACCTTTAAATAGTTATTCATTATCGTTGGTAGTTGCTTCTGTTCAGCTTATCAAGTGATCGATAGATTTATTAATCAATCCATCAATCAGCTAGTTGTTAGACCGATCCGGCAGTTCGTTTTTCGATTGATAGTTCCATCAATTAAATTAAGAACCTATTCACTCATTCGTTACTGTAACACTACTTCATTCATTCGTTCGTTCCTTCGTTTGTTCATTCGTTCGTTCCTTCGTTCGTTCATTCGTTCGTTCCTTTGTTCGTTCATTCGTTCGTTCCTTCGTTTGTTCCTTCGTTTGTTCATTCGTTCGTTCCTTCGTTCGTTTATTCATTCGTTTAATTCGTTCGTTCATTCGTTCGTTCATTCGTTCGTTCATTCGTTCGTTCCTTCGTTCGTTCCTTCTTTCGTTCCTTCGTTCGTACATTCGTTCCTTCTTTCGTTCGTTCATTCGTTCGTTCCTTCGTTCCTTCATTCATTTATTTATTCGTTGTTTCATTTATTTCACTGATCCATTCTTTTATTTATTAACCCTTATGTATTTATCTATTTGTAGACTTTTCCAATAGAAAGGAATATATTTTTACGAGAACACAACAACAGAATGTACCGTACGGACATTTACTTCCTATCCAAGACCTTAGCCGAAGTAAGTCTTTTGAACTTACAATTGTTCAACGGTTACTACAAATACTCCACTTATTCCTTGGGTGAATTTACTCAAAACAACTAACAAAGAGCTAAATGTTTTCAAGTTGTAAATCCTCAGTGTAATTAAAGCGTTTTTTTTTTTTTTTTTTTGGGGGGTTCTTGGATGAACTTCCGTTTAAAGGATTTGGCTATTTGATTATGAGCTCGAGATTTCTTTTTAACAAAAACGATTCCATTTTGCCGTGCTTCTGTTCAGTAACCGATCTCAGATGACGTCAAAAGTACTAAAAAAAAACGTGGCACAGGAGGCGCAGCCAAATGCGGCACTGGTGTTCTCACCATATTTTGATGTCTTCTGTGATTTATCACTGCATGTACAAACCCATGGCAACAAAGAATCTACTTATTTCATATGGGGAGAAAAAAAAAAATTGGTAACGGTAACGTCATGCGTTTTGATAAGACTTTTCTCGTATTTATAGTCTCCACAGTTCTTTCTTGGTCCGCTGGTCATGATTACTGTGGGCTACTGGATGGTTGGTGAGCCTTGCGAATGTTTTTCTCATAGATTGTGTCTTTTTAGTTAAGGTTATGTCTTAAGTGCTAGCATCAACAGCGGTTCATCTCAGCTTACTCAACACAAAAAGAAAAACTAGGTCTTTGAATTTTGATGTATTGCTAATTTTTCGTCCTCTTCATATGATATGTATTTTTAAGGTTTGAGACCAGATGTGCTCCGTTTTCTGGCCGCTTATGGAATACTTGCCTTAGTCAGTATGGCTGCTGTCTCTTTTGGTTTGTTCACAGACGATTTCATATCAGTTGTATCAAATACAATGAACAACTTTTCTAGATTCGTAACGTTATTATCATTATTATTATCATTGTTGTTGTTATTATTATTACTATTATTTAAAAAAAAAACCCACATGGTGTCCGTTAGGGGCAATGATATCAACGTCACATTTTTGAACACGGAATCACTAGTTTAAAGTAGGATAGTGTTTATAGCATGGCCTTTAATGAGTACAGTCTAACTAAGACTTCGCTCGATCGAGTTCAACAACCAACAGATATTTTTAAAATCATTACCATGTGCACTTTGCGTTGAATTAGTTGAAAAAACTCTTTACGTATTTAAGAAAAGGGTTTTTGAGTGATGTTCAACTCAAAGCAAATCCACTTTTCTGTAATTCTCTGTTTTATTTCAGCGTACATTATATCTACAATTTCACCAACGACGTCAGTTTCCACGGCGCTAAGTGGTCCGTTGACCCTTCCTCTATTAGTACTTGGTGGCTTCTACATTGAAAACCGGTCAGTAAATGCATGATCGTTGTTTGCTTAGACAAGAGATCATGATCTCTTATAATCTCTAAACTCATTTGCTATTGTGGTTCTAATGAGGGTTGAAAAAGCGTTTTTGGTTTCCTTTGGGAGGTTGGCACAGAGACCTTTAACATAAAAAATGAGCGACCTACTAGCTTTAAAATTAATCAAAACTATTACAAATTCTCGAACGTAATTGTTTATCACCAGCCCTACGTAAGCACTCATAGGACACTGTAAGCGTCATGCTTGTAATTGGACAGTGTAATAGGTTGACACGTCATGCCTGTCTGAGCGAACAGAACGCGTCATGTGCGTGCGCCGTTGTTGCACATTTCGCTATGTTAACAATTGTTTTTTTCTTATTATGAAACTTATAACCAATGTCTAGTTTCTTTCTCAGGTGTTGTTATAGTTTTGATAAATTGGTAACCGGACTTTGTGATGTCCGATTCTCCCTGTAAACTTACTCGTGATAAACAAATCGGACTCCTACTTTGCGTTTGTCTGATTTTGATAATCACTCATGATTACAGATAGAATTGGACTCCACTCAGTCTTTATTATTAACTATTAATCAAACCTTACACTAGAAGTACAGCGTGTTTGTGCGTTTGAATAGAATAAACACTATCGCGTATAGCAGTGCATTGGGTTTCTTTTAAAAACTTAGAAACTTTGATTTTAAATTTTTCGTTTATTAGTCAGTTAGTTCATTTATTCAACCCTTTATTAGTTTGTTTATTTATATATTTATTTATTTATGTATCTTTGCATTTGTTTTATGTTTCAGAACAATTCCAGAGTGGCTGTCTTGGCTGAGATATCTGTCCTGGTTCAATTATGGATTCGAAGCTTTGGTTGTTAATCAGTGGGACAATTATGGTCCTATCCGTAAGTTGAATTTGAAACTGAAATAGCTGACGAAGCGATAGAGCCAGTAAGGTCAAATTCATCATCGGCAGCAACAGTAACTTTTCGTAATTGGATGCAAACCCTGATTACGGCGACGCACAAGAGAACGTAGCGATGTTAAAATAATTCATATGCAAAATAATAGTTCTTCGCCTACGTTTTAAACAAAATTCGTTTCCTTGACATTCTCTTGAACGTGAAATAACCAAATCATTTATGATCAGAGAGCAGGATTTGTTAGGGTAAATTTGTCGAGTTTCTACCTCAATAGAACTCAGAGTTGTCAGGCGCCGTTAAATATAAGTTCAAGTCATCGGCACACTTCATCTTTTAACCTAAAAAGTATATATGAAAATGCACTATTTACCGCGTTTTGAGATCCAAACGGGTATCTCAGCCTTCCAAAATTGTCTTCAAATGTGCCAAGGGTTCGACTTCGCACTTCGTCATTTTGAATTCAATTCTCAAGACGGAGAGCAAAACTCGCATTTTACAAAACAGCTTCTGCGTTTCATTTAAGTGACTCGTCGTAATTACACACATGCATTTCAATGGCGGAGAGGGGAATAATATTGTTTCTGGAACATTCTTTTTCTCTAAAAGAAAGGTGCACTCTTTTTCCCATCGAAGTATTACGTGAGCTCTTACTTACTGCGGAAGTTCCTACTCCGAAACCAAAAGAAACACAACACATAATCTGAGTGAAAATTATTTGAGATGTTACAAATTAATTCATCGGAAACTCGAGAGCACCTTGGTGAGTTTTTTAGGATCTTTTTTTTTTGTGTGTGTGTGTGTCCTAAATTAAGAGATAATGTTTTTTGTTTTTTTGTCTTTATACCTGTTTTGTTCCTCCCAGCTTGTAAAATAATTCCTAACAATGAGACCTACACAAGTTGCGTTTACAATGGATCGATAGCTATTGAACAGCGTGGATTGAAGGAGGTGGGTATTATGAAGTCACAAGACGAATCAAGCAAAATAACTGCTTAGGAACTTTCAGAAACCCAAGTGATGTTACCAAATGTGGCCTATTTACCTAAAAAAAAATCACAATTGCCCTTGATGTTATACTACAATGGACAGTGTCTCGGTAATATTTCGTTGCGAAGGTGCTGAACGCAATCGCAAGTTGACAAGCCGCAAGAAAAAGTAAAAGTTTAGGGCTTGAGGTAAATTTGCGAGAGATCACTAACAAAGAGATTCTTTTTTTCTTTGTTTACTTTCTTTTTTACAGGAAAATCTCCTTATTGATATCTATGCCCTTGTGGCGATAACAGTCGGGTTTCGCTTGATATCGTTCCTGTTTCTTTTGAGGAATTCTTACAAAAGAACTTAGTAGAGGAAGGAAGTCCTTTGCTTCACAGTCAATCAAGAAAGTCTTCAATAATTACATGTAATCATACATGTGCAGACAGCCGATGGCGGTAAAAGAGTTCAAGTCGTATTCAGTAAACGAAAAAGATTTCAATACAATTTTTTTTTGACCGATCATGTTCAGATCTTGTAGTTGCTGCTATTCATAATTTCTGTCTTTTAGAATTTTGTACATTTTTATCTGCGTTTAATTGTGGATTTGAGAGTTGGCTTCTGTAGCATAATTATCCTCAAAACTCTGAAGTAGTTGGGAAGTATGGCGTCCTGTAATAACCATGAGAACTTTCGATTAAGTATATGCGAAATCGGAGCTCATCGCTTAATAAATCAACTCAAACACTGTGGTTATTTTTTATTCATTATTTTTTTTTCAATTGAATTACAGATAAATTCATCAATTTATTTATTCATAAACGTAGCTGTTTTGCTTTACTTTACATTTTATTTTCATTGAAAGGACGTGGTTTACTATGGTGTATAAAAGAAGACGTGACTTTCTGTTGAACATTCACGCCTTCACGTCTGTTGATTTTGTTGATTAGGGTTTCTTGTAAGCTTTTTTCAAGAGAAATAGATACGCAATGAAACGGAATCCTATGGTGAGTGCCAATAATGCGTAGATGTCTATAACCTCGTTATCCTGTGGAAAAAGGTAAACAACGATTAAAATATTCCAAAAAATTTGACAGACGATTTCCATAGGGAAATTTGATTTCGCTTTCACGATATTCCGTGCCCCCTCTTTTCTAAATTCCAGGAAGATATAGCTTGTTCTTAAGTGCTATAGCCAGGAGTGTGATATGGACTTTTTATTCGAAGGACTGACATAGTGTTTTCACTCGTTGTGGAAATCCTTTTCTGAGGAAAAGAAACATTTTTTTTCTCTTGACTGAAACTACACAACCACCATTTTGTAAACAGATATCTACTCGAGAAAGTGTTCCTAGTTAAGTTCAATCAATTGAAGAAAAAAATTCATGGAAAACTTGGGTTAATGGAGGAGAAAATCTCGAATAATGGAGATTTTCTTTTGGAGAAAAGTGGCGTTTTAAAGGAAGGTTTTGAAGCAGACTTGATATGCAGAGTCAAAGCTACACTGAAAAGGTCGCCATTATTCAACTTGTTCTATGACTGCAATGAAATAATTAGTGGATGTTTTACCAACCTTCTTTAAGCCGAGGTCATGAAGAACTTGTTCTCCACCAATGCAATCTGTATTATTTTTCCCAGAACAAACTGTAAAAGTAGGAATCAAAATCGTGTAAGCGACAACAATTCAAGATCCTCGGTTGATCTGAGGCCATTATAAAAACCGCTCCATGGTTCAGACACAGGGATAAGATCCAGCTTTTGTGGCCGTTCACAAAAACTGTTAGTCGACAATTGCCAAGTTTCATTGCCATTGATTATTCGCATATACTCAGAGTTACACTAGAATAAAAACTTACTTTTATCACCATAACCATTCCATTGGTTGACAAGCATAGCTTCAAATCCATAGCTGAACCATGAAAGGTAATGCAACCAAGAAAGCCATACTGGCACCGTCCTATAAAGGAGAAAATATCTTCAGGTCAAAATAGCAAGAAAACGAGAAAAAAGCAACTGAATCTTTGTCTTCTAGTTATAACCGACATACCATAAAAAGATGTATAACCTTAACACAGAAGAAGGTGTATGAACTTAACACAGAGTGGCCTTTGGCAAAAGCCAAGTGGACCTACAGTCCCGGGCTTATTCTGGTTCCCATAGTATGAAGCGATTAGAAGGTTTGCTACGACCCCTGAATGGATGTGGACCATGGCAGGTAAATCCCCCTCCCCGCATCCCAACTCTTTCAAATTCCAACCATTTCGAAAGATTCCTTTAGCCGGTATCTCGTACTCCTGGATGGAGAAAATGGCCGTGAGAGTAAAAAGTATCGCCTAGGAAATAAACTCAGAGACTTTTACATTAGGTAACCGTGTCTCTCATGAAGATTTTCAAACTTAATGTGGAATTAACTGCAAGCGAACTTGAATGGAACTGCGAAAGTTTTAAAATCAATGGTCAATAGGAGTTCCATGCCTGAGCCATAATTAGGCAGGGTAAACTCTTCCTGTTTTGGATTTACCTATTTCAAAACGGTAGGTTCTTCAATAAGTATTTATTCTGCACTGAGTTAGGTTTCAATTACCATCGCCACTTACGTGTTTTTTACGTAGAAGCCTCCTAGTAACAACAGCGGAAGAAGTAAGGGTGCACTGATAGACGAGGCCGTCGCTACTGTCGGGGAAAGTGTGGAAATCATGTAACCTAGAACACAAAAAATTATAAAGTTGGCTAACAGTGTAGCTGATGAAACAGATAATAATCCTCTGTCCATATTGGGATTGGTGGACGAAATATCCGCTCGTCGTACTGTTTGGAATGAACTGTGCTTGTATCAAGGGCTCTTCAAACACACTAGTATTCGAGAAAGCAACCTTAAACCTGAAACGAGCTATGCGATTAAAGATTCTGGTATCCTTGGATGTCAATCTTCGAGTTTCACTGATGCTCTAGAGAAGGACATGTAAACAAAACTTGTCCTTTCGTACACGCAAGGAAACGAGTGACCACAAACCATAAGATACAGCCACCATACTGATCAAGGCCAGGATTCCGTACGCGTAGAGAAACCTAAGTATTTGTTGACGCAAACCTGAGAAAAAAAAAAACAAAATAAAAACCAAATGAAGAACAGTTACCATAAAAAGTGATGCTACAGTAGGTCATGTTATTAAATCATTTGGCCGAGAGACAAGAGAAACTTGGAAAAATGTTTGGTGGACGTTTGTGTTATTCACCTACATAAATTTTCATTCGTGTCCTAAGTTCACTCACCTATCATCCAGTACGCGATGGCCATCAAGAAGAGAGGATTAAGTAAAAATAAAGGCGCCTAAAGATAAATAAAAGTTGGTGAGTACAAGATGATTACAAACTGAACGGTTAGTTTCTTGATTTGATCTTGTTTTTGTCTGTTGCCGTGATGGCAAAGGTATTCTCAAAAGCAAAAGTCTTTTTCCTTTGGCGACAAAGGAAAATGCTTTTTTTATCGTTTCAGCAGGGGCTTTTACTGAAAATTTTTTCTTTTTTAATACTTACAGAGAGTTTTGGATGGAACCCATCGCATGTAAAAAAAAACATAAGGACATTTCTTCATCCAGTCACAATCACGGAAACACTTTCTCAGACGTGAGGAAAGTGTTTCATCCAATCAAAAATCGCGAATGTAGTCTTTATCTCTTTTACCTTTTGAGTCCTTATTCATCCTTACCTCAGCAGTGGTCTTGCACAAGAAGTAAACATCCGAACGGTACATGCCGTTATGGTGTTCCCGTAAGAACACAGAAAGCTCTTGCGGGAACGTCTGAAAAGAAACAAGGAACCAATTGTACATAAAAGCCAATTGCTTTTGTAACGATTAGCTTTCCTGAAAAGATTAGAGAGATATATATAACAAGCTAGTGTAGGCAGTAAAATAACATAGAGATGCTCGAGATGATGAAATCGAGATGAGATTGCCCAGATGTACAACCGTGATAGTAGTTTCTTTAACCTAATATGATGAAGGCCCGAATACTCACAAAGATAACTGATCCCATGTTATTAAACGTCGTGGATGTTATCAGAAAGAAAATCGCTCCAGCGATGTTGATGATACCAGATTGATTAATCTTGGTCCGGAAGTAGATAATCCCTGCTAAAAGACCTACGAACTAAACAAAGAAAAAAAAAGAGAAAAGATACACACAGAAAACAGAAAGAAATTATAACAAAGCAGATCATTTCACAATATAAATTTACTTAGTCATCAAGCTTTGATTTTAATAGAAAAGATTGTTCTCAGTGAAACTAAATCAAAAAACAGTATCCTTGTTAAATGTTTTTCCTGAGACTGCCCATGTGCAATGATTAATAGAACAAGCCTATCATTTTGAGCTAAATTATTAATAAAACTTTCCATTAATCTATTTAGTCATAAAATTTGCACGGCACGGTAGTCATTTTATTTCTACCTTCCGATGTCAATAAAAGTGCTCTAAACTTTTATATTCTTGAACAAACATATTACGCTGCCATTTTGATGCTTAAACTACTGTTATTATAAAAATGGTCTTAATTCAGGATGCCAGTTAAAGCAAAAATGGCACCATAACCCTTGTAAACTTCAGGATCATCAGGTCGTGCAATCAAGCATGCAGGATGATGAGTTGCAATACAACTTAAACGCCATTTTCAAAATAAAATAAGACAACTTCGCAGATTTTTTTTTAAACTTGTCACTCTCTTTTTTTCTCGAATTACTTTATGAATATTAAATCATGGCTCTTGAATGTACAAGGGGCACTTAATAAGCACGTAAACTGCAATTAAAGCAATTGCATATGGGAACATACAGAGCCTTAAATCTGTTTTCAGACCTCATCTCTCGGAATTGCTTTAAATGCACCCAACCATAAGTTAGTCGTCAGTTGTTGAAGTCCTAAATGTAATAACTGTCCTAAATGTAATAAAGTCCTAAATGTAATAACATTTGGTCCTAAATGTAATAAAGTCCTAAATGTAACAACATTTAGTCCTAAATGTAATAAGCCTCAAATGCAATCGTTTAACTCATGCAGTGCATTGTTGTTATGGCGGACATCCACATTGATATGTTAGTGACAGCTGTTGCTCCAAAAAAACCGCTGACCAGTATACATGTCACATTATGGGCCCGCTGATATGAATCAGCGTCTTTTTACTTGCTAGACACAAGAAATATCAGCAGTCGAAGTATGGTCCTTATAGCGGTTTATTGATCGAGTTGAAGAAAATCATTTCCAGCCCAAAGTGGGCTAGTGCTTGGCTGGAAGCTCAATAGGATGGAATCGATTGGTATGTAACCATTAAGACTTTTTGGAAAAGAAATTTACCACAATTGATGATGAACTAGCATGCTATTGTTGATGTTATCGTTCGTGTTAAAGTCTTTAGAAGTGATGCACCATTTTAGGGCAGTTTGAATGATTTCACTGTGTCACATGTTAATCCAAAAGAAAATTATTATTATCAGTAGCGTTATTAAAATTTTGCACATCAATGTTATTCAGTGTCAATTGATTCTAATGAAGCATTTGAGTTCATTTTTAAGAATGACTATCCTGATTTATTCAATTTTGAACCTGGGGTGTTGCATTTCCAGCCCTCTATGGCTTTACTCCACCTCAGTAATCAGTTCATGTATCATATGACTATAAGTGGAAACTGTTGAGCTTTCTTTTTTCATTCATCTATTTATCTATTCATTTTCTCCACTCACGGCGGGGACAAGAGGTGAAGACAAAAAATGAAATATAAACTTGAGATCAACTTTAAAATGTATGTTTTCCTAATATTTCGGTTCGGGAACTGATGAACCCGTCATAAGGGGCTATAGGAAAAAAATGAATGGTTCATTAGACCGCCAACTGACCATCATGTATTTAATGGTGTAACTTAATGGTTCAATTTGACTCTTGCGTGGAAAAAAGGCAACATGTCGAGACCTGTGATCGTGAAATGGGATAACATATCATTGGTCAGTCGATATCTTGCTCTGCAAGTCACATTATCATATAGCTAGCAGCGCACGCGGGCAAGATGAAGTAAATCCTGTGTTCTGATTGGCTACCTGAGCGGGCATGATGGGCCCACCCTCGCCCGTTCGGGATCCCCCGTATTGATCCCACGCAAGAAAACTTACAAAGTTCGTAACTTTTGGACAATGTTTTCATATATACATAGAAAAAATAAACGACCCTCCTGGGTTTATTGTGCTGCAAACACAGTTGGCTTTCACTATCGGCTCTCGAAATAAACAGGCCATTCTTGATTCTTATCAAAGCGAAATCTTTTGCTATACAATGAATCCTTTAATGATTAAGCCAAGAGAATATAAACTCTCTTGTATGGTCAAGATTACTGGATATTAGCCTCGTTCTTTTTCTACTTTTTTTATGGACCGTGACTTCGTCTCAGTCCATAAAAAACGCAAAAAAAAAAAGAACTCGGCCAATATATAGCCATTTTGACCTCACGTTCGGTCAATAACGCATATGAATATAGTTTATGCAAACCCGTACAAAAATCTGGCAAGGGAAGACAGTACAAAAATGCCCTTCTGAGCCCAGAACTTGTCTAACGTGTAAGTCGGTGAACTTCTTTTTCCTTGTAATTTGGTTCATCAAGTGTTAACTTCAGCACTGAGGACAGAAGTATTTCGTCAAAATCTGTTACACTTAAGAGTCTGAGCCAATGATATAGAGAGAGCTATTAGTCAACGTTCTCGTTGCTTCTGCGTCCGTCAATTTGATGCCAAAAGCACATCAGTATTAGAATGAGGTTTTGTAGCCAATGCTTCTCAACCTACGTCTTTAACAAATAAAAAGCCGCTGATTAATATCAGTGAGCCCGCAATATTCCATAAATATTGGTCAGAGGATTCTTTGGTGCAACAGCTGTCACTTTAACATCTCAATGTTAGCGCAGTTAAACGATTGCATAGGAGGCTTATTACATTTAGGACCGAACGTTATTACATTTAGGGCTTTATTACATTTAGGACCAAATGTTATTACATTTAGGACTTTATTACATTTAGGACAGTTATTACATTTAGGACTTCAACATCAGTCAACGTTACTTACTATACTTTGGTAAAGTCTGATTCTAAAAATCATGACATCTCTATTATTGGTTAACCAGGATCTCCAAAATACAGAGCGAAATTGCTGACACCAAGATGCTTTGTACCTATATGGGAAATAAAGCAACATATGACCTAAGACTCAAGCGATGATTTTCTAACAGTGTGCACGTGTAAGCCCCAAAAAATACTGAATTCAGCGCGTGGAATTCATTTTACTGCAGATTAGACGAAAATTTGTGTCACGTTACCTCTAGTTTTTAACCGTTCGTTGTTCTCGCCACGAAAGAAAGCTTTCAAACAACGGCTGCCTACGATATTACGAGTGTATGTGAAAGAGGGCTCTGACAGAATTCGTAATTTAATGTACAAAGGTGCTTTAGCTGATTTATAAGAAGTCACAAGGGCGTAAGTTTTTTTAATTTAAAAAGGTTGTAAAAACCCATCACGAAAATAGAGGCTAGTAGAAAATAGAAACTCCGTAGAGAATATGTATTAAACTTGTTAAATGAACCACAACATTTGGCTGAAATAAATAATCTGGAACTTCTTAAAATTCCAAAAAATGGGATAACAAATCTGCCTAAACGAGAGCTTAAAAACAACTATGTCGACTCCGTCAAAAGTACGCGACAAATCTCCACGTCAGACTACAAAGTGGAGGGGGGGGGGGAGGAGAAAGAGAAAAATTGTAGTTTGAAATCTGAAACCAAAAGATGTTTTCTATACAGGTCATATTGTCATTATGAGTACTTACTAAACTCTTTGATAATTAAAAGGGAGCCAGCGAGCAACCAGGGATACCCCCTCCCACCTCTTCTACACATCGGTAACATCAGTATGAGGAAAGATAATGGGTCTAAAAGCTGTAATCGTGCCAGTGAATATTAGATAGTTAAACGTAGAGAGAAATCTTACGGTGAACGTGTGTAAACTTCATCTTTGAAAGAATCCTAAAAAAAGAACATGCCATTTCAAGTCACAAATGAAGCAACGCCAGTCATGTAAGAAGACTGGGAAAATTGATTTGCCATGTTGACCATATTTGGCCTGGTAGAGCATTGCAATACATATATTACAGAAACAATACTCTCCTGTATTTTGTGGTGATGTTTTTGGTCTTTAAACACTGTATTTTTTTTACGGTAGTGAATGTGGCTGTAAGGGTCACGAAATAATCTGGATGAAAGGTTCGTGTGCCGACTGAAAAGTAATAACGAGTCTCTTTTTTTATCAGTAGATGTTATTTATTATTTAACTAATTGATTGTCAATTTTCTATTTTGTTGCACTTACTTGTTTTCCCAAGGATTCTGAAGAAATTGAGTCAGTGTTATTTTCCCTGTACGCATCGCAGATTACCTGAACAACATTCAAAATTGGTAAACACGAATGTATTGTAATAAATGTTCAATAGGAGATATTTTGTGAATGAAAAAGGAACGTTCTTTTTGTTGAAAAACAACAAAAAGAAAAACAAAGAAAAAAATGCAACAAAAAGAATTGTGTAAGACTAACAAATGATTGAGTCCCCTAACCCTTTCCTATGTCAATGCAGAATTGTAATTTGTGGATGCTTTTAACCCTTTAACTCTTACGAGTGACCAGGACAGAATTTCTCCTTACAGTATCATCACATCATAAAGCGAACAAGTGATGAGAATAAAGAAAAATATCAATTAGGGGATTATTAGTTGATCCAATACCAAATTCTCTAAATTAATATCATAAGAATTGTATGGCAGACAGTAAGGAGAATTACTAATGAATCTGGGAGACAGTGAGATGTTTAAGTGATCCATAAATGAGATTATAAGTATACTAGCCTTTGTTCTCGCCAAAAGACGTCGCAAGGTGGCGGGTGCACCATTTTGGGTTTTTGCACAAATTCAAACCTTCACTCTAAATTCGTCATATCTAACTATTAGAAGTAAAGGAAAAGACTATGTTCTCTAACCTTGACCCTGGTGAGACAGTTTTCCTCATCACCAGGCACGATGGCGAGCGTGTGAATGAAGTGATCAGCAGGATTAAAATTGATTGGACAAGGATAACCCAAACTGTACAAATAAAACAACACCGTTATGTTGGTGATAACAAAAAAAGATATGAACCTGATAGTTGTAAAGCTGATTAGTATAAATCTACTCGCGTTTACTTGCAAATGCTGCAATCTGATTGGCTAATCCACTCGCTATCTATTCCGTAGTAAATAGTAAGCAAAATGAGTAACCAAACAATTTGCATCCACAATTCAAACGGGTGCACAAAGTGTTGACATCTGGGCGCGTTGGCCAGCCAAGCAGCCGTGCCGTTTATTCAACACCAACGTGCTTAAAAATGTTTAATACGATTGAAGGAAACTAAATGCACCAAAACTGGACACGAAAACCCCTGAAAACCAGCAGCTGGGAAAAAGAAACGGGGAACGTGTACCCCCAACCAAGGCACTGGTGGCACCTTCGGGGTTTTTTAAGGGTATCCCATGAACAACATGATATACACCAGAAGACAACGGCTAATAAACGTGCCTGAACAATAGTAATTAATCCTAATTGCAATTATCACAAATTAAATATTGTGTGATTGTAAACACACAAAAACAGGAACCTCTGGCTTGTAGCTAAGTTTTAAAAGACAGGTAGATTTATATTAAAGCAATTTGATTATTCGCTCTCGATTTCTATACGTGATGACCAATAGATATGTCGAGCTTAATACCTGATTGTCAATGATCCTAAATTTGGCGCGTTCATAGTGTGCATATTCGGTCACATGACGCGTTTAAACCAAGCAGTATCATATGAATCAGAAATAGAAGTTCTTTTCGCGATAATGACGAGTTAGTATTCATGAACACCAACCAACTTGAAAAGTTTTAGCCCTCATTCTTACAAAAATCAGTAAGGTCAGTCTTTGAACAAGGGGCTGATCAAGACTGTCCATCAGCACTGCTCAAGAAAGAAAAACCTTCATGTAATTGCCTCCTGATCATCATGAAATCCAGTGCAGCGGTAACAAAGAAATCTATGATGAAAATGCATCTTTTCAGTGACATTTCTTTATTTTTAAGGAAAACTTACCCTTCAAAATACTGGATCACGTCAGCTCTTGAGCCCATGTAAGCTGTTCTTCCTTCTGCCAACAGCAAGATACTAATAAAAAAAAAAAGAAAAAGAACTTTCTTGATTAATCATCGTAAGAACAGATATTTATGGCCTCTAACTTGGCTGCTGACATTGTCTTACTTCATGATACAAAAGCACTACCTGCAACAAACGCACAAGGTTTACAAAAAAGGAAAACTTGACAGGAACTGTTGTGATAATAAAGTCCAAATAAGTACATATTGATAAACGTTCTCACATAACGTTCAGTCCTGAAATGAGGAAAAATTTAATTATAGTTGCGGCTACGTAACATTCTTTCTCTGCGGACTAAAAAGTGCTTGTTATCTGGTGGAGAAAAATTATTCGGCGGAGAAAAAGGTTCGCGATTTCTTCAACTCTTTCGTCTCTTTTTTTGTCATTCATGATGTGGTTATGGTGTCCATTCTACCAACACATGATTTCAACCCATATCAGTTTTTATAGGTATTCAGATGGTGCTTTTGTGCAAGTGGTATCAATACGTCAAAAAGGTCATTGACTACCTGTCAAACATGGCGTAAACTTCAGAGGATGGTTGATGAATTGTGCAGATAATTGTCCTTCCCTGAGCTGCAAGCTGCTGCAAAGCTGTTATCAGACTCTGGGCCAGGAATGAATCAAGCCCTGAGGTGGGTTCATCAGCAAACAGCAATGGAGGGTCTGTTATAATCTGTTGAAAAAGTGAGTTTTTTTTTACTTTTCAGCTTGCAAAGGGGATGTTTCACACCTTTTGGGTTCGTGTTGGGAATCGGGATTGGTTTCGGCTTTTAGCTCTGGCCGAATTGTTATGATGTTGTATTGAGGAGAGCCACTTTCCGCCCACAAGGGCTCAATTTATCCAAGAGTATATATGGGTATTGGTGATATGCAAGAGGGGAAGGAAGGAGAGGAATTACCTTTACTGTACCTGTGATTTACTTGCATAACAGGTACAAAGAGAGAGAGAACACACTTATTTATACTTTAAAAAGCAGCTGTAATTTCCGACAGTATGGGAACTTCGGCCAGAGTACCTACCTCCGAGGCGAATGACAGTCTTTTCTTTTCTCCTCCCGAGATCCCTCGTAGCCGTCCCGGAATTCCTATGTAAGTATCAGCGCACTTTGATAGCCCAAGCTTTGAAGAAACAGATTTAAATTCAATCCGAATTCAACAATTATTTTAAAACGCGCTTCATTCTTACTCATTTCAGATGCGCCATACCTGAAGTATCACTTCCTCGACACGTTCAATCCGCTGCTCTTTAGGAATGTACTTTTCCATGCGCAAAAAGGCCTGAAAAGATCGATGAGAACAAATTACTTGAAATGCTGCAAGTTCTTCACCACAATCCTCGTTTAAATTGTTTTTTTCTTTATTTACTTAGTTCGTTATAATCTGTTTTTTAAAAGCGTGGAGGGATGGCATAAAAAAGAAATCTCTGAATAAAAGCTGGCCAGTATTGCATAGTGTTTTGTCCCATGCGTCCGTTTTTTTTTTTTTTCTCGTTCGTCCGAAGTCATTCACTCAGTCAGTTCGTTAGGCAATATGTCAGTTGCCAAAATCAGAGTGAGCCGCTCAGTCATTCGGTCAAAAATTCAGTCAGTCGCTCTGTAGAGGGGCTAATGTTCAGAACGTCAGCTTTAGAAGTTACATTATCGACTAAGCTGATAAAACTAAATCACCCTGTAATATCCCTCATTAATGCTGCGCCACTGTTTCATTAGAAACTTACCCGCCCTTTATTAGTCAGGCAATCAGTCTGTTATTCAGGCAAGCCTGCTCGTAAACAAATAACATAAGCAATCTACCTGAAACGTCAAATGTTCTCGGACAGTCAGAGATCCAATGAAGATATCCTCTTGTTGAATGTAAGCAGACTTGGTGTTGATTTCGGCTCCAATTGGGCGGTCGTTGACTTCTACAGTCCCCCTCACTTCCATCTGGCCGATGTTACGATGAGCTAATACATTCATCAAGGTGGACTTCCCAGCTCCGCTATATTTGGAAAAGAAACGTGTAATAACTTTGACTATCGGAAGGTTTTGACATATTAGCCGCTGACCACGATTTGTTCTTAAGGGTAAGGGGGAAGGTGGGAAGGAGGGAAGGGTAGGGAGGGGATTCAGTGACTGATTTTTTTTTTAGGGCGTTTTTTCAAAAAAATGCAAATCCCCTGAAGGTTGAGGTCCATACGAATGCCAAAAAAAAAATGGCTGACAAGGAAAATTTATAGAACACCTGATGCTTTTCGTTGTTTTGATTTTCTCCATGATATGACTTGTGATTGCATTGCCACTGACATTCAAGGGGACTTAGATAACATTCAGCGTTAAGCGATTATGAACAAAATCGTGATTATAAAAAGGAAACAAAATCTATGCTTATCATCGGTAAGCGATTCAGAAAACGCATGATTCAAGACCAACATCAAGATAATGATTTGACCATTGCCTTGAGCGACTCACAGATTGAAAGATCATATAAAGAGTTAGATCACACAAATTCCACGGGGTAGAGATTGATGATGACTAAACTTTCGAAAGTCACTGTAATGCTCTAGCTAACAAGGTGATAAATAGAATTGGTCTGTTGAAACATATCAGTCCATGAGAGAAACCATAAGAAAATGTACTGCAATACTATCATCAAAACAGCTCTCCTTTATGGCCATTTGGACATCAACATCTAATCAAAACCTAAACATCATTTTTAGACTACAGCAAAAGAGCTGCAAGGATCATCTTGGGCGTGGGACCACGCTCACGCTCACGCTCACTGCTTTTGTTCCCGGCACGTCAAACTGGCTTCTCGTCTATATCAAGACGCACACATCAACAGATGCTCAATAACTCTCAAAAGAACGCTTGGAAAAACACTTGAACACCTGAAGTATATGCTTCAATAAAATTCTGATTTTCTCTCCAGAAGTACACGCTTTGGCAAATTAAACCTACGCTGCCGCTACAACAATTCTACTGAAGGGAGGCGATCATTCCCGGTTATAGATCGATTAAACACAAGCTGGTATAGCCTAAATAAAGAGCTCAAAATCTCTAAGGACACAAAAAGTTTCAAAAAGCGATTGATAAACACCCCTTTAGAAAGACAGAAAGAAACTAACACTTTAGGCACGATTCCGATTACTAACCTATAGTTATTTTTATGATTTCATTTTGCAGTATGTAATATTTCAAGTATAGATCATCATTCATTTTTATATTTTAAGCTTCTTCTTACAGAAGGACTCAGGGTCATCAGTTTCACTACTGTCACATGCTCCCCGCTTAAGAGAGGATGTCAGCATCCATCGAACAAATTTGAAATATTGTGGCAAGTCGCCCAAAATTCTTTTCTCTCCTACTTTCATATTTTGTAGCCCAATATGTTCTAATAATTGTGGCGTAGTTTTTTTGTGAAAATATATTTTAGTTTTCGAGAAATGACTTTTTCGTTCGACCGCTCAAATATGCAAATTTTCACCGTGAATATTACCCGGGTTGTGTGACCTCATGTAACGACTGTACTAGACCTACGGTTTTTCTGTGAACATAATCCTTTGTTTTATCATCTAAACTTAACCCTCTGTCGTTATTGAAGCTGGCAAAGAAATATCTATTTTTTGGTGAATATTTTTGTCCGACATACTTTTCCTATGTCGAAAAGTAGCATCAAAACAAAGACAGTTTTAACAATGACCGATATGACCAAATCTACTGAGCTTCAAGCTCTTTAAAGACCAAAGGATGGTTATAAAGTTACTGTAAAAATTTCCTTGTGTATTTGTGTTGTTCCATCTTGAGATAAACTCGAAGTCCGGCAAAATTTGCTTGATAGCGAATATGAAATATACATAGTGCGCCTACTTGTCGCCACCGTTAATTACTGGGACAATTTGTAAATAGGTCCCAGTCACATTCGTTACACGCCTTGGGTTTTTCCACGGTTTTTTTTTTTTTTTCGGTCCGAACCACGAAAAATGAAAAAAAATATGCGCAAAAAAAGTACCCAAGAGGTCATTGGGCCCTCAATACCATGACAACAAATTTGGGTGATCCAATGTTTGTTTGACATACTGACACGCCTGTTAAAATCAACTCCATTGACAATTAATTGATTGATCCATTTGAGGTGTTCACACCTGATTGGTGACACTGGTCACGTTTTAAAACTATGGATCTACATTAATTACCAAGTCAATAACCTTTTTTATTACCTTGATCCCATAACAGCTAACAAAGTACCAGCTTCGACATTGCCGCTCACTGCAAAGTAGAACAATCAAAAGTCGGTTACCAAAAATCGGCAGAAAAAAAGAAACTTCAAATAAGTGAAATATCTTTTTTCACTTTCGTCGCTGGCCTTGACTTAAAAATATTAATCCGCAAAATTACGTGATTTCCGCAATAATACCCGGAAAGTGTCAACTTCCTAAGGAACCCAATATTTCTAAGAATTACTAGACTACTCAAAAACAATTCAAATCCGCAAGGGGCATACATCTCAGTTGCGCCTGAAACACATTTAAAAATAATAAGAGCGATCTTCTAATGAGACTCACGTTCGAAAAAGAACTTTTTCACGGAGCCTTCAGTCTCTTGTGAGCCTTTCACTCAAAAAATATGATTGAATCTATTGCTATTCCTTAAAATTTGGCGTTATGCATGTACGAAACAATTTCCTATGAAAAAGATTTACTTGTTTTTAGTCTCCTTCCCGCACATCAAAACTGTACTACCACAGTATAGCATGTGTTTTCACAGCTTATTTCGTAATCAATCAAACATCTAAGAGGCATAGGTCAGTTCCTCATTGAAGCTTTCATTTTTCAAAATTCTTTGTGTGAAATAAATTTAAATTAGTTTTCCGGAGAGGATCAATTTGTCGCTCGTTAAAGTTTTATTGGGATAAGTTTTACGCAGACAAACTAGCGCTTAACGCTTATCTGTCAAGTCCCAATTGTTCGGAGATAACACTATCCAACGGATAACGCTAACGAAATGTACTGCACTATACACTGGATAGAGATAGAGTGGATAGCGTTATTTCCCCTTCGAACAATCGGGGCCATGTGATTAAGCCAAACAAAGCTTATGTGCTCAAGTCACGTTTATAACTTTTCTCTAGAGCTAAGCAAAAAAATACAAATTCTTCATTATATGGCACATTTTGAAAAGCAAGCTCAATTTATCTCAGTTTCAATAAAGATGAAGCGTGCGCAAGTGGAAAAATCGCTCTGAGGTAAATTAAATTTGACATTTGAATAACATTTGTTCAATCTTCTTTGGAACGATTGATATAAGGGCATAAGCTAATAACCGGCTAAAAAAATCACTCACCATTAAAAAGAATTTGTTTAGTAGTCGGTCTCTCGTTGTCTCCTGTTCCAAAACACAAACGTTTCAAGAAAGATGGCCCGGGTTGCTCAACAAATACATCGATGTTTTCCCATGAAATTGAAAGACTTTCCCTTTCTTCTTCAATAGTTGTAGCCCTTGGATTGTTCCTCTTAGAACTTCTCTCGAGATCTTCGCTGGCTAGAATTTCTCTGTCAATTGATCCTCCAGGATCGAAAGTCGAATAACCTCGAGATTTAGAGCTTTTTCTATCGTGAAGAAGCGATCGAGATCGGCCATTGTCCATGATTCGACTGAGAATATGAGATGATGAGTGTTGAACACTTTCTCTTTTGGGGCATAATCATGTTACTAAAGTCGCACAAAAGGTCACCGTAGAATCACGCAATTTTTTCTTCGAAACGCCGGATATGCAAGATTTCAGTTTCATCCCAATGACAACAAACATTGTTATCTCTCCAGCACGTATTGTAAAGTTCAAGTAATTGCAGCTCAATTTGTCGGAGAAATGACCGTATAAAATTGACCACATCAATCCAAAGATATTTGTTTCGACCGACCATGCATGACTGCTTCGCAATCGAAATACAATCCTTTTTCTGGTTGCAAGCAACATCTAGTGATGAGAGTTCATTTTCATACTGCTGAAATTTGGTGGGCATTTTTTTTTTCACGGGTTTAAATGTTTAATGTTTAAAGGGGAGGGGAGTCTTGATTAATTCATGCATGATGAAAGAACAATTCATGCGTCACGTAAATTAAAGGAAAAACTTCGAATCTCTCCTCTTGTGTGCAAGGTTTCAGAGAAATTTTGAGCTTTTCACGTAATGAAAGAAAAAGTTCGCTGGTCACGTATACAGGGAAACCTCTATTAGGCGGACACCTTTGGGACCCTTGACGATTAACATTTAAAGCTAAGGTTATTCTGTACTGTGATGAAGTTCCATGTTGTTAACGAAGCTATTCAGATAGCTTACGTGTAGCCGTACTCCTCCCACAAAAGTGAAACAGAAAGTAGGTTACCCTACCTTCCGTTTCATTACCTTTCATAACTGTGCTGTACTTTCGCAGATCACAATCATACGTCTAATCGACAGTTTATTGACAGCTTCATGGATTGGTCACTGATTAATCCACTATTACTTCAAGGACGTAATCCCATACCACTACAATGTCAATTCAGTCTGGCGTCCGCTTTGAATGCCTATGACACGAAAGATTTTTTCTTTTTTGCAATTTGTGTATTAGCTGTATTCCTCGCCATTAGAAGGGATGAATCTCATCGCCTCTAATGCTGCTTTTTTCTTTTAACCCCATTTGTCGAGAGTGTATATATTTGCTACGCACTTCTCTATCCGCTTGGCTTTTCACGCCCTATGAGAAATGAGCAGAAATAATTGGCAGAAATATAAAAAAAAGCAATTTGATAATAACTAACTTTTTAGATTTTTCGGTTTGTAGTATTGCTTAATATTTTCATTCTCTGTTTGTAATTTGACGAGCCCGTGGAGCGAGTCAGCATACCGCACAAGTCTTAAAAATACTCATGTATGTCACTACCAGATAGATAAAATCAAAAGAATCCTTTCAGTTAAAGAAAAAAAGACTGGAAACGTATCCCTTGAACCAGTACAGTGCCACAAACCCTCTGGGCGCTAAATAAAAGTCTTCTAAACGGTATGCAACCACAAAATGAGAATACGAAAATAACAGTGTATGTTCACGCTGCAGCAAAATGTATATGGGATTGAATATATTCCGGAAGGAATTTGTGTCTAATATTAGAAAGACATACCTCTCATGTCTTATGTTGAGACAGGAGCCATTACTTTTTACATTAAGAAATGGGCTCTTAGTTAAGAGCGCTAATGAGAACGTGTAAAAGTGAGATGTAGTAATGTAGTAGACCTCAGAGAAACGCGAGAGGCGCACGAGAAATATTTAATTTTTATGTATATAAACACGTTGTGTGGGCTCTTCTTTCAATTTACGGCTTCAAGTTTGCACGGAGTTATGGGTCAGGGGATTCCCCCTTTCATTTGAGGTATTCTGTAATACAGATTCTGCTCGTAACCACGAAAATAACCCCCAGCGGTTGGTTCACTTCATGACACACGCACAAGAGGCCCATTCATCATGGCGGAGAGAAACGTGTATTGTCTTAGTTTTATTACATTTTTTAAAAAGCAGCAAGCATATTTCTCAGCGCTGGCATTCATTCTTCCATTGCTCTTTTCTTTCGTAATAATGAGCAATGTCAGACTTTCCTCTTGTGATTGTGTGGTATTTTTTAATCTAATTATTTAAATCCACATCGATTTATTTACGACATTTTTTATTTTTTTTTGGAAGCCCGAAGTGAAGAGGAGGATCCTCCAGCTACTGCTGGTCGAGCAAGAAAAAAGAGGATCCTTTGTTTTTGTAAATTTTACATTACACGTGTGAGAGCATGATTTTCAGCCTGTAAGCTGTTGTAAATTAGATTTTCATTTTCTATTTTCTTTCAGGTGGCGTTTGAGACAGACTCAAACAAGCGCAACCAGATGGATAGACGGTACATGAAGTCTATGCAAACAAAAGTATTTCAGTGTTTCCTTTTTATTTAATCTTATATTTGTATATTGTCTTTTATTTGAATTTCCCAATGTAATTTAATAAGATTTTAAATAAAAATTGTGTTTTAAGCTTATAAGCTTATGATATCGAGGTTGAAACTGTGTCTACATCCCTAACCGTGCAGTACCACAGGGTATTTTCTTTATTATAAACTAACCCTACTTACCGTCCTTCCTTTTCCTTCCTTCCTTCCTTCCTTCCTTCCTTCCTTCCTGTCTGTCAGTCTTTATGCCAGCCTTTCTTCCTCTATTTTTGCTTTATTTCTCTCTTTTTGCTTTTAGATGCAAGAATGGTATGCTAGGACTAGGCTGCCTGCACTCTGCCTTACATTTGGGAAAGGCCAGTTCTGGATTGTAACAGGTTTAATAGTTTGACAGTTTAAGGCACTGATTTATGTTATTTATAGCCCACAGAATATTTTAAGTATTGGAAGATATGGAACATTTTTCTGATTTCCCATTCACTTCTCTATACAAGTATACTTATTTTAACTAGTTTATGCTGAAGAGAGGAATTGATCACTCGATATAGAAAAGACACGGTCTACAATTTGTTATATTTGTAATGTGTTTGACTGTGCATATATTTTAAATTATGTAGATGTGCCACATTTGAAAGTGTTTGCCAGTGACTCCCAGGTGCAGCAAGCCTTGGTCAGGCATATGCAAACAGCATTCAATAATTCCTCTCAATCTGGTAATGACCATTTTTCTATTGATTATTATTTAATTTGTCTATTCTTATCATACAACCCACAATTTTGTTTCTCTAAAGTGCCAAATTGAATAGCAATGCAGTTGTTAAATGTACAAATTTAAGTACCCACTGTCAATTTTCTTGTAGATTTGCAAATTTTCATGGTGTATTTTCATGCAGGGAGATCTGAGCCTGGATGGGGGAAAGAAACATGCAGACTAGTTTGGAGGCTGAAGAAGTTGAGTTCACAGATGTGAATAATAGCAGCAAGCGACCACGTCTGGAGGATTTTAATTTCAATAATGCATTCATACAGAAATTAGAATCAACAACAGCACCCTCAAAGGATGACATCACAGTAAATGATTCTGCTCACAGTCCTGTGATTCCCATTCCTGTATCATCAACACCAGCTTCTGCTTTTATTTCTGATCCTCCCTAATCTTCCCCTAAAGTTTTTTTAAATCGTAGACAATCAGGCGGGGACCTGTCAAAAAAAAGGCAGAAAAATTGTAATGGAGCTATCACTTCGATAGAGGAAATCAAGAGAAGAAAAACTCCCCAAAAACCAGGCCCTGGTTGTCCAACGGGTGGATAACGCTATCCACAGAACGAATCACTATTCGCCTCTAAGTGTTGTGATAACATACAACGCTATCCACTCGATAGTGATTTTTTCGGTGGATAGCGTTATCCATCCTTTAAACCGGGCCCAGGTAATGAAAAGAAATTTTCTTCACGCATAACGGCGTCCAATCAAAGGCCACAACATACACATGCACATTAAATTGAGCTTACCTTACGAGAAACGCATTGAAACACTGTTAATGGGATGATGTTAGCAGATTCGTTGTAAAGCTGATTACACTAAATTCATAAGTTATACCTAAAATGGGAATCAAAAGAGAAGATATAAAACCGTTTTGCACATAATCACAGCAACACTGCTTACACTGAGTGCCTGAAAGCATGTTATGAAAGAACATGTACTGTAATGAAGGCTAAAGAGAGGATGTAACTGGGGTACATCTCTAGTCAATAGAAATCAATAACCCTTATTTATACAAGTCGTTATGCCATTTAGCCAATAAATTTGTAAGAAAAACTTCGATTTAGTCAGTAAATAGCAGATGTTGTTCTTTTGCAAACTAAGTGTTACAAACAGTTTTGGTCTATCAACAAAATGACATTTGTTGAGAAAAACCTAAACCTGATAACTAAAACCACTGCAGAGCGTAAACCTGGAGCTTGTCAGGATAATCTGGAATATACAAAGGGTAACAATAGCTAGTTGGGAGTCAGAGTGAACTAAAATTTACATTTTTTATATCAGAAGTAATGTTGTTCGTCGTTGAAATTGATTCAAATATTAATACAACCTCATAACATTATTGTACCGTGTTTAAATTGCACCAAGAAAACTCCAGGAAGTAAGGATGGGTGTCGGGTACTCCTCTTTGTGCAGATGTTTGGAGTTGTGTCATCCAGGCAATAGTCACCACGACTTCTTACCACAGGCGAGGATAGTATTCTCCCTATAAATCACTTGTGCGGTGTACATCCAGTTGCACAGCATCTGGTATTGATCCATTTCTGCTGAAAGGAGACTTCGCTTTTTCTAACAGGTAAATAACAAATGCAGTCAAATTCTCAGGAAGCTGATCTCCCTCCACAATGCTAACTATGTCCAACAGGAGTGGAGAAGTTTGCTGGAGTAGAAGCATGTCTTCAGGACACTGCTTGACTGGTTCATTGCCAATGAGTCTGCCGTAAAATGTTTCCAAGAGGTTCAATTGGGGGAGAAGTGCACACACCGGGGAAGCTTTTCCTAATGCAATGAAAAGTCTAGCAATAGTTGTTGGAAAAGAGACATCAGATCCATAGAACGAAATGCAGCAGGAAGGAAAACTACCTAAGGCAGGTACACAACGCTGCAACTCCAGGTGTAAAGAGGTCATTACTGTGTCTGTAACCTTGCTAACATCATGGCCTACTTGATCCATCATCTGCCTGACATGTTTTTCAGCAAGGTAAACCCTATCACGATGCCTAGTGATGTCATAAAAATATAAAATATTAATTAATTAACCTAAATGCAGATCTCTTCAAAGAAGGAAAATAAAAACAGGTGATATTTAGACACATTAAAAGTCTATCCCAGTGGAATGTAGGAGGAACTGGAGCTGGTCTTAGTCTGGTCTCAACCCCTCAACTGATCCAGAAAAAGAAGACCTTGTTCCAAGATCTTTGTAGGGTTAATGAGACACACAAGCTTCACCACCACGACAAGGTGCCAGCCCAAGGTGAAGGATTAAAAATATTTTAAATTATTATATTAATCAGTAATCAAACTGAATCAAGTCATCATTAGTTTTCACATTGACAGCTAGATCAATATATTATCTCATGCTAACACTCTAAAATAAAACTCCTTGAATCATACTGGGAACCAAAATAATAGTATAAATGATGCATAAATATTTGTAAAAAATCATAAGCATAAATAGCAACTTATCTTCCTGTTTCTCATGGTTCAGTGGATGGACTCAGTGATGAATAACTAGACTACAATGAAGTACAAAGCTCTCGTCTGGAGGATAGTGTTGTAACATCACAAATCACAGTGTCCAGACTGTTATCTTTGCCACAGATGGCACAACAAAAACCTTCTTCATAGTTTATGTCAAAAAGGTCCAGAAACCTGTACCAGGCAAAACACCAGTGGTGGTATAACAACCTCTTGAAGTCCAATACATCTGCATGAGCCATGATCTCTTGCCAGACACTGTAGTATGTAAATAGAGTGCACCTAGAAAAAAGAGAACATACTTTAAATATAGCTTATTGAAAGACAATTGAATGACATACATGTACAATTTCATATAATTTGTTCTTAATACAATGATTTTTAGTTAATGTCACAGGCAAAACTTTAGAGACACAACAAATCAGAACCTTCAGCTAATAATTTGTTAATTTTTTGTTTTTTTTCTGGTACCTGATATTCATTGTAAATCATCATGTGCAGACAAATGAGTTTTAGATTGTTTAGTATAATTATTGTAAATAATAATTGTTTTCATGAGTGCATCTGCTGGGTGTGTTCCAGATACATTTAAATTTATTGATCTAAGTACATTACTTGAAATTCAGATGTCACAATAATGTCATTTTCAAATTCATTGTAAACTTTTGGGTGGTATGTGATTACTTGAAAAAATTTCAACATAATGTAATTTTCATAATGCCATTCTCAACACAACATCAAAGTAATGTGCAATAAGTGTGAAGGCCTGTAAAACTTCAACTTTTAAACTGCAACAGATAATTAATTTATGATACAGAATATGAAAATGAAACATGAAATCCCTCAAGATCTCATAAGAAACAATGTAGAAACTCATGTTGAATAAAGTGAGCTCTGAACCATCAAATTCCACTTTTACCATTACAGATTCCTCAACACAAGTATAATATGATACTGAAATAAAACATACAGAAATAATCATTTGCTTATTCCAAAAATTTAATGATAAGATGATGTAAAATTATTCATACATGACATGTTAGTAGCCACAGGCATGAACCTCTTCATATTGTATTCAGAACATTTTAAGCATGGACAAGTGTAGTTTGGTCCATGGACAACAACTGGAAGGTGAATGTTGTTATTTTTGATGCATTGTTAACTTCACCTCCAAATTTAAAAACTCTAGTTTTAGAATTTAAAACATAAGATTACGAATGAAAAGTTGCTAATAATTATGTAACAAAGAGGAGAACATTTCTGATTTCTGGTTGCCATCTATGGCTGAAAAATATCTGTGCTAGAACTATACAAAAACTTTGTGATAGTTTTTAGCAGTCCACCTGTATTCACCTTGAGCTGAGGCAAAATAATAACAATAATTTATTTGGCTTGCTGTCAGCTGAGGGTTTCCCTCCCTGTGGATGCCTGACATGCCAGGCTGTCAACAGCTATCATCCAATCAACTGGTTTGAAATCTGAATTAAATTTTCACATTACCTGGACAACCTTCCCTGTATGGTTTTCATTTTTCAGCCATTTCTATCCCATTCGTGACACTTGAACACTTAAAGAGAGAAGGAATTAAAGCAAGGAATTTCTTACCTTCACATTGCCATGTCTGCTTTTCCAAAAATGCACAAAGCTTGTGTAGTCTGACTAATGCACTGTGATGAACACTTTGGGCAGGAGAGAGACAAGTTGGGAGTAGGCACTCATGAACAGCTGTACTCTGAAGAGGGCCTAGCTGTTTAAATACACAAATTATGCTCTAACATTATTTAACTCAATCCAAAATCATTAGGATGAGTGAAGAATAACCAGAAAATGTTGACAAAAGTAAGATTAATGTTTAATAATAATTCCAAGATTTTAATATTCTAAAGCAAAAAAGTTCATTCATCTCACTAGGTAAGTGTGGTCATGAGAATATGTGTCTCTGGGAAGTGAAGGGGTGATGTTGTTTTCCCTGTCAAAGCTTTCCATCAACTTTTCCATGGCTTCAATATGGATGCAATTCCCATAAACAGAACTAGCTGCAGTTACACCTGTGAGAAACATTAAATAAACAATACTTATTACTGGATATAATCTATTACTCAATTCAATACTGAAGAAAATTATGGCACAGGGGCCTGGGACAGAGTCAAAGAGACAGGGGTCAGATTCAAAATAAAATAGCTAAATAAAGACAGCTTATAATCCTGCTAATAGTAGTTTGGGCCTTTCATCTCACAACTCAGGTAACATTAGAATTAAATAGAAAAAACAAAAACATTTGACTGGCACATGAGGGTGCTTAAAGGAAAATAGAGAAATAATTGGCAACAATAAAAAAGAGAAGCTGTAAGAAAGAGGATGGGAACTGCAGTTAAAGTTGCCTCCTAATGTATAAACAGAAATAAATGGCACTTAATGAATGTGCACATGAGGTACAGTTATTGTCTACATCAAAACTGTGACTTGGATGATAAATTTTATTGGAGCATTTTTATAAATTATTTATATCAGTTTATATATACTTAAAATATATATATATATATATATATATATATACACATATATATATACTTTAAATAATCTGTTCACCTTGTGCCTTCAACACATTTGCAATAAAAGATTCAAATGTTATGCATGGGTTCCCTTTCAACAATCACATTTTTGGCTTCCTGACGGTAGAGGACAAAAAATACCATATTACATCTAGTTATGAGTAATCTACATAGCAACCGTGCTTTTAAACCAATAAAAAACCAGACATTTTTTATATTCCCAAGGGTACAAACCACAAACAATTTGTGCCAAGTCGTAGAATCTCTAACCTCCTTGTACATGTACAAGATGCACTAGAAACTACAGTACAGAGAACCCAAAATATAAATAAATATTAAACATTAGATATAAAATATTAAACAAAATAAAAAATGATCATGAATACCTATGGTGTGTGAGCTAGGATATTTTATATTGCATGTAGACAGTAATGTATTAATACTACCCAGGTTTGAGTCTTGTTTGGATGGAAAGGTCTACTTACTAGTAGTACATAAATTGTGGTCATTTCTTTTTGTACTACAGTACTAGCAGTACAAAACAAGATCAACACTAGTGCTACAAAAATAACTTATAAACAATGATCAGCTTGCTGGCCAAGATTTGGGAATATTAATAATAAGTGCCTCTACCTAGGCCTTATCTTTAATATTTATGAGAAATATCCTAGGCACTTACAAGCAATTTCTCTGTAACTGTAGCGAAATCCAGAAAAGTGAACAAAGAAATCTTGCTGCCAATGATGGTAAAAGCATTGCTGTTCAACAGCTCAGTAACATGTAACAAACTGTGAGGTAACAGGCACAAGGTCTATCAGAGAGTATGGATCAGTGGATGAGGCAGAATTTAATTCACCATCTGCTATGATTTCATCATCAGAAACATCCTAGAAATAAATAACACTGCAAATATTTAAAATGCTGTGAAATTTACACTCCTATATATAGTAAGAGATCTGTTTTTAATTAAAAAATGCATGTAAACTCCTCGTTGGAAAAGAGGAGGTATTAATCATATAACTTCAGCCCAATATAAAAGAAAATAATGAGGAATAAAAAAATTAATACTGTCATTGAGTGTGATTCATCACAGCTCATGAACAAAACAGTTTCCTATATATCTGTGGAAAAAAAAAAGTCTGTCGAATGAGAAATTTCTTGTTTGCTACAGACATCAGTCTTCCTTGACTTTTTTTAAACGTGCCAGCTTCCTATGACTCAAAATAAAATTCCATGACTTCTTTCCTGATCTTAATTCCCGACATGTGGCACACCCGAATATAATTTATAGAGTACATGCTGGAAGAACTTCAGCTTAAAATGACTGTAAAAAAACAGAATCGAAAATATTTTTAATAGATGCAAATAAAATTCTAACCAGTAAAGCATTTAAAATTGGTCTAGGTTGCAACGCCTGATGAAGAAGATTTTAGAGATTGTCTTGACCAGTCGAGTTGGTGACCGTAGTACTTATATCAGATGTCTTCTTTGATCCCCTACATCTAACCTTCTTCGGCACAAACTGGGAAAAATTGCACCGGCTTCTTCTTTTTTTTTACTCTCGCTTAATTCATTTTCGTGAACGGTGGGAAATATTCGAAAATAAGGATTGTATACTGTTATTATCCGCCATTTAGTGGAATACGGCTATATTGGTGTGTATGTGTCATGAAGTGTACTAACAGCTGATGGTTATTTTCGCCGGTCACCTCAACTCCTCATAACATACGTCACAGGCTCATTTGGAAGACCGCTGATTTAAAATTGGTGCCCACGGTTTGAAAGCCGAAAAAGCGCGAAAATACAAACGTTGAAGAAATATTTCTCGAAGGTAAGACACAATTAGCGTTGAGAATTTCGTCACTTTGGCTGTCGAAAGAAATTAATTCAACTTTTGGCTTCAGTTCTCCTTTAGTCTGTCCTAATTGTCTCCAATTTCCGGCAATGAAAGACGTTCCTTCGGTTAACTGACGTGGATTGCTAACAGCTTTTACTTGATTCTAGCGTGAATTAATTGTATTGCCGCCTCGTGTTGCTTAAAAGCTAATTAAGCTGAGCTTAAATGAACAAGTTACAACTGTCGAATTCGCGCGAAATTCGCAGGCAATTCCTGGCGTTTACCTTGGAAAAAATAAGTAATTCGGGAGAGGTAAAAGGAATATCCAAATTATCGATTTGATGCAGTGCAAGGGCTGATGATCGAAACACTTTCAGTTTCGTTTGCGTGTGATGTGAAACATGCACACCATCGTGTTTTGCAGTAGCTTTCATGTCGGGTTTATATATGATTAACTCAATTTGCTCCTGTATTCACGATGCATTTATCAAAATTTCATGTGTTTTTTTGGTTGATTATTTTATTGTTGGTAATCTTTTCTTCTTGATAGACTGCTTAGATTCTCTTGCCAAACTGTCCTGTTATACTGATTTCCTCGTTAAATATCGAGAAAAGTTAATTTTTCTTCAAATGTCAGTCAGTGATTTATTGCAAGCATCCTTTCAATAACTGCATTCGATTTTTAGGAATCTTCTAATCAATAAATGATCAATCAATAATCACATCAACTGAATGTTTCTAGTAAACTAGTTTAGTCCAAGTGACATTGGATAGTGCATGATTATTACCCCTTTTTCTTGAGCCATACTGGGGAATATTGGCACTATGTCATTTCTACACGGCCACAACCTTGGGCCAATTTTCCTGACTAAAGCCCTGATGCTCAACCAGTTAGTTAGAAGTTAGTACTGACTTTTGCAAAAATGATTTACACTGTACATGTATTTCAGGCTATTTTGAATTCCAGAGCTATTGATTTCCTTGTTACTCTAAATTTATTGAAACTTTTTGTACATGAAGACAGCCAGTCAGCACTGAAATCCATTTCAACTTACATCAGCACACCTAAGTGTAAATATTTCACTGTTTTTCCTGTGATAATACCCATCTATACGAATATGGATGTCAGTTGACCTGGAGGAAATACATGTTTTATAAGTTTTGACCAGTAAACCCTATTTAAAAAAAATCAAACTGGAGAATTTTACTTCGGTTTTGTAAAATTTGTTTCTTTTGAGAAAGGATTCAGTATAAACTCTCTCCTCTTGTGGAGACATGGTGGCCTTATAATTAGTAAGCTGGACTCAGGGTCAAGAGGTCTGCATTTGTAACCTGGTCTATGCATTTTGCTCTTGTGCAAAACACTTTTCTCCCACAGAGTCCCTCTCCACCCAGGAGTGTAAATGGGTAGCAGAAATTAGACAGAGATCAAAGCCTGATGAAATGCCAAGGGGGGAAAGGGGATTAACCATGGGATGGACTGGCATCTATCTAGGGGAGGGGTGGGTAGTTACTCCAAGTCACTTCATGTGAGGAATCTAGGATTATAGGCTCAGGGCCTGGATAGGCTACTGCTCAAATACATGAACTTTTCCTAACTACTTACAGTCTCTTAGCTTAAATAATTTAAATTGCCGCTGCAACAAAGTATATTAACTTGCAACACAAAGATGTTGATGCTTGCCCAATTTATCTCTGTCAATTGGGAATGTGTGATATAAATCTTGAAATTTCTTATGAGAAGTGAATTACTGTTCATTTAAAAATAAATGCTTGTTTCCCTCAATATATATATATATCTTTTATTCTTTCGCTGATTTTAGTATGCCATCAATTTTAATTGCTTGTGATTTTGTGTATAATTATGTATCCCTGCCATTCTCAGAAGGGGAAAAATATTAATTTTGCAACTGGGTAAAATATTGAGCTGATGTTTATTACCATTTGCAACCATCTTTTTTTCAGGCCAGGATAACTTAAAACAGCAACTTTGTAAGAAGCATCTTACAGTTGCTATGGCTACAGCTAGAGGTCCAGTTAATGAGCCATGTGAAAATGAGGACTTACCTGACAAAGAAAATGCACTAGATTTTGACGAGAACACTTTACAAGGTGAGCTAAGTTCAACTTCAGCTTCAGTTATTGTTAGAGCAATTTCTATTCCACCATTTCCAAGAATGTAAGCAGATATGTAGAAGGATATATACACTGTATGACCACTTTAAATGATATTTTGGGCAGTCATGACTCTCTTTAATGCTCACAATGTGCTGTTCATTTAGAGATCTATGACAAAGAAACCTTTACTATTCTCTTTTCTATCCTGTCATAGCAAGCACACAAAGGTATAATAAATAAAGACAAAGGGGGTGGGAAGAGGGAATTGAATCTTGCCCGATTGGTGTTGGGGAATTTGAATCAGAAGTGTCAAGACTAATTTCCAATAGAATACAAGTGTGATATCATTGAATATGGAGGTGTTTAGGGTAGATAGTGCACTTCCACTAACAAATGAATTGCAGAAAAAAAAAGTGTACATGGTCTAGGTTTTAAAGCTTGGTCAATAAGTTGAAAGTCAGGTTGCTAACTAATCTCATCTTCTTTATCATTTTTCTTATCATTTTTTTATATAATAACTATTTCTCTATAAGTAATATTGCTTCTGGTTTTTATACATTTGGATGTGATTGACTCATTAACTAAGTATGTAAATGTAATTAAAGCGACAGACTCTTTTACACGCATAATTATGTTGACTCTCTCTGAATATCAAGGAGGCTCACAGACACAGAACGAGACTCTGGGTCTCCCATATAAGTCATCAAACTTTCAGGATAAATGAGGATTTGGGTCAGTGCTTCACTGAAACTACATTTCAACTCCAGATTTCCCATATTCAATATCGTTCTGGTTATCTTAGGGTTCTTATCTTCTGAGCTTTCAACCAAAAAAGTCACTCATAGATTTACTGAGTGGGGTTTGTCCTTTGAAGGGGGAGGGGGGAAGGCTGCAGATGTAATCTGAGGTTTTCAGGGGATGGGTCAAGTCATGCAAGTGCAAAAGGGGCAGCTGGCACAAAAAGAAAAATCTGCCAATTTTAAATCTCCAGATCTTGGCAGCCTTGCCTATACACTCACAAACTACCAACAGACTTTGACACAAATTACTTTTTGTTTGTTTTTTTTTTTGCATCCACAGCTGATGTTTACAGGAATCAGGGCAATGAGGCCTTTAAGAGAGGAGATTTCATCAATGCTATTCATTTTTACACCAAAGGAATTAAAATGAACAGTGATGAGAAAGAACTAAAGGCCAAACTGTACAACAACAGGGCCATTGCACATTTTAAACTTGGTAATATGATGAGAGCTTTAATATGCATTTTTTACCTCTTTTGAAGCCAAGGGCTGTCAGTAGTAGTTTTCTAAAAAAGGTGATAATTTTGAATGTATGCCCAAAAAAGAAATTCTCAAAAAAAAATATATGCCTTATCCTTGCCTCTCAAACATAAAAAGAAGTAACCTCTTACCGGACTTGCCCCAGATATCAATGAGCATCACAAGTTTTTCCTGAAATTAATGTAAATGTGGTGGGTTTGCCATATGCACAGCTAACCAGAGATATTTATTTTCAAAACAGGAAATCACCAGGATTCACGAAGAGATGCAGAAGCAGCCATTGAGTTAAATCCAACCTTCCTCAAGGCAATTGTGAGAGGTTAGATATGTTAGCTGTGCTATAATAATAATAACTCATCACTCTAAGGATAGATGAAATTAAATCTGGTATTAATTGTAAATTGAGAGGTTGAGACCACCATGATGTACATTTGAATTCAGCTCTTGACTGCTGTGCTATGACTTTCCATTATGATGTGAATATTATTTTGAGTTGGATGAAGAACTCATGATTGTGAATGCAAAGCAAAATTCAGCTTGAGTATTTTAGTTTCCTTTTGCTAAATGAGTGAGGTAGTGGTGTCAGATATGTTTAGTCATCATTTAGCTATTTTGAAAAGAAGTGAGGACATAACTCAAAACTGTAAGGAAACTTTCCTCATTCATCAAGTATAACTCAACTTCAAGTGCTATAACACGTGTAATAATGATGTAACTAAAGAGGCAGCATGAGTAAATCTTATTCTTGGTGAACTTCAAACCTAAGCTTTAGTCACCTCCATGGAATCAATTATCAACTGGTTGAGTAAATCAAATCATTTCAAAAAAGTAACTCAGACTAGAGGGAAACTAGTATTAATATCAATTATTTGTATCTTGATTGAAGATGAAATTTAACATAGTTCAAAGAGGGTTAACTGAAAAATGTACCATCATAAAAATTTGAGAAAATGGGTTTCATTTTTCTGTTTTTGCCTTGAGTGTCATATATATATTCTATCTGTACCTCTGAGTGATTTTGTGGGAATCGTCATTTCCAATTTAAATGTTCTTAGAAGTTTCAATTATCTAATTGAAAGCTAATCTAACTGAAACCTTATGGGGTCTGGATATTCTTTTCCATATAGTTTTTTTGTTTTGTTATGTTTTTTTTTCAGGTCTGTTTTGATTTAGCTTTCAATCAGGTTTCTGGTTCTTTTCTTGGGATTGAGCTTATATAGTAATAACATACTTTTTTGTTTTGTTGCCTGCAGGAGCCACTGCCTGTGTTGAACTCAAGAGGTTTGAAGAAGCAATCACTTGGTGTGATAAGGGATTACTTGTATCCTCTGAAGCAATCTTTTATTTTTTAACCATGGGTATAATGAAAATATTCCACGACATTTCAACAGAGAAAATGCAAAGACAGGAACTTGTCAGCTCGTACTTTAAGTGGGTGTGATTAAACAACGTAGGAAAAGTTAAAAACTCATGACTTGATAGTGATATACTCCTTTTAGCCATGAATGAATCATAATATCCATGCAAAAACTGATACATTAGTTTGGTGAAAAGACTAATATTCACCCTGTTTATACATGGTATGTGGGTTGATGATCTCTTTGAGATGAGCCAGAAAAAGAAGCTTGCTAATGTTTATATAATTATATTATGCTGATTTTCTTTCCTTTAAATTTTTTCCAACCACTCAGAGACTCTGAAACTTTCGTTGCATTTTCCAATTGACAATTACAACTTTTAAAGGCACCTATTTGTGTTGTAAACTCATTTCTTCCACTGCTGTAAGACAATTTTCTGATGTTAGAGCTATATTACTTTAAGAATTGAGCAGGTACCTCCCAGTTTTTGTAAACAAGGAATAAAGTTTAGATATTTTGCCTTAAAATTTAAGGTTGCAAACAGAAAATAACTTTTTGTGATGTGTAGATTTACTTTATGACAGACTTTAAGATTTAGTGTTGATGTAACATCTACCTTTCATGCAAGCCCTCCTAATAGGCTATTTTAGACTTGTATACTTAGTTGCCAAGCCTTTGATTTGGAGTGAGGCTGAATATGACCTTGTTGTGATAGAGAGCAGTATCTAGTGAGCATAATAGCAAAGTAATTTGCATTTGAAAAGCAGAAATGTTTTGTATCATAACAAGGTCACCCTTAGCCACACCCCTTTTCAACTGTAAAAGGGACTATTACATACCAATGTGATCAGAAAAATAATCTTTTTTGTTTTTTTCCCATTTTTTTCACTTAACATAAAAGAAGATTGACAAAAACAATAGGATCTTGTTGTCGTTAAGACTTCAGTCTTTCAGAGAAGTAGGAGACAAGTCCATGGAGGAAAAAGATCATATTACATCGAGTTATGGCCATGTTAGTGCATGTTCAGGTGATCTCAAGAGAGTCATAGACTTCTGTAATCCAGGAGACAAGCATCGGGAGGGGGACAATTATGGCAATCCTGGCTCTGCTCATTACCGTCTGAGTAATTACAAAGAAGCCATAAAGTACTACAACCTATATCTTAAAATAGCTAAAGAAGTAGGAGGCAAGTATGAGGAGGGTAACACGTATGGTAACCTTGGCAATGCTCATTTCAACTTAGTGATTACAAAAAAGCCATAGAGTACCACAACCTACATCTTGAAATAGCTAAAGAAGTAGGAGACAAGCATGGGGAAGGTGGTGCTTATAGTGATCTTGGCATTGCTCATTGCAGTCTTGGTGATTTTAAAACAGCCATAGAGTACCACAACCTACATCTTAAAATAGCTAAAGAAATAGGAGACAAGCATGGGGAGGGTGGTGCTTATTGCAATCTTGGTAGTACTTATAGCATTTTGGGTGATTTGAAAAAAGGCATAGAGTACCTCAACTTAAGTCTTGAAATAGCTAAAGAAGTAGGAGACAAGCATGGGGAGGGTATAATTTATGGCGGTCTCTGTAATACTTATTGCGGTCTGGGTGAATATGAAAAAGCCATAGAGTACCAGAACCTACAACTTAAAATAGTTGAAGTGGTAGGAGACAAGCATGAGAAGAGTAACGTTTATTGCAATATTGGCAAAATCTCTCGGAGTCAGGGGGATTTCAAAAAAGCCATAGAGTATCACAGCCTACATCTTAAGATAGCTAAAGACGTAAGAGACAAGCATGGAGAGGTTGTTGCTTATAGCAATCTTGGCAATGTGTATCGAACGCTGGGAGATTTGATAAACGCCAATAAGTCATACAATCTAATGCTCAAAATTGCCAAAAAGATCGAAGACAAATCCTTGGAGGCATTGGCGTTCTTTTATCTAGGATGCGTTTCTAGGTCGCTGGGTCGACTGCCCAAAGCCGTTGAACATTATCAAGCTAGCATAACCTTATACAATTCCTTGAGAGTACTTCTAAAATCTGAAGATGAGTGTAAAGTTAACTTTCGAAATTATCATCAAGGCGCGTATACGTGTTTGTGGAGTGTTCTCGTAAAGCAAGGTAATATAAATGAAGCCTTACTTGCTGCTGAGAAAGGACGAGCTCAAGCTCTGATCGACCTCATGGAATCCCGTTTTTGTGGTGGAGCAAGTCAGCACAAGGGAAGCGTTGAAGATCTAGCAGTTTTAAAAAACGTTCCATCAAACACTGTCTTTCAAGCAGTGGGCAATGCTCAACTCAATCTTTGGGTTGTGTCCGAAGGAAAACAAGTTCAGTTAAGACAAAATAAACTCAATGGTTCTGTATCAGAGAATAGTGGAGCTAGCCAGTCCTTTGAGTCGCTCATACTCTGTGTCTATACACAACTTGGTGTTCGTGCTAATGTGAGATGCGAGGATCGATCTTTGGGTGCTTTGAGGAAGAGCCATTCAAAAGTGGATGAGAAAACTAAAGAAGACAACCCTCAACCTCCCATCCAACAAGACAAATATTTAAGCACTTTGTTTGATAACGTTATTAAGCCGGTGGCTGACCTGGTTCAAGGGGATGAGCTAGTCATTATTCCCGATGGACCCCTGTGGCTCGCTCCTTACGCTGCATTCAAGGATGGTAATTCTAAATACATGTGCGAATCGTTCAGAATCCGACTCGCTCCATCGTTAACAAGTCTTAGACTCATTGCCGATTGCCCAGATGATTATCACAAAGGCAGTGGTGCGTTACTTGTTGGAGATCCGTGGGTAGCCGAGGTTACTAACAGCAAGGGAGAGAAACTCCTCAAACAGCTTCCGTTTGCAAAAGAAGAAGTAGAAATGATCGGAAAAATTCTGAATATCGCGCCAATCACTGGCAGAGAGGCCACAAAACGTGAGGTGTTGAAAAAACTCGGTTCCGTTTCTTTAGTTCACTTTGCGGCACATGGATGTATGGAAACTGGCGAAATTGCTCTTACACCTAACCCAGACCGGATATCTACTGTGCCAACGGAGGAGGATTACATTTTAACAATTGGAGATGTGTTGACTGCTCAACTTCGCGCCAAACTTGTTGTGCTCAGTTGCTGCCACAGTGGTCGGGGCGAGATTAAGGCTGAAGGTGTGGTTGGCATTGCGCGCGCTTTTATGGGGGCTGGTGCTAGGTCTGTTGTGGTGTCCCTGTGGGCGATTGATGACGAGGCTACTCTCGAGTTCATGAAATGCTTTTATCAACACCTTGCGGAAGGTAAACCTGCAAGCGAGTCACTGAACCTGGCCATGAAAAGCCTCAGAGAATCAGACAAGTTCCGCGACATCAAATACTGGGCACCCTTTTCGCTGATTGGAGATGACGTCACTCTGGACTTCATGGCAAAGGAAAGAAAAATTTGAATATTAAATCACATAAATGAAAAATTGGCTTTTGTTTCCTCTCAAAAAGAATGACAAAATGGCGGAGGAACTTGGAAGCTTGAAATGTCTCTCTGTTTTGGCAGTTTTTGGCTATTTTTCATTACTTTTTACTTTTTGTTAGATGGAACTTGAGATGTGTAACTTTACTCTGGTGTAGAAATAAAAACAGTCTATTTCATTATATTTTGATCAGTGGAATTGTTTTTTTTTCTTCTTACCTTTACAAATTTAAATGCTTGCGAAGAGAACGAAATGTAACAAGGCCTCTGTAATAATGCCTGCAGTTTTTAAACGCGATTACGAGGTTTCCGTTTCCATCATGAATTACTTGATAAATTGAAATTGAAAAATTAGTTAATTTTTTTAAAATCCACTACAATACAAGCTAATTGTATCAGTGCTAAGATTGCCATTCAAAGCTTAATTTGACGAAGTAAACATCAAAGATGATGTTATTGAATTTACTGACCATATGTTAGAGACATTAGACCTACTTTTTTGGGGTGTGGTCAGCCTCTAGTCCCGTAGTCCCGTAGGCCCGGCCTACCATTGTTTTCCGCCTGCCTGACTTTTACAATATGACTCCTCTACATTATGAATTACTCGATAAATTGAGATTATCTTCACAAGAAAAACTTGTTATTGATTTTTTTGATCCATTTCAATAACTAATTCTATCAGTGCCAAGATTGCCATTCAAAGCTTAATTTGACGAAGTAAACATCAGTGATTATGTTATCGAATTTACTGACCATATGTTAGAGACATTAGACCTACTTTTTGGGGTGTAGCCAGCCTCTAGTAGTTTTCGTTCGTTTTATCAAACACTTATCTGTTCGTTTTAAAGATCCACGACAGAGAGGTTAATACTTTTCTATATAATCTAAACAAAGAACAGCAAAGCAGAGTTCACTGTGACTGAAGTTTCCATCGCTGTTACTTTTGATGTAAGTAAGATGGAATTTTGTTGTTATTTTAGAAAAATATTTACGGCCATAAATTAGACAAGAAAATAAAGTAAGTCATGTAGTCCTCAGTGGGATTTTTTTGGTGAAAAAGTTCATGAATAAATGTAAATCTAGTCCATAGTTGAAAAGTTTCAGGGCTTCAGGATAAAACTTTCAATTTTTGAAAATTCCTTCAAATTTTTTTCATTGCTTTAGATTTACCTTAGTATAATTTGAAGATGTCTATTAACCCTTAAAACCTTAAGAGTGACCAGCATCAAATTTCTCCCTACAATATATAAAAGGAAATGATCACCAATGAAAGAAGCTTTTGATTGGTCAACAAATTCTCCTTGTCAGTACCTCAGGAAATGTATGAAGAGCAGGATGGAGAATATGCCTACTGATTTTAGGGTGGAAAGGCTTATTATCTTTCTTAGATGTAAGAATTTATACTTAGGTATTTAGAGCACGCAAGTTTAAGATATACTGTATCACAGCTGTTTTAGAAGAAAGTTTTGTAAAATCAGTATTGATTTTGCAGATTTTCGTAACTACCATTAGTAGATGGTGCTTTAAAATGTAATAGCTAACCTCGCACATGGGTTGCATATAATGTAACGTAGGATTTTAAAAACAAGCTGGAACAGTTTTAACTAAATGGGTTTTATATGAATATACAAATATACAGTGTATAAAATACAAATACTGCGTTGATTTTCATTGTCTGTCCCCATATTTTAAGGATTCACGTAAAATGCAGAGAGAACAGATCCTGAGGGGAGTTCAATGCCTGTTTTGACTGGCGCACCCCAAGTTGCTCATCTATGCGGCTGACAATGTACTAACATTTCCCCACCCGCTTAAAAAATGCGCGTTATCTCTTCCTCTGTCTATCATTCTCCATATTGTTGCACGACTTTGAACGCCGACGGACGTGTCCATACATTTACATGTTTGCGCCTTTTTCGTCTTTTTCCTCACACAAGTTTTTACATCTTTTCACATTTGTGCATCCCTTTTTTCTACTTCCTTTTGTTCCTTCTTTTTTTTTATCGTCCTTTTCCTTTATTCCATCTCTGCGTGCACTTGCTTCATCGCCCTCAACTTTATTCTTCTGCACGCTTCATTAGAGTATCTCCTTGTCTGTTTCAGTTTTCGTCTCAATCCTCGCGCAACGTCAGGCTTCCTACAACTCATATACCTCCTTACTCCCCCAGAATAGTTGTTATCATGCTTATTTTGTCCACTTTAGGATGGTGTCCTCTTAACGTCATCTCTAGTAAAATCTCAGTTTTCCTTTCGACCAATTCCCAGTCCACAGGGTCTCTCACTTCTAATTCTCACGTGCCAGTGTTTGCTCTCCTCAGTCCTCTCATTACAGTAGCAGTCACAGAGTGAAAGTGCTCCCTCCAAGTCTCGGTGGCATAATCGGCCCATTGTTTTGGAAACGAGACCTTCAATGTCCAAATTAAGGTTTCCTCTATCGTCTGATTGGGAATGGGTCAAATACTCGCCCAGGGCCGGGCGCGGGGGGGGAAGTAAGAGGCGAGACGGTCGGAATATTCTGATGTCAGTTATTTGCCATTGAGCGAAATGAGTCATATGGCAATGCTGCACTTAAACTGAGAAAGTTTTTTTCATTTAAAATCCCTATTTTAGAATGTGTTTTGAATCAGATAACTATAAACTCACTCGTATTCCGTTTGACCGTCTCGACGACAATAATCTTTGCCTTTGCAATCTTTGAGGAAGGAGTAACTTGCAGTGAAATGGACCGATGACTTCTCGGCGAAGAATTATCGTGCCCCGTGATACAGCTGATTCTTCGTCAAATGTTAGCTTTTGGTTTGTTCGGGGAATTACACTACAGCAACGAAACTCTAGAGCACTGACCAAGAGGAACCTTCGCCGCAATACAACTCTGTTTACGAAACTGATAACCGCTGACGGTTTTCTTAGCAAAAGCTTTATCTTGAGTTATTTCAAATTACAGCGTCTGTTTTCCATATTCTACTTAATACTATGAATTATCGTTTAAAAAATGTTAACAATTAAAAAACGCACTGTTCTGTTTTATCAGATATATTGTATATCAAAGTAAACTTGACATAATAATAATGACGACAAAGATAGAATATATACTCAATTCGCATGTACTCTCCTGTAATACATCAGGTCATGAATAACGAGGTGTAACAGTTACAGTCATATATCAGTCAATGAATGCTGACCAATAATTGATCCACTGAAACACAGTCACTTCATGTAGTAATTTTTGAGTAGGTAAATGATAACGAGAAGGAAAAAAAAAACAAATAGGTCAAAAATAAACGAATAATGGGCGAAAATGTTGAACGATGGCCGCCATTAACCTAACTCGAATTAAAAAAAAATTCGGCCACAGCTTATTTTTACTATGGCTTAGTTTCTTTATCTAAAACTTCTACATGAATAAACTCTCTTCATTTAAGTAAAGGGGGATACCAGTCTGAGGTGCGCTTTGAAAGAAAAGATGGATCATCTCTCCTTCAATCGTACGCTGAGCACCTTCGATTTTTGCCATCTTCATCTTTCCACCGCAACACCCGCCTAAGTACAAGTACAAGAGCCTTCAGGGAGCAGAGAGGGCCAAAGTAATGATAGATTGCATACTGTAGTGTTTTAAAGAAAGGAGGATAGATCACTGTTGTTTGTAAGATCTTCTCAACAAAAACAAGAAGGAAAGTACACGGAAGCCAACCATCAGAGCTATGAGACAGTACACCTCGAACAGCAAATTGTCCTAAAAATAAAAACATATATTAAAAAAAGAAAAGTTATCGAACACTTACTTCAACAAAATGACAAACTGGCAACGTAATGATTTCATTTTTGTCCTAAGTAGAGGGTTAAGGTAAAGCGGCAGTTTGATGCTTGCACAGTAAGAAATGGTAAGAAATACAGGTATATGGCAACATTAGCGTGGTTTATTTTGATATGGCGCACAGAAGGAAATCCGGACTCTAAAATGGTTGAAGGGCCTTTAAGTGCGAATCCACAAGTTTATATGTTTAAAGATTTCTTTACTTGATGGTTGGTTAACTTTTTGTAGTGTTTTGTTTCTTTTTTTGTTTGTTTGTTTTAATGGTTTGCTCGTTCATTACTTAAGTAATTGAGGACGGTCCGAAAGTTTGACGTTTCGTTTTTTGGTCTGTTACTCAGTTCTTTTGATCATTCCTTCGGAGGTTGGTTAGTACTTCCAATTAGCTCGTTCGCTTATTTGATTAAGCTTTCGATTGGCCGCCGTTACGTTTGTTCTCTCGTTCGGATTTGTTCTTTCGGATTCTTCGGATTCGTTCGTCGGGAGCGTTCGTTGAACAACGTCTTTCGCTACATCGTTCCGTTTCACCGATATAAACGTCTGATTGTTCCATTAACCATTTTCCTTTCGCAAATAACTTTCCTTTCCTGATTTATTTTCTTTTTACAGTTTAAGAAATGTTGGATTTCACCATACGTAAACATGAAAGCTTGTTAATAAGATCAAGGTACACGACACAACTCTTAAAAATGCTCAGGTATGTCATGGCCAGATAAAGGAAATAAAAAAATCCTTTCAAAGAAAAAAAAAACTGGGAACGTATTCCCTGAACCAGTGCAGTGCCACATACTCTCCAGGCTCTAAAGTCTTCTAAATGGTATGCAATCACAAAATGAGAATACGAAAAATAACAGTTTATGTTCACGCCGCAGAAAAAGTTGATATGAATATATTCCGAGAGGAATTTGTTTCTAATATTAGAAAGACTTACCTCTCGTGTGTTTTTTTAAGAGTGCTAATGAGAACACATAAAAGTGAGATGTAATAATGAAGTGGACTTTAGAAGAACACGAGAAGCGCACGAGAAATATTTAATTTTTATGTATGTAAACACGTTGAATGGACTCTTCGTTTAATTTCCGGTAAAGCACTTCCGGCCTTAAGCTTGCACAGAGTTATGGGTCAGGGGACTCCCCCTTTCATTTTCGCAAGGCGCTATTGAGATTTTTCGTTCGTTAACATAACTTTCGAGTCTTTCTCGGTACTTTCACAGTCTTATTGACTTTCTTTGAAACATTTCAATGACGGATTGAGGAAGCAAGGTCGTAAGACAGTCAAACGTGCCTTCCATTTCCGCAACAGAGGTAAGAACGGATAGTTGTATCAGATTTTTTAATATAAGGTACATACTTTTATTTCGAGTTTCTCAGTTAACATTTTCTCCTTCAAATGTTTTTAATCTGTCCTAGTTTTCTATGCTTTCCGGCAATGAAAGGTATTACTGCGGTTAACTGACAAGGATTGTTAACTTTTACTTGATTCTAGTGTGAATGAATTGTATTGCCGCTTCGCGTTTGCTTAAAAGCTAATAAAACTGAGCTTACATGAACAAGTTACAACTGTCGAATTCGCAAAAATTCGCAGGCAATTCCTAGCATTTACCTTGGACAAATTAAGTAATTCGGGAGAGCTATAAGGAATATCTAAACTATCGCGTTGATTTAGTACAAGGGCTGATGATCGAAACGCTTTCAGTTTCGTTTGCGTATCGTGACAATCGTCGGGCTTATATATGATTAACTTAATTTGCTCCCATATTTACGATGCATTTGATAAAAAATTTCATGTGTTTTTGTTGATTATTTTATTGTTGGTAATTTTTATTTTTGATAGACTGCTTAGATTCTCCTGCCAAACTGTACTGTTCTACTGATTTCCTTAAATATTGAGACAAGTTGATTTATCATCAAATATCAGTTAGTGATTTATTGCATGCGTCCTTTCAATTAACTGCATTCGATTTTTAGGAGTCCAGTTCATCAACTGGTAATGATTGATTCAGGTATCAGTAAAGTTTTACAGGCTGCTGATCAATATATGATCAATCGATATTCACATCAACTGAATGTTTCAGATCAATTTTTTTTACCAAAACTGGTTTAGTTCTGCATGTGGCTGCAAGCGTCCAAGTATGTGTCTGGTGATAATATACAGTTAATGTATGGTCCTGAGAGAAACAGTTAGTTTTGTCTCCAGGAGTCCTGATTTTTCCTGAGACTTTAAGACTTTCTAGTTTCTCGAGGTACCATCTATTAATTGCTTTGTTATACATTTAGACTTTCCCTTAGACAATCATGCACTGTTGTATTTGGCACAAGGGCAACAACTGCGCAATGGAATCTTGGTCGGGTTACATTTGAATTTGATCAGGGATGCTTGACCAAGAATCAACCAATTACAGTGCTCATTTTGTTGAGTGAAAGTCTAGGTATATAGGAATTTACGTTATTACATAGCAAGGTGGTCTTAAGGTGAAATTGATACTACTGATTGTTCCAACTTGGACAGGATTTTGCCACATAGACCATCATCACACCATACAGACAATCATAAGACATGAATTTTTTTACTTGGAAGCAAGAAAATTCAAAGTAAACAAGTTTAGTCCAAGTGACATTAGTGCATGACTATTACCTTGCTTTCTTGAGCCATACTGGGGAATATTGGCACTAAGTCATTTCTATACTGCCACAACCTTGGGCTAATATTCCTGACTAAAGCCTTGATGCTCGACCAGTTAGTTAGAAGCTAGTATTTACTCTTGCAAAAATGATTTACACTGCACATGTATCTCAAGCTATTTTGAATTCCAGAGCCATTGATTTCCTTGTTACTCTACATTTATTGAAACTTTTTGTACATGAAGACAGCCAGTGAGGATTATATGATATTTGAAAAACAGCCAGTCTTGATTATCAGGAGAATTAAAGTTAGGATCAAAGAAAAATCAATTTTTTGCACAAAACAATGTAAACATGAAATGATTGCAAAATTAATTAGTTTAATATACATAAACTGGTAAACCACAAATGTCAGTAGGTAATTTAGTGTTAACAACTGAGTTGAAAACGTAAATTGGCCACCATTAAGAGTGTAAAGTCTGACATTTCAAGTGCAAACCCTTCATCACAATGATTGCATGGTCACAAATGTCAACACCTGTAGAGTATTGAAATCCATTTCATCTTACATTAGCACACTTAAGTGTATATATTTCACTGTTAGAATTTTCCTGTGATAAGTGTAACAGTTGAACTAATACCCATCTATATGAATATTGGTGTCAGTTGATCTGAAGGAAATTGAATAAAAGACATATAACATTTTTTGTAAGTTTTGACCAGAGATCTCTATTTAAAAATCAAATAAGGGAATTTTACTTTGGTTTTGTAAGATTTGTTTCTTATGAGAAAGGATTCAGCATACACTCTCCCCTCTTGTGGAGACATGGTGGCCTTTGGCATATAATTAGAGAGGTGGACTCAGCATTAAGAGGTCTACATTTGTAACCTGGCCTGGCTGGGTCTATGCCATTTTGTTCTTGAGCAAAACACTTTTCTTCCACAGAGTCCCTCTCCACCTAGGAGTATAAATGGGTGGCAGAAGTAAGTCAGGGAAGCCTGGTGAAATGCCCAAGGGGGGGGGGGAAAGAGGGGGTGGCTAACCATGGGATGGAGTGGTATCTATCCAAGGGGGTTGGGTAGTCACTCCCAGTCGCTTCATGTGAGGAAACCAGGATTATAAACTCAGGGCCTGGATAGGCCACTGTTTAAATACAGACTTTACCTAACTACCTACAGCCTCTTAATTTAAATAATTTAAATTGCTGCTGAAACAAATTACATGAACTTGTAACACAAAGATGTTGATGTCTGCCCAATTTATAATCTCAGACAATCACCAATGCATTTTATAAATCTTGAAATTTATTATGATCAGAAGGTAATTACTGTTCATGCCTAATTGTTTTCTTCAGTTTATATATCTTTTGTTCTTTTTCTGCTGTTGGTATATGCCATTAATATTATTGCTTATGATTTTGTGTCTATGTATATTCATTTTGAAACTGGGTAAAATATTGAGCTGATGTTTATTACCATTTGCAACCATCTTTTTTTTCAGGCCAGGATAACTTACAACAACAACTTTTTGTAAGAAGCTTCTCCTTACAGTTGCTATGGCTACAACAAGAAGTCCAATTAAAGTGCCATGTGAAAATGAACACTTATCTGACAAAGAAAATGTACCAGATTTTGATGAGGACACTTTACAAGGTGAGCAGTGTTCAACTCCAGCTTTAATTATTGTTAGAAAAACTTCTATTCCATCACTGAGTTTCAAGAATGTAAGCAGAAATGGAGAAGGATATATAAACTGTATGACCTCTTTAAATGATATTTTGACCAATCATGACTCTCTTCTCTGACGACAATGTGTTGTTTGTTTAGAGGATCTAGGATGATCAAACCTTTGTTGTTTTCTTTTCAAACAGTGCGAAGCAAGCACACAAAGTTATTAATACTCTTATAAGTAAAGACAAAGGATGGGGGAGAAAGTGAACCTAGCCTGACTGGCATTGGGGAATTTGAACCAGAAGTGTCAAGACTAATTTCCAGTAGAATACAAGCATTATATCATTGAATATGGAGGTGTCTAGGGTAAATAGCACACTATCACTAACAAAAGGCTCACTGAAGAAAAAAGTGTACAAGGTCTAGGTTTTTAAAGCTTGGTCAATAAGTTGAAAGTCAGGTTGCTAATTATTTTGCTTATTACAAAAGTTAGGTGGGGCATTTGATCACATATTTTGCCTGGGGGGATAGGAATTTTTAGGAAATCAATTTCCAAAAGTTTAATTGCAGAGGGGTTTGCTTCAAATTTAGTGACACTTAATTCTCATATCATTATTACCATGCACTGTTGTCACCCACATTATTAACATCATCATAACTATTAATTTCATCTTCTTTATTATTATTCTTATTATTATTTTATATAATAACCATTTCTCTATATTAAGCAATATTGCTTCTGGTTTTTATGATTGCAATATTTTGATCTTATTGACTCATTAACTATGAAAATGTAATCAGCTGGTTCCTCACAGAAACAACATTTCAACTCCAGATTTCCCATATCCAAAATAATTTTTGGTGTCCGAGGGTTCTTATCTTAATTTTCTTGATTGTGCTTAGATTGTTTCAAGGTAGGGATTACGCTCCCTTCTGAACAACAACCTCAACAGCAACTGAGTCTGATTGGTTGAGCTTTCAACTGAAAAAGTCTCTCATTAATTTACTGTGTGGGGTTTGTCCTGTGAGGGGGAAGAGGGGGAAGGCTGCAGATGTCATCTAAAGTTTTCAGGGGATGGGTCAAGTCAGGCAAGTGCAAAAATGGCAGCTGGCACAAAAAGGAAAAAATCTGCAGATTTTAAATCTTTTGATCTTGGCAGCTCAATGCTTATACACTCATAAACTACCAACAGACTTTGACACAAATGACTTTTTTGTTTTTTTCTTTGCAGCCATAGCTGATGTTTATAGGAATGAGGGTAATGAGGCCTTTAAGAAAGGAGATTTCATCAATGCCATTCATTTTTACACCAAAGGACTTAAAATAAACTGCAATGAGAAAGAACTGAAGGCCAAACTGTACAACAACAGGGCTATAGCACATTTTAAACTTGGTAAGATGATTAGAACTTTAAAATTCATTTTTTTTTTCTCTTTTGAAGCTAAGGGCTGTCAGTAGTAGTTTTCTGAAAAAGATGATAATTTTAATTGTATGCCCAAAAAGAAATTCTCTGGAAACATTTATGCCTTATCTTGGCCTCAAACATAAAAAGAAGTAACCTCTTACCCCAGATATCAATGAGCATTACAAGTTTTTCCTAAGATTAATGTAAAGGTGGTGGGTTTGCCATAAGCACAGTTAATCAGAGATATTGATTTTCAAAACAGGAAATCACCAGGACTCAAGAAGAGATGCAGAAGCAGCCATTGAGTTAAATCCAACTTTCCTCAAGGCAATTGTGAGAGGTTAGATAAGTTAGCTGTGCTATAGAAGAAAAAAAAAAGAAGAACTCATCACTTTAAGGATAGATGAAGTTTAAAATCAGGTCTCAATTGACTTTAATTAAGAGGTGGAGACCACCCTGATGTACATTTGAATCCAGCTCTTGACTACTGTGCCATGACTTTCCAGTATGATGAGAATATTATTTTGAGTTGAATTCATTGCTGAATTGCAAATGCAATGTAAAATTTCAGCATGAGTATTTTAGTTTCCTTTTACGCAGTGAGTGAGTAGTGGTGTCAGATGTATGTTTAGTCACCATCTAGCTATTTTGGAAAGAAGTAGGAACTTAATGCAAAATTGTAAGGAAACTTTCCTCTTTCATCAAATATAACTCAACTTCAAGTGCTATACTGCATGTAATAATAATGTAGCTAAAGAGATGGCATGAGTATCTTATTCTGGGTGAACTTCAAACCCTAGTTCAGGTCACTTCCTAATCAATTATCAACTGATTGAGTAAATCAAATATGTTTATTTAACTCAAACCAGAGGGTAAATAGTATTGACATAATATCAAATAAAATTTTTTGCATTGTATTTTGATTAAAGTGAAATTTGACCTAGTTCCAAAAAGGTTAACTGAAAAATATACCATTTAAAAAATTTTTAAAAAATGGGTGTCATTTTTCTGTTTTCACCATATGTCTTTTATTCAATATCTTTATTTTAGTGATTTTGTGGGAATTGTCAGTCCCTATTAAAATGTTCTTTAAGAAGTTTCAATTATCAAAAGCTAATCTAACTAAAACCTAATAGGGCCTGTTTATTCTTTCCCATTAAGTTTTTTTGTTTCGTTTTGTTTTGTTTTTTTTCTTCTGGTCAGTAATGAGTTAGCTTTCAATCAGGTTTATACTTGTTTGTGTTGTTGCTTGCAGGAGCCACTGCCTGTGTTGAATTGGAGAGATTTGAAGAAGCAATCACTTGGTGTGATAAGGGATTAGCTGTATCCTTTGAAGGAATCTCAAATTTTTAAACATGGGTAATGGAAATATTCCATAATTTGACGTTTTAAGGGAGAAAATACAAAGAAGGGTATTAAATATGATGGGAACTTGTCAGCTCATACTTTAAGTGTGTTTTTTTAAAAACATGGGAAAAGTTCATACCTCCTGACTTAATAGTGATATACTCCTTTTAGCCATGACTAAGTCATAGTATTCATGCCACAACTGGTACATTAGTTTAGTGAAAAGACTAATATTCAGCCAGTCTATACATAGTACGTGGGTAGATGATCTCTCTGAAACAAGATGGAAAGAGAAGCTTGGTAATGTTTATATGTATTATGCTGATTTTCTTTCCTTTAAATTTTTTTCTACCACTCACAGACTCCTAAACTTTCATTGCATTTTCCTATGGACAAATACAACTTTTAAAGGCACATATTAGTGTTGTAAACTCATTTCTTCCACTGCTGTAAGACATTTGTCTGATGTTAAAGCTACATTAATTTAAAAATTGAGCAAGTGCTTCCCAGTTTTTGTAAACAAAGAATTATATCTACCATATTTATTCGACTATAAGCCGAGCGATTTTTACACAAATTAAAACTGAAGTGAATTAAAATTTGGGCTCTAGAGGGAGTCTCAGCTTATAGCCGAGAGTTTAAAAAAAAAAGTTTCCAGCGCATGGAATCTCTAGTTAATCGGGATTTATTTACTTATAAGCTGAGCTCAAGTAAAGAAATACAATATGCAATTGTTGTTTTGGTGCGAAGGCTGACGGAATGGCGGCGCTTCCATTTCTCGTACCAGCCGAGAGACGCTGTAAACTCAGGATCCTCGCTGAATTGTTTTGCCTTTAAACGTAGCATCAATCCACCTAGCAGCCATTCCTGTGCAAAACGAAGAGAGAAGGTTACTAAATGATCCAAAGGTTAAAAGTTAGTCACGTCTTGAATTTGTTTTGACACTTGCGAAAACTGGCCAATGAGAATCTTTCATACACAATGTTGTCACATGATACTACGATAGTTTTGAGAGTCGCACATTCAACACACATTCACTCTGCAATCAGCTGATTGAGTTATCTCGTGATCGTTTATCTGTTGTTTTAAAATACAAAATCAATGCTCGACAAAAATCTTACCTTGGATCCTCTGCCCTGTAAACCATTCCAGTATTCTTTGATCGAGCTCCGAATACTTCGGCGTGAAGCATTCCATCGTCTTCCGTTTCGCTCACGGAGCGAAGATCTTTTTAAAAAGGTTCGCTCGATCTTTCCTCCAGCGACGGACCGTGGACTCACTGATGCCATATTCTCAGGCGATTTCAGAGTTATTTTCAACAGCTTCTGCTACGGTGACTATTCTAAGTTTAAACGTGAGGTTGTATGACATGCGACGAGCCTTGGGCATGATGACAACTTGACTTGAAATAGCCGGTAATTTAGTGTTAACAACTGAGTTGAAAACGTAAATTAGCCACCGTAAAGGGTAAAAAAGGTGACGTTTCGAGCGTCAGCCCTTCGACTGAGCGATTGGAGGAATTGTAAGTTGTGTTGCGTTTATATGCAGAAAGTGGAGCTACGCCATTGGTGGGAATATGGTGACGAGAAAACAGGAATAAATTAGTTGAATGAAAAGCGCTCGTTGATTCCGTGGGGATTAAGGGTGCCAATTTGGAAGATAAATTTTTGTTCTAGTGTTTTACGGCTTTTCGAACTGCCTAGATGTAAGGAAAGGCCGCAAACTGCTATATACTGTTTAGAATGATTAGGAAAATTAAAGTGTCTAGCGACTGGTTTGGATGCGTCCTTGTCATTTCTTTCCACGTCGCGAAGGTGTTCTCGGAAGCGGTCACCTAGTTTTTTTCAGAACACCTTCGCGACGTGGAAAGGCAGACGGAATCAACGAGCGCTTTTCATTCCTGTTTTCTCGTCACCATATTCCCACCAGTGGCGTAGCTCCACTTCCTGCATAAAAACTCATACACAACCCACAATCGCTCTGACGAAGGGCTAACGCTCGAAACGTCAGCTTTTTTACCCTTTACGGTGGCTAATTTACGTTTTCAACTCAGTTGTTAACACTAAATTACCTACTATACTCTCCCACCGACGCATCACCAAAGTTTTTTTAGAAACTTACCACTTTATTCATTTGACTTGAAATAAACGGTTGCGAACACGAGATTGTTTTATATACACTACAGATGTGTAGGTACTGGAAATGTCGGTTAACAACAAAGTTAGTTTTAAAATTGATATTTTGGATCACACTAGTTCATCTGAGTTATGAGTCGTTGCTTTTCAATTGAAAAGTAAGTTATGAGCAATATTTATTAATTCGCGTGTGTTTTCTGAGAGAAGCTTTTTTTGTCCTTTGCATATTAAATCACCATTGTATCTCTTGTATAACGCGCACGTGTGTTATCGTCTAAGCCTCATTTATGACCGTCAATGTGATTTTTTCCCGAAAATTTTAGGTTTTGCCGTAGTTAACAACTCAGTCTTGTAATAATTAATGGGTCTCGGCCTATAGCCGGGTGTTTTCGATTTATTTTTGGTTCTCGTTATGTCGAGTCTACACGTACAAAGTTTGGGGTCTCGGCTTATCGCCGAATAAATACGGTATATATTTTGCGTTAAAATGTAAGGTTGCAGACAGAAGATAACTTTTTTGATGTGTAGATTTACTTTATAAGTGACTTTAAGACTGAATGTTGATTTAACATCTACCTTTCACGTCAGTCCTAATAGGCCATTGTACAGTTGTGTACTCAGTTGCCAAGCCTTTGATTTCGAGTGAGGCTGAAGGTGACCTTGTTGCGATAGGGACCAGTATCAGGTGAGCATACTAACAAAGTAATTTGTATTTAAAAAGCAACAATGTTTGTATCATATCAAGGTCACCTTAAGCCACACCCCTTTTCAAAGGCTTGGCAATCAAGTATGCAACTGTAAAAATAGACTATTATATACCAATGTTATCAGAAAAATGATTTTTTTGTTTTTTTCACATTTTTAACTTAACATAAAAAAAGATCAACAAAAATAATAGGATTTTGTTGTCTTTAAGACTTCAGTCTCTCAGAGAAGTGGGAGATAAGTCCATGGAGGAAAAAGATCATATTACATGTAGCTATGACCATGGTAATGCAAGTCCAGGTGATCTCAAGAAAGTCAAAGAATTCTTTAATCCAGGAGACATGCATTGGGAGGGGAACACTAATTGCAATCTTGGCAATGCTTATGAAAGTCAGGGTGATTTTAAAAGAGCCATAGAGTACCACAGCCTAAATCTTAAAATAGCTGAAGAAGTAGGAGACAAGCATGGGGAGGGTGTTGCTTATGGCAATCTTGGCATAGCTCATTACAATGTAAGTGATTTCAAAAAAGCCAAAGAGTACCACAAACTACATCTTAAAATAGCTAAAGAAGTAGGAGATAAGCATGGGGAGGGTGGTGCTTATTGCAATCTTGGCAATGTTTATGGCAACCAGGGTGATTTCAAAAAAGCCATAGACTATCACAACCTACATCTTAAAATAGCTAAAGAAGTAGAAGACAAGCATGGGGAGGGTGGTGCCTATGGCAATCTTGGCAATGCTTATCAGAGTCTTGGTGATTTGAAAAAAGCCATAGAATACATTAACCTACAACTTAAAATAGCTAAAGAAGTAGGAGACAAGCGTGGGGAGGGTCTTGCTTATGGCAATCTTGGCACTGCTTATTACAGTCTGGCTGATTACAAAAAAGCCATAAAGTACCACAACCTACATCTTAAAATAGCTAAAGATATAGGAGACAAGCATGGGGAGGGTAACGGTTATGGCAATCTTGGCAGTTCTTATTGCAGACTGGGTGATTTCAAAAAAGCCATGGAGTACTACAATCTACATCTTAAAATAGCTAAAGAAGTAGGGGACAAGCATGGGGAGGGTATTGCTTATGGCAATCTTGGCAGTGCTTATGACAGTCTGGGTGGTTTCAAAAAAGCCATAGAGTACCAAAACCTACATCTTAAAATAGCTAAAGAAGTAGAAGACAGACGTGGGGAGGGTATTAGTTATGGCAATCTTGGCAGTGCTTATTACAGTCTGGGTGATTTCAAAAAAGCCATGGAGTACTGCAATCTACATCTTAAAATAGCTAAAGAAGTAGGAGACAAGTATGGAGAGGGTTGTGCCTATGGCAACCTTGGCAATGTGTACAGAAGTCTGGGAGATTTGATAAACGCCATAGAGTACTACAACCTACATCTTGAAATAGCTCAAGATGTAGGAGACAGACATGGGGAGGGTGGTGCCTATGGAAATCTTGGCAAAGCTTATAGCAGTCTGGGGGATAACAAAAAAGCCATAGAGTACTACAGCCTGCATCTCAAAATAGCTAAAGAAATAGGAGACAAGCAAGGGGAGGGTAACGGTTATGGTAATCTTGGCTTTGCTTATATACGTCAGGGTGATTACAAAAAAGCCATAGAGTACCACAACCTACATCTCAAAATAGCTAAAGACGTAGGAGACAAGCATGGGGAGGGTGGGGCTTATGGCCATCTTGGCGATGCTTATCGGGGTCTTGGTGATTTCAAAAAAGCCATAGAGTACCAGAACCTACATCTTAAAATAGCTCAAGAAATAGGAGACAAGCATGGGGAGGGTGTTGCTTATGGCAATCTTGGCAATACTTATTGGAGGGTGAGTGATTTCAAGAAAGCTATAGAGTACCAGAACCTGTACTTTAAAGTAGTGAAAGAACTAGGAGACAAGCATAGGGAAGGTTACGCCTATGGTAACCTTGGCAATGTTCATTTGAGTCTTGGTGATTTCAAAAAAGCCTTAGACTACCACAACCTACAACTTAAAATAGTTAAAGAGGTAGGAGACAAGCATGGGGAGGGTGTTGCTTATAGCAATCTTGGCAATGCTTATTGCAGTGTGGGTGATTTCAAAAAAGCCATTAAGTACCACAACCTACAGCTTAAAATAGCTAAAGAAATAGGAAGCAAGCATGGGGAGGGTGTTGGTTATGGCAATCTTGGCAATGCTTATCGGAGTCTTGGTGATTTTAAAAAAGCCAAAGACTTCCTCAATCTCAATCTTAAAATAGCTAAAGAAGTAGGAGACAAGCATGGGGAAGGTGTTGCTTATGGCAATCTTGGGAATGTTCATTGGTGTCTGAGTGACTTCAAAACAGCCATAGAGTATTACAACCAACATCTTAAAGTAGCTAAAGAAGTAGAAGACAGACGTGGGGAGGGTGGTGCTTATTGCAATCTTGGCAATGCTTATAGCAGTTTGGGTGATTTCAAAAAAGCCATAGAGTACCTTAACCTAAATCTTAAAATAGCTAAAGAAGTAGGATGCAAGTATGGGGAGGGTATAACTTATGGCAATCTTTGCAATACTTATTACTGTATGGGTGATAACGAAAAAGCCATAAAGTACCAAAACCTACAGCTTAAAATAGCCAAAGAAGTAGGAGACAAGTATCAGGAGGGTGACGCTTATAAAAATATTGGCAAAGTGTATCGGAATCTGGGGGATTTCCAAAAGGCCTTAGAGTACCACAACCTTCATCTTGCAATAGCTAAAGAAGTAGAAGACAAGATTGGGGAGGGTGGTGCTTATGGCAATCTTGGCGATGTGTATGGAAATCTGGGAGATCTGATAAACGCCAACAAGTCATACAACCTAATGCTCGAAATTGCCAAAGAGGCCGAGGACAAATACTTGGAGGCATCGGCGTTCTATTCATTAGGACGCGTTTTTGAGTCATTGGGTCGACTGCCAAAAGCCGTTGAACATTATCAAGCTAGCATAACCTTATACAATTCCTTGAGAGTGCTGCTAAAATCTAAAGATGAGTGGAAAGTTAACTTTCGAAATCAGTATCAAGGTGCGTATACGAGTTTGTGGAGAGTTCTGGTAAAGCAAGGTAATATAAATGAAGCCTTACTTGCTGCTGAGAAAGGACGAGCTCAAGCTCTGACAGACCTCATGGAATCCCGCTTTTGTGATGGAACAATTCAGCACAAGGAAGGCGACGGAGATTTATCAGTTTTAGAAAGTGTTCCATCAAACACTGTCTTTCAGGCAGTGGACAAAAGTGAACTCAATCTTTGGGTTGTATCCGAAGGAAAACAAGTTCAGTTACGACAAAGTAAACTCAATGGCTCTGTTTCAGAGAATAGTGGAGTTAGCCAGTCCTTTGAGTCGCTCATGCTCTGTGTCTATACACAACTTGGTGTTCGTTCTAATGTGAAATGCGAGAATCGATCTTTGGATGCTTTGAGGGAGAGCCATTCAAAAGTGGATGTGATGAATAAAGAAGACAACCCTCAACCTCCCATCCAACAAAATGAATGCTTGAGCACTTTATATGATACCGTTATGAAGCCGGTAGCAGACCTGATTCAAGGGGATGAACTAGTCATTATTCCCGATGGACCCCTGTGGCTCGCTCCTTACGCTGCATTCAAGGATGGTAATTCTAAATACATATGTGAATCGTTCAGAATTCGACTCGCTCCATCGTTAACAAGTCTTAGACTTATTGCCGATTGCCCAGATGATTATCACAAAAGCAGTGGTGCGTTACTTGTTGGAGATCCGTGGGTAACCGAGGTTACTAACAGCAAGGGAGAGAAACTCTTCGAGCAGCTTCCGTTTGCAAAAGAAGAAGTAGAAATAATCGGAAAAATTCTGAATATCGCGCCAATCACTGGCAGAGAGGCCACGAAACGTGAGGTGTTGAAAAGACTCGGCTCTGTTTCTTTAGTTCACTTTGCGGCACACGGATGTATGGAAACTGGCGAAATTGCTCTGACACCTAACCCAGACCGGATATCTACTGTGCCAACCGAGGAGGACTACATTTTAACAATTGGAGATGTGTTGACTGCTCAACTTCGCGCCAAACTTGTTGTGCTTAGTTGCTGCCACAGTGGTCGGGGCGAGATCAAGGCTGAAGGTGTGTATGGCATTGCGCGTGCTTTTATGGGGGCTGGTGCTCGGTCTGTTGTGGTGTCCCTGTGGGCGATTGATGACGAGGCTACTCTCGAGTTCATGAAATGCTTTTATCAACACCTTGCAGAAGGTAAACCTACAAGCGAGTCACTGAACCTGGCCATGAAAAGCCTCAGAGAATCAGACAAGTTCCGCGACATCAAATACTGGGCGCCCTTTTTGCTGATTGGAGATGACGTCACTCTGGACTTCATGGCAAAGGAAAGAAAAATTTGAATTTAAAACCACATAAAGAATTTTTTTTCTTTATCTCAAAAAGAATGAAAAAATGGCAGAGGAACTTGGAAGCTTGAAATGTCCCTCTATTTTGGCAGTTTTTGGCTATTTTTCGTAACTTTTTACTTTTTGTGAAATGGAACTTGAGATGTGTAACTTTACTTTGGTATAGAAATAAAAACAGCTTATTCCATTATATTTTGATCAGTGGAATTGTCTTTTTTCTTACCTGTACAAATTTAAATGCTTTCGAAGAGAACGAAATGTAACAAGGCTTCTGTAATTCAGTTTTATTCCTGTATTACGTTCCAATAACGGCTTACTCCTTGCTCCTATTATTATTACAATAAGTTGTATGGAAAACAATTTAAAGGTCTTTTCTTGTGCATAATCAGAGGCTTGTCCACCGGGTTTTAATTACATTTATACCTTAAGCTTTTGATAAGCAAAGAAACAGTTCTTCATTTGCAAATGTTAGCGAAATTTTTATTTCCAATAATTTTATTTGCAAAATTTGCAGCCATATGTTGATTAAATTTGGATGATTTTTCTACATCATAAATTATTTTTTATAAATTGAGATCATCTTTACTAATTGATTATTATTTTTTTATCCATTTTAATGCAATCTAATTCTATCAGTGCCAAGATTGCCACTAAAAGCCTAATTTGAAGAAGTAAACATCAGAGATGATGTTATTGAATTTACTGGCCATATGTTAGAGACATTAGAGCTTCTTTGGGGTGCAGCCAGCCTCTAGTCCAGTAGGCCCGCGCTACCATTGTTTCCCGCCCGCTTGACTTTTCTAATATTACTTTTTCCAATTTTAAAAACAAAAAATTGGAATTTTTCAGGGAAAAGGCCTACAACAAGTCAATAAGCTGGCTACAACCCTGTTTTTAATCAAACGATTTCGCTCAATTTTCGTCCGTTTTATCAAACACTTATCTGTTCGTTTTAGAGAACCACGACAGAGAGGTTAAATGTAATCTAAACAAAGAACAGCGAAGCAGAGTTCACTGTGACTGAAGTTTCCATCGCTGTAACTTTTAATGTATGTAACATGGAATTTGTTGTTTTTAGTGGGAAATTTTTACGCCCATAACTTAGAGAAGCAATTAAAGCAAGCCATGTAGTTCCCAATGGGATTTATTTTAATGAAAAAGTTCATGAATAATTATAAATCTAGCCCGTAGTAAAAAGGTTCAGGGCTTCAGGATAAAACTTTCAATTTTTGAAAATTCCCTGTTTAATTTTTTTTTCATTGCTTTTAATTTACCTTAGTATAATTTGAAGATGTTTGTTAATCCTTTGACCCTAAGAGTGACTAGCATAAAATATCTCCTCACAATATCATCCCTGAATAACACGTTAAGGTCATGAGAATAAATGATCACCAGTGAAAGAAGCTTTTGATTGGTGAACAAATTCTCCTTGTCAGTACCTCAGGAAATGTATGAAGATCAGGATGGAGAATATGCATACTGATTTTAGGGTGTAAAGGGTTAATATCTTTCTTAGATGTAAGAATTTATACTTAGGTATTTAGAGCAAGCTTTGTAATTAGAACTCGTTATGTGGACAAAAGTTTAAGATATACTGTATCACAGCTGTTTTAGAAGAAAGTTTTGTAAAATTAGTCTTGATTTTGCAGATTTTCGTAACTACCATTGGTAGATGGTGCTGTAAAATGTAATAGCTAACCTCGCACATGAATTGAATATTATGTAACGTAGGATTTTAAAAACAAGTTGAAACAGTTTTAACTAAATAGGCATTGTATGAATGGACAAATATACAGTGTATAAAATACAAAAACTGCGTTAATTTTCATTGTCTTTCTCCATATTAAGGATTCACGTGAGATGCAGAGAACAGAACCTGTGGGGACTTCAATGCTTGTTATGACCCGCGCACGCCAAGTTGCTTATCTATGCAGCTGACAGTGTACTAGCATTTCAGTTTCAAGCCCCCGCCCGCTTCAAAAATGCGCGTTGTCTTTTCAATTGTGTCTCTTCCACTGTCTATCATTCTCTGTATTGTTACACGGTTTTGAACGGTTTTTGGACGTGTCCATACATTTATATGTCTGCGCTTTTTTGCCTTTTTTCCTCACACAAGTTTTTACGCCTTTTCACATTTGCGCATCCCTTTTTTCTGCTTCCTTTTGTTCCTCCTTTTTATTTTCATTACAGTTTTCCTTTATCCCATCTTTCCGCGCACTTGTTTCATCGCCCTCAACTTTATTCTTCTGCGCGCTTCATTTGATGCGACTATCTCCTTGCCTGTTTCAGTTTTCGTCTCAATCCTCACGCAACGTCAGGCTTCTTACAACTTATATACCTCCTTACTCCCCCAGAATAGTTGTTATCATGCTTATTTTGACCACCTTAGGATGGTGTCCTCTTAACGTCATCTCTAGTACAATCTCAGCTTTCCTTTCGGCTGACTTCCAGTAGACAGGGTCTCTCACTTTTAAGTCTCGCGTACTAGTGTTTGCCCTCCTCAGTCCTCCCATTACAGTAGCAGTTAAAAAGCGAAAGAGCTCCCTCCAAATCTCGGCGAGATAGCCTGAGCGCATTTTATTGGAAACGAGACCTTCAATGTCCAAATTAAGGCTTCTTCTAGCATCTGATTGGGAATGGGTCAATTTCTAGCCCAGGGCCGGGGCGGGCGGGGGAAGTGAGAGGCGAAACGGTCGGAATATACTGATGTCAGTTATTTGCCATTGAGCGAAATGGGTCAAATGACAATGCTGCACCTAAACTAAGGAAGTTTTTTTCTATTAAAATCCCTATTTGAGAATGTGTTTTGAATCAGATGACTATCAATTCATTCGTTTTCCGTTTGACCGTCTCGACGACGATAGCCTCTGCCTCTGCAATCTCTGAGAAAAACAGCAACTTGCAGTGAAATTGACCGATGACTTCTCGGCGAAAATGATCGTGCCTCGTGATACAGATGATTCTTCGTCTACAGTTAGCTTTTGGTTTGCCAAGAGAATTACACTACAGCGACGAAACTCTAGAGCACTGACCAAGGGGAACATTCGCCGCATTTAGTGCGTAGGAATAAAATGTCATGGCAACAGAAACGAACTCAGCTACCCAATCTTAAAATATATTTCGTCATAAAAAACAAAACACAAAAGCAACAAACTAAAAATTCAGAAACGGTAGTTTATGTTCTAATCTTGACCTGAACGCCAAAGGCGAGAAACCGTCTTTGTCAGTCTTCGTCGAAATCTTCGTTTGATGCACGCGGTTCTCCTTCGTAGGGCTGAACCGAACTCGCAACTTCCATTCCTTGTTACTACTTGAGTAGGATGTACCACAACTCTCAGTGGAGCTTACTGAAGCTAGGTATACAACGCTGTCGGACATTATTATAAAAGAATTTCAATGCTGACTGATACAAAATTACAAGAGATGTGAGAGATCTGTTAGTGTCAACTGAGAGTTTTTCGAAGTTTTCTACGTCATCACCCGCTAATTCGTTACCAGTCAACGGGACAATTTTAAGACAAAATAAGGGCGCTTCAGGGGCCGAAAAAACCGAGTTTAAGTTTTTTTCCATCGGAACTGGTTTGTACATATGAAAATCTAAATATTTACGCGAAAGAAAATTTCGTGTCATATGCACTTTAATAGAAGCGTCCGCTGAATTGGAGTTCGTTACAAAGGGAAATATGAGACTTTAATTTAGGGACCCGGCTTAGTCTTCGCTTAAAAGAGGGTTTCCAATAAATTGGGGGGCCCGCTTAATAGAAGTTTCATTGTATTTCATGTGGCAGATCACGACTAACGTTGGGTCATAACTTCACGCATCACATATTAACTTTAGTCTGATCACGCGTCACCGTGATAAACCCTCAGCTACCCTCAAATGACAGTATTAACAGCCGAGAAAAGTCCGGCCTGCGTAGACACATGGTTTAAAAGCCGCATAACATTGACATACATAACTAACTAACATTAAGACTGCTGCTTAGTCCTTCTGTCCGCTTCGCTGCAATAGTCTGGTGATCCTTCATTACAATCGCACCACATCTGCCAAACCTCCTAAGTCTTTCAATTCATCATGACGCTAAAGTTATCAGCCAAAGCGACGCAGATAGAAGTTTCATGAAGGCGGGGTGGGAAAGAATTTCAGGCGAGGGAATTGGGACCCAGAAAAGAGTTCAAAAGGAGAGGTTCCTCTGTAAAGGGAAAACATGAGGAAAGGTAAACTTAATGTACAAAAGGTACAGTGAGAGTTTCGCCCTCTAGTGTGTTGCTTTTGGCATCGTTTCGCGCTAGATTGGAGTATTTGCTGCAAAAACATGGGCTGTGGCCTCGTGCAGCCATTGTCTCCGTGCATACGGGTTCAAAAACCATATGTAGGGCTACTGCGGAGAGAGCCTGGGTCTATCATTGTTGCACTGACTAAGAAATCCCGGTGATAAGGTGTAGGGGCAATACATAAACATCTATTTTGCGTGAAAATATGCATAGATATTTGTCTGCGGACATTATCTGCTCCAAGATGTGAACAGTTCACCGGGAGCGAAGCTAAAAGGAAACTGAAAGCTTCGAGGAAGAGATATTGTCCAAGGAAAAATACATTAGCATATTTTTAGCGCCAGATAGAGGCTACTGTGTTTATTATCCCTCAAATGTCTTGTAACGCGCGTGAAAACATGTTTACGAATAGCTCACCGCTTGCAGCGTGGGATGTCTTCTCTGAGAGTTTTTTTTTAACGACTTTATGAACAAACAAAAATTTTCCTTTGTCTGTAACAACCATACAACGCTTTCTCATCTTAATCTAAATTTTGTTGTAATCGACGTAAGGTTTGAAAGTTGGAGAGCATCACGTAGGTGATTTTCTCGGATATTACCCAGTTTCAGCTGAGGGATAATCGGTCTAGTTATGCATTTAGACCAATCGCCGCGTGCAAGCCAAAATGTTCGATGGATCTTGAGCCACAATATAAAGTTGACAGTTTGATGCGTGGAGACAAATTTCTCTCCTGTAAAGTAATTATCGAATTTTTCGAAGAGCTAGTTTTTAGGTAATATTTAAAGGAATTCTTCTATCATTTCTCTTCGTCTCAACTCTGTTCCCAGTTCGTTAAGATTCCGTTGCAGCATGCGCATCTCAACAGGGTACGTGTACACGGCTTACGTTAGCACATCGTAAGAACAGTTTTTTTTATTATACCCCCTTGTGAGACCTTGTTACACGCATGCTCGGTACACGGCTCGACGTAGTTCACGCCAAAAGAAAATGAACATTAAAAAAAAGGTAATCTGAACAAAATAAGAAACGACCATTCAGAGACAAGTTCATTTCGATGTAATCTACACTAGGCTACAAATGTACTTTTCGTAACACAAAACATTTAGTGACGTCTCATACAACTTGCATCGTGTAGGAAACATTTTTCATTTTTACCGAGGTTTTTCTTAGCAAAAGCTTTACCTTAAGTTACCGCGAAATACAGGGCTTTTTTTTCTATACTCTACGTATCACTATAAATTATCGATAAAAAATTGTTAACTATTAAGAACCGCAATGTACTGTTCCATCAGTTACATTGTATATCAAAGTAAACTTGATGTTTTAAACTACAAATATAGAATCGCAACAATGTCCTTGCGACAGGTTAGAAAATTTTAAATCGCAGCTGATTAACTCAATACAACTCCGCTAACGCAAAACTGATAACCGCTAATAAATCGTGTAGGAAACATTTTTCATTTTTATCGATGCTTTTCTTAGCAAGAGCTTTACCCTGAGTTACTGCAGGATTTTTTTTTCCACATTCTACGTAATACCATGAATTATCGTTAAAAATTATGAACTAAAGAAAAAAAACAGTTTACTGCTTCATCAGATATATTGTATATCAAAGTAAACTTGATATAATGTTATAAACTACAAATATAGAATATATACTTAATTCGCATGTACTCTCCTGTAATACATCAGGTCATGAACAACGAGGCGTAACAGGTACAGTCACATGTCAGTCTATGGATGCTGATCAATAATTAATCAGCTGCAACACACAGTCATAGAGAAACTTCATCTGGTAATTTTTGAGAAGGTAAATGATAACAAGCAGGAAAAAAAAACAAAGAAGTCAAAAATTAACGAGTAATGGGCGAAAATGTTGAAAAAATTTCGGCCACAGCCTATTTTTACTACGGCTTAGTTTCTTTACCTAAAACTTCTACATGAATAAACTCTCTTTATTCAAGAAGAGGAGGATACCAGTCTAAGGTGCGCTTCGAAAGAAAAGATGAATCATCTCTCCTTCAATCGTACGCTGAGCACCTTCCATTTTGGCCTTCCTCATGTTTCCACCGCAACACCCGCCTAAGTACAAGTACAAGAGCCTCCAAGGAGCAGAGAATAAACAAAATAACGATAGAGTGCATACTATAGTGTTTTAAAGAAAGGAGTAGAGATCACTGTTGTTTGTAAGATCTTCTCAGCAAAAACAAGAAGGAAAGTACACGGAAGCCAACCATTAAAGCTATGAGACAGTACACGTCGAACAGCAAATTGTCCTAAAAGTAAAAAAAATATAAGAAAAAAAAAGTTATCGAACTCTTGCTTCAACAAAATAACAAGCTGGCAAGGCAACGCAATGATTTTATTTTTGACCTAAGAAGAGGGTTAATGTAATGCGGCAGTTTCGGTGCCTGCACAGTAAGAAATGGTAAGAAATACAGGAATATGGCAACATTTAACGTGGTCTATTTTGATATGGCGTACAGAAGAAAATCCGGGCTTCAAAATGGTTGATCTTTGTTTTCAAGTTTTCGTGCAGTATATCTTCTTGACATTTTTATCTGTTTACAAGAAATTTGTTCCACCAATAGAAGTCTTCCAAATTAGTTTTCTACGAGGTCACCTATTCTTTACGTACCTCTTTAAAGCCCAGGAAGTCGATGGCTTGGTTTCCGTTCTTTATACAAAACCCTTTTTCTCCCGGAACTGCACCGGTACCGTTAACAACTGGCGGTGTAGCTGTAGCATTTGTACCACAACCTAGGAGCAAAACACGGTTTCGTCAACGGTATAAAACGCTTTCAGGACACGTTACATTCTTGTTTGGCTGAGCGTTTTGGAGACAGAAGCTTACTGGAGATTCCAGAGAAACAATAAACAATACCAAACATACTTAGAGAATCCAAGTCTTTCCACTGGTTGATGAACAGGGCTTCAAAAGAAACAATAAACAACACAAAACATACTGATAGAACCATAGTCTTTCCACTGGTTGATAATGAGAGCTTCAAAGCCATACATAAACCAAGAAATGTACTTCAGCCACACAAAATAAACCGGCACCGATCTGAAACAAAAAAACAAGAAGTGAGTGAATGGGGGTCCAGTTTTTTAATTCATCAACGAAAATGCAGACTGCCGGTGAAGTTTACACTGGGTGACTTTGTGTTAGCGGTATCATATCGGAGCCCACTTTAGTTGTCCTTATCAAAACAGCAGAATTGATATCTTCTCCCTCCTTAGCCATAATCGTTCCGACTTGGTTTACTTCCACTTCTCACGAGATCATGAACACATTGATATTCTGTAGACAGTTACGCGGTTTTTTTTGTCCATCTCACAGAACAAAATTTGATCTTTGATAAGTTTCTTCCAAGTTAACGGTGCCTTTTTTCGCAGATCACAAAATCACACACATAAAACGACAAAAAAAACCAAACAAAAAAAACCAAAAAAAAACCCAACAATAACAGGAAAATCTCTCAAAAAATGTAGAAAACAAATTTAGAAAGAGAGCTCCTACAAAGCCCAATGACCTTATTGAGGGAAAGAAGCACCAAAATATATATTCATGAGTGATCACATGTTGGTGCTTCTTTAACCATTGCTGCACTCCCAAGGTTAGAAGCTGCTCCATCGTTCGTTACCATTTCACCAGGTCTCCCAAACAGTCCCCTGCATGCTACCCATTTTTACTCGAGTGGAAAGGCCCCGTGCATTTTGCACACGAACCGAACACAGTGATCCATCTAAGGCTCGAACCCAGACTTCTCGAGTTCAGCACGCCAACACTAGGCCACCGCGTCTCACACAACAAATGTTTACAGTGTAGATGTATTCAAGGTACGTAATAATGAAGACAAGGGAGACAACTTACGTCGACTTGAGAAAGAATCCTCCGAAAATCAATAAAGGTAACATAAGTGGAGGACCCAAAGATGTTGCTGCAGTGATGGTTGGTGCTATTGTCGATATGATGTACCCTGAAAAATATTTGTGATTGTCAGCAATAGTGGACACACTGTTGGCCCGTTGGTTCTACGGTGTGATTGTTCGTTAGGTCGATGATTTGATCATTCATGGTTCGTGCATTGGTTGGATTGTTTGGTTGATGGTTGTTCGTTCGAAGTTTTCGTGCTTTGTGGGTGCAACACTGTTGCTCAGTTCTCTTGATCATTTCTTCGGAAGTTGAATAGTACTTCCAACTAACTCGTTGGCTCATTCGATTAACCTTTCGATTGGCCGCCGTTACTATACGTTCGTTCTCTCGTTCAAATTTGTTCGTTCGGATTCGTTCGTTGGGAGCGTTCGTTGAACAACATCGTTCGCAACATTGTTGGATTGAACCATACGTAAACATGAAAGCTTGTTGACGTGATCAAGGTACACAACACTTACCAAAGGAGACCGCCACATTTGTTACCAAAACCATAATTGCGTAACAGATTACGAAATTTAAAAATCTATCCCTCAAACCTGCCAAAAAAGAATAGTAGAACTTAATAGTCTCTTTGGATTAAAAAGCAACACTACTCTAACTACTCTTACGAGAAAAATGTGCTAATAGTTCAACGAAAATTCACCACACTGTCAACCTCCACGCCGTGTTTCACTTTAAGTGAAAAAAAAGGGTTACAAAGGGGAGGTCACGGGCACTCCCAGACCTCCTCTCCCCTCCCTAGCTGCACACTTGATGTATAAAATAATCAAGGAGTAAAACACGTCTCTTTTAAAAATATTTCTTACCAATCATCCAATACGAAATACCGGTCAGAAGCAAAGGAGTAATGATAAAAATGGGCACCTACGAAAAAAAATTGATCACATGTTTAAAATTCCACCAATTCATTCGCGTATCATTGACCCTTTGGTCTAAGAAATGAATAAAGGGCGTAAGCTTCTAAAGGAACTGTGGTACTGCTAGATACTTTAATTTCCCTAATCATTCTAAGCAGCATAAGGCAGTCTGCGGCCTTTCCTTACATCTAGGCAGTTCGGGAAGCCGCAAAACTGTAGAACGAAAATTTTTTTCCTCAAAACGGCACTCTTGATTACCACGGTATCAACAAACGCTATTCATTCAACTAATTTATTCTTGTTTTTCTCGTTACCGTGTTCCCACCGATAGCGTAGCTCCGTTTTCTGCATATAAACACACACATAGCCCACAATTCCTCCATTAGCTCTGACGAAGGGTCAACGCACGAAACGTCCGCTTTGAAATTCTTTACGGTGGCTAATTTACATTATCAACTCAGTTGATAAAACCAGATTACCTCTTACATAAGACCCTGGAACTTGCCGAGAAATCTATCACTACTTAATGTAATGGTCAGCCCGAATTAGAAATCTCGCATTTTATTTATTCACAAGTTGATTAGTGACTTAGTCGTGAGAAAAACGATGACACTCCTCTTTCGAACTTATTATCGTTGCTGCTAACAGTTTTGCTGCTTTTACGTTCCATGGATTAGCTCCTTTCGGCATAATAACATTCCAGAAGAATACTTGGCGATCAGTGTTGAGTGATTTTGATGGTAACTACAAATCAAATCAATTCCACATCACGGTACCTCGGACAAAGTCTTCGCGAGATAGTAGACGTCTGTTCTGTACATTCCATTTTTGTGTTCTCGTATAAAAACAGGTAGTTCAACTGGAAACACCTGTAAAGAAATCAAGTATTACTTCAATACTTGTGCAGTAGTTCAAATTTTTCAGTTTTCCCCTGAAATATATCCGAAATGATGAGGACACAAAACACACTTGAAATTCGTAGAGTAAACCTACACGTTTTCTGAAATACGATTAACCCTCTGACCTTTAGGAGTGACTAGCATCTAATTTCTCTTAACAATGTTACCACTGAATCAAACATTAAGGTCACGAGAATACCGGAAATGATCACCAACAAAGGAAGCTTTTGATTGTTAAACAAATCCCCTCTATCGTCTTAAGGAACGTGTAGAGATCAGAAAGGAGAATATGCACGCTGATCGTCAGGTGTAAAGGGTAAATTTCTTGGATCATTTCTCGCTTTTTTCTTACAGCTATGCTTATTGATCAATTTCGAGGGTAGGAAAAGGAGAGAAACATCTGCACTTTAGTGTTGATATACTTACAAAGAGGACTCCCTGAAGATTGGAAAACGAAGTAGATGTAACTAGAAAGAAATATACGCCAGCAATGTTCTGAATACCATCTTGATCATAAGGTATTTGAAGATAGATTAATCCAGCGATCAGCGCAGTAACCTACGTAAAGTTAACAGAGAGAGAGATTAAGATCAATGAACAGAGATACGCTATATTTTGCGACTTGTTTAGAAGTTGTTTACATTAAAAAGGTAAGAAAAACAGACCGAAATTGCTCGCGCATGAGAAGTACAACATTTTTAATGAACAAGATACACTGTGATTTGTCATTACATGATACGATGTCTCGAATTTACATTTCTAAAATAAAAGGAAAAACGATGTCTCGAATTTACATTATCTATGACGACGAAGAACGTAATTAGCGACAATCAGTGGCAAAAGGGCTAAGACTGTAAAAATGTTCCTTAATGCTGTGAAGGTGTTTGCCTCTCCCTCTCCTCCCTCCCAAACCCAATACAATGGCGAACATTTCGCAGCTGAATTTCGGAGGGTGCGAAGGAAGGAAGAGGGGGGGGGGGGAAGAAGGGAAGTAGGGGTTCCGAACTCCTTTCAGGAGTGGTCTTTTAATCAGTATTTTAGGCACTTTGCCACTGATTTTAAGCCATTGTCTGGGTCTACAATAGTAACATACGTTTGACTAAATTATGGAAACAACTCACAATTGATTGAAATATTCTAATTCTGAAAATGATAATGTCTCTACTGTTGGTAATCCAAGAGCGCCACAAGACGGCCCAAAGTTGTCGACACCAGGAAACTTTGTATCTACGAAAAATAGAATTACAAAAGTGTAACCTTTTAACAATATTATGCAAAAAAGGCGACACAGAATGCAAGTTATCTGAAAAGAAAAACAGAGTTCAAATTCACTCGCCTTTTCCAAAAGACCCTAGTAAAAGTAATGAAAATTCTGGGCGATTTTTCTACCATTCTTTTCAGCCGGATTAGAACAAAATGTACACATATAAATTTCTCAAGCAGACGCGTGACAGACACGACCTGGTTCATGACACACTAACAACAGTACGAACTCGCGTAGTATTAGTACAAGGATAAGTATAAATTCTTACGGTGATTGCTTCTTGAAAAGAACATCTCCTTTGAAGGAATCCTGAAATATAAGAAAAGCGCTAAAGTAATGAGAGAGCACCAAACCTGGCTACGGACGGTAAGAGAAGGAAGAGACGAATTCGGATGGCACATGAAGATCTCAAAAGGTTTGGGCTCCAGTCGCTTAATACTCTGCGTCCTCATTTCCCTCTGTAAAATCAGCTAGGGAAGGTATATGTTTGTCACTAATGGAAGTTAAAAGATTATTGGCACTTCGTAGCATAGTCCAGTTAGTCCTAACATTACATGCACAGTTACTGTTACTATTCTTTCACGCATTTGAAGGAGAGTATTGGAGGTAGCCACGTCACCAGGACTTCTCTTCTTTCTGCCTCACCCACCTCCTCCCCCCCCCCCTCCCTCTGGAAATGAGGCGTGACTGTAATGGAGCAAGGTGAGGGTGAGGGTGAGGGTGAGGGGAGGGGGAGGGGAGAGTTGGGTTTCACCATTCACATCGTCAAGAAAGTGAAGAGTGCATGTTAACATCTCATAGAAAAGATAGTTAGCAGCCATAGAGAGCTTAAAAATTTAGTCATAATTCTGCTTTTGACACACATCACACCGTATGAACAAGAAATTCTGAGCCGGGGCTTTAAAGATCATTTTAAACTGCCACAAACCTGTCTGTCAAGCCCACTTTCTTCTTTGGCAATTTCTGCTGCACGTTCACTGTATGCATCACAGATTTCCTAGATAGGAAAAGAAAATCACATTGATTTCTGACAAAAGCCTTAAGTTATATGGCAAAAAGAAATTTTCACAACAAATCACAGATTAAGGTTTGATTTCCATACGAGATTGAATGACCTGATTATCCCGGCATCATTTGTTTAAAGCAACTTTGAGTATCAGTCCTCCATCTGGTTTGAATTCTAGACCATATTGCAGTTAGCCCCCTCCACCTGCAACTTTTCGAGGTTTTCCTGAGAATTTACTGGTACCCACCTTGCCAAAGAACACTCCTTGCACATGAAGTGACCTGATTGAGGATTAGAACTTAGACTTTCCAAACTGAAGGTGGGTCCTTTGAGCTAACAACTATGCCACTATCGTGTCTACACTCAAGCCAGGCACCCTTGACCCTTTGAACTCTGAAAGTGATTGGCATCTAATTTCTCCTTACAATATCACCCCTGGGTCACACATTAAGGTCATGAGAATAAAGGAAATGATCACCAACCAGAGAAGATCTTAAATGTATGGAAAACATTGTGGAGAATATGCATATCGATGTTGTGGTGTACAGGGTTAATGAGGCACAGAGCTAATACTAGTCTCCACAACTAGGAGGGACTTGAAGTATTTAACATGTAGCTAAGCGAGTATGCCTTGATGGGAGGCCAGTCCATTACAGGTTACCCCTTGTATTTCAAATGGTCTACCTAACAATTTGTCAGAATCCATTTAGACTACTGAGTTGGAAGGGGCAGTTTGAGTATGTACAATGTCTTGCCTAATAACACATCACAATGACCTGGCCCTGTTTCACATCCAGACCTCCCCACCTGGAGTCCACCAGACTAAATAACCCCTTAGAGTGACTGGCATCTAATTTCTCCTTACAGTATCAGCACTGAATCGCACATCAATGTCATGAGAATAAGGGAAATGATCACCAAATAAAGAAACTCTTGATTGTTAGACAAATTCTCCTTGTCAGCACCTTTGTAAATGTACAGAGAACAGTATGGAGAATATGCATACTGATGTTAGGGTGTAGAGGGTTAAGCCACCATGTCTGCCACCATCCAATCAACCCAATATTAGAAAAGCATTCATTTTATATGACCCCTGAATTTCTACTGTTCCCCTAACAACCATTTCTTGCTAACTACACTTTACCTTAACTCTTTCCTTGCAGCGCTCTTCATCTCCTGGCACAATAGCCAAAGTGTGGACAAAGTAATCTGCAGGGTTGAAGTTCATGGGACAGGGATACCCAAGGCTGCAAGAGAGACAAAAGAATGCTACATAAGGCTGAACATAATTTACATAAGGTTAAACTGAATGCAAGAGTAACAGTTCAATCATCAACCAGATGTGGAAGGCTTCTGGGTGGTGTACATGCACAGGGGCATTACCATGTGTTTTTTCTCAGTTGCTTTGCTGCTTTCCATGCTTTTATTCTCTTCCTCCCCCTCACACCCCCCGTTTTGGCAAGTATCCATTCCACAAATTGGTTTGTCAGTGTTATATTGGAAAATGCTTGGAGGTGAGCAGTACCAGCTTAGTTGCAGCACCTACCCTCCCATTCAATAGGATATCAGAGTCATTCATTAACATACCCACTGAAGTAAGGTATTGCATCAGCTGTGGAACCCATGTAAGCTACTCTACCTTCAGCCATCAGCAAAATGCTAAAAAAAATGAACAGTTAAACAATGATAAATTGAAGCAGAACACTTAAGGATACCTCTGATGTCAATGCTGGTAAAGGTCACAAATTCTCAGCATATTTTATAAGCACTCATTGTAACTGCTTCTGTTGAAGCTAAGTCTTACAACTTCCGAGAAAAACTGCAAAATATTTTCTGGTTAGGTTGACACCCCTGTGATTAGTTCTTTATAGACAGAAAATTATAGTTAGCCTTTCAGTTCAAGATAAGACCTCGTGTGATCAAGATTGTTTTTGAATAGAAGACAAGTTAGACTGTAACCCTTGATAAAGTAATCAAGACCTGTGAACTTTGGTAAGCAGTAAGTTGTTCAGTGATTATGTTATCTAGCTTGTAGTCATTACTCAAAGTAAAATTTATCACTTGTGTTTTAACCTTTCCTTTGGTTCTTTTAATTGCTGCATGCTCATTTCCAAAATCAAGATTATTTTTAAGCTATGATCACGATACTTGGGTGATTTCTTTATGTAATAATTTCAGTTGACTGCTTCAATATAATAACGCCCCAAGGAATAGGAAAAGGAATAAAGAAAGAAAAGATCTTATTGGTTTGGTGTTTATTGCATGCCCATGTATCAACCTGGGAAACGAATTTGCAACTCTAGCTTGAAAAGAAACATTTACACTCACACTACTGTATTTGCTTTGAAATGCTACCACTTTGAGCTTCAAAACCCTTCCAAATCTCAAGTCTCTCCACAGTTCTTTTTAGACCTTGACCTCTCTTCATCAAATGTTTTAATAAAAGGTGATAAATGAAACATTATCAGGTTGTCAAACATTAAAAGGAGAGTATCAGAGTCAGTTGAATTTAAAATAACTGAAATATGTCTCCACCCAAAAACAATGCACAAGTGATCCAAAATGCCTTAATACATGGTTTCTCCAAGACTGACATTAATTTACAGAAGTGCATTTCTCTATGTGAGATTGTGATCAATGTCAGTATCTGAGCAACTGCCCACCTAACCCTCCCCTAGCCCAATATTAACCCCAACTTGTCATCAGCTGACTATTGTTTGATTAGGGGATGGGTAGGTGCAGTTTCTCAGATACTGAGTCAGGCATTAATTCTGAGATTGCAATCCCTTGTGGTCAAAATGCAATCATTTTATTGTCAGAGTAGTTGCTACATGTGGCCTACCCTGAGAAACAATCAAAACTATACCTGTCAAACATAGCATACACTTCAGAAGATGGCTGATGAATTGTGCACATGATAGTTCGACCACTGGCTGCAAGACGTTGAAGTGATGTTATTAAACTCTGCGCCATGAATGCATCTAGGCCAGATGTTGGTTCATCAGCAAAAAGTAGTGGAGGGTTTGTCAACACCTTGGAAGAAAAAAGAAATGAAGGTGAAGCCAGTATACAATGGGCACTCTGATGTGCAATAACTAAAAGCTTAGCCAAGTTATTTCTAAAGAATGAAGCAACTAGGATTAGATCATTTTTACTTGACTGACCACTGGTATTGGTGGTGGTCATTTCTAAAGGGCCCCCAGCATTTCATCTGGTTTATAATCCCTTACAGTTTCTTGGTACCCAATTTGCCCAATATGGTGGACTCACTTTGTTCTGAGTCTACTTCCCACAATGAAAACACTGAGTATAGTTAAATGCACAAACCTGTGATCTATCTATCTGTAGTTTATAGCATGCATGTTATTACCAAACTAATCAGTTGGAGGGTATGATAATGACATAAGACTTCATATTCTCTGCTATTCCCTTGTCTATCCTTGCAGAAGAAATTTAAATGAAATATGAACTAAATCTTGGGACTTGAAGTGTTTAAATTTCCCTTCTTGAAATTCACAATAAGGCCAAAAGTTAATTAGCAACCCAAACCAATAGCCAAAAGGACACTTGGAAACTGAAATCCTCTGGTAACTTTATGCCAAAAGATGCATTCAAGGACATGTATTCACCATTAATCACCATACCCACCTCTGATGCAAATGCTAAGCGTTTCTTCTCTCCACCAGAAATTCCACGCAGTCTTCCTGGAATACCAATGACTGTGTCTGCACACTTTTTCAAACCAAGCTAGTTGATAGAACAAAGGAGATTTACAAATCAAAATAATGCCATGGTACTCTACTATTCCATTTAGCCATTTAAAAAGAAACCCTTGCACAAAGCAGAAGACATAAATTAAATCATTTCAATGCAGTTACCTCAAGCATGACTTCCTCTACACGCTCCTCTCGTTTTGCCTTGGATGTGTGTTTATCCATACGAAGAAGAGCCTATTTTCAAACAACAATTGAATTCATTGAATTGATTAAAATCAATCTTTGTCTAAAACAAAAACACTTTAAACCCTAATATCAGTATGCACATGCTCTATACTGTTCTCAATACATTTCCTAAATAAGGTGTCATGCTGGCAAAAAGAATTTCGTAAATATTCAAGAACTTCTTTAGTGGGTGATCATTTCAATCAGTTCAACACTTCAACATCCTGAGAGGTGGGGAATTTGAAACTTGCCTGGGTAAGGGTGTGAATTTGAGCCCTCTTTGTAATCCCAATTTTGGATTATATGATTTACTGGCCATGGAAAAAAAGCTAATATTAAATAAAACAAACATTTTAGATGCCTAATTTATTTGTCCTTAGCAAAAATATTTCCACCATTTACACCAAACTTTTGCTTCAATCTTACAATCACAAACACAGCATGTAGCATACATAAGTTGTACATATATTTATATATTAATGACTCAAACAAACATGAATCAGCTTCAAACAATATGTCATAATTAATCACAAGTAAAAATAGCAAAACCATGTGACATTACATCATAAATAAATAGGAAAAAACTATATAATTTACAGTATATATGGGTGACACACAACAGATTGATGGCATGTGACACGTTTATGACAAATAATAAACAGAATAGAATTGATTTAATTAACTATTTTAGGATGGTATATTCATCTAACAAGTTTATGACAAATAATCAAAAACAGAATAGTTCGAAATTGGTTTAATTAACTGTTTTTGGAAGGATACTTCATTTATGGACCATAATCAGAGCAGAAAAAGCCTGTTCCATAACTTACAGTATTCCACCACACAGCCCACTAAATTCAAAAGTTTGTCAAAGCCTTATTTTTGCAGTTCGAAATGTATGTTACAGAACCTGTTTCTTGTTTGCTTGAGTTTAAGGCCAGTGCATGTCATGCATGGACCATAATCAGAGCAGAAAAAGCCTGTTCCATAACTTACAGTATGGGACTTCAAACTTAGTTTGTAAGAGACGTTTTTACTTGGACAACACCAAAACAAGCACAGAAAATACCTGGAATATCAGATGTTCTCTAACTGTCAGTGATCCAATAAATAAGTCTTCCTGTTGGATATACGCTGACAAGGCATTGATTTCGAGACCAACAGGGTGCCCATTCACTTCCACTGTTCCCATCACCTGCACCTGACCAATGTTGCGATGTGCTAACACATTCATTAAGGTGGATTTACCAGCTCCACTTTAGAGGGGGAAGGAAAAGAGTTTGTATTCAGTGAACAGTCTTATCATTCAATAAATTATTTTTTCTTAGCATTTTGGTTCCTAAAGTGCCCAGAGAACAATGAGCAAAACAAGAGTCATAATGAACAAAAACAAGAAAAACCAGCAATTAAATTTGCAACTCGAGACATCTTCGACTCCTCTCCACTCCTGGCCTTTAACACAACTCCTAATCAACCAAAGGAAACCAAATGATTCCCATGTAAATGATGATTTTCTATCAGTTCACCAGCATGATAACCCAACTCAAAAAGTTTATAAATCAATCTGCATGGGTTATTATGCTGTTACACTGACAAAATATGACTCGATAATAAATCATCGGCTTAACCCTTTAACTCCCGTGAGTGACCGAGACAGAATTTCTCCTTACAATATCAATACAATACCAACCAGATAAGTGATGAAAATAAAGAAAAGCATCAATTTGGGGATAATTACTTGATCCAATACTTAATTCTTTGAACTAACATTATAAGAATTGTATGGTTGACAGTAAGGGGAATTACAAATTTGATCTGGGAGTTAAAGGGCTAAGATAACAAAATCTCATGAATTGATTGTTACCTTGATCCCATAACAGCCAACAGCGTCCCAGCCTCAATTTTCCCATTGACTATTAAAAGACAAACACACCACACTTTGTACATCTATGCTCAGGAATGAATTGAAACTTTACCATACAGTGAAAACTAGCTGGATAAAGTGGAACCCAATTTAGGAGGGGAGCTAGGAGACTTGTCAGGATAGAAATTTCTCCTTCATCTTTTCCTCTTAATGAACTTGTATGTAGTCAGTAGATTCATCATAATTGAAGGGAATGTAGACAAAAAAATGAACAATTTCAATTTGTTTCACAAATTCTTACTAAGCAGACAACTTAATCAGACATCTTAATCAGACATCTTAATCAGACATTTGCATTTCAATTTTTATCTATAAACAATGTGAGCTCACAAAGTTTACTTTTAAAAAGTTTAACTTTATTCCAGAATTACAGGTTTATCTGTCAAACAAACAGGGTTTGATTTCAAAGTTAATAGTTCACTTAAGCCCACATGAAATAATGTCACAGTTGAGAGGCATAATCTGTGATCTATACTGTTTAAAAAAAAAAAAAATTATTCTTGTCTGTCAAACACTGTCCTGTGAGATGAATACAACCTGTCACATACAGATTATCAATTTTTGGTTTTGAAATAGTTAACAATTATTCACTGAAGGCGGAGTGAATATTGCTGAGTAATCCCTATGACAAAGTCAAGGGAATATTCAATTAATGTTCACTAAGCCTGAAGCAAACTGATTATTGTTTTAGTGTAATTACTCAGGTGCTTTCCAATTCTGTTGTAAATTCTGTTAATAAAAAGAAGAGCATTCAACATATTTTGTTACAATTGTGGTGATTACTCAAGATAAGAGAGGAGTTTAAGCAGGTTTGTGCAATAAAATCAGCAAAACCTTATATCTTTCTTTAGCATCTTTTGTGCTCTTTGCAATTAAATTTTCTTTTATCGCATTTATCACATCCTTAGAGACATTGACAAATTCCCCAGGCAAATTCTCCTTATCAGTATCTTTGAAATAGTATAGACTGAGGAAAGTTTGGAGAATATGTATAGTAATATTAAGATAAATGTGGCCCATCTGAGGTGGCTTATGTGACGTGGCATAATTTAGTTAACTCAAGTGAGAACGAATTGACCTCCAATTCCCTTCATATGAAAAGTTTAAAAGAGTTTCTACATAATTTGCTTCAAATGTTGAACGTTTAGTCTGTACCTCATCACAAAGAATTGTTTACATTTCATTTCACCCGATGATTACATCGTTTGGCAAGAACCACAACTTTGCATGATGTTTTCCAAATTATTCACCAACCGCATATTACGTAACTTGAATTCGGAACACGTAAGTTTAGCATATAGTTTCCAACTTAATAAAACAAAACTGCACCTATCTCGCTGCACGCTAACCCGTTTATGGATTCCTCGAAATAGAACAAAAGCCTTGTGAAAAGCTACAGTGGTCATATTTTAAGACTCAGGTGGAGGAAATGTTACGTCTGATAGTTGAAATCCTACGAGCTGGATCAAGAAGGTTTTGAACACTTCATTGCTGCACCAGCTGTTACCAAGACCTTTTATTTACGAGGTAGCCCGGTACTCTTACCTTCAAATAAGATCTGTTTGATCCTGGGCTCATCTTCTTTCTCTCCACAACATACCCGCCGGCAGATAGAAGCTCTGGGTTGGGGAACAAAAACATTGATATTTTTCCAAGATAGTTCGACCTTTTCTCTGAGGTCTCCAACACTTGTTACGTTTGCGATCACATCTGTCCCTGGGCCTTCGTATTTCGTGTTAAAAACCAAACTATTTCCACTAGTAGACAATCCTGGCATTGCAGAGGTTGTATCGAGGCTTTCTTGGGTTTCTTCATGGTTTATAAGCGTTGGGCTACCAGTTTCTTCCATTCTCTTCGCGGCGTCCTTCACGTCAACGTTGTCGATGTGGTTCGCTGCACATGGTAAAATTAGATTTTGCTTCATCATGCATGCAGAGAATCCAAAAATATACTGCGACTTTCAAGTTAAATATTAACTCAACGTTGCTCAATACTAATTCACTTTTACAGGTGTAAATGTCGTTTGTAGTCCTTCGACAGTAAAAACGACCAAACGCATATAAAGGGGCTCGCAATTATGTAATAGTGCAAATTACCTGACGATTTTTAAAATTGTGCTCACCACAGAATACGCATTACGCACACGAAACCAACTGAGAGGTCCCAACAAAGGCTGGAAATTCAACGAGAGCTAAATCTTTTCGAGTCCATTAAGATAAAAAGGAGTACCAAATCCAATTCGAAGTAATATTGCAACTTGTTTACCGCCAGATTACAAATACATTCACACTTAAAACGCAATATCGAGTAAACTATTTGAAGAGGCTTAAAAAATAATTGTGATATTTTTCCCGGTTTATATCCACCGTGAATAGCTATAAGCTTATTTGAATATAGCGTTAATAATCCTACCTGATCCATTTTTTGCAGGAGTAGCATTCACGTCCACAATTGTCCACATTTCCACATTGTTCGCGGCTTCCTCGGCCATAATTTGGCTTTTTGTAAGAAAGAGAATAAATTACAACCACGCAGTTTTCAGCAACCTGTAAGTTTTAGTTCAACTAGATGGCATGCGCAAACAGGTACTTGGAGTCGATGTCCTCCAGAACCTGTGGCTTTGGAGAGCTTTCCTCTTAAAACCTGGTTATGTAAACTGGTTCGCAGCTTCAAATTGTACTGCGTAGTTAGGTAAAATTCGACACGCGTTCCAGGCAATTTTTCGCCTCCTTTGTTTTCCATAGTCAGTGACTGTATCGGTAAACAATTATGAAAATGATATGTTTTGTGCAATCGATGCCTTCATTTGAATTCAACATACACTTGAATCGTCAACACGCGAACTCTTAGCCAAGGCGAACAAAAAGACAATAGACAGAGAAAAACTTAAATGCCCCAACTCGTGATCAATAACAAGGTTATCACGAGTTTCGGAAACTGTTCGATTTGCCACGCTTCAACTAAGCTACTCCTAAACCACCTTCCACACTTAAATGCCCAAAAGCGCTGATAAAAGAGATCTTTCGAAAAAAGTTTCAAAAGTGGTGTGTTTTGATAATTGTTTTCGAACGCACTGTTTCTGGTCCGGAAACGAAACTTCTAAATCTGCGCGGGGGAGGGTACTAAGGGAAATTACTGCTATGCATGCGCACGTCCGGCGCCGGCCTCAAAGACCCCTTTCTATTCTGTGGTCAATTACAGATCCTATTTTAGTCACCTTTGGACAAATATAACTTGAGGAATGGACATTGTCTAGCGTGCTCGCGGAAAGCATAAAGGTAGCTTAATAGATGCCCGAGGTGCAGCCGAGACCATCTCTTCGGCTAACTTCGTGCTCTTCCAACTATCCACATGCATCCTGAATCGGATGAACGTATGCTAGACATTTTCCATTGCTTTTATAACATAGCTAGTAAATTTGTGTAATCAAATTTAATTGCGCGAGCGTGCTTCATATTCCTATTGTGCACGCTCATAACGTCAGCAAACAAATCCCTCGAGAAAAAAAAAATTTCCATCGGGTCGAAAATGTTATAAAACAATTGGTTCATACGTCAGCTGTGCGTTCATCGAGATATGAAGCACTTGTGAAGCTTGGAGAGCACTCAAGAAGCTACAGTTGCTCTCGGCTACGCCTCTAGCAACTCTTACGCATCTTTCTTGCTCTCCAAACTTCCCGCGTGCTTCATATCTCGATGAACGCACGCTGATGTATGAATTGTTAAAATTGTTAATTTGCACTTGATGCGCGCGCTTTGCTTATGCTTGCTTATAATAAGCTATCTCGAATTTTTTCAGGTATATTATTAACACGTAATCACATGATTTTTCTCATACAATTTGGCATAAACAAGCACTCGTTAATTTTTTCAAAGACCACAAAGTGCACTCGCCCAACCGGCTCGTGCAATTTTGTTAGTCTTAAAAAAAATTTACCAGTGATTATTTAGTCCAAATTGCACTCGAAATCATGTGATTACCTAAACAAATTGCAAATTCTCTTAACCGTGCGGGTGCAGAATTAAAGTAGTGCAACTTGTTTTTCAAAAACACATTTATGTTTACAAGCTAACATCTGTGATGACAAAATAAGTGTATCAAAATATCACACATACGCCGTCCAGCTCAAAATATTTGGCTTAAATGTCAAGGAAAAAGTTTCTTTAAAGTTCACTCATTCAAAATGATGTAGCCTTCAAAACGTCTGGGGTTTTACAAGTCATTTTGAAGGATTTGCCGAAGAGACCACGACTTGCACATTCTGAATCTGACTGTTGCTGAAAATGGAGTCGAAATTACACGACATTGGCCAAAAATGTTGGCTTTATCGCAATCCCTTTTCTGTCCTTTGCTTAAAATCTGCGGAGATTTGCTCCGAGTTCACTGATCGTCATGTTTTCCAGCTCCATTTGGATGTTTTTCTCTTCGCAGTATGTTGTCAATTACAAGAAAACAAAGTAAACAATGGAATTAAGTCATTGTCATTGTCATTGTGAGCGTTTTTCTTTATCTTGTTTAATTGTTTGTTTGTTTATAGTGTTTTTTCCAAATCCCCCTCGGATAAATTTGCGAAGCGGTTTTTCCACCGGTGGCACTTTCGCTTTGTTGATCTTTAGACGCTACCGATATTGCTACAACCATTTCAGACAAGTTTTCTAAATCTTTAAAGTCATCGAGAAACCAAAACTCAAAAGTTGGGTTATTACTAGCCATTATAATAGCTGAATTAAAGTTTTACTCTAACAAAATTTTGAAACAAATCTTTGCTGGCAAGAAATTTCACCAACAATTTCGCCAGCCTGAACCATCTCTATGAGCCATCCATTTCTTTTTCATAAGATATTAGCCAATCAGAGCTCGCATTAGAATGTAGCTGTGTTATAAGAAATTATAATCACGAATCTTTCCATTTCCAAATACCAAATTCCAAATAGTTTCATTTTCCCCTAAATCCACCTTTTCCCCCAAATCCACCTTTTCCCCCAAATCCCGAAAATGTTCGACCCTATTCTTAAGGTTGGCAAACGGTTTATTTGTCTAACGAGTAAGTCGGTGGACTTCCTTTTCCTTGTAATTCGGTTCATGAAGTGTTAACTTCAGCACTGATGACAGAAGTATATCGTCAAAATCTGTTACACTTAAGAGTCTGAGCCAATGATATAAAGAGAGCTATTGGTCAGCGTTCTCATCGCTTTTGCGTCCGCCAATTTGATGCCAAAAGCACATCAGTATCAGCATAAGGTTTTGTAGCCAATGCTTCTCAACCTACGTCCTTAGCAAATATAAAGACGCTGATTAATATCAGTGAGTCCGCAATATGCCATGAATATAAGTCAGAGGATTCTTTGGTGTAACAGCTGTCACTTTCACATCTCAATGTTCGCGCAGTTAAACGATTGCATAGGAGCCTTATTACGTTTAGGACCGAACGTTATTACATTTAGGGCTTTATTACATTTAGGACCAAATGTTATTACATTTAGGACAGTTATTACATTTAGGACTTCAACACCTGTTTGCTGAATTATGTATATATATTTAAGGAGAAGTTACAAGTTAATCACCTCTGGGAGTTAAATGGTCAAAACGTTAAGTCCGGAACATCACAGTGCAGTAAGAAAAATTGAAGAAGAGGTAAACCCCTAGTTTCGTACCCTGACTTTCCACGGTCAAGCGATGGGTTACATGGAAGGATCTGGGTACGAGATTATGATGCTGCTGGAAAATATCCTAACGATTACAGCGACTGCAAATGCAGGAAATGTGAGACTAGATTCGAAAAAGCGAATAGATTTAAACGATAGATGATTACACGAAGGAGGACGATATAATGTCTATTAGACTACGAACAGTCCCTCCTAGTCGGCGAAAGCCGTTGAGCGAGCCAAAAACATAAACTCTTTCCCCAGCGCGACGAACATTTGTTTTTCTCGGTTCCAGGTGTTCGCGACCACTAACCCCACGTAATGTGCATGCTCTCCGTTGCGAATTGTTAAAATGGCGGACAGGTCAAAGAGGGAAATAAAAAAACAAAGCGATTTTGCAATGAATACTCAACATACACCCCCGTTAGAAAGGCGAATTCACGGAAGAAAAATACAACACTGTATGATATTGAGATCGATATGATATTAAATCGATACCTAGAGCCCGTTTCCAACTTGCTAAGAAGTGCATTTAATTGCCTTCCGCCACGATTACTAGCTTTCTTGACAGCTTTCTGAAGACAGAATATTTTCTTTCCGAAGACTTCTGATATGCGGCTATTGATTATTACACCTGGTATACCTGATTGCTCAAACACTTTGTTTACGATTGTTGAAAGGACCGACTCATGGTTCTCCGTCTTCGTCTTTACATTGCTTTGAAATAGTATAGATTAGTAAGCTGAAACGAAAAATTAATCGGGGAAGTTTACGAAAAATCCAGCAAACAAGCTTAAAAAAGGCATTTACTTAGACTTCATACTTCGACGAACTTCACAACTCTTACTTGTTTATCTCGTAAGTAAACGATGGCAGATTAATTCCCAAAGCGCTTTTTTTAGTTTCCCGATCCCTCTCCTACTGCTTTCACGCTTACAAAACAGGAAAAAATCAAAAGGAGGAAGATACAGCTGTTTTGAAAGGCCATTTGACGAGGGTAAATCTGCTTTTTGTTCGACACTTTACATATCAAAACAAAAGAAATTTGTTCCTCTTTTAGATTCTGGCGGTACATTTTTAATTTGCGCCTGTATAAAAGAGATATCGCCCGAGACCCTTCGCTCGCTCGGTCGTGTTTTGATCAAAAACTTCTTGTTAATTTTACGCAACCGCTCGGAGAAAAGGTAAAAATGACGAGGGAAAAACTTTACCTTCAAGTTAGAAAATTAGCGAAATAGAAAGCCACAATATTATAGTTTAATATTTCAGAAATACATTGAGTGCTTTTTCCGTAGCGAATCCACACGATGGTAAAACATTCGAAAATTACACTCGATTTGAGTAGAGCGTTGAAGTGGGCGTGGTCACTATATTCATGTTAAGACTATTTGTACCCCATGAGTTTGATATGATTAGCAAAAAAAGGACAGGAAATTCTCGTTACCGCGCCGAGCGGAACTCTGGCAGTTAGGCGTAAGGAACCACTCTTCGAGCGCTACACTCCCAGAGTTCAGTGCGGCGCGCTCACATAAAAAAGGAGGGACAGATCTTAGCCTAATGTCTGAAATCCAGTATCAATTTCTTGTTTTCCCTGGCTGTTTCTTGTATTTTCCATTTGATGTCCGGCTTCAGGCTTTACAGTACAGTTCTTTGATACAAACCGTACCATACGCATTTCAAACTGTTCAGCTTGTGGGTGGTTTTTCCTTAGCAAAATTTGCACAAACGCAACGCGAAACTGCCTCAGCCTGACACAGTAAATAATAGGATTAATTAGGGAATTAAGAATTGTTACAAGGGTTATGGCATTAAAGCTAAAATTAGATACATTTACACTAGTAATGGCAGAGGTAAACAGAAGTATTCGCACGAAAAATAATGGCAAAAAAGTCAAAAGAAGAAACGCTATTACGCAACTTGTTAACTTTAGGGCTTTCTTCTCTTTGGAGAATTTCTTTCTGGCCTCCAGGGAGACTTGCTGAGCGGCGATGCACTTTACATGCCGGCGGGTCTCTGAGTACACTCCAACCTGACAAAAGATAATTACAGCCAAAATTACGCTTAATAAAATGCTTGTGAAAGTGATGAAGACTTTGATGCTAAACGCTTGTAGAACAGCTCCTGCTATTGCTGCTATCCAGGCCAGGGCGGACGAACCAAGAAGTTTGCGAGTTTTATTTCGCATGGTCGTGTAGGTTAAGACATTTTTTATGGCGTAATATCGCTCAAAACTCATGATGAATACGTGGTGGATTGATGAGGCAGCTAAAAGTCTGATGATGTTTCTTGTCAACCGAAGTAGTGTGCAATACTCGTCTGAAGTATCCCCATGTAAGTTTAGTGTTCTGCAAGCTATGTACATGGGTTGGGCGAACAATCCCATAAAGACATCAGTAACCGCTAAGCAGCCGACAAGTATATTAGAGGACGTTTTGAGTCTAGGTTTGGTATTCACTGCCACGATTACCAATGCATTCAACAAAATGGTGAAGGGACAAGACGCAATGGCTATAACGGTCAGTAACGCAATGGCGGTGAATGCTGTCGAGTTTTCTGGATGAGGATTTCCTTCCAGAACGTGCGATATATCGCATTCATCTGCTAGTTCTGCTGATCCATTTTGTGAGGTCGCGATGCTCGAGTACATTACATCTTCTTGGCTAGGAGTTTTGGTCTTCTCTCAGTTCAGTGGTGAATTATAACCGGCCACGTAGCTGGTTTGAAGTTGAATGTGTCGTTAATTCTGTACTCGTGGGTAATATCACCAAGCTGCTTAGTTTCAACTCAGTCAGAAAAGCTGATTGTTTTCCAGTGTTATCTCTTAAAAAGCTATGAAAATGTTTTTGTGAATGTCCTCCTCAAGGAAAGGCAATTAATGAGGAAAACACTATTACACACCAGATAAGTTCCCACGCCAAGGATTCTTTTGTATTTACGGTACATTAGGAACCTAAAGAAAACCACGACGGCGACGGCGACGGCGACGAGGACATGGAAAAACCAAAAGATCTGATTGGCAGAAAAATAGCTCGGCACGTGCGTTTTAAAACTTTGTACATTTCTTAGCCGTCTTATGCAAAACAACAACGTGAAATCACCACAATTTGCGTCGTCTGCGAACCGAAACGTCGACGGCAAATAATTTTAATTTCCATTTGGAACGCAAAACTTCTTTTATACGTTATGACGCCGTATGAGACAGTAAATACATGCAGCCATTTTTGAAATTCTAAATAAAGGCAGAAATTCATTTTTTTTATCGAAGTCTTCCTTGGCGCTGCCGTCCTGACTGCTTAAGGTCAAGTGTACGAGTAAAGAAAAACAAAAGATAAGAATCATTAGCGAAAATACCTTCTTATTTTCGCTAATGATTCTTATCGTGGACTGACTTTTAATATCCTACATAGACCTTATTTAATAACGGGAGAAAAATTAAAGTTTGGATATTTCAGTGCGGCCATTTAGTTGTTTCGCCTTTTGCCCTGTTCCACATTGTATTACGGCGCTGCATAATATCATTTAGCGCGTGACTTTAACGCAGAAGTCAAATGACATAGTATTGGAAACATAGTATCAGAATAACAACCTGGTTTATCACACCTGTTTCTTTTTAAAATATTCCTGGTGTTAAATTATTTTTGTTTCTTTTTAAAGTATTCCTCGATTTTATTCGCCAGCTTGATTTTTTCCAGTACCATATTTCGCTTACGCAAAGTTAATAAGCGCGTCTTCTAATTCGGCGGATTACGTAAAACAACTGGGAAATACACGATTGATTCAGGGGCAGGTCCCAAGTTATAAATTAAAATTCTAATTGACCACAGCTGGGTCATATTCAAACAACTATTACAAGCAGGAAATAGGGATAACAATTGAAGGGGCCTACACTGTCTGAAGATGATCAAACGGTTACGAAAAGAAAAACAGAAGAAAACAAAAACTATTTTAAAAGGCCGGGTAATGAGTCGAAGTCTGAGTAAACAATTGTTTCCTACTAATCCCTGGTTTAGGTGTTGCCAACACAATAAAACAACGGTAATCCCTCTAGTAATCCCGAAGAGTAACAAGCATCTAACTTCTCCTTACAATATCACACATCAATCACAGATTGAGGACATGAGAATAAAAGGAATGATCACCAGGTGAAGAAGCTCTTGATTGCAAGACAAATTCTCTTTGTTGGCACTTTAGAAGATGTACAGAGAACAGTATGGATAATATGCAAACTAATATCTGGGTCTAAGGGGTAAAACGACGTTCTTAAAGCACAACTAAATTTTTTCATGTCAACGGCCAGACAAGGTAGAGGTGATGTTACCAGTTAGGGGATAACTTGAAGACGCCATGAAATTTTAAGGGGCAGTTTTAACGCAGTTTTATCGCAACCAACGAAAAGCTGTTACTTTTTGGTAAACAGGAAACCACGTGTACATTCAGACACCTGTATTCTTTGCACTTTGAATGAAAGATAAACCCTTTAAGAGGCGATATCTGTAAGACCGGTCCAGGGCATTTCTCATCGGAAAAGAGTTTTGCCTCAAACTTTGCCCATTAAACTATCTTTGGTAGTGAATAGATAAAACCACATTGCTTTCTGGAAATACTTTAAAAAAAAAAAAAATGAGAGAGAAATTTGGAGAGCTCTCAATAATCAAAGCTGCAAAAGGCCCTTTCTTGACCTCCTGCGACATCGAAAATTTCAAAAGTTGACAAACTCGCTCCTCGTAACACACTGCATGCAGCAAGAAATCGTTTGCCTTCCTAATTTGTATGATATCAAAGGGGTTTGGAGAACATTTCAATTTGGACATATGTTTATTCAGAGATTCGCCATAATTTATTTAAAGACATTCATTAGACATGCAGCTTTCTGAAATTAGTGAAAAGTACTCTTTCTTTCCCGGGTGAAAAAAAAAAAAAAGATGTTAGCGCGCCGCCGGGAGCTCTTGGGATGAGGCACTAACATTTATTTTTCTTCAATGTTTTTTTTTCGACCTGCGCCACGGACCTCGCCGAAAAGGAGGAACTGCTCGTAGTCTTATACTGTTATCGCCGGTGACGCTAAATAAAATCTTGTAGTTTGGCCCAGAAATGTTCATACAGGTTTGAAGAGTTCAAGCTCTCTAAACTCAAATATAAAAGAACACTAACCATTTTCCAAGAAGAGTTTCTTATTAAAACGTGGACCGATCGCTAATCGAGACAGAATCATTTGCCAGATTTTAGCCGTTTAAAACATTTAGAGTATCAATCAGTGTGTTCCAAAACCTCTTTAGGACTCTCGCCGCAGTGACACTATCATAAACAGAGTGTTTAGACTGACAAAAGATTTCAAGTTAAAAGGTAACAAGCAAACGCGTTTGTGTGAAATTGAGTCCCTTGTCAACATCTGACAGACAGGAAATAGGAATTTTTTAAAGAATATTCATCGTTTGCAGAAATCCTCTTGTTAAAAGCTCAGCGAAACAGGGATGAATCCAATACTTGATCGCTAAGGGACCGGTCGATAAGTTATCGCCGGGGGAGGGGGGGAGTGGAAAGTTTGCAGGATTTTGGTTGTGTCACGATAAATTTACCTAATCCCTGATAAGGCTCTGCAATATTCTTACCATCCCCCACCCTCACTGGAAGTTAATTGGCAGTCAATTTTCTACACACTCCCACCTTCATACTCCGTTGGCGACAGCTGATCCTCCTTCTCTTCTCACCAAAAACCAAGCGACCCCCCCTCCCAAGAAAAGTCCTCCTTGACACCCCCCCCCCCCGCGATAAATGATGACTAATCACTTTGAACACTTTCACGCGTCTTACTTCTCACCGGTGATTAGACCCTCTTTATTTCAATTAAAAATGCTTACTCCTTCTTAAACCGAAAAATCTCGGACAACATAAAACAAAAAAAAAACATCGGTATATTACTCCAGCCTTGCATTTATACCCTGAGAAATCGCAGGTAACAAACAATTTCAGTTCGTTCTATGATAAACATCCTTTAAGTTTGCTTCACTTCACGCATTAAACAATCACTTACCTTTGAGGCTACAATTTGTTATGTATTATATATCCCTGCATAAGCTAACACAGCGGTCAAACGCCTGAGCACGTAAGGATATTTTAGAGGCTAGGTAATGTACTTTCAGGGTAGAAAAACCAAGTTGTCCTATAAACAACCACACGAGAGAGTTGCGGTGTCTGAAAACCTTCAACTTTTCGGTAAAGCTAAAAATAAACGGTAATTCATCTGAAAACCCGTAATCAAATAGGCTTTCTGTTGGAAAAGTCTCGGGTTTTCTCTTTCTCTACTTTATTTACTTTTACAGATTTACCTAAACGTGTCAATGCTTTTTTAGTCGTTTCGCATAATTAGCGTGAAAACGATTGTTTCTCATGCGGGAAATTGGCACGCCGCTGACTTAATTGATCCCCTTGCGCATGCCCGATGTATGATCGCTGTGCTGCATATGCTTCATCACAGTAATCTCTCGTTACAAAATGTACCCTATTTCCTGGATGAAGATAAGTAAATTCCCATGGCTTAAGATTGGGTATTGACAGCCGCAGTGCTGGTAAAAGAGCCATATATTTTAAATTCCACAAGGTTAAATTCTCAACAACTTGTAACAAATCTAGTTTTACCAATGGTGTATTAATCACGGTGACCCTTGTTGGCACAGTGGTGCAAAATGACTAAGACAATTCATATAAGTTAATAATTTACATCAATATCATACCAGTGCTATGCGGTGTACTAAGACTCATTATCCTAGCCACCTTTTCATCTTTCTCATTAATATAACTATTAAATATGTGATGATCTCTAAAAAACAAGCGAGCCAGCTCCCGCATGTAAAATTTCCCTATTCTTCCAAATATTTCGGAATTACAATGTCAGAAATGAAGATAAAAGTAGCAATCAAAAGGCCTATTTAATTCTTGTGCTTTCCTAAAGGAAGCAATGGTTTCCAGATCTCCTGCAGGGCTCTCCAGATCCGACCAGCTCTGATGTCACTTGAAATGCATTTCTAAACTCGTCGATGTTGACATAGGCACCCTGGATTCACAAGAATAAAAAATGCATTTGCGTTTTAGAAAAGTCCCAGAATTCTTCTACTTAAGGCTGTGTATTACAGTGGCCTACGATTTTCCTCTAGGAGACCAACCTTATCGTTCTCCCTTAAAAAACCATGCGTCTGAATATAATAACGAAAGTATATACTTCCATGAGCACGCATCATATTTTTTATTCTTCCGGGACAGACCAGGAAAGCTTATTAGGAAAGTTACAGGGGATAGGCAAGATCTTTAACCCCTCAATCCCTGAGAGTGACAAGTGTCCAATTTCTCCTTACATCATCACTGCTGAATCACACATTAAGGTCATGAGAGTAAAGGAAATGATCGCCATCTAAAGAAGCTCTTGATTGTTACACAAATTCTCCTTGTCAGCTCCATAGGAAATGTAGAGAACAGTGTGAAGATACATACCGATTTAGGGTGTAAGGGGTCACACGGTCTACGCTCTTGAAACTAAGAGCACTGTTTTTCACGTTTCATACCTTAAAGTGCCTAACACCGCCATTTAAATTGAAAGAGTTTCTTCCGTGAAGAATACGCCGATTGTTGAAACATACTAAGTCTCCTTGATGCAACCTCACCGATTTCTACAAGAAAAACAGACAAACTCTTAATCCACTGTTTTGTTTCCTCTAAAATTGCCCCGAGCGAAAAATCATCATCAACAACAACGAACAGAGGTCTATCGCCACCCGTAAGACCTCTCACCTCCGTCTATTCAGTCTGTGAGCAGGCTCTTGAGTTTGGCTTGCGCCTCAAGGCACGGCCGCACATTACACTATCGGCAGCGGTTTATGGAAGAAGTTATTGAAATCCCTGGAAATAGCTCATCTAGACAAGGATGAACATAACTAGAGACTAACTACAAGGGTTTAGGTAACTTTTTTAAAACTTCGTCTGTTTTATTTCCTGTTCATCCTCAGTTACCCAGCTATCACATGTGAGAGTCATGCTATTAAAAGAAATTTTACCCATGCAATCTAGAATCGCGCAATCGCAAACGGATGTTTTTAACGCTGCTTTTAGTGCTGATTTACTTTAAAATGCATTTACCTGTAAAGGAGATTCTTCCATCATCTTTGAAAATAATCTATAAGCTCTATAATACGGTTCAACATCTTCCTGTAACAACGAACCAATAGGAATTCAATAGCCGGTGTTATTATCAAGTCTCATTCTCACGACATGCGTCGAAAAGTCCATCATTTCATTCCAAAAGTCAATCATTTCTAAACAATTCTAATAATTATAAAAATCAGATTAATCAAGCCGCTGATTCTTACCTCCGGAACTGACAAGGGACCCTCAAAAGGTGGCGCCCAAGTTACGGCCACAATCTAGAAAATGAAAACGTTGGAGGAAAAGTGCTCACTTTGGGTATTTAAAAACAAACAACCCATTCCAGCGTTATCTGCAAGGGTAAAATTTCAAGTTGGATTACAACAGATACGATACCTCTTTATCTGGACTGAGAACAATGTGCGGTCTCTTGTAAACTAACTTGACTGGATAATCCCTTCATAAGAAAACACCAAAACCAAACATAGAAATAAAAACAAATGGATGCAAATCATTCCTTACAAATCATCGACGAACAATTAATTCAATGTTGTGTTTCCCACAAGTATTTGCCATGAGGAAGCATCTTTTCAAGGCAATGTGTTTGGGGGAAAATAACGTTACATTTTAGGGTCGGCTAACACGAGGACGCCAGAGAAAAACCAATCGTTTTGAAGCGCCGTTTTCAACAGTGAAAGAAGTGCTTGCCACTACCTACAATGTGTAGTAGAGAAGGCATGGCGAAAGTACTCTAGAACTATCTTTAGTTTTGATGGTAATTTTGTTCTCTACTTCAAATTGGTGAATCATCAGTGTATAAAATCGCCAACGTACGGCTGACCTGTACTGTATACGTATCTCTGGAAGGTCTGGGAATCGAACCCAGCACCACTCTTCACTTCAAAAGTCCTTATTAACTGCTTGTGATATTTTCCAGTGATCTTATCGGCCGTTGTAATATAATCGTATAAGTTTTAGCACACTCAATAAAAATTAAGCATATCGTCTATTCTTGTGGCAACCGAATCGTAACAGTTCATCATTTACCGCTGGGACTGTTACACACAAGCGTTCTATATTAAAGCGGTGATACCTTTGAAAATGTATCTTCTGAAATGTTCCTGGAATTCTCACAAGATCATCAAATTCTTTAGGAAATTGTTTCCTGAATTCCTCAGCAACGTAAAAGGCATCTAGAAATAAACTTTCCCCACCTTCGATATCAGAATCAAAGCTGCGCAAATAATAAAAAAAAAGAAGCAGAACAACTATGCACTTGACAAACTCACAATCTACACATTACCGAGACGTCTGTTAAGTTTAAAATAATTCATAGATAGCTTGCTAAAAAATAAAATTGCACACCACGGAAAACCGTGTACTGCTTTTAATCCAAAAGAAACAACAGTGAAGGCGCTTGGCACGAAAGCAAGTAACAAGCGCGCAAGAGACTCTGGGACGCGTGATTTCTAGCTTGCGCGTTTCGGTCATGGTCTAAATCACTCACGCTCGGTCAAATCGAGTGCCCACAATGCGTGCCAATAGACCTGTTATTACATCTTGTCTTACCTGAGGCAGTGCAAAAGCTGTAGTCCAGGTGGAGACTCGTAATAAGCAAGATCTATGTGGTAACCAAGGCCTACACTGGAATATGCAATATTGATTGGATTTGGGGTGGAAACCACGTCAAACACCTGCGACAATAGAGTACAAAAAAAATGACACATCTCATTGAATACGTGAATAAATGAAAGCATATCTAAGCAAAATAGCGTAGTTTTCAAGATTCCCAGTAAGCAGGTAAAGTTCAAATCAGCGAGACTAGAAGACCAATACAAGGGAGGATTAAAAACACAATAGAGACATCTGACTCTCGAAGACACAGACCTCCGCCACTTCAACACTGGAGACCGCCTTCTCCAAACGAAGTACAAATAAGCAGGGTGAAAGAAGCGCTCTATAATCTCCACCAACTTCAAGGGTGACAGTGGAATTGAAATTTAAGAAGCATGGATACCAATGGTGAAAAACAACAACAGGAGAGCCGAGCGACAGCGGACCGCTCTTAAAATACATCTTCGAAATGCGTCAATTACAGCTGTCAAATACCATCCAATCACAGCTGTCGAATACTAGCCAATCACAGCTGTTGAATACTAGCCAACACAGCTGTTGAATATCAACTAATCAGCACTGATGCATATTCAGTCAACTTTATCTCCAAAAGAAGACTATCGGTGTACAGTCGAAAAACAGCGATACACATTGGAACTGGACGTGAAAATAGTGATCATTACTATTTAACTTAATTCTGTTTTTTTCTTCTTCATGAAAATGTCAGTCTACGTTTATGGTCAGCCACCAAGTCTCTTTGTAAACCTACTTTTCCATAAATGGTCTCTTGTATCGGTCCAATTAGTCTTCCAACCTGAAATGTCAGAGAAGAATCGGATCATCAGTAGTTAATAAATAAACTAAAAAATCAGTGAAGAAGAAATTTATTTTAGCGCGTTGCACGGAACTCTGGGAGTGAGGAAAACAAAATTACTTTTGGTGCGCCTCACTGCGCATGCCAGAGTTCCGCGCGGCATGCTTACATCAGATCTCTTTTTTCACTGATTTTTTTAAACTCACACGACGGACTTCGTCGAAAAGGAGGGACTACTTGCAGTCTCAGTAATGAAATACAAAAGATCAAATGGCACACAAACCTTCAACACATTTTCCTCATCGTCAAGAGGAACATTTTTAACTAACGAAACACCATGGTCACTTAGCTGAGACAGCATTCTGTTGAAAGGACGAGGATAAACCCTGAGTTTAAATATACACGACCAAACTTCCTAATCATAAAAATCTCACAGAAAGAAAAGGTAAAAAAAAATATTAGTCTCAAAGACATTAAGCATTTAGAGAAAGATGTTCTTTGTATTGTCACGAGCGTGGGACAAAGAAAAAATTCTGAGTTTTCATGAGCAATCGAACCTCAGACCTTCGTATTCCGCGCTCCGATGCTCTACCACTAAGCCACAGGCACTCTACGATGAGGGAAGTCTCACAAAGATTGGGCATTTATTTTCTACAGACAAAGTATTCCTATATATTCGTCAGTTTTTCCTCAGCTGCAGCTCATAGACCTAATACTTGTCAAAAATAAGTACCGGTAGCTTTTCTTGTTGAAAGTTTTTTTGAGCCGAGCAATATATACATGTGCGGAACTTACTTCCAAAGACCTTCCCTGGATTCCATAATGGTACTATATTCAACCTCTGGCAAACTGTGCTGTAAGAGAGAGTGAAACATGAATATAAGATTGCAGAGCACAATAGGATGAACTGTTACCAGTGCAAACAATTAAGGCTCACACGGAAGTACCTCGCCAATATGGGGTTGAGTTATTCTTCTTTTGTTTTCTAAATTTCTAGCCACTTCAGAGTAACAATTTTCTCTCAGCCACTGTAAGTTGAGTACACCTTGGTGGTCTCTTTCATTCTCCCATTTCACTTCAAGATTTTCCTTATTTTCTGCAAAATACAGAAAAGAATGCTGATAAATTTAATTTAACATACAAAAAAAGGTTGAGCAGGTCTTATTTAGGCAGGGTGGCCCTTTCAGTACTGGACTAGTATTAACAGGGACTTACACTAGTGTCCAAAATATGTAATTTCAAAGCACGATCTTTTCCTTGCTTTCATAGACTCATCCTGACATGAGAGGTTTTGGGAGAATGATACAGTTATGCAAACCAGAAACACAAACATGAATAAAGTCCCCTTATGATTTTACATTCAACCCTTCTTAAAAAATATTTGATGTGAAGCTGAGATGTTTTAGCCATGTTAAACCCTTTTCTACCAAAAAGTGATAAGTATCTTGTTTCTCCCAAAAGTATCACCCCAAATCACACATTAAAGTCATGAGAATCAAGGAAATGATCACAGACTCAAGAGGTTCCTCACCGTCAGACAAATTCTACCTGTAGGCACCTTAGTAATTGTATAGAGAACAGTACGGAGAATATGTGTACTGATCTTAAGGTGTAAAGATTAACTTGTCTCATCTAAACACATCTATCAACCAATGAAAGCATGCTTTGTTTTTTAGTTTTTCCATAATTTGTCCCAAGATCTGATTGATAATTCTCCCCTCTAGCTTCTACACATTTCCTTATAAATTAGTTAATGAGAATTGAATGTTAGATCAAGATAACAAAATCTGCCTGATGCATTTGAGGTTTCTCATTACCTGTTTGCTGGATAATGTATGGATATATTAGGGAGAAGTTACACACGAATCACTTCTGGGAGTTAAAGGGTTAAGTATGACTACTATTGTTTTTCATCAGTGCACAGTATGTCCGACCAAAAACATGGAAATGTAATCAAAGTCAGGAAAACTGAGAACTTGTTATCATCGCTTATCACAACTAATAGTATTTCTTCAGTTAATCAAGTAGGTTGAAAGGAAAAACATATTGACAGACCAATTGACAAGCAGTTACAATATGGAATAAGGGAAACAGACAAAAAACAACAAAATTAAACATACATGTACAGCTTATATTTTTAATACTATGCACATGCATCTTAGATAAAAACTATAAAAAAGGGCAACTTTTATCTTTCGCCTGTTTACTGCAATTAGAAAAAGTTTTCCCTAATGATACTGTACATCTTCAAGAACTTACTGGAAAGTGAAAAATCTGAGATTTCAAGTGGTTCTGGAATGGAAAGGGTGTCAATGGTCCTCTGGCCACTGTGTGACTGCTTGCAGTGTTCACACTGGCAAGAAAACCTTAACCAGCTGTTATGAAACCTGATTAAAGTAAACAAAACAAAACAAGTCAAAAAGTTAACTTTAGATGATGGCTCACAATTATTATGTTTGAACACGAGCCATTAGTGAGCTTACAGAAAACTCTTTTTTTTTTTTTTTTTTTTTTTTTTTTTTAATGTGAAAATAATTTTAAAAGAAATTGAAACAAATTCTGTTTTGGTTTAACCAGCAGAACTTGGTGCTAGATCAAGATAGCAACAGCTTCCACCTGATAAGTTTGAATATTCTTATTACCTGTTTGCTGAATAATGCATGGATATTATAGGGAGAAGTTTCATGTTAATCACTTCTGGCAATTAAAGGGTTAAAGAGAAATTACAATTAGATGCTACTTTCACTTACAAGTGAAGAGTTAACAGAGGCACACATGCAGCTACATGATTTTTCAATGGGAGGTCACATCTGAGGATTTCTGCATGCCTTACATAAAGGGGGCATAAACCACTGTCCTAACATATGAGCAGGCTCATATCCATGCAGGGAGAATTACATGAAAATGCAAGTGCCAAGAAATGGAGAGTCTAGCACAAGATAAGATTTACGTCAAGTAGATTTACAAGCACCTTCATACCTCCCAACTACACCACTGTATAAGTCAAAGCTACAGTGTACTTGTGCTCATGAACTGAAGCCATAATAATACATTTAACTTGTCTACTTGCCTAGATTTATGTCCATCATTCCATTCTATTTCTAAACAATCTTCAGACACCAGAGCTTTAATGTAATTTACACTGGATGTGGTCTGTAAACCAAATATGTGTCATGGGCAATGATAAGTTTTAGCTAAAGAATTTCATGGGTGAAAAAAAAATAGACTGACTACACTACATGTAATATTTAAGAACTTAAACAGGCCTAATAAAAAAAGGAACTTTTAAGTTCTCATCATAATTATGATAGAGCTTTCAAATGTATAGATGTACAGATGTATAGATGCAATCTCTTCTTCCACTCCCCAAAACCTCCTACGACCAAAATGTTATTTCTGACTGCCTTCTTATGATTCAAATTACTGCAAGTTGGAACTTAAGGAAGTGGGGACTTTTTGGAACCCTGAGAAACAACTGAGCCAGCCCAAAGTGTGGGAACATGTGGCTGCTTAATCTCAACCATAAATGAAAGGGTTTACAACATCCCCTGCTAACCTCACATTTAAACCATAAGAGACAGCTGCCCTTCATGTTATCATTGATATCTGCAAGGACTAAAAACATCTTCCCAACTGTAAATACCATTTAACAAGTTGAATCTTCCTTTCTTTTAAATTTAGTCTGGTGCACCAAACCTTGACCTAACCCACAACAAAAACAGCCCTTTCACAGCTAAGCAGCAATTTTCTAAACAGTCAAAGACCACATGACTGTAGGGAAAACATTTTAAGTGAAATAAAACTTTGATCATACAAAGGAAATGTTTATCATTTATTAAGTAACCACTAACCTTTGTTCTCTTCCAAATAAAATGACAAAGGGGTTGCCTAAGACTTGCTCTCAAAAGCATGACTGACCCTGTTTTGAGAATGATCAGAAGTAATAAAAATGAATTGACACACTGTGAGGCAGTTGTACTCAGTTCAACAGTAGAGAAGTACATGCATCACAGACAGTGATGATGACTTCTGCTCTCAGTACTGCACTCATCCAGACAATCAGACTACATTATGAACACTATCACACACAATGTTTAAAATTTTGAACCATGTGTTTAAGCTCTCAGATTTTGTAAACTCATGCTCAAATTGACAGTAGGGTTGTCTTATAACTATATATTAAGTAGTTAAAAGCTAAATATATTTGTATGGCTATTGGTTTGATAAGAAGTAATTTTCAGCTCACAGTTACCCTACATGAAGATTTTCGTTACCTTACATCTATCCCTTAAGGTCTAATTATGCCCAAACATAAAAAAACACTACTGCATTAGTGCAGAAAAAGAGAAAAATCAAAAACACCACCACCAAAATTATATTTTCTAAGCATGATAATGGATAAAGCTTAAGGAAATAAAGTGGATTTACCACTGATTGTAGAGGTTAACCCTTAACCCTAAGATTGACTAGTTTCTAATTTCTCCTTACAATATCACCCTTGAATCAGACAGTAAGGTAATGAGAATAGGGGACATGATCTCCAAGTAAAGCATCTCTTGATTATCAAACAAATTCTCTTTGTCAGCACCTCAGGAAATGTACAGTAGATAGTATGGAGAATATGGATACTGATGTCAGGGGGGGTAAAGGGTTCATTTAAATTTTTTAATCTTTCATAGTAACTAATTTGTCCTGACAGTATTAAATCTGAATCAAACCCCTAAGAGTGACTAGCATCAAATTTCTCCTCACCACATCACCCCTGAATCAAACATTAAGGTCATGAGAACAAAGGAAGTGATCACCAACTAAAGAGGCTCTTGATTGTTAGACAAATTCTCCTTATCAGTACCTTAGGAAATGTTTTAGAGAACAGTATGGAGAATACACATACTGATATTCGGCTGTAAAGGGTTAAACTTGCTTCTCTCTCCACATGTTGATTTCAAGTCTGTCATAAAGTTTACAATATTGATTCGAACTCTCTTTCACTTATCATGACTTTGTTACCATTCAGTCTAACAAAAAGTTAAATTCTCCTGTGATGAAGACTTCAAGAGCCAATTTGTATAACGACAACACGACAAGTTAAAGATCCCCGTCGGCAAATGTTTTCACTGATACTTGTTAAATCTCAACTACGACCTAATCTTATTAGGCAAAACTTTTACATACCTGTCTTAAAACAATGACCGGCTGGTTTTTCTTTAGCTTATTGAAAAAAATATATGCAGAGAACACTGCAACGAGGACAAGAGTCGTATGAACTGTAACGCTTGAGTTAAGATGACACGCACTTAACTAAGTGAGACAAATCTTCATCGCTTCTATTTAACTGTTTTGACAGATAAGCAAGGATTAAATACGTGTAGGATAAGAATCCCCGTAGGCAAATGTTGTCACGGACTACTAATCTTACATCTCAACTACGACCTACTCTTATTGGACAAATCATTTATATGCCTGTCTTTAAACTTTGACCAGCTAGTTTTTCTTTAACTAATTGAAAGAAATATGTGGAGAGAACACTGCAACGAGGACAAAGGTCGTGTGAGCTGTAACGCTTGAGTTAAGATGACACGCACTTAACTGTGTGAGACAAACCTTCATCGCCTCTATTTCACCGTTTTGACAACTTCACGGGATAAGTAAGGATTAAATACGTTAAGGATAAACACAATAATATATATATATGCATATTTACCCTCGCCCGAAAACACTTAGGGCAGATGTCAATTTTACGTGACACAAACTTTATAATCGTAGTCGACCCTCAGACCTTCAAGACCTCGACGCCATATGTAGTATCCAGACCTTTCGCACAATACTAAAAGGCCAAAAAGTGGACGGGACTAACGAATTTCGAGGATGGAAATTGCATTAGACGAACGATTGATTTCCGTGTCTTGCCACTTTTCGAGCGTGTTTTTCAGAGTTTTCCTCTTAACTGCCTCTCTAGGGTTATCATTAAGCGTAACTTGGTCGCAAAGAAGTTTGCCTAAAATATCAGGGTAGTTAAGAGAGTGGTTCTGTAAGAGCGGTCTGGTCGATTATGCTTGAGACACGGATTTCGCTCATTTCTTGTGTGTTGTAAGACATTCATGTACCTATACTAAAACCACAATCCATTTGATCGGATCTCTTTATTTTTCAGAGTTTTACGGAAATTAAATTTCGCTCGACCGAAGGCTTGTCGTGACACTTTTCAATACATTAATTTCAGACAAGTTTGGAGGACGATTTACAAAAAACTACGGAACTCAGCAAAAAACAAATAGCCCAGCCATGTATATGAACTCTATTTCATCTATCGAGGCGACTTTTGTGAACATCATGTTTCAATCAAGGAAACAGAAAGACTTTAATGACACCGTATCGGTTCGCTTAAGTCACACACGCGAAAACCGATCAAATTCAAGGTAAATTTTTGAAAAAGTGAGGTGTTCTTAACTGATCCAACTAAATTTTAGGTGCCATAGAAAAAACTGAAAAAACTTTGCGGCCCGACCTTTACGAAAACTTTATAACTCCGTGAACTTACCTTATCTCCAAGTTTGGCTGCCATTTTGAGGGACTCGTCAACATGAAGCGTAGCAGATATAAATCAAGCAGGTAGATCTAAGACCGTCAGAAATGCATACGAAAGCAATTCAAATGAACTTTATTTTCAATTCAAGCGGCAAAATTTGAAATTGTTCGTTAAACTTACCATTCTTACATCCCCATGCGACCATTTCTTCCAACATTTCAAAAACTACAACTTGTGCTCAAATTCCCCTCGTCGATTCCACCGCATGAAATGACCTGTGCCACCCCAGCTTCGACTCGAATGTGAAGTACGAATCAAATAACATGACTGCTTCATCTTCGAGGCAATATCACGCTGGTAGTTTGATTTTCGGATCAACAAGAATGGTGATCAGGAGGCGATCGCTATGTTTACCTCATAAACGTGACCGCTGACCAGCTGCTGAGTGAAAACAGTATAGCGCGGGGTGGGGTGGGGTGGGGTGGTTGGCGGGCTTATCGTCATAGGATATTCGAATGTATGCTTAAAAAGCTTTGGGACTCCCAGTCTACACAGTGAAGGCATGCTTCGTGGTACAGACAACTTTCATTTTACTCTTATAACTTTCTCCTTTAAATTAGAACTGGTATTAATTAATAGAGTTATCAATATATTTTTAACCGGGGTACCCATATGACCTTTTTGCTTGTCATCAGTGGCCCACTAAAATAAGGTGTCTTTTCCACCAGAACCTTTTATTTATGTTACAAGTACAGGAAGAAGTCGTTCGTTAGCGAGACGTTCATTATGTCTCAGGACTGCTTTTTTAATAGCAAAGATGGAAAAAACTTTGGTTCATCGCGTGGCTTAATTAGTTTGGTACGACTGTCTGAATGCAATGATGAAGTAAAACATCATTTGATAAGCTACCACCTGTCTAAAGAGGTCTTAAGTGAAAATGAGCTTATCATGGCAAGGACTGGCCTATTTCACCTCACTCAGGAGGATAGAGAAAAAATATGGATTTGCTATAAGCATCGCCACACTTTGGGGAAGTTTTGGAGAAGTGCAAAGGCAACATGTCAGTATCCTGACCATGATGGTGTCAGGAAGCGTATCCAAGAGAGAGATGTAATTACCTTGCATATGCCTAAGGACATTCAAAAGATTTTTGGAGTTATTACTTCAGTTGAATCAGGTAGTCTTCAGAATTGTTTCTGTTATCTATTTTTGTCTCTTGACATATCTACTCGAAAAGAGAAGAAACTCTTTATTACATTAAGGGTACTTAAGTGCACATCACGTTGAAAAAACATAGATCTGTGTGTAAATGCTTTTAATTGCAGATGAAAATATGTACAATGTTGCTTGGTTGATAATCAATAATGTTTTTGTAGAAGATCAAATCACCTGACAACGCAATACACTTATTCATGCGTACGGTTCACAATTATTTGTGGTCAGTTTTCCTCAGTTTGTATGATTCTCATTAACTAGTATGATTAAATTTGCAGACTAAAACACCCCTTATTTGATTAAGAATAATAAAAGTAAACAGTGCATGTCGGTTTTCAATTTCTGATGGATGCTACTGGGCTTCACTTTAACTGAGAAATTTGCAATCGCTTACATTAGCTCTCTGTGTCCCATGCCGTAAGAAGCACAAGAAAAAAGTTGATGATAGTGAGTCTTGGCTGAGACGAGAAGAATCAGAGAAGAATCTACAGTCCTCAGAAACGCCACTTTTAAACACGAGACTACTAAAGTAAATTGAATTAAGTGGTATTTGTAATAATGGAAAACTATCTTTCAGATTATAAGATACACGAATTACTCTCCCCACCGATTTTTTCTTGCATTCTGTTAATCAAAATTTTCAGTAATTATTAAGGCTTTCTTGTTGATCGTCTTAATAGTAACAGTTTCCAGGATCTAAGGGGAGCAAAAGATAGAACAATTTTCTGTGTAGTTAGGTAAGGCAACGTGCCGGCTTTATATTTCTTCCGGCATGATAACGATAATGATGACAACAATGGGTAAAAGAAAGCACCGTCCGCTAATAATGACGATTATCATAGTTATAAACAAATCTCAGTTATAGTCCTGAGAAAATCTCAGGGGGTCCTTTAAACCATCCACTTCATCTCGCCAGAAGTCAAAGTTGCCTACACTCATTCTAAGGTTCGTGCGATTTTACGACGAAGTTTCAATTCCGGTGTGTTGCGCGCGACTTTTGATAGAACCAAAATATGTATATATATCAAAAAAAGATCCCATTATGCTTTGATGAATTCTGACGCTGACAAATAAGAGAGCAGTGAGACACAAACATAAAATAATCAAAACTTAGAAGAACGTGTCAGCTGAATGAATCAAATCTCTATCATTTTGCATATATTCTTGGGAACATCAAAAATGACCTGGAACAAAAATTCTAAGTATAGTGTTCATTCCGTGAAATGGGGCATGATTAAAAGTTCTGGTGGAAAAGACACCTTACCTTATACCACCGATGATAAGCAAAAAGGTACCACGGTTAAAAACATATATATTATTGATAACTCTATTAATTAATACCAGTTCTAATTTAAAGGAGAAAGTTATAAGAGTAAAATGAAAGTTGTCTGTACCACGAAGCATGCCTTCACTGTTTATACTGGGAGTCCTAAAGCTTTTTAAACATGCATTCGAATAACTTATGACGATAGGCCCACCAACCACCCCACCCCACCCCGCGCTATACTGTTTTCACTCAGCGGCTGGTCAGCGGTCACGTTTATGAGGTAAACATAGCGATCGCCTCCTGATCACCGTTCTTGTCGATCCGAAAATCAAACTACCAGCGTGATATTGCCTCGAAGATGAAGCAGTTATGTTATTTGATTCGTACTTCACATTCGAGTCGAAGCTGGGGTGGCACAGGTCATTTCTTGCGGTGGAATCGACGAGGGAAATTCGAGCACTAGTTTTAGTTTTTGAATTGTTGGAAGAAATGGTCGCATGGGGATGTAAGAATGGTAAGTTTAACGAACAATTTCAAATTTTGCCGCTTGAATTGAAAGTGAAGTTCATTTGAATTGCTTTCGTATGTATTTCTGACGGTCTTAGATCTACCTGCTTGATTTATATCTGCTACGCTTCATGTTGACGAGTCCCACAAAATGGCCAGCCAAACTTAGAGATTGCCGAAAATTAGGTAAGTTCACGGAGTTATAAAGTTTTCGTAAAGGTCGGGCCGCAAAGTTTTTTTCTGTAGGTACCTTTTCTATGGCACCTTCTTCCTAACTTTGTTAGTTGTATCAGTTAAGAACACCTCACTTTTTCAAAAATTTACCTTGAATTTGATCAGTTTTCGCGTGTGTGACTTAAGCGAACCGACACGGTGTCATTCAAGTCTTCCTGTTTCCTTGATTGACACATGATGTTCACAAAAGTCACCTCAATAGATAAGATAGAGTTAATATACATGGCTGGGCTATTTTTTTTTTGCTGAGTTCCGTAGTTTTTTGTAAATCGTCCTCCAAACTTGTCTCAAATTAATGTCTTGAAAAGTGTCACGACAAGCCTTCGGTCGAGCGAAATTTAATTTCCGTAAAACTCTGAAAAATAGAGAGATCCGATCAAACGGATTGTGATTTTAGTATAGGTACATGAATGTCTTACAACACACAAGAAATGAGTGAAATCCGTGTCTCAAGCAAAATCGACCAGACCGCTCTTACAGAGACACTCTTAATTTCGGCATACGATGCGCTCAGAATCTCTTTTATTATACAGTTTCACATAAGAGAGCGCATCAAGGGTTTTATCCGTGACGCGTGCTAATGCCCAAAATAAATGCATGAAGCGTGGATTTTACACAAAGGCAAAGCAAGCTGAGAATTGAAGTTTTTCCTTTTTTAAAACGTGTGAGGCGTGAAGTTTTCTAAAATTCGTGCTCCCTTTGCTACTTTCTGCCTTGGACACCGGGAAACTTTGTTGGAAAATAGCGGTTCCTTCACCTAGCATATTTAATTGGAGTTCCTTTATATTAGGTAAGATTAAAGGATAGTTTTTCAAACTTACATGTATAAATCTAACTATAGAGTCTAACCCTTCTGACTGTCTTTTAAATGATAATTTGCTATGTGACTGAAGCACGAGTTTTCTATAGCCTTCGGAGTTTAAACTCGAGTCGGTAATTAAGCTTTTTTTTAAAACGAATCAAATAGCGCGAAGTACACTTTTAACTAAAATTGCCTTCGTGTTTCGTTAAAATAGTACAATAGTATGAATTTCTCTTAATTTACAGAAGAGCTGCAACCTTTAAGAACTGTAGATGTCAAGGAACACCCGAGCCGATGAGATGCAAAGGATCCTTGCTAATGTGAATATCTAGATGCAAGCGTAGTCAAGCTAGAAAGAACAGGCTTTGATCGAATTCCTCATAAGATCGCCTTGGGAAACAAAATGTAATGATGATCAGTGCGAAAGGACTCAAGAGAGTGCAAATATACAGTAATAATTGCTATGGAAGCTGTTACTTTCGTTAGTACCTATTTTAGTAAATTCGTTCCCTGGAACGGGTAGAAGAGTCCATAAATACTCCAACATTCCTTCGTGCATGTGTTTGTGGTATGTGTGCAACAAAATCGAACAAATTGACCTTTCAGGCTTTCTGAGATAAGAGCGACCTTGCAAGATAAAAGACCAATACTTGAAAGTGCACAAAAGTTTTGTCTAAATTTATAGACTACTTTATCTACGAGTCAGTCTTTGATTTACTAATAATTTTTGAATACTTAGTTTCCAGGGTTCTTTCTCATTGTCCCTCAGAAAAGAATCCAAGTATGGGGTTGAAGGTCTTGATTGTGGCCGGATAGCAGGAAGCTGTAGTCGTTAAAAAAATGCGATAGTGTCTCTCGTACACAAGTTTTATTATATTCTATTATCAATGATTATTGAACATAACTCTTCAGCTAAGACAAGTCAAAGTGGTCCAGTTATTGTATTCACGCCTCCTAATCTTCTGGCGACACACTAAGAGGAAAGTAACCCGTGGCTTGACTGGACTTCTTGCGTGACATCCAAATGATTCCCACAAGGCAGAACACAGAAATTGTTGACATGGAAACCACTGCTGGGACGGTTACACCTACAAGCAGACATTCAACAAGTTACGTTGTGATCTATAGATCTTTCTTTTTGACAACAGCAAACAACATAAATGTCGTTACATCCTTTGATAGGGTGTTTCAATAAAGGTTCCTAGATTGCCAAAGCTTTAGGATAGATTATTTTATGTTTGTGTGTCACTGCTCTCTTATTTGTCAGCGTCAGAATTCATCAAAGCATAATGGGATCTTTTTTTGATATATATACATATTTTTGGTAATATCGGTTAAACTCCATGTGTACGTGGGTAGGAAGGACAATGAATGACTCAGTCGATTGCATGAAACGGCTGTCAGTGAGGGAGCCAAGTGCGAGGGAAACTGCTTCAAGAACTTTTTCCCGGTAAAAACATTGTAGCTAGTTAATCCGGTATTATTCTTTACCACTAAGAGTTGATCCAGCGTCTTCTTCATCAGCATAAAATGTTAGTGGTCCCTGGGCCAGCGAGTATATTTTGTCATCAGTGGTGACGTCACGCCTTCTCCTATCTCCTCGAAGGCATCCTTGAGCGCATCTCGACTTTGGATCTTTTGAGTCACAAACCCTTATTTGGCAATGGACAAAAAGGAATGGGTGTTTGGCAATGAATTTAAAGCTTTCTGTGGTGAATCGGAAGGTGCCTACAGAAGATGACTTCATGATACTGGTAGTTTCATCCACAGGGCACCTGAGGATATCAAAAGAAACGTTTATCACTGCTTAGGAATATGCATCAGTGCTTAAATTAAAGAATACAAGAACTTGTGTATCAGAATAAGTGAATAAGCCAAAGCACCCGGTACTGTAGAAAAGTGCAGCTATTTTTTCCTTTACATTATTTCCTATTCTCCTTATAAAACCCAAGGTTTCTTCCATCTCTGAAAACCCAGTTGCGGTGAGAAATTCAAGATTTTCACTCAAGTGTAATAAAAGCATAACTAACCCGTTGGTAATGAGAGGATATGATGTACCGTGTTTACTATCTTGCGTGGGAGTGGCGACACAGTTTTCGCCCAACACTGACAAAGTCTTGTCCTTGGATTTCACAGATGCCTCGAAGTACAGATCTTGCCTTAGTTTGACTTGCACTGGGTAGTCTTTTTCAGTATAGCGTGACTTAAACCTAGTGGATAAAAAAGAGAATCACATGTTTGATGCTAAATATGATGAATGTGTAAGTATCACACTTGTCAGGAGTCAACTGTGGTTCTGCGTCGGTGGGAGAGTGTAACAGGGTAATTTTAGCATTATCAAATTAGTTAATAACGTAAATTGGCCACCGCTTTGAGGGTTAGCTCTTCGTCAGAGGGAATGACAGCGGTCTAACGCTTTAAACGTCTAACGGTGGCCAATTTACGTTATTAACTCAGTTGATAACACCAGCTTGCCCTGTCATCACGAGTCAGTCGGTTGGTCTGGTAATGTCATAGGCGAAAAATGAATATTGGTAATAGCCTAGACTACGTTTTTAACTTCTCTCCAAAAATAATAAAATGATGTAAAAAAGGATTGATACTCTATGATGTTCGTAGTTCAATTTCATGTAGTAAGGGCCGTGCAGTAACAAAAATATCAGCAGGTCATCTTTGAAATAACTCCTCTGAATTAAAATTTACTTGGCTATGTTGACTATGAAAACAATCGACGAAAACACCGACCAGTCAGTGATGTATGATCTCATGAAAATAATTATACTGGTTGCCATGAATCCATACAGTTGGAAATGAATTTTCTTAATTATCGGTGGATTATCAGGAGGAAAAGAAATCCATTGATATACTCATTAGATCCGGTTTAAATTGACGAAAATTCACTTTTCCATTATAGAGTAAAAATACCACGGCACTGACTTACTGTTGGTCTGAAAACAGATCCAGGGCAACCGTAAATTTTCCTTTTCCATCTTCGTCAAACACCAGTTTCTTGGTATCAGCTTGGACTCCAACGGCGGTTGCAGCTTCAGTATTTTTATAGTAGCAGCTGAAAGGAATCTCAATCTCGCGAACTCTCGTTATAATGGCGTCATTTTTTACGGGAATCTCTAAGACAGTGTTGCTGTAGACCACGGCACCCTTACCGAATCTTGCGGTTGTTCCACAACCGGTTAATGCAGTATTAAGGGTGAAGTGGGTTTTGGTTTCCTTGGCAACGCATTTGACGTCTTGGAGAGTGACATGTTCACGGTTCAAACCGAGGAGGAGGTTCTTTGGTAATGTGATTGACATGTCATTTTGGCCGCACTTAACGGAAACACCGGAAGCTGAGAGAAACGAACAATAATTTAGTTAATTATAGAAACCGTCATAGAGGAGAAGAATGCATTTTCTATTAAAAGTGAATTCCATCTTGCGTCAATTGTGGTAATTTTAAGCTCAAAATGATGTCATTTGGCTGCTTACCAACACAATTGCGACCATCTGGCGCCAGCGTCAACTCGGGGTCGGGGCAGGAACAGATAAAGCTACCTTTGGTGTTAGTACACTTGTGAGAACATCCGCCACTTTTTACGTTGCACTCATTGACATCTGCAGAGTAGGACAACACAGCATTAATTGCGTTGGATTTCTTCAATTTTCCTACCGATGTGTCACAAGCTGTTTCACCGAAAAGCATTGGGAGTACAGTAGTTTGCATAGTATGATAGAGTAATACAAGATAAAAGTGTAGAATGTTTAGAAGTTTAGAAAAACTTAAGTGAAGATACAAAGTTCAACTCTGAAAATGATTAAAGCTGAACACTTAAAATTTTAAACGAAACTATATGTAACGGATTGTCGTACACAAGCATTTTTCAGCAGATCTCCCATACTTTCTTCCTCGTTTCAGTTTTCAGTTTACAAAATACCGTGATAGCTTTACATTTAAAAAATTGATGCTGTCAGAGAGACATGGAAAAAGGAATTTAACATCTCAAAATCCATCTTGTTTCTTATCTTAGGAAACATACTGAACATGAATTCCCAAAAGTTCATGCCCTTACCTTTTCCACTGGTGGGCGATTGACTCAAGGTAAACGCCAAAGTTATCAACAAGGAAACACCCGAGATTGACATGATAGAAGGCGAAAGGACGGAGCTGTACAATGCAGTCTATGTCCTCCGGTAAAGAGCAAAAAAAGCATATGAGGGTTTTTATTTAAATCGGCGAAGGATCGCAAATTGCAGTCTGCTTATTTGACAATTCACGAAAGACAACAGTGCATATTTGATCACAAAAGATAATCATTGGCACCAGAAAGGAAAATGATGTGAAATAAAAGAACGCATACCAACGTACTAGTGTAAGTAAAAAGCTGTTGATTAATCTAAATTCATTTTTGCTGAGCATCATGCACATTTTAATTCATTTGTTAACGATAAATTTCTTTTTTGTGAAGGAGTTGACACTCATTACGTAACTTTCTTTTTAAATTATGCAACTCTTAGTTGAAAGAAATCAACTACATTGAAATCATAAACAACAGCTTCGGAAACTCTCTTATTTTTACAAACTTTCATATTGGCTGTATGAAAATCGGAAAAAATGACAACAGCATATCTTAGCACGCATTGTGGACAAATATGTTCTAACAGTGTTCTAATTGGTCAACTGTCGGGGCTAATGAACCAGACAAAGAAAAAGTTACATCATCCCTGTTGTCGTTCATTCCACCATTTCACTAACAACTAGGACAATAACGTCCTATGGGGAAAATTTTTCAAGCGGCCGATGTACAGTTTGACGACTTTATTCCTTTGACAACCTGTTAGTTTACTAAAAAAAACCAAAAAACAAACAGACGTGCTTGGCTCTTTTGATGACGATATCCCTATGAACCAATGAAAAGCTGAGAGAAAAAAAAGGCTTTATCTGTATATAAAATGGCCATGATATCGAGCTTAAATTTTTATCTTTGAAGCCAGTCGAGTTCTGAGGCTGTGCGTTTTGAAACATGAGGGTTGTTGCGGTAATAACGTTGGTTTTCGGCTGTACCAACCTTGTTAATGGTTACGTGGAGTCCCTCGAAGGTCCTACTGCAACTGAAATGGGACAAAGCAGTGATTTTCTTCATGGAAAAACATTCATAGAAGACGAATCGTCTGGTGGTTAGTATATTTGTTAACAAGATACAAAAAATGACCGACAGGATTCTTCCCTTTTCAAGACCATTTATCTCTTTAGAGATAAGAAGACATTTGAAATTGCCTGTTTACGTTATGTATTTCGTGTTGGTTGAAAATTTTCTTTAGTTCCCCCAATCATCCCGTGTATCCCCAATCCCTGCAAGAGAGGAGCAAAATGTCTGCCGACCCGTGGGAATGATTTCACTTGTAAATGCCCGGCGGGCACCACCGGAAAAACTTGCAATAAAGGTAAGCAAGCTGCTTGAAGATAAATATCATCTTTCACATGTTCTGTTCATTTGAATGAGGTGGTTGTCAGTACCATATAATCGTGTCCTTGTGTGAAGGCCACGTGAAAGATCCTTAGATGAATGTCAAGTATAGTTCTTAAATATGACGTATTTGAATAAAATGGGGTATTTTTGTGGTTTTTCCTCTGTTTTGTTGACCTGTATCGTTTTTCTGTTACGCGAGATCCCCCAACTGATTTCAAGATAAAGTTAAAACGAAAAATTGTCACCAAACGACATCTGGACACTGTTTGCGTACAGCGCGCGTAATATTCATTTTAGTTGAACTGTTGTTACAGATGTCGACGAATGTGCAAACAACAATGGCGGATGCTCGCACGATTGCAGCAATACAGATGGAAGTTATGAATGTCTTTGTCCTGATGCAGAGCTGTCATTAGCTGCTGATAAACATACTTGTGAAGGTAAATTGCAGCCGGAAAAGCCCGGAAAGAACTTAAAAATCCAATTCAAAGCATAGAAATACGATAAGACGAGTATATCTACAAACTATATTTCATTTGAAATAGATTTAACTGTTTTTCGGCTTTCTCAAACTCAATGGGAATAAAAAAAACTAATTCTTTCAAAAGAAATTATTTCGGAAAATGTATTTCGAAAAAGATATTCCCTTGCTATCAAAGTTAACAGAAAATAAGGTTTCAGCCTTTGTATTTATTCCTAACTCTTTGAAGTTATCATAAAAGTCCATATAATGACAAAAATTCATCTCGTTTATTTCTGAAAGCCCGAGGAGTTACCGTCCAATGTCTGCAAAACCATATGTCGCACCATTACTGAAGAAGGCAAAGTAAAAACAAGTAAATTATCTGAAGCGTGGTAAACTGCAAGCGAACAGGTCGCAAATGGTATTAATTTTGCCTCTGATCGGTTAAGATGGTAGCAAAGAATGAAATAAAACCAGTATAAACCAAGCTTGCTTGCGGCAATGGATTGAAAAATTATTGTTTACAACTAACACAGTTTATCCTTTTTCTAGCTCAAGGAGTCACTGTGGATTGTCGTCAAAATGACATGTCCATTAGTATCCCCAAGCCCATACTCAAAGGAATGGACAAGGAACATCTTCGCCTCCTGGACCCGAAGTGTGGAGCAACAGAGACTAAAACGCATTTTGGTCTCAAAACGCCGCTGACTGGCTGTGGCACTAAAAGAAGGCACACCAAGGCCGCCATTGTGTACAGTAACGAGGTCCTAGAGATTCCACTGAAAAAATCTGATCTCATCACACGCGTCAGAGAGATTGAGATCCCATTCAGTTGCTATTATTCCAACAGCAGATTGGCTACGGCTGTTGGATTAAAACCAAATAACAGAAAACTGGTCTTCATGGAAAAAGGGAAGGGAAAATTTACAGTTGTCTTGGAGATATTTCACAGTCAAGGGTAATGTTAAAGGTCCTTACGAGTTTCTTAACTCCCTTAAAATAACTAATAACGAGGAGCCAATGAGATTTAACTACTCTAACTACGGGAGAATAACTGCAACCCTGTAGTTTTGTTTGAACATCTGCTTATTTCTTGAGGTGGTGGCTAAGATCACTTAGTGTGCGGAGTAAAGGTTATCAACATTTGAGCAGTTATCAACTCCGTTTACCTGCTTTCATTCCTCTTCTATTGGTTCTTGTCCAATTTTTTTAAATGAAATATGCAGATTATTGAATGTACTGCGTTTACGCGTTAATCGCTCTTAAAATTTGCGACACTTAGATTGTGTTCTATGCTGAAAGTCATTGCAAACGATGATTTTAATACCAGGTTCTAGAGATCTTTAAATACCGTAATTCGTTCATGTCAATAAAAAGACCAAACTTCAACTTGCATTTCTTTTTCGATCAGCACATTGACAAAGAAAAATGACCCAAGGGATCTTTTCTGTATTTAAGCTTTCCTTATAAAATATAATAATGCAAAATAGAATTCGTCTATTTATAGACAAGTTATTGAGTTTAAGCAAAAAAAGCTTCTACATGCATAATTTCATTTATCTCTTTTTTTTGCAGATTCACCACAGCGTACGAATCCGATGATTTTCCTATATCTTTGAAACTCCGCCAAAGTATGTTCGTACAAGGAAGAGTCGACAGCAAGGATAAAAAGCTATCAATTCTGCTTAAAAAGTGTTTTGCCACGCCCACTGCTAACGAGAGTGATGCCACAAAACATAATATCATTTCTGATGGGTAAGCCTGTTACATCAGTATCTCTCTCTTTTTTTTGTCCTAGAAACTCTTTTGTCAATTTTACATAACATCGACATTGACATTTTTTACAAATGGAAAATAGGTCCGAGGTACGTGCACCTGGTTACTTTAATAATTTATCTTTTTTATTCATCTTACAGCTGTGCTGTCGACGATACAGTCCAACAGCTTCCCTCCCCAGTAGGCAAATCTCGTTTCAGTCTCGAAGCCTTTCAGTTCGTCAAGCAGCCCTTCGTTTTTATACACTGTCACGTGGTTATCTGCAACGCATCTGACCTTAAGTCGAGGTGTGCCCGAGGATGTGAATCGGGTGGCCGAGTGAGACGCGAGCTTGGAGAACAAAAGGTGTATTCGCTGGCACAAGGACCAATAACACTAGACTATCAGAATGCTTATGAACAAGAAGATGAGAAGAATACTAATGATAAACCTGCCAAAGAAGGTAATTTGAGTAAGCTCACCACTATCTTTACTGATTTGATGGTTGGCAATAGTACAGGCATTCTTACAGATGGAAATTAAGATCAAACTAAATCCTCTTGCTACTCGTTTTTTGTAAAATGGGTAATATGTACTATCCGGGGCAAGTTTCATGATCACTTTGATTTAAATTTATGAAAGGAAAGCTCGATTCGAGCTCACAACCAGCCCAAAATATCAGCTCACGATTCGGAATGATCACACCAACAACAACAACAACAACAAAAACAAATTTAAGAACCTTTAGCTTAATAAATGATTAAAATATAGATTCAGAATTTTTCTGTTATCACTGTGATGACATTTAAATGAACGACATCATTTGTTTTACTTTGTGGGATCACCTTTTTCCTTTTATTTTATGATAACTCCAATTTAGCATTGAGTTTTATTTTGTTTTGTTTTTTGTGCTTCAAATTTTAAGTAACAACTGTGAAATTTCTTTTGACTTTTCAGCGGATGTGAACATCCCAATCCTTGCTGCTCTGGCCGCCTTTACAGCTCTCACTGTGCTCGGTTTAGCGTTCACAGCAAGGAGAAGACTGTTAAAATAACTCTGTCAATTTCAGTGCAAAAAAGAAATGGAAAATTCCTGTAAAAGCTTCAGTTTACCGAATAAAAAACTGTTGTTGAACTATTCCATGGTGTTTTTCGTCTTCAAACTTCTTTGTTGTGGGAGATAATATGTATTTTTGCGTCGCACTTGCAAACCAATCCTAATATTTAAATCTTCTGAAGCACGCTTTAGTTTACTGTTAAACCACAGGAACGCTCTTTTTATCTCAAATAATAAATGTTCAACTCTTTGTTTACAAATTCCAGATTATGAAAACTCCGTAGGTCCATTAGAAAGAGAACATTTTTTTCTCACTGAAGTTGAACTGGTCCTGTAGACCTGCATAGTTAAAGAAAGTTGAAACTCTCGCCTCTTTCGTATCCTGACAGTCTTATCTACTTGCCGGGATAAACTTCGCTGTGATAGCATGCGCAGAATGATAGGACAACCTGATAAAAGCGTTTGCCACTGAACCTACCTGAATACGAGAAAATTGCGAAAATATTCTTTTCCCCTTATAAACAGTTTGCTTAGCTAAAGCTCTATTCTGGAATTTACAATAGATGGTAACAAAAATTTGGTACACATTAATTTAAAACGCTCTCGCCTATTGATCAAAAGTCAATTGAGGTGGACGTAATATTTGCTCGTCATGACAGGGTTTGCATTTTAGCAGTTAAAGGGGAATTTCCTCAAAACGATTCAATTCTTGGTAAAGCGTGGGAATAATACAGACTTGGCTAAAAAGGACCGCTCTTTACCTTGTACCTGCTAAGCAAGTGCAGAGTTTCATTCTTTGCTTTACAGTCTCGCTACTACGATGTGCAAATTTCGTAATCGCTATAGTTTATCATACATCAAAAGCTCTCTTGATTTATCTATTGTGTTTTAAGGACAAAGACATGGAAATTGGGCTTTTAACAAGAATAGATTTACTCGTGACCAGAGAGCCAGAAAAGCGTATCTTTCAGCCTAAGAAAAACACAAATTTAAAAGAGACGTTATTTAGCACAAATAGATTTACACTTCGTTCATCCAGTCATTTTCCCATTATTTCTCTTTCAACATATTTTCGGTAAAATTTTTCAATATTATCTAATACAAATCTTAATTTTCCAATGCTGGACATTTGTGTAATCTATATCATTTAATATAAAACTGGCATAGGCAAACCGCTGGAGTAGGAGGACTGGGCGAAAATAAACTACCAAGGTGCAGTAATAAAGGCAAACCTCTCTGTAACCAGGTTAGGTCTAAATTATTCTTCTTAATTTTTTTTTTCTCAGTTCTTTAGCGGGTGGTATTCGACAACTCTATAACCAGTCTTAAGGCTTTGTAACACCTTAGAAAAAGCACTCGAAAAGTGTTATGGCTGGAGATACGAGTGTTGCGAGGGGCTTAGTGTTGTTTGGTAACTAACAGCACCAAAGTTCAAATGCTCTTCACAGAGTTTTGTTGCGCTCACTCAAACTTGTATGTGGGTTACCGGCCACATAAATGCAAATTCCGAAAAAATGTTTTAATAGATATAAGCCAAAAGAATTTGATTTATTTATTGCATATTTTTCTCTTTTTTCCAACCACACAGTGGACAATTTTGATCGAAACTAAGAACTGAAAAAAAAAGCAAACGCAAGCAAAAATTTTGTGTAGACTTTTTTTAACAAACAATTTCCTTATGGAAAAGAATAAAAAATCACATAGCTAATTGCGTCGTATTCTTTTATAATTTCATTTCTTTAGTTTGATAAGAAAATTAACCGCTGGAAAATTAAGGACGAACAAAGAAGTTTTGATACATGAATGATTTCAGTGGATGTCGACCGTCAAATTTACGCCACTTTCAGTATCACCTTGTGTTACTAGCTTTTCCATGCTATTCATTACTCGAGAGGGAATTACATCATTCTTTTATTTCTCCATCGCTGTGAACTCATAGTTTTGTTTCACCTGGAAATTGCGCATGCAGACAACTGTGAGAAAGAGCATTTTTCGCAGTTTTCGGTCATTTCAAAGCGAAGAAACCTTTTCTGTTGGATGAAACACACCTTTCTGGACAATAAAAAGTCGCAAGAAGATGGCTTTGTAGAAAAAAATAAGATGGCCTCGCAATGATTAAACAAGGAGTCAAACCCCCTCAAAAGAGACAAGAAATCTGAAAATTTATCGTCTTTAGAGAGGACCATGAAGTTCAATTTCGCAACTGTTTTGATGCTTTGCAACGCTCTCTTCGTAAATGGCAAAGGTCTCATACAAACAGAAAAAGATCAGATTGATACTGCTGACCTGCTTAAGCAACTGCAAGAAACTGAAGATGATTATTTCCCTGGAAAAAGTGATAACCGTTTACCTCATAAAACGTTCCTGGAGGACTCATCTGATGGTAAGAGCACTATTCTTTTGAATCCAGTCACTTTCTTTATCTCTTGGGCAAACTTTCAGGAGTCAGCACCACTCTTAGTTCCATTATTTCTTAATCATTTCGATTTGCGTAACCAACTGATCGTTTGTCCCATCATATCTTACAACAACAACAAAACAAAATGGAATAGCTTTCCTCGTGATATAAATTACGTTCAATATCAAGTTAAATTATTCAACCGTTAACTTTTATTGCTCATGTGTACTAGCTTTAGATTTCAGGCTCAGCTACATAAACTGATCAATGCGGCTACAAAAAACGAAGGAATGATCGTCATATTGTCTTATTTTTGTCTTGAGCGCTTGTTGGAACAATTTAAATGACCTGGGATTTCAACTTGTTCCCTACGATTTGAGAGACTAAGGTTGATTTATATAATTAATGTCCTCGGTGACAATAGTGTCACTAAACCCCTTTCGAAAAAGAGATAGGAACTTGATAGCGGTAGTTCTGAAGATTTGTGGTTGATGATTAGATTGCAAACAAAAACTTCGGTTGTTTGACTTCTTGTACTTTCTTAGAAGGATATTCTTAATTACGTGCATTTCGATTGAGTATCGTAAAACTGAAACCAAACATGCTAATCGCAATGGCCAATCAGAAGAAAGTAAAATAGCTTTAGGAGCCAATGAGAATTAAACTGCAGACAGCGCGGGAAAACGCATGGAGCAAGTCGTGATTTGTTTCACTTTTGAATCTTATTGGTTGAGAGAGTGGACCAATCACAGAGCGAAGTAAAGCAAAGCCAAAGGAATCCCGGATTATTCTCGAAACTCGATTGAAAAAGAGAAGACAAACTTGACAAAAAATTGAATTATCTGAAGCGTGGTAAACTGCAAGCGACCAGGTCGCGAATGGTATTAACTTTACCTCTGATCGGTTAAGATAATTGCGAAGTATAAAGTACGCACTACCAGTATAAAGCAAGCTTACTTGCAGCAATCGATTGAAAAATTATTAAACGAATATCTAAGCGATCCTCGCAGTTATGAACATTACTCGATGCTTGAGTAGTAGTGAAAATAAGGCCTAAAAAAAATCCGGCCTCCACTACTTGAATAGTGTTCATAACTGCGAGGATCCCTTACATATTTGTTTCTTCAACCGAAGTTCACTTAAATGATTTTCATGTATTTACAGTCATTTATTCACCACTTCGAGGGTTTATTTGGAAACAAAATAATAACCAGCTTCCAGTTGGCTTGTTAGCTCAGTTTTTTTCAGGCCTTGTTTTCACTTCCACTTAAGTAATGTTCATAACTGCGAGGATCGCTTACATATTCGTTTCCTCAACCGCAGTTCACAGTTCTAGAATTTCTTATATTTACCGTCATTTGGAAAATTATTGTTTACAATTTTCAAAATTTATTATTTTTCTAGCTCAAGGAATCACTGTGTATTGTCGTCAAAATGACATGTCCATTACTATCCCTAAGCCCATACTCAAAGGAGTGGACAAGGAACATCTTCGCCTCCTGGATCCGAGCTGTAAGGCGACAGAAACTCCCATGCATTTCAGTCTCCAAACGCCACTGACTGGATGCAAGAGTTCTCGTAGATCATCCAAATCTGCCATTGTTTACAGTAATACGGTCCTAGAGATTCCCCTGAAAAACTCAGATATTATCACACGCATCAGAGAGATCGAGATCCCCTTTAGCTGTTACTATTCCAACAGTGAAATCGCTGCAGCCGTTGGTTTCAAACCAAAGAGCAGAAAACTAGTCTTCTTGGAAAAAGGGAAAGGAAATTTTACGGTGCTTTTGGAATTTTACCATAGTAAAAGGTACGAAAGAATAAGCGTATCAGTGTAGGTTTGTAGTGGTTTGATGATCTATCACTTATATTATCTCGTCTCGGGTGGCTAAAGCTTTTTATCGATCTAAAGTGAATATGGAACAAGGGCTAAATAAATTTTAACCCTTGAAAAATACCAAATATTCAAAGATTTTTTCTTAAAATAATTTCACCAATCTCTTTTAGATACATCAAGCCATACGGTCCTAAAGATTTTCCAATACCTTACAAACTTCGCCAGCAAATGTACTTACAAGGGAAAGTAGATAGCAAAGATAAGCGGCTGTCAATTATGTTTGAAAATTGTGTCGCCATACCCACTCCTGACGAAAAGAACGCTGTAGGACTCCAAATTTTAGCTAATGGGTAAGTGATTAATTTCTTCACATCTTTCATCGAAACCATTACTTTATTGTATGGAAAAATAATGAGATTATGAAGGAAAGTCAATTGAGACAGAGTACATTTTAGTTGATTTGTTTTTTTGTCCTTCTCTTGGTAACAACAATTTATTGTCGTGAAGAGAGAGGCTACTTTACTATTAATTCAGCCCAGAAATTAAACTAGGAAAGTAGCGACAGCCCATCAAATAGAGAAACAAAGGAGCCGATCAGAACTCCAGGTAGACAAATGGAGTTCGATACGAACAAAAGCATCAACAAACTTTATTTAACTCCTTTCTTATTAATAAAATTTATGGATATATTAATGATATAAATAAAAAAATAACGCGCTTCTGATTGGCTGAAAACGAGTCCATTTTCCATGTAGCGCGGGTGCAAATTGTAAATTGCGCGCGCTGTTAAAATTTTGTCTGTCTTGACTATCTGTGCTACTCTTTTTCACTTAAATTATAGATAAGTAATAACATTGTTTCTCGTGAAATTTGGAGCTAATAGGAACATGTTAATTTTTCAAAGACTACGAATTACATTCGCCCGTGAAGGAACGGGAAATGCTCGTGTTTGAGACCAGCCCTTCGTTAGAGCTCTGAAGAAGGGCTGACGCTCGAAACTTCAGCCTTTTAAATCTTTACGGTGGCCAAGTTATGCTTTAACTCAGTTGTTAACACTAAATTACCTGCCATACTCTCCCACCGACGCAGCACCAAAGTTTCTTTAGAAACTTACCCCCTTTATTCGTTAGTTCTTATTAGCTGAGAAAAAGACCTGTGCAGGGCTGAGAAGAGTCAAATGAGATAAAATTTATCTCTGTGACCTTGTGTATGGTAAAAAACATTTATTTGTTTTTTTATTTCCTCTCTCTGCAGTTGCGCCGTTGATGATACCGTTCAATTTCATCCCGCTCCCACAGGTTATTCTCGCTTCAGCATGGAAGCCTTCCAATTTGTTAAGCATCCCTTCGTGTTTATTCACTGCCATGTGGTGATCTGCGACGCATCAGATTCTCAGTCAAGATGCGCCCGAGGTTGCGTGCCGAGTCCGCGGCGAGAGCGACGCGGGATCGAAGAAAAACGAGTCTATTCGTTAATTCAAGGACCACTAACGATCGATGACTCTTCGGAAGAATTTGAACCATCGAATGACGAGACGGCGCAAAACCCACCGGAGATTGAGGGTGAGTAGAAGTTAAACGAGTAAAAATCCTTCGCTCATCTTGACTTCAAAACGATTTAAGTTTGCAGGTGAAAACCTGGATAAAGATATGAACTTTTAATGTGAGATGAACGTGCTAGTTCCCATTTAGAGGAAAGGATATATTTTGACTTGCACATAGATTAATTAGTAGTTCCCATTTAGAGGAAGGATATATTTTGACTTGCACATAGATTAATTAGTAGTGATTAAAGCCATAAATCATTTTTTTCCTCGATCAGTTGTCACATATCACCATGTTATGAGACAAGGATCTCGCTTTAATTACAAATAAATAAATTACGTTCTTCTTTATTTCGGTGTGCACATGAAAAATCGAAAAAAAAAACTCTCGTTAATATCCGCGTGTTAATGGACAAGTTATTGATTTCTGAAAGAAAAATTCTTTAACGCCCAGGAGAACATAAATTAGAAAAAGCTGATAAGAACAGGAAGTTGAATGATTAATTTTAATTTTCCCATCAAATTGGAATAGTGTGAATAGCATATAGAAATTAACCGTTTTTTTGGGCTTACAAACACAACTACGGTTCAGTCGATTAAAAACAGGGATAATTAAGGATGAAAGAGACTGTCGCGCACTGCAGAAGACGAAGTTTTTGTTGATAAAAAGAATATACTTAGGCTTTTTAAGATGTGTAGACTATTATGTGTCTCCATTGTAACAGAGGTTAAGAAGCTTTAAACTGTCATCATTTCTATTTCATTTCAGTTCAAGTCAATATGCCGATTGTGGCTACAATGGCCGCTGCGACAGCTTTTACTGTGTTCGGTGTCGTTTTTGTGGCTTTGAGAAGCAGACCACACCAGAATTGACGACTGACAGCGTAATTCTCGCTAAACTTGATAAAAATCAATAAAATGTTTCTTAAAACCTTTGTGATTTGTATCACGGTAGTACATAGAAATGCAAAACTTTGAGCCGTACATTTGAGAGAATTTCTCTACGATATCTTCCCGCATTAATCCTCTGTCATACAAATTTTTATGATGCTAGCTTAGAGAGTTTGGTGTTGGATCGATTAATAAATAAATCCCCTAATTGATATTTTTTAATAATATACAAGCAAAACAAAAAGAAAACAAGCATTTTTCATGTAACAAGTGCAAAGTTGTGACAAGAACGCAAGTTATAACACGAGTGCAAATTATAGATAGCACGCGCGCGCTGTCAAAACTTTTTCTGTCTTGACTTTACTGCGATGCCTTTTTCATGAAAATTTTTAATAAGTATTGACATGAGTTCTCGTGCAATTGGTTTAAATGAGCGCTTGTAAATTTTTCAAGGATTAAAAATTACACTCGTCCTAAGGATTCGTGCAATTTTGTCGTCTTCAAAAATTTACTTGTGCTTACTAACACCATGTTGCACTCGAAAACATGTTGTTACCCATACTTAATCTCATCACTTATATGCATGATATGGTATAGATATTCTAATGGGAAGTTCTGTCTTCGTAATTCATGGAGGGTTAAAGAAAAGAAAGCATCATTTTTTTATCTCTGACAATAGTTGCTCACACTCTACGTATTGTTTTCTCCTGACAATTTTTTTGTTGTTCTCTTTCCTTCACTTGTTTTGGGATCCCTTTCACAAAATAGTATTCTTGGTGGGAGAGAAAACCTAATGAAACAAATGATCGCTCGTTTCTAGAATAATCATGCATCTTCCTGCGTTGTCACTGTCGTTAAAAGTACTTTAAACATTATTCCAGCATATTAGTTCCTTGATAGTGAATATTAGTTCCGGCACTGAAGTAAATTTTTAATCACCAAAAAAATGAAAAACAAAGCACTTCTTAAAACAGAAACAATATGTTTCGCTGAAAATCTTCTAGCCCTCATGGGCGAAAAGGAATAAAACTGCATAATTAACCTTAAAAAAGGCCGCTGCGTGACAAGGTAATACACTAGTGTAATTAAATATTATCAACTGGGTTGATAACGTAAATTGGACATCGTAGAGAGTTTTAAAGCTGACATTTCGAGCGTTTGCCCTTCGTCAGAGCGAATGGCTAAGGGTTTCGAAATGTCAGCTTTAAGACTCTCTACGGTGGCCAATTTACGTTATCAACTCAGTTGAATATAATTAATTACCCTTTTATACCCTCATAATGACGCAGCACCACTGTTTTTTTCGAAAACAACCCCCTTAATACACTGGAGGTTGATTGTTGACTTCAGGCGGATTCAAGGGTTAGGATCAGCGATTGTGTCATTGTAGTTTATAGAAATGTAATTCTTTGAGGTGCGCTTGAGAATCTCATTACGATTTCTTTACAAATTAAAGCAGATTAATGCATCCTGTGGTTCTCCTCCTATCTTTGACAATCTGTACATTGCTTTTTTCATCTTCTCTTCAATATATGTTTGGTTCCCTTCAATATAATGGATATTGATAGCTTCGGTGAGAGAGAAAACTTCACGAGATATATAATGGCTCGTTTCTAGAATATTACTGCACCTTCAAGCATTATCACTATCGCTAAAAGTATTTTTAATCATTATTCAAGCTTATTGATTCTTTAAGACACATATTATTATATCGTACCAGTGATAATTGAAAGGAAATGACAACTAAAATAACTCATTCACGCAGATAAGTCGCAACAGCTGCCAATAGCTAAACCTATCCTTCCCTGCTGGGGACGTAGGCGGGATACACGAACGAAAAGTAAATTTAAATATAACAGCGCTTTTTTGGGAATAACTTGTACTTTAAGCATACTTTGAGAAATTTGAATAAATTTTCCAATGAAAAGAAAAAACAATGTGTATTGCTGCACAGTTGCACTGTCAAATCTGAGGATCTAATCGTTAGCACAACAAATAGAACTATATAATTAGGCGTGATAAAGCTGCTACGTGACAGTATTAGTTGTTAACTTGAAGGGTAGGAGGAATTAATTACTTTACTTGAATAGCAAATTTTTTTTTTTTTTAAAGGGCCTGATGTTAAACGTGACTGAAAGCTTCCTTCTGTACCTATCCGAAGCGAAATATTTGACAAACCATTTCTCTCACCATTTCACGAAGCTCGCGGTATCGCCAACAATAAATGAGTGGGTTTAGGGAGGAATTTAGTAGCACCAAAAACAAGGAAGCGCGATTAGCAACCAGAAATGTCATTTTAAATCTGTCAACTAACATCAAAACTGAGCAGGCTAAATTTGGAACGTAGCAAACCATTAAGACAATGTAGACAAGCAACGCGCTGATGGCGGATTTCTTTTCCCGAAGAACTTTCACGACGTGGTCATTTTGCAATTGGCACTGGGTCTGAATTTGATTCCTGTGATATCTTGCAATTTTGTAAATATAGATGTATATTGCAGTAGATACGGCAAGTCCATATAGTTGAGCTGCAACAACAACTGCAAGGTTATAACGTGGTATTGAGATAAATGCACTTGCAATAACAAAACTTATCAACCACACGGTCATCAGGACGATCCATACCCGCTTTGAAGTGACAAGTCCTTGGTATCGTAGATGGAGAGAGATGGCCAGAAATCTATCTACAGCAATTGCGCTAATGGTGAAGAACGATGCCGAGACCATAGTTAATATAAGGAACATAAAGAGACTTATAGTTGCTGGGCAAAGCATGTGAACTGTTTTGTTGTGGTTTCCATTTGCTTCCTTGTACAAGACGATCGCAATAATTGCACCTAACATTAACTGCACAATTGATCCTACTGCCAAGTCGGAGACGGCAAGGTTTATAAACAACTTTCTTAAAGTTTCGGGCAATGACGACGCTTTCCAGAGAGCACGGATAACAAGTAGGTTTCCAAGAGTTGCAATGAAAGAAAACGCGAAAGTTAAGACGCAATAAGATAACATAAAAGTCCTGTGATAACGAACAAGTCTCTCGTATTCTTCCAGTTTCTCTCTGCAGAGGTCGGTAACCATATTGAATGGTTACCGACTGAATGAATGGTTATTCTCACTTGTTTTTCAATAAATCATATCCAGTTTTTGACGTTCTGTTCAAGGCTGTTTTATGAAAATTTGCATGGCGAACGGTAATTATCAAGAACCGATTTTATAAACGCTTTTCAAAGCAACAAAATTTTTGACATTGAACTATTATCCGCGGAAGAGTTTTTTTCTTAAACAAATTATGCAGATTTAGAAGTAGTACCTGCTCTTTTCGGTGGCTTCGTCAAATAAAATGTATGAAGGAACAAAGTATAATGTTGACCAACCTCTAGATGGATGAAACACAAAAGCAAGTAGTTAAATTAAAGCTGTTTGTTTTATGCTAATAACTCATTTCGATCTTCCAATATTATAAGACTACATTTAATACATGCAAGCTGTTATCCATGGGTAAAATAAACGCAGTTAAATGAATATTTTCAAATTAGAGCTGATTAGATGCACCATAAAACAAGTTTTTCTCCAGCGATTTTCGACAAATGAATTTTATTCCTCGTCTGATTTTCCCATGAAATCTTCGTAAACCTAACGCGTAAACAATTACTTGGACAAATATTTTGGTGGAAATAAAGTTAACGTACCAACAATTATTCCATTGTTCCGGCTGAGCTTTGAAAGCTTACCTGCGTATAATAAGCTAATGTGGAAAACTTTGTGGTGAAAGGAAGAATTTTCTCACAGATATCGAAAAGAATAGCAATGAATGGAAGTCTAGAATGCCACATTCAAGTCTGAAATCCGCGCGTTAAATATACGAATTAAGACGCTAAAAGCGTGAATAAGATATCGATGTTAAACAAATTTTCTAGCTTTTTTAACATTTAGGCTCTGTTTATATGGTTTCGGAGGGTTTTTAGGGGGCTGCCAGCTGCAAAAGCTGTCTTTTCACAGGTTAGACGCTTCTTAAAGTCCGATTATAATAATGATGATGATGATTATTATTATCATTATCATAATTAATTTCATTAAAATTATTATAGTTATCATTATTATTATATTAGACAAAATTTGAGCCTTCCCGTCTCGGGCAGGCGAGCCGAAGTATTTATATGAGAAGTTGTCCCCCCTGACATGGCTACCCTTCTTGCCGAGGCAGGACAACTCGACCTTCCGAGACGAGTTCGACATTTTCTTGAAAATGTTTAGTTGAGGCTTTCAAAGAAATAAGTGAAAAGCTAGCCCGGTCAGGGCAACTCGCGGGGGGGGGGGAATTATCATGGTTATCCGAGACCATGTAAATTCTCTTCACATCGTTCAAATTAAAAAAAGAAATATGTGTAATTTTTTTCTTTTTTGTCTTTTAATAACGCATGATAGCCTGACATGGGGAGGACGAGGGAAAAATTTGGAATTTAACACAAGCATGAAAGTTTGGAAAGAATTGTTTAAATTCAGTAATCATCCGAAAGGACAAAATCTGACACAAATTATTTTTTTAATTCATGTGCAAAATCATTTAACGAACAGTTAAATTTTTCATTAGTTTTTTTTCCAATGTTCATTTTGTGTGTATATGTTTACATTAACACCTTAAGCAAAATTTCAAAACTTGTTAATTAGAATCTAATTCACCCTTGTTGTTTGGCCAGCTTTCGACTGAATGTGTAAAATTTCAAAGCACCTGTAACGTCATCAAATACTTACTTCGATTGGTCATTTTCAATAAGCAACGCATTTGTTTTCGCAAGGTTCAAGATGGCATTAATACGACTTTGGGGCAAGTCAGGCGTATTAAGATTTCAAAAAAAGTGAACATAAGGAAGAATTCTTCAAAGCACCTTCCATCAGTTGTTCAATTTCTTTCCCAGTGACTCCCCTCTTGCTAGAGAATGATGTGAGCAAGGATATGGTTTGCTTACTGTGGAATTCAGTCGAGAGATGAGATGTAAATTATATTTATGAACTGTCAATGGATGGCATCTTTTTCGATGGCCATTGAAAAGATACCGCACAAGCAACAAATTGTGCATACATTTTTTTTTTCGTAAGTTCACCAGCACCAGTAATATTTTTGTAGTTCCGTTATTTTGAAAGTTATTTCGCATGATACAACAGAATATTCAAAATAATGCGACAAATCTTTTCACTAATTCAAGGGCAGAACAGCTGCCGGTAGTCAAACGCACCTCCTTGCCAAGAATGTTGGCGGGGAAACACGAACGAAAAGAAAATTTAAATACCAAAGCATGCACACTTTTGGAAATAACTTGTGAACGATCTATATTAATCTAAGTTTCTTTTGAGCAATTTGAAATAAATTTCTAATCAGAGAAAAGGATGCTAGAACAATTCATTTCTGAAATGTGAATAAAATGTGTATTCTGAATTGTTGCACTGTTCTCTTGCTAGAGAACGACATGAGCAAGAATACAGTTTGCTTACTTTGGAATTCACTCGAGAGATGAGATGTAAATTATATTCATGCACTGTAGCTGGATAGCATCTTTTTCGCTGGTTTTTGAAAAAGATAACCCCCAAGGCCAAAAACATCTGAACGTTCCGTATAACCTTGACTAATAAAAACGGACTTTCATCCTCTAAAGGAACTCTGTTCGAACAGAATGTCAGCTTCTCTTAAAGTTGTTTGATATTTTTTTAAGCCATTTTGCATTAAGATCCAAAACTAAGAGAAATCCTTTGACGTTCGAAGGAGGACACAATGATGTCAATACTACATTTGAATATCAAAAGGAACTCAATTTTTGACAGCTGGCTGAGGAAGAACGTGGCAAAATCATTCAATTATCTCTCACCTTAACATATTCCCCAAGGCAACTCCTTCTTTTCTGCAATCTCCCGCTTCAATTTTGGCGGTTATCTTAGAAAACCACATCAGAGACTTCAATTATGAACGTGGAGAAATGAAAAATCGACACTCAGAAAAATATCAGTGCTTGTGCGTAAAATTTGTGGGAAATTTCCTAACCTCTTTGATCAAAACAAAAACATTAACTTATCATATGTAACTCCCAAGTGACGGCTTTAGGTGGCAGGGACAGCGACTGAGTCTCTTCCATTTTTTGTCATTCGAATACATCTCTGACAATGATACTAAACCCGCCTTCTGATTTAAATATTTTCGAAATTCTGAACAACACTTTTTCCATGGTACCGTCATTGATACCCTCGTCGTGTGAGTTATATTTTGTGGAAAATCTCTCTAACCATGTTGCGGTTAAATTGACCATAAATTTCGAATTGGAACGAAAGGTGTTTTCCTCTCATTAGGCTCTGAGTAATAACTCTGAGTGTCGCAAGGTTAGTTAAGTTCAATAATATTTCCTGATCTAGTTTTCTACTTCATTTCAACTCATCGGCTCCTAGAAAATTTACATCGGGCAAACATCAACCAAGTTGGTCGTTATGATTAAAAACATAACAATAAAAGCACTTTTGATATTCTTTCCGTAAGGAACTGTAATAAATTGGTACCAACCGATATCAGTTTTTTTTTCACGAAACGTACGTCTCAAGATCTTTGAGGGAAATCATTTGTGTCATTTTTGGTATAAAACTTGAAAAAAACTACGTATATACTTGACTATTTGAGCCCCTTTTGAACAAAGTGGTTTGTTTTCTGTGACATATACAAATAAGATTGTGCATGCATAAGTTTGTACTGCTCTAATTATCTTGACGAGTATGATATGGCCTTGGGCATTTTACACTTGAACCTGTAAAATTCAGTTCTTAGGGTACCTAGTGCTTAGGGTTTCGTAAGATAAACGTTTATTATCAAATGCACACGTTTATCCTCAATGTGAATCAACGCTTCATTCATTCGATGGTTGCGTGGGAAGCTTGATGAGTTTCTTCATCATGCATTTCACGATTTCTCGAAGCTCGCGATATCTCCAGCAGTAAACAACGGGGTTGATTGATGAATTCAGAAGAACGAGAAACGAAGAGACATGATGCGCTGCCAAAGAAGTGGATCGATAACGGCTCACTGTCAGAAAAATTATAGAGCACAAGTTTGGCAGATAACAAGCCACAAAAACAATTTGAATAAACAAGGAATTTATCATTGATTTCTTTTCTCGGAGAGCTTCCATCGCTTGACGATTTCGAAAATAACATTGGTCAAGTATCTTAATACGATGATAACGAACGACTTTGCAAGTGTAAATGTAGACAACGGTTGTCACGAAAAGTCCACCAAATTGAAAAATGGCTACCACCAGATGATTCTGCCTAGGAATGGAAATGTTTACGGGGAAAGCGACGGCAAAGCTTGTCGACCACAAAGTGATCAAAAATGTAACAGCACGACCAGGAGTAACGAGTTCTCTGTATCGCAGGTGAAGAAATATCGCAAGAAGTCTATCCACAGCGATGGCGATCATCGTAAGGAAAGATGCGCTGGTGAGAAGATATATGCAAAAATAATTTACAGCCAAGATGATGGGACATAAAAAGTCAGAGCTGTCTCTTTCATTGCTTTCCTTCTTCAAAAGTTCCAATATGACTATACCATACATAGGCTGAGCGAGAACGCCCACGCCAAGATCAGAGGCGGCAAGGCTTAGATAGAGTTTTTTCAAGGTACTTGGTATAGATGATGCTCTCCATAAAGCTCCAATAGCCAGGATATTGGCAAAGATTGCCACTACAGCAAACGCCAAGTTCAAAATGGCAAAAATGAGAACCGTAGTCCCATAAGAATGCACAAGTATTTTATATTCTTCAAGTCTGCGTCTGCAGAGCTCCATGCATTTGAGTTAGGGAAACACAAACCCTTTGCCACCCGTTTCTTCAAGATCACTTATCTTCCACCGAATCTCCTGCATAAAATTAAAAGGTAATACAATCGTCTTACAACGTAGAAAATTAATTCATAGAACCGTGATAGGGCACCTGTTTGCATCGGCCGATCGCTGCAAGTTCTTATCAACGTTTAAGAGCATCTTTTGCTACTCAAAGTTTTGCTCTGGTTTAAGATTTAAAGTTACCTTTTCTTGGTTTTCTGCTCTCGAGTAATTTATCTTGTTGTCAGACGAAAGAAGCGACATCTCGCCACTCACCCCAAGAGCTCAAATACACATCAAGAGAGCTTTTGACGTAGAATGGACTATTCTTTATCATGAAATTTGCACATCATGGTAGCCCGACTATAATACAGAAAATGACACCCTGTACCTTCTGAACAGGTAAAAAATGAAGATCAATCTTGTCAACAAAGATTGTATTAAAACCGAGTCTTATCAAGTATTAAATCGATTTGGGGATAGTCTCCATCAACTGCCAAAATGCAAAACTTGTCATGAAGTGCAAATATCATGTATCCATTGTAAAAGGTGCAACGTTTTAAGTAGGTAGGCGCATACTTCATTGTTTTCTTCAAGATTTTAAAATTCAGGGTCAAATCTTTTAAAACTATGATTCTGTAAATAAATTGTGTGAATTCAGTTTTAAGTTTCAAAAGCGATTGGAAAGAACACAAGAAAAAAACGATTCACATTTCATTACGAACTACAGGGTTGCGTAAGTGGAAAGTGTCTAAACTTCCTATGATGGGGTTAATTTCCTAGGAGAGATTGCAAAAGTCCTGTTGGTTTTAATATGACGGAAATGCTGAGAAAATATAATTTTCTTTAGCAACGCTGGCTGTCAGAACCCTTTTAGCTTCAATCAATACAAATTTATCATTTCTAAGGCACATCTTCGGAAGGGGTTATTTTTGCCCGACAGTAATTAAGAAGCTTGTTCGGGTTATTGGTATGGTGCAATTGTGTGCATTACTTCTAGAAATTAACAAAATCAGTATATATCTATCTTCGCGTTTTGTAGAGAATAGTCCGACAAAGGATATGTTAATCCAAAGTCCACTTTTACAAGAATTGATGGAATAAGTCGAAAGTTTATTAACCTCAGATGAAAATTTTAAATCTTTAGAACGGCGGTACTGAGTTGTCATACACGAAATTCGTGGGTTAACATTGAACATTGATCATTTTAGAGAAAACAAAGGTTCCTGCGAGCCAACTGTTAAAATTAGTTTTCAAACTATTCGTATATCATAATTGGAAAGCGCGACGTAATATCGAGTGTCCAGTCCTAACAGTGAGTCCTACATGCTGTGATATGGTCGTACTTATAAGCACAAAGTTTCATAGACAGGAATAAACTCGGGAAATTTCAACAACAGTTTCTTCTTTACTTGGTAAACGGAAGCTTTTACATTAATTTTCTTTCTTTGTAATCTATAAAATTGACACAATTAATTGAGCTGTCGCCTTCTCATCGCCGTAAATGCCATACCGAACACAGAAAGAGCTGTCAAGGCGGCCAGAGCAGTAAGAATTGGGATGTTCATATCCGCTGAAAAGAAAAAGACATTCACAGTACAGTCGTTATAGAAAATTTCCAGTGTAAAGTAAGCTTATTTCTGATGGGAATTTCTTTTAAAGGAATTGACAAGGAAGTAGTCGATCCACACAAATTTTACTTTATCAAATTTAAAAGTGTAATGTTTTCATTGGGATTAATTTTTGTGCGTTTAGATTATCTGTCTGTGATGATGGAATAAAAATATTTTGATTTCCTTCATATCTTCGGCTTTAGCTTCGTAAATTTAATTTTTTTATTTTACTATTATCGAATCTTACGCTACTAGCTTCTCTTTATGCTTTTAATTAATCGGAAATTAAATTTTCCAAAGCTGAATATTGGGCTAATTTTGTATTAATTTTCTCTCATATTTCCGTGAGTTCTGACACCAAAACTTAAATCAATAAAAGAAGTCTTGATTTTAATCAAAGTTATAGTCGTAATGCTCGTCATATTCTCATCCACTATTCCTTCTTAGACCGTTTGTCCTAGAGCTAACCTTTAAAATCAGAAAAAAAGTTAGGAACTCACAAATTACCTTCTGTGGCCGGTTTATCATTAGTATTTTTTTCATCTTGTTCAAAAGCATTCCGATAGTCTAGTGTTATTGGTCCTTGTGCTAGCGAATACACTTTTTGTTCTTCAAGCTCACGCCTCACTCGGCCACCCGATTCGCATCCTCGGGCACACCTCGACTTGCGGTCAGATGCTTTGCAGATAACCACGTGACAGTGTATAAAAACGAAGGGCTGCTTGACGAATTGAAAAGTTTCGAGACTGAAACGAGATTTGCCTCCTGAGGAGGGAAGCTGTTGGACTGTATCGTCGACAGCACAGCTGTAAGATAAAAAAATGATGAATTAATAAAGTAACCAGGCGCACGTACCTCGGACCTATTTTCCGTTTGTAGGAAATGTCTTTTCAATGTTATGTAAAATTGACGAAAGATTATTTTAGGGCAAGAAAAGATAAAGATACTGATGTAACAGGCTTACCCATCAGAAATGATTTCATGTTTTGTGGCATCACTCTCGTTGGCAGTGGGCGTGGCAAAACAATTTTCAAGCAGAATTGATAGCTTTTTATCCTTGCTGTCCACTCTCCCTTGTACGAACATACTTTGGCGGAGTTTCAAAGAAATAGGAAAATCATCGGATTTGTATGGTGTGGTGAATCTGCAAAAGAAGTTATTCATGCGGAAGCTTTTTTTGCTCTAAATCAATAACTTGTCTATAAGTAGACGAATTTTATTTCGCACTATCATTTTCAAGAGGGAAAGCTTTTGAAATAGAAAAGGTCCGTTAGGTCATTTTTCCGTGTCAATGTGCTGATCGAACGAGAAATGCAAGTTGAGGTTTCGTCTTTTTATTTTCATGAAAGAGTTACGGTATTTAAAGATTTCTAGGACCTGGTATTAAAGTCATCGTTTTCAATGATTTTCAGCATAGGACACAATCTAGGTATTGCAAATTTTTAGGAATGTTTAACGCGTGAGCGCTCCTCGTTATTTGTTATTTCAAGGGAGTTAAGCTAAAAATGAGTTTAAACTCAAAATGAGCCCTTTAATATTACCTTTGACTGTGAAATATCTCCAAGACAACTGTAAATTTTCCCTTCCCTTTTTCCATGAAGATCAGTTTTCTGTTCTTTGGTTTTAATCCAACAGCCGTAGCCAATCTACTGTTGGAATAATAGCAACTGAATGGGATCTCAATCTCTCTGACGCGTGTGATGAGACCAGATTTTTTCAGTGGAATCTCTAGGACCTTGTTACTGTACACAATGGCAGCCTTGGTATGCTTTTTTCTAGTGCCACAGCCAGTCAGCGGCGTTTTGAGATCAAAATGCGTTTTAGTTTCTGTTGCTCCACACTTCGGGTCCAGGAGGCGAAGATGTTCTCTGTCCATTCCTTTGAGTATGAGCTTGGGGATACTAATGGACATGTCATTTTGACGACAATCCACAGTGACTCCTTGAGCTACAAAAAGAATAAATTGTGTTCGTTGTAAACAATAATAATTTTTCAATGGATTGCCACAAGCAAGCTTGGTTTATACTGGCTTTACTTTATACTTTGCAGCCATCTAAACCGATCAGAGGCAAAGTTAATACCACTCACAACCTGGTCGCTGCAGTTTCCCACGATTCAGATAACTCACTTGTTTTTACTTTGCCTTCTTTAGTGATAGCGCAAAATATGATTTCGCAGAAATTGGACGGTAACTCATCGGGCTTTCAGAAATAAACGAGACGACATTTTGTCATTACATGAACTTCTATGAGAACTTCAAAGAGCTAGGAATAAATACTAAAGCTGAAACCGTATTTTCTATTAACTTTAATAGCAAAGGAATATCTTTTTCGAAACACATTTTCCGAAATAATTTCTTTTGAATAAATTAGTTTTTTTATTCCCATTGAGTTTTAGGAAGCCGAAAAACAGTTAAATCTAATTCAAATGAAATGTAGTTTATAGATATACTCGTATAATCGTATTTTTATGTTTTACATTGGATTGTAAAGTTATTTCCGGGGCTTTTCCGGCTGCAATTTACCTTCACAAGTGTGTTTATCATCAGCTAATGACAACTCTGCATCAGGACAAAGACATTCATAACTTCCATCTGTATTGCTACAGTCGTGTGAGCATCCACCATTGTTGTCTGCACATTCGTCGACATCTGTGAGAACAGTTCAACTAAAATTAATATTACGCGCGCTGTGATTGGTCAATGCTTAAGATCCGTCAAAGACCGACGTCATGAGAGCCTCCTCCTTTGTTTTGTCCAAAATGCCGCACAGCTTGCAAAATAGGTGTGTTGCTATTGTACGCAAACAATGTCCAAATGTCGTTTGCTGACAATTTTCGTTTCAACTTTATTTTGACATCAGCTAGGGGATGTCACGTAACAGACAAACGATAAAGGTCAGCAAAATGAAGGAAAAATCACAAAAATGTCCCATTTTATTCAAATATGTCATATTTAAGAACTACACTCGACATTTATCTGAAGCTCTTTCACGTGGCCTTCACTTGTAAAATAGATGCAAATAAGTAGAACAAGTGAGAGATGATATCCTCGCTTACCTTTGTTGCAAATTTTTCCGGTGGTGCCCGCCGGGCATTTACAAGTGAAATCATTCCCAGGGAACGGCAGACATTTCGCTCCTCTCTGACAGGGGTTGAGGATACACGGGAAGAATGGGGGAACTAGAGAAGATTTTCAACCAAAACGAGATACATAAAGTAAACAGGCAATTTCAAATGTCCTCTTCTATACCCCTTATTTCATCAAAACAGTCTCTGTACTATGTTACTTAGACGCAATCACAAGAAGCAACTGTAAAACGCTTTTTTACGGCTAAGCGAAGAATACAGATGTTCAAAGTAGATTGATTAAAAAATAATAATGAAGAAATAAATGTTATTGAACAGCGAAGTATTATGTCACTCATTCAATGTATCTTGACAACAAATATACTAACCACCAGACGATTCATCTTCTACGAATGTTTTTTCATGAAGAAAATCAATGCTTCGTCGTCCCATTTCAGTTGCAGCGGTGTGATCGAGTGACTCCACGTTACCGTTAACAAGGTTGGTACAGCTAAAAACCAACGTAAATACCGCAATAACCTTCATATTTCAAAACGCACAGCCTCAGAACTAAATTGCCTCCGAAAGTAAAAATCAAAGTAACTAAGCTAAACATCACAGCCATCTAGTAGGCCATTTTATAGACAGAGGAAACATATCGTCATCAAAAGAGACAAGCCGGGTTTTTATTTCAGTAAACTAAAAAGTTGTCAAGGGACTAAAGTATTGAAACTGTAAATCAGCCGCTCGAAAAATTTTCACTCTAGGACGTTATTGTCCTAGATGTTGGTGAAATGGTGGAATGAACGACAAAAGGGATGATGTAACGTTTTCCTTGCCTGGTTCATTAACCCTGACATTTGCATAATTAGAACATTGTTATAACATATTTGTCCACAATGCGTGCTGAGATATGCTGTTCACAAAATAAATATCAGCTAATGATGGCGTTTTTATGTGACTGGTAGTTCTACGGATTTTAATCTTTCACTGAACTTTAACTTAGACTGGTAAAAGTCATACTTTAAATTTCATTTTTTTCAAATTTTCATAGAGCCAATAAATTGAATTTTATTTCTGATTTGAAAGTTTGTAAAAATAAGAGAGTTTCCGAAGCTTTTGTTTATGAGTTTACTATCGTTGACTTCTTTCAACAAGAGAGCAAACATGACATATCTTCTTACATAATTTGAAAAGAAAGTTACGTAATGAGTGTCAATTCCTTCACAAATAAGAAATTTATCGTTAAAATGAAATAAAATGTGCATGATGCCCAGAAAAAATGAATATAGATTAATCGACAGCTTTTCATTCTTACTAGTACGTTGGTATGCGTTGCTTCATTTCACGTCATTTTCCCTTCTGGTGCAAATGATTATCTTTTGTGATCAAATATGCACTGTCGTCTTTCGTGAATTGTCAAATAAGCAGACTGCAATTCGCGATCCTCCGCTGAATTAAATAGAAAACACCCTACCTAGTTGAGCGTTAACTGGTCATCTTTAAATCTGACCGAAATTTGCAGAACTCCTCAAACGTTTTTTGCTCTTCACCGAAGGACATAGACTAAATTGTACAGCTCCGTCCCTTCGCCTTCCACCATGTCAATTTCAGGTGTTTCCCTGTTGATAACTTTGGCGTTTATCTTGAGTCAATCGCCCAGCAGTGGAAAAGGTATGTGCAAGAACTTTTGTGAATTTTTGTTCAGTATGTTTCATCAGATAAGAAATAAGATGGATTTTAAGAAGTCAAATTCCTTTTTCCACGTCTCTCTGACAGTATCAATTTTTTAAATTTAAAGCTATCACGGCATTTGTAAACTGACCACTGAAACGAACAAGAAATTACAAGAGATCTGCTGAAAATGCTTGTGTACCCTGTACCGTGTGTATCCGTTACAGAGTTTTTGACATTTCAAGTGTTCATTTGTCGGCTTTAATCGTTTTCAAAGTTGAACTTTGTATTTTTTAATTTTTAATTGGAAAAACGTGAAATGCTAAACTTTTACTTGTATCACTGTATCATAACTTAGCAAACTACTAGTTACTCCCAGTGCATTTCGGTGAAACAGCTTATAACAAATCTATAGGAAATTAAAGAAATCCAACGCAATTTATGCCATGTTGTTCTACTCTACAGATGTCAATGAGTGCAATGTGAAAAATGGCGGATGTTCTCACAAGTGTACAAACACCAAAGGTAGTTATAGCTGCTCCTGCCCAGACCCCGAGCTGACACTGGCGCCAGATGGTCGCAATTGTGTTGGTAAGCAGCCAAATGACATCATTTTGAGCTTGAAATTGCCACATTTGACGCAAGATGGAATTCGCTTCTTTTAGTAGAAAAAGCATTAGTTTCCTTCTAAGACGGTTTCTATAATTAACTTAATTATTGTTCGTTTCTGTCAGCTTCCGGCGTTTCTGTTAAGTGCGACCAAAATGACATGTCAATCACATTACCAAAGAACCTCCTCCTCGGTTTGAGCCGTGAACATGTCACTCTCCGAGACGTCAAATGTGTTGCCAAGGAAACTAAAACCCACTTCACCCTTAAAACTGCATTAACCGGCTGTGGAACAACCGCAAGATTCGGTAAGGGTGCCGTGGTCTACAGCAACACTGTCTTGGAGATTCCCGTAAAAAATGATGCCATTATAACGAGAGTTCGCGAGATTGAGATTCCTTTCAGCTGCTACTATAAAAATACTGAAGCTGCAACTGCCGTTGGAGTCCAAGCTGATACCAAGAAACTGGTGTTTGACGAAGATGGAAAAGGAAAATTTACTGTTGCCCTGGATCTGTTTGCAGACCAACAGTAAGTCAGTGCCATGGTATTTTTATTATATAATAAAAAGTTGAATTTTCGTCAACATAAAAGTGGACCTAACAAATCTATGAATGAATTTCTTTTCCTCCTGACAATCTACTTGTAATTAAGAAAATTCATTTTTAACTGTGTTGATTTGTGCCAACCAGTATAATTATTCTCATAAGATGATACATCACTGACTGGTTGGTGTTTTCGTCGACTGTTTTCATAGTCGACATAGCCAGGTAAATTTCAATTCAGAGGAGTTTTTTCAAAGATGACCTGGTGATATTTTTGTTACTGCACGGCCCATACTAAACGAAATTGATCCACGAACATCTTAAGAGTATCAATCACACTCGCACACTCTGGACAGAAGTTTAAAATGTAGTCTGGTTTGTTATTAATATTTAACATTTTTTTGCTATGACATTGCCAAACCAACTGACTGACTCGTGATCAAAGGGTACTTTGGTATTATCAACTGAGCTATTAACGTAAATTGACGTAAATTTGCCACCGTTAGACGTTTCGAGCGTAAGACCTGTCGGTCGCTCTGACGAAGGACTAACGCTCAAAGCGGTGTCCAATTTACGTTATCAACTAATTTGATGATACCAAATTACCCTGTTGTACTCTCCCACCAACGCAGAACCACAATTGTTCAGAGACTTACCCCCTTACTCGGGACAAGTTTGATACAACCACATTCGTCATATTTAACATCAAACATGTGATTCTCCTTTTTATTCATCAGGTTTAAGTCACGCTATACTGAAAAAGACTACCCAGTGCAAGTCAAACTAAGGCAGGATCTGTACTTCGAGGCATCTGTGAAATCCAAGGACAAAACTTTGTCAGTTTTGGGTGAAAACTGTGTCGCCACCCCCACGCAAGATAGTAAACACGCTACATCATATCCTCTCATTACCAACGGGTTAGTTATGCTCTTCTGACACTTAAGTGGAAATCTCGAATTTCTCACCGCACCTGGGTTTGCAGAGACGAAAAAAATCTTGGGTTTTATAATGAGAATAGGAAATAATGAAAAGGAAAAAAACAGCTGCACTTGTTTACAATACAAGGTGCTTGGGCTTATTCACTTATTCTGATACATAAGTTCTTGTATTCTCTAATTTAAGCACCGATGCATATTTCTAAGCAGTAACAAACGTTTCTTTTGTTATCCTCAGGTGCCCTGTGGATGAAACTACCAATATCATGAAGTCTTCTGTAGGCACCTTCCGATTCACCACAGAAAGCTTTAAATTCATCGCCAAACACCCATTCCTCTTTGTCCATTGCCAAATAAGGGTTTGTGACTCAACCGATCCAAAGTCGAGATGCGCTCAAGGATGCCTTCGAGGAGACAGGAGAAGGCGTGACGTCACCACTGATGACAAAATATACTCACTCGCTCAGGGACCACTAACATTTTATGCTGATGAAGAAGACGCTGGATCAACTCTTAGTGGTAAAAGAAAAATGCCGAATTTAACTAGCTACAATGTTTTTATCTAGGAAAAGTTCTTATGGTAGTTTCCCTTGTGCTTAGCTCCCTCTCTGACAGCCGTTTCATGCAATCGAGTGGGTTATTCATTATCCTTTCTGCCCACATACAAATGGAGTTTAACCAACATCGCCAAAAATACGTATATACATTAACAAAAAGATCCCATTCTGCTTAAATAAAACACTGGCGTTGACAAAGTCCGAGGAATAAGAGAGCAGTGATACACAAACATAAAGTAATCTATCCTGAAGCTTTGGCAGTCTCGAAACCATAATGGTTTAATAACAGCCTGTGAAAAGATGTAACGAAAGTTACATTGTTTGCAGTTGCGCTAAAAAAAATCCCAACATAACTTGTTGATTGTCTGCTTGTAGGTGTAACCGTCCCAGCAGTGGTTTCCATGGCAACGATCTCTGCGTTCTGCCTTGTGGGAATCGTTTGGATGTCACTCAAGAAACCCAGTCAAGACTCGGGTTACTTTCCTCTCAGTGTGTCACCAGAAGAGTAAGACTGGTGAAACACAACAACTGGAGCACGGAACAGAAGTTCATAAACTATACTTGACTAAACATTGTATTTAAAGAATAGGAGGCAATGCAATAAAACTTTGGTATGAGAAATACTGTCTCCTTTCTTTACGACTACACCACCATCAAAAGTTTATCCCCTCCAGGGAAATTTTCATATTGTAAGAAAAAGCTGATCAGTTTTACGTAAAGTGGTCATATTATCGAAAAAGAGACACTTGGTTGAAAAAACCACAAAGACTTTTTGATGAAGACATGTAAGAGTAACCTCAGCCAATCCAGTTTCGATCTAGTGATACACGCGTAAAACAACCTCAAAAAATGTTTTTCAATGAAATGAAATCTCTGCCACTTTCAAGAACACCCTGTTCATATTATCACTTTTCTCTAACGAAGACTATGCCGATGGTTTGTTCTAACAAAAGTTTTATACTGCATTGGCTACAAAAACGATCAAAGGAAATAAAACATGGTGATAACCACCAAAGCCATTTCATTCTACCAACACGATAATCACACTTTATCCACTTTTACGTCAAGGCTGATGAATTATTTTAAAAAATACATATAGCAGAAGAAGTAGGGAGAATAGTTTGATGAGAGAGGTAAAGTTGATTCTGCTCTGACGAGTTTTTACACTCGGCGGTCATTTTCAACGTTTGATAGGAGAAATGAAGAGCAAATTTTAAATAGGGCTGAGAATTCCGTCCCCTAATCCCACAAAACAAATCGGTGCTGCAAATTTAAAGAACCACTTTTTGGTAAAATTTTATCGCCTTAAAACAGTCATCATCAGTTTCCAATCAAGCACAAGGGCAAATGAGCAGACTTACTATTAAACAGGTAATTTAGTGTTAACAACTGGGTTGAAAACGTAAATTAGCCACCGTAAAGGGTAAAAAAGCTTTTTTACCCTTTACGGTGGCTAATTTACGTTTTCAACCCAGTTGTTAACACTAAATTACCTGCTATACTCTCCCACCGACGCAGCACCACAGTTTCTTTAGAAACTTACCCCTTTACTATTAAACATACATTGTAAGTGACCCCTTCTCGGATGAAAGCCGTACCTGTGAAAGTGATTTAATCAATCTCTGTTTATCAATCGCCACTTTTCTTCTTTTAATTTTCAAGCCTTATTTTCCAATTGGTATTTACCGGGTATTCTTGCGACTAGGGCCCCGTTAATATGGTCTCGGGTAGCCGAGACAGCTCCAGCCCGCAGTTTCTCTGACCGAGCTAACTTTTTGCTTACTTCTCTGAAATTTCAACTAACCGTTTACAAAAAAATGGGAGCTCCTTTCGGGGGGCGAGTTGTCTCGCCGTGGAAGCTAAGGTAGTCCTGTTAGGCGGGACAACGTTTTTTCATTTTTACACTTCGACTCACCCGCCTAAGACAAAAGAGCTCAAATCTTGTCCAACTATTCCTTTCGTTCCCAAGATCTCATCAGCAATTCTCCTTACTGTCTGCCATACAATTTCTATGATGTTAGCTCGGAGAATTTGGTATTGGATCAATCAGTAATCCCCTAAATGATATTTTTCTTCATTCTCATCACTTATGTTCTTGATATTAACTTGAGGAGAAATTCTGTCTCGGTCATTCATGGGGGTTAAAGGATTTATAATCTCCCTAACTGTCACTAGAGAGGCTGGTGTCGAGACCGATGTTGAGAAAACTGCTACAGCTCCTTATTGACGTTCAATAAAGCTGTATCAAGGGGAAGGTTATTTCACGTACCCATGACTATTTGAATAGGACTTAAGTCAATACCATTAGAATTTGTTCGTGATCAGATGATTCTTTCGCGAGTATGACATGTTTCTTGCTCTACCAAGAATTTTTTATTCGCCTACTTTAGTTCATTACTTCTCACCTTGCGTAAATAATGGTAACATATTATTTTTTTTAAGCTGAATTTGTTTTACAATAGCAAAAAATCCTCCCACGATTCTTTCTACTTTGCAACAGCGTTACGTAAAATTTGGTTGTAATGAAGGATTTGATGAGTATTTCTCATCCAAAACTCCTCATAAACGTTAAATAACATTATATCTAGGGGAAGAGTTATGTCGGGTACCCAGGACCATTTAAATAGGATTTAAATCAGTATCATTAAATTTTGTGCGTGATCAGATGATTCTTTAGCGAGTATGACATTTATTCCCCCACACCAAGAATTTGTTACTCGCTTAGTTAGTTTCCTTACCTTGCGTAAATAACAGCAAATTGTCATTTTTTTAAATTTAATTTGGCTGTATTAAAGGATTTAATGAGTATTTCTCATCCACGCCGACCTTTTCGGAGCCAGTCTGCGGCGCTCTATTTGCATACCTGATGGAGTCCACACCTTGGTTACATAACACTTTTGATTACACCTGTAATTTCCAAATGTTCTTTGTGTTTGATTCCCACCTGATCTAAACACTTTCTTTGTTATGGCAGGACACAAATGAAGATGTATGTTTACATCGGTTTTTTGTCGAACATGTGACAATATTGCAAGTTGTAATTTGTGCCATATTGTGTAGAAAATAACCAAACGGATGAGAAAGTTCAGATAATCTTTTGCAGCACTCGGAATGAGCTGTACGCCAAAAGCTAAATCGGAAACTTCTCTGAGGAGCTTTGAGTAGTGTTGTGGATAAAGCATCGTTTCCAACTGATACAATGTCGATATCAAATTTGGTTTGGCTAATCTTATTAATGAACTATGTAACCTTTGGCGAAATTCGTGGACATGATTTGTATGGAGAGCAAGGTAAGCATTTTGTTGATTCGACGAGCAACGGAGGAAATCTGGGAGAAATCTCAATCTTCAAAGTCTTATCGACGTCCTAATATATTTTCATCTGGTTCGGACTTGCAATGCGTGTTGAAAAAGCTGAGAAGAGATCGAATACCACGAATAACCTAGCTATTTACCGTTCTGCTTCACAATTCCATTTGATGGTTGTTTTAGATATAAAGGTATTCCAGATAACAAATGGTTGCATTAACTCATTCACCCTCTCTAGCTTGGAAGGACTATGTACCAGAGTGGTGTACGGTGAAAGGCCGAGCGTTTTTGTCCAAACACCTCTCGAGTTTGTATGAATGTAGAAAGCTTTGCATTATGATGAATCCTAAATGTAATGCTGTGGAATGGTGGCAACAATTTGGAGGAATCTGCTATGAATGTACAAAGCCTTACTTGAAATGTCCATACCATAATCTAGGAAGCCTGGCTTATCCTCCTCACGTCTTCATTAAGGAAAACAAACTTGGTAGGTCGACTCTATTCTGCTTAGACAAAAGACAACGCAAATTTTAGGGCTAAATTAGATTGAATTTTGCAGCAATTCGACGTACAGAGTAGCCTTTTATGCAAGGTTTCTCATACCCTACTCACACCAAAGCTTAAATATGCTTTAAAGCTGTTTTGTTTTAAAATTTCTTTCCTCATAGATTCTCCCTAAACTGATGTTTGTCGAATCCTAATTTAGCTCAAATGCAAGATAGTGGTTGCCTGAGCCTTATTTCAGTTTTCATTTCTCTGTTACTAATTTTAATTTAGTTACACCCTGATTAACTAGACATGTTTTTCTGGTGTGAACGGGGTATAAAATGATGTGCATGCAAGATTTCCGTGTAAGCATACAGTTACATCTGATGAAAGAAAACAAAAGCGAAAAAAATGGCGGAAACAATACACTACTTTTGGGAAAATAAGGCCGAAGGAGGCGTGATATCGCTCTCTTTCGGAGCTGGGTCAAGAACGCGAAGCAACAAAGAATTCGAATTATCATCATTGACGTGGGGCGAATGGAACCCAGGCCTCAGTGGTTCGGTACTTTCAAGACTCTGCCATTCCTACCCTCTGGGGCTGAATAAAATCATTTTTGGTCGTTGCAGAAGTAAGGAAGTGTCATCAAAAGTGGAAAAAATAATGTGTGTCCGTCTTAAGTTTTAACTCTAACAGCAATCGACCACTGTGACTCAAATCCTTATCTACATGAAGTAGCTTATCAAAGATTACCTGAAGGGTACGAATGCTCCTGCCTGTCTGGTTACATAGGAAAACAAAAACTGCTGAAAAGCTAAGCTCTAGCTAAGATTGAGCCCCAAATAATAAAAACCTCCTTTTTTATCTAAACTTTCAGATGTCGACGAATTACCCTTGCTTTCCCTGCAAAAATGATGCTGAGTGTCGCAATAGTCCTGTGAGTTACCGGGGCGACCTTATCCGGGATATACAGGAAAAACTCGGGAAACAGTTTAAACCGCTTACATAATAATTTACTTCATTATTTAATTTAATTACTGTCTGTTTGTATTTTACTATCCAGATATTTATGATTGTGCTAAGTTTCCTTGTAAGAATGGCGGTACTTGTAAAAATACTCCTGGGAGTTACCAGTGCACGTGTAAACTTGGTTATACAGGCAAGAACTGCGAGACAGGTAAGCTGGTTTTAAGTGTAGGAAGTAATCTTTTGGCAACATGGACGCGTTTATTTTTCGAAAGACACTGAAGCAGAAAAATCTCAAATTATTATCATTATAATTCGCGTTGTTACTTACTCGTGATTATTATATTGATGAATGCGTTGGATCTCCATGCAAAAACGGTGCTACTTGTCGAAATATTCCCGGAAGTCACAAATGTATTTGTAAAGCAGGATTTAAAGGAAAAGAATGCGGAAAAGTGAACTTCAAGAAAACCATGAGCAATTTTTGGCTTCTCTATGGTATAAAACAAATAGATTCTGATTCCGAGGGTCTGTATAGTAACAAATAACAAATAGTATCATTATCATTATATACCAACGGAATTATTCTTCCCGCTGTTACTTAATCGTCTTTATTATTTTTCCTTTACTGTTATAATTATTATTTGCGTTCTTACTAACTTGTGATTTTGCCTTTAGATATCGATGAATGTGTTGGATCTCCCTGCAAAAACGGTGCTACTTGTCAGAATATTCCCGGAAGTCACAAATGTAACTGTAAACCCGGATTTACAGGCAGAGACTGCGGAAAAGGTGAACTTCACCAAAATGGTCATTTATTGTCCACGAGCTATTTGCTCCATTTTTTTAGAATGATACTTACTTTGCAACCTCAGAATTAGTAAAGGGTGCTTACTTTCAGCACTTCTCTAGACATTGGGCGAAGGATGTGGTAGGGGACTTGTTCTTCTAAATTATGTCATTGCCTAAAGGACTGATTACTTAAAACATTTGATAATGTCACAGTTAAAAAAAATGCGCTTTTTTGGTTTCTCTATTGTATGAAACAAATAGATTCTGCGTCCGAGGGTCTGTCTAGTAAAGTAACAAATAATAAATACGTCACAATGTGGCTATAACAATAGTGACACATACTAGCTGAACCTTGTTTTTTATTGTTTCCACATTTAGATACCATCCGTGATCTATAACAGACGCACGCTAGCATTGAATCTATTTGTCAACTAAATTTATAGTAAAGTTCGGATATAACGCGCGCTGTCATTAGTTGAAACAGCGTGCTCTATCAGAGTACAGAACCTAGAGAAAGAGAGCTAAAGCCATCACGCCGTCTGCCAAATCGTACTATGCCGACCATTTCCTGGACTTCCTTCTAGCTTTTTTTCATTCATTGAAAGTGAAATATCGAAACAAGCAAGTTTTTGAGTTTTCGTGGACTCGAGAGATAACCCTATCAGTAGCCTCTCATAGATATTTTTGTGATTCCCCTATATTAAATTCTATCGCCAAAAAAAGGTAAAATATTGTAATTTATAGGAAGAGGTACTTTTTACTTTAATCAAGAAAATTTATATCAATTTGTACTTTCATATTTAGATATTAACGAGTGTGCTGGATCTCCTTGTAAAAACGGCGCTAAATGTCTAAATATTCCGGGGAGATACCTGTGCAGTTGTAAAGCAGGTTTTACAGGAAGGAACTGCGACACAGGTTAGCAAGCCCGCTCTCTTTTTAATTGCACTACCTTTCTACAATCTATCTATCCATTTAGAATTATGAACTTTTTGCAATATCTCTGGAAGGAGTTGATTTTATTAATTTTGCATTTAGAAACATATTTGATAAGTGTCCTGGATTGTTTTGAGGAAAAAATTAACGTGGAGTTAATATTGAATTTCTAGACGATCTGAAATTCTTGCTACATCCAAATTAAGATCACGATATTATCCGTGGGCTATTTGCTCCTCATTTTGAAATTACTTACCACACAAATGATACTTACTTTACAATCTCAGCAATATGAATGGAGGCTTACTACTATCAGCACTGCTCTAGACATTGGGCGAAGCCATAAAATGATGTGGTGGGGTGGGCGAGTTCTTTTAAGTTATGTCATTGCCTTAAGGACCGATTAATTACAATATTAAGTCATATTTGGAATGATTAAAAAAAATTTGCAGTTTTTTGCTTCTCTATTGTATAAAACAAATAAATTCTGTATCCGATGCTATGTATATTACTAAGTAACAAGAACGTCGCAATGTGGTTCATTTCTCTTACTAGAACCTTTTTCCTTAAAAAGCGCCGTTAAAATTTGTACTTCCGTTATCTTGTATTGATTGTACCGTTCTTAAATGATAGTCATGTGAACTTCGATAATACACTATGTGTTCCTTGCTGAAAATCGGAAAGAGGTCTTGAATAGTTGCTATTAGATCTCTGAAACTAGAAAGTCCTCTAGTGTCTTTATCTAAAATTAGTTATTTGGTTTCGTATTCTATATACAGATATAGACGAGTGTGCTAAGTCTCCGTGTCAAAATGATGCCTGGTGTCAAAATCTTCTTGGAAGTTACCGACTATTTTTCTCCATTCTATCCATTTAGAAGTATGAACTTTTGAAAACATCTCTGAAAGGAGTTAATTTTATTAATTTTGCATTTGGAAACGTATTTAATCAGTGTCCTGGATTGTTTTGATAAAAAAAAAGGATCCTACAAGTCTAAAGTGAAGTTATTGTTGTATTTTTAGACGATATGTCCTTCTAGTTGCATCCAAATAAGGATCGTAATATTTTCATGTTTAACAAAATTTTATTACTGATAGTTTTATCAATTGGCTAAAGGCAAACGAAAGGAAGCGGTGGTTTTAAATATAATCGCGTCTAAAGTTCTTTTGACTTTTAATTTGCTATCTAGATATCAATGAATGTGCTAAGTCCCCTTGTAAGAACGGTGCTACTTGTCAAAATCTCCCTGGATGTTACCGATGCACGTGTAAATCTGGATATACAGACAGGAACTGTCAGACAGGTAAGCTGTCTTGTAAAATTAATATTCATCTTTTGGCGACATAGATGAGGTTCATTTCTCTTAATGGATCATACTCTAAAAAGCGTCAAGAAATGTTGTTTCCATCATCTTGTATTGATTGGACGGTTCTAATATGATAATCATGTGAACTTTGACAAAGGACTGTGTGCTCCTTGTAGAAAACTCGGAACAAAGTCTTGAATAGTCGCTCTAATATCGTTGCAACTAGAAAGTCCTCCATTGCCTTTATCTGAAATTAGTTATTTGGTTTCTCATTCAATATACAGATATAGACGAGTGTGCTGAATCTCTGTGTCAAAACAATGCCTTGTGTCAAAACCTTCCTGGAAGTTACCGATGCAAGTGTAAATCCGGATACACTGGACGAAACTGTGAAAAAGGTGAGCTTTGTTAGACTTAAAAGTTTCATTAGGAACAGTAACTTTCATCTTGCCTTAATTTGAACTTTTTTAATCGCTTCATCACCAAGATATCGCCTTTTCTTTGACGCAGCTCGTTACATTTTCAGTTCGTTGACCTAAATACCGTTTCATAATATTTAATTGGGTACCATAATTATTGTTCATCAACCTTCATCCCCTAATAAATATTTTTGCGGTTGCCTTATATTTAATTCTATCGCAAAAAATAACAAACAAATAATCATAATTTATAAGAAGAAAGTTCAATTCCACTATTTCTCTCCATTCTATCCATTTAGAAGTATGAACTTTTGAAAACATCTCTGAAAGGAGTTAATTTTATTAATTTTGCATTTGGAAACGTATTTAATCAGTGTCCTGGATTGTTTAAAAAAAAAAAGGATCCTACAAGTCTAAAGTGAAGTTATTGTTGTATTTTTAGACGATATGTCCTTCTAGTTGCATCCAAATAAGGATCGTAATATTTTCATGTTTAACAAAATTTTATTACTGATAGTTTTATCCACTGGCTAAGGGCAAACGAAAGGAAACGATGGTTTTAAGTATAATCGCGTCTAAAGTTCTTTTGACTTTCAATTTGTTATCTAGATATCAATGAATGTGCTAAGTCCCCTTGTAAGAACGGTGCTACTTGTCAAAATCTCCCTGGATGTTACCGATGCACGTGTAAATCTGGATATACAGACAGGAACTGTCAGACAGGTAAGCTGCCTTGTAAAATTAATATTCATCTTTTGGCGACATAGATGAGGTTCATTTCTCTTAATGGATCATACTCTAAAAAGCGTCAATAAATGTTGTTTCCATCATCTTGTATTGATTGTACGGTTCTAATATGATAATCATGTGAACTTTGACAAAGGACTGTGTGCTCCTTGTAGAAAACTCGGAACAAAGTCTTGAATAGTCGCTCTAATATCGTTGCAACTAGAAAGTCCTCCATTGCCTTATCTGAAATTAGTTATTTGGTTTCTCATTCAATATACAGATATAGACGAGTGTGCTGAATCTCTGTGTCAAAACAATGCCTTGTGTCAAAACCTTCCTGGAAGTTACCGATGCAAGTGTAAATCCGGGTATACTGGACGAAACTGTGAAAAAGGTGAACTTTGTTAGGCATAAAAGTTTCATTAGGAACAGTAACTTTCATCTTGCCTTCACTTAATTTTTTTAAAATCGCTTCATAACCAAGATATCGCCTTTTCTGAGAAGCACCTCGTTGCATTTTGCAGTTCGTTGACCTAATTACTGTTTGATGATATTTAATTGAGTACCATTATTTTTGTTCATGGGCTTCAACCCCTTAAAAACATTTTTGTGATTTCCCTATATTTACTCCTATAGCAAAAAAAACAAATAAATAATAATAACTTATAAGAAGAAATGATTTTAACTCCTTGCAAGGAAAGTTATATTAATTTGTACTTTTTTATTTAGATATTAACGAGTGTGCTGTATCTCCTTGTAAAAACGGCGCTACATGTCGAAATTTGCCCGGGAGTTACCTGTGCATTTGTAAAGCAGGTTTTACAGGAAGGAACTGCAACACAGGTCAGTTAGCCTGCTCTTTTTTAATTCCAATAGCTTTCTACAATCTACCTATCCATTTAGAACTATGAAACTTTTAGCAGTATCTCTGGAAGGAGTTAATTACATTATTTTTGCTTTTGTGGACCTGTTTAGTGAGTGTCCTGGATTATTTTTTAAAAAATATATATTCAATATATTATAATATATAAGAAGAGGTACTTTTTACTTTATGCAACAAAAGTTGTATTAATTTGTACTCTTTTATTTAGTTGTTAACGAATGTGCTTGATCTCCTCGTAAAAACGGCGCTCAATGTTTTAATATTCCCGGGAGTTATTCGTGCATTTGTAAAGCAGGTTTTTATCGTAAGGAAATGCTTCCACTTCCTTTCTACAATCTATCTATACATTTAAATTTATTAACAACTTCTAGCAGTATCTCTGGAAGGAGATAACTTCGTCAATTTTTCATTTGAAAACGTATTTAATAGGTGTCCTGGATTGTTTTGAAAAAAAAAAAGTGTGCTACAAGTCTAACGTGAGGTTATTGTTAAATTCCTTGACGATATGTACTTCTCGTTGCATCCAGACTAAGATCATAATATTTACATGTTACACCACTTTTATTTATTTTATTTCTCCATTGGAGAATGCAAACAAAAGGAAAGGCTAGTTTTAAATACTATTGCTGTTTAAGTTCTTTTGACTTTTAATTTGTTATCTAGATATCAATGAGTGTGCTAAATCCCCTTGTAAGAACGGTGCTACTTGTCAAAATCTCCCTGGATGTTACCGATGCACGTGTAAATCTGGTTATACTGGACGAAACTGTGAAACTGGTGAGCTTTGTTAGGCTTAAAATTACATTAGGAACTGTAGCTTTAATCTTGCCTTCATTTGAAAATTTTTAATCATTTCATAACCAAGATATCGCCTTTCCTGAGAAGCACTTCGCTGCATTTTGCAATTCGTTGACCTAAATACCGTTTTCGAATATTCAACTTAGTATTATTATTATTTTTAATTTACGTGTATTTCGCAATGTACTCTTTACTGAATGCCAAATCACATTTACATACTACTAGAATTGCTACTTTTAACGTCCATGGTCTAGATTAAGGGCCCCGTTGAAGACAGTTTTGGCGAGTTCGGATCCCTCTTAAAAAATCATCACTACACAATGAATATCATTATAATTGTATGCCAACGGAATTATTATTTCCGCTGTCACTTAATCATTATTATTATTATTGTTATCATTATTATAAGTTATTTTAAAAAAAATAGACTATTTACAGATTCAAGAATATGAATATTAAAATATATACCCTATTGTACATTCTTCTTGTGTACGAAAGAGAATTGTCATAAAATTACTATCTAAAGACTACTAATAACAATTATAAAAAGCATCAAAAAAGTAATAAAAAAATAAAAACTATCTAAAAATAATAGTTCAAACTGATAAAGAGTTACTACTTAAATTCTGGCTTGCGCACTTTCCGATGAAATGTCAATGTCGGATATATTGGCTGCTCTTCTCTTGCTCCTGGTTCCTCTGATTATAATATCATTATTATAAGTTATTATTATTGCCATTATTATAATTGTTATCATTATTATCCGCGTTGTTACGAACTTATGATTTCTTCTTCAGATATCGATGAATGTGTTGGATCTCCATGCAAAAACGGTGCTACTTGTCAAAATATTTCCGGAAGTCACAAATGTAACTGTAAACCCGGATTTACAGGCAGAGACTGCGAAAAAGGTGAACTTAACCAAAATGATTCTTCATACTTGTTACACAAATGATACTTCGCAACCTCAGTAGTAGTAAAGGAGGCTTATTACCCTCAGTACTACTCTAAACCTTAGGCGAAGCCATGCATGTAAAGGTCTGGTAGGGGGCGTGTTCTTCTAAATTGTCATTGCCTTAAGGACGGATTACTAACAAAATTTATTAATGTCTGGGAAAAATAAAAAAATTGCAATTTTTTGCTTCTCTTTATTATATTAAACAAATGCATTCTGTGTCCGAGGTTCTCTATGGTACTAAATAAAAAGTACGTCTGAATGTGGTAATAACATTAGTGACACACTTAATAGCTGCACCTTGTTTTGTTGTTGTTGTTTCTCTTTTTAATTCCATTACCTTTCTATAATCTATCTATCCATTTCGAATTACGAGTTTTTCGCCATATCTCTGAAAGGAGTTCATTTTATTAATTTTGCATTTGGAATCGTAATTAAAAAGTGTACTGGATTGTTTTGAAAAAGAGTGACAAAAAAGGATGCTGCAAGTCTAACGTAAAGTAACTATTGCATTTCAAATAAGGATCATAATATTTTCGTGTTCCACCAGTCTTTTTTTCTGATAGTCTTATCCACTGGGGAATGCAAAGGAAAGGAAATGTTGATTTTAAATATTATTGCGGTGTAAGTTATATGGAATTTTTAATTTGTTATCTAGATATCAATGAGTGTGCTAAATCCCCTTGTAAGAACGGTGCTACTTGTCAAAATCTCCCTGGATGTTACCGATGCGCGTGTAAATCTGGATATACTGGACGAAACTGTGAAACTGGTGAGCTTTGTTAGGCTTCAAATTACATTAGGAACTGTAGCTTTAATCTTGCCTTCATTTGAAATTTTTTAATTATTTCATTACCAAGATATCGCCTTTTCTGAGAAGCACCTCGCTGCATTTTGCAATTCGTTGACCTAAATACCGTTTTCGAATATTCAACTGAGTACCATTATTAATTTTAATTTACGTGTATTTCGCGATGTACTCTTTACTGAATGCCACATCACATTTACATACTACTAGAATTGCTACTTTTAACGTCCATGGTCTAGATTAAGGGCCCCATTGAAGACAGTTTTGGCGAGTTCGGATCCCTCTTAAAAAATCATCACTACACAATGAATATCATTATAATTGTATGCCAACGGAATTATTATTCCCGCTGTCACTTAATCATTATTATTATTATTATTGTTATCATTATTATAACTTATTATTGTTATTATTATTATTATTATTATTATCCGCGTTGTTACGAACTTATGATTTCTTCTTCAGATATCGATGAATGTGTTGGATCTCCTTGCAAAAACGGTGCTACTTGTCAAAATATTCCCGGAAGTCACAAATGTAACTGTAAACCCGGATTTACAGGCAGAGACTGCGGAAAAGGTGAACTTAACCAAAATGATTCTTCATACTTGTTACACAAATGATACTTCGCAACCTCAATAGTAGTAAAGGAGGCCTACTACCCCCAGTTCTACTCTAAACATTAGGCGAAGCCATGAAAGGGTCTGGTAGGGGGCGTGTTCTTCTAAATTGTCATTGCCTTAAGGACGGATTACTAACAAAATTTATTAAAGTCAGGAAATAATAAAAAAATTGCAATGTTTTGCTTCTCTATTATATAAAACAAATGGATTCTGTGTCCGAGGTTCTCTATAGTACTAAATAAAAAGTACGTCGGAATGTGGTAATAACATTAGTGACACACTTAATAGCTGCAGCTTGTTATGTTGTTGTTGTTTCTCACATTTAGATGTCATCCGTGATTTATAACCCACGTATGACAATGTGAAATCTATTTATTACTTAAATACAAAACTGATCTATAATTATGTATACAGATGTGGACTAGTGCACAGGTTGTCCTTGTAAAAGCTGTGCTTTATGTCAAAATGTTCCCGGTAGTTACCAATGCATTTGTAAATCAGGATTTGCAGGCAGGAACTGTCAAAGAGGTTTTGTGGACTCGAGAGACTACTTTTTTCAGACAAACTCAACTTTCATTCTCTTATAGATTAATTTGTGACTCCCCTATATTCAGTTTTATCGTAAAAACAAACAAAAAATAAATAATTATAATTTATAGAAAGACGTAGTTTAAATTTTATGCAAGAAAAGTTGTATTCATTTGTACTTTCGTATTTAGATATTGACGAATGTGCTGGATCTCCCTGTGAAAATGGCGCTACATGTCTAAATATTCCCGGGAGTTACCTGTGCAGTTGTAAAGCAGGTTTTACAGGAAGGAACTGCAACGCAGGTCAGCTAGCCCGCCCTCTTTTTAATTCCATTACCTTTCTATAATCTATCTATCCATTTCGAATTACGAGTTTTTCGCCATATCTCTGGAAGGAGTTCATTTTATTAATTTTGCATTTGGAATCGTAATTAAAAAGTGTACTGGATTGTTTTGAAAAAGAGTGACAAAAAAGGATGCTGCAAGTCTAACGTAAAGTAACTGTTGAATTTCAAATAAGGATCATAATATCTTCATGTTCCACCAGTTTTTATTTCTGATAGTCTTATCCACTGGGGAATGCAAAGGAAAGGAAATGTTGATTTTAAATATTATTGCGGTCTAAGTTATATTGAATTTTTATTTGCTATCTAGATATCAATGAGTGTGCTAAATCCCCTTGTAAGAACGGTGCTCCTTGTCAAAATATTGCTGGTAGCTACAAGTGCGCGTGTAAACCTGGCTATACAGACAGGAACTGCGAGACGGGTAAGCTGCCTTGTAAAATTAAGAATCATCTTTGGGTGCCATAGATGGGGTTCATTTCTCTCATTGGACCATATTCTAAAAAGCGCCGTTAAAAGTGGTATTTTCGTCATCTCGTACTGATTGGACCGTTCTAAAATAATATTTATGTGAGCCCTGATAAAGTAATGTGTGTTCCTTGCAGAAAAATCGAAAAAAAGACTTAAATGTTTAGTCTGAAATCTCTGCCACAAGAAAGTCCTTCATTGTCTTTATCTAAAAATTAGTGGTTTCTTATCTGGTTTCTTATTCTATACACAGATATAGACGAGTGTGCTGCATCTCTGTGTCAAAACGGTGCCTTGTGTCAAAATCTTCCCGGAAGTTACCGATGCAATTGTAAATCCGGATATACTGGACGAAACTGTAAAACTGGTGAGCTTTGTTAGGCTCAGAAATTTCTCTAGGAAAAGTAACTTCCATCTTCTTTTCATTTGAATTTTTTTAATCATTTCATTACCATAGATGATGTCACCATAAACAATTTTTTGCTACTCTATTTTATAAAACTAATGGATCCAGTGTCCGAGGGTCTTTATAGTAACAAAAAAAAAACCTCCCGATGTGATAATAACAGTAGTGACATACTTAATGGCCGAGCCTTGCTTTTGTTGTTGTTGATGTTGTTTCGCACATTTAGATGTCATCCGTGATCTATAACTGACGCACGACATCATGGAATCTAATTGTTAATTAAATAGAGAACTGATTTTTAATTATATATACAGATGTGGACGAGTGCACAGATTCTCCTTGCAAAAACGGTGCTCTATGTCAAAATGTTCCCGGCAGTTACCAGTGCAGCTGTAAATTAGGATTTGAAGGCAGAAATTGTCAAAGAGGTTTGTGGACTCGAGGGACTACCTTTTTGGGACCAACTCAGCTTTCATAGATATATTTGTGACGTCCTTATGTTTAATTCTATCCCAAAAACTAACAATAGAAAGAGGCCCATTATACTTAATGCAAAAAATGTCATATTTATTTGTACTTTCATATTAAGATATAGACGAATGTGCTGGATCTCCTTGTAAACACGGCGCTACGTGTCTAAATATTCCTGGAAGTTACCTGTGCAGTTGTAAAGCAGGTTTTACAGGAAGGAACTGCGACACAGGTCAGCTATCCCACTCTCTTTTTAATTCCACTACCTTTCTGCAATCTATCTATCCATTTAGAACTAACAACTTTTTCAGCGATATCTCTTGAAGGAGTTAATTTCATTAATTTGTTAACATATTTAATAAGTGTCCTGGATTGTTTTGGAATAATGATATAGCTAAACATAAAGTTACTTTTTAAATAGGAAACTGATCTCTAATTATATATAGATGTGGACGAGTGCACAGGTTCTCCTTGCAAAAACGGCGCTCTATGTCAGAATGTTCCTGGTAGTTACCAATGCAGTTGTCCATTAGGATTTGCAGGAAGAAATTGTCAAAGAGGTTTGTGGACTCAAGAGACTACCGTTTTTATGGACTAACTGAAATTTCATCCCCTTTTGTACCGTTTTTTGATTCCCCTATATTTCATTCAGGTACTTTTAAGTTTATGCAAGAAGTGTTGTATTAATTTGTACTTGCATATGTAGATATTGACGAGTGCGCTGGATCTCCTTGTAAAAACGGCGCTGCATGTCGGAATATTCCCGGGAGTTATCTGTGCAGGTGTAAAGCAGGTTTTACAGGAAAGAACTGCGACACAGGTCAGCTAGCCCGCACTCTTTATTTCCAATACTTTTCTATTATCTATCTACCCATTTTGGAATCATGAATATAATATAAAGTGTGCTGGATTGTTTTAAAAAAAGACATTAGGATGATAAATTCTAAACATAAAGTTACTTTTAAATTTTTAGAAGGTACATCTTTCTCGTTACATTTAAGTTAAGTTCATTCTATTTTAGTGTTACATTAGTTTTTGTTTCTGATAGTCCTATCCATAGGAGAATGCAAACGAAAGGAAATGGTAGTTTTAAATGGCATTGTGGTTTCAGTTATATTGACTTTTTATCTGTTATCTAGATATCAATGAGTGTGCTAAATCCCCTTGTAAGAACGGTGCTACTTGTCAAAATATTGCCGGAAGCTACCAGTGCGCGTGTAAACCTGGCTATACAGACAGGAACTGTGAGACAGGTAAGCAACCTTGAAAGATTAATATCGTCTTTTGGCGACATAGATAAGGCTTGTTTCTCTCACTGGACCACATCCATATTCTAAAAAAGCGCCGTTAAAAGTTGTAATTCCGTCATCTTGTATTCATTAGAAGGCTCTAAAATAATAACCATGTGAGCTTCGATGAAGCACTGTGTGTTCCTTGCAGAAAACTCGGGAAGAAGTCTTGAATAGTTGATCTAAAATTTCTGCTACTAGAAAGTCCTCCATTGTCTTCATATGAAATTAGTTATCTGGTGCCTTATTCTCTATACAGATGTAGACGAGTGCGCTGAATCTCTGTGTCAAAACGATGCCTTGTGTCAAAATCTTCCTGGAAGTTACCGATGCAAGTGTAAATCCGGATATACTGGACGAAATTGTGAAACAGGTGAGCTTTGTTAGGCTTAAAAGTTTCATTAGGAACAATAACTCTTATCTTGTCTTCATTTGAATTTTTTTAATCATTTCATTACCAAGATATCGCCTTCCCTGAGAAGCACCTCGTTGCATTTTCAGTTCGTTGACCTAAATACTGTTTAATGATGTTTAACGGAATACCATTATTATTGTTCATCAACTTTCCTCCCCTTATAGGTGTATTTGTGATTTCTCTTTATTTTAATTTATATAAAAAAAACCACAACAAATACAAATTTTAACATATAAAAAGAGATACTTTTAACTTTATGCAAGAAAAGTTGTATCAATTTGTGTTTTCCTATTTAGATATTAACGAATGTGCTGGATCTCCTTGTAAAAACGACGCTACATGTCAAAATATTCCCGGGAGTTACCTGTGCATTTGTAAAGCAGGTTTTACAGGAAAAAACTGCAACACAGGTCAGTGAGCCCGATCTCCTCTTAATTCCAATATCTTTCTACAATCTATCTATCCATCTAGAATAATGACCTTTTTGCAATATCTCCGGAAAGAGTTAATCTCATTAATTTTGCATTTGGAAACGTTTTGAATAAGTGTCCTAAATTGTTTTGAAACAAAAAAAGGATGTTACAAGTCTAACGTAAGGTAACTGTTGAATTTCTAGATATGTCCTTCTCGTTGCGTCTAAATCAGGATCATAATATTTTCATTTTCCACCAATCTTTATTTCTGATAGGTTAATCCATTGGAGAATGCAAATGAAAGGAAATGTTTGTTTAAATATTATGGCGGTTAAAGCTCTTTTGACTTTTAATTTTTTCATCTAGATATCAATGAGTGTGCTAAATCCCCTTGTAAGAACAGTGCTTCCTGTCAAAATATTCCTGGAAGTTACCGATGCAAGTGTAAATCCGGATATACTGGACGAAACTGTCAAACTGGTAAGCTTTGCCAGGCTTAAAAATTTCTACCCGAACAGTAACTTTCATCTTGCCTTTATCTGAATTTTTTTATTCATTCTATTAGCAAGATATCGCTGTTCTTGAGAAGTACTTCGTTGCTTTTTTCACTTCTTTGACCTTAATACTGTTTAAAAATACTCACATGAGCACATTTATTATGTTTCATTTACGTGATGTACTCTTTATTGAATGCCACATCGCATGTACATACCATTAAAATTGTTACTTTTAACAACCAAGGTCTAGATTGAGGGCCCCGCTGTTAGGTTCCCTCATAAAAAACATTATTAGAAAATAAACATTATTATAATTGTATACCAACGGAATTATTATCCCGCTGTTACTTAATCATTATTATCACCATTATAATAATAATAACTATTATTATTATTCGCGTTTTTACTAACTTGTGGTTTTGTCTATAGATATCGATGAATGTGTAGGATCTCCCTGCAAAAACGGTGCTACTTGTCAAAATACTCCCGGAAGTCACAAATGTAACTGTAAACCCGGATTTACAGGCAGAGACTGCGGAAAAGGTGAACTTCACCAAAATGGTCATTTATCTTCCACGAGTTATTTGCTCCATTTTTTGAGATTACTCGCCGCACAAATGATACTTACCTTGCAAACTCAGCAATAGGAAAAGGGGCTTACTACTCTCAGCACCACTCTAGGCATTTATCGAAGCCATAAAATGATGTGGTAGGAGAGGGGGAGAGCGTGTTCTTCTAAATTTTGTCATTGCCTTAAGGACCAATTATTTACAAAATTAAATGATGTCTGAAAATGACAAGAAGAATTGCATTTTTTTGCTTCTCTATTGTATAAAACAAATAGATTGTGTCCAAGGGTCTGTAGAGAAAGAAATAACATAAACGTCAAAATGTGGTAATAACGGTAGTGACATACTTAGTGGCCGAGCCTTGTTTTTTTGTTGTTGTTGCTTCTCATCTTTAAATGTCATTCGTGATCTATAGCAGAAGAACAGCATCATCGAATCCATTTGTTAATTAAATAGAGAACTGATCTCTAATTATATATACAGATGTGGACGAGTGCACAGGGTCTCCTTGCAAAAACGGTGCTCTATGTCAAAATGTTCCCGGCAGTTATCGATGCAGTTGTAAATCAGGATTTGAAGGCGGAAACTGTGAAAGAGGTTTGTAGACTCGAGAGACTTTCTGACTAACTGAACACCACTCCACTTATAGATATATTTCTGACTCCCCTGTATTTAATTCTATCACAAATCAGAAAACAAATAAATAATTATATTGTAGAGAATCATACAGGAAGAGGTACTTTTTACTTTATGCAAGAAATGTTATATTAATTTGCACTTGCATATCTAGATACTGACGAGTGTGCTGGATATCCCTGTAAAAACGGCGCTTCATGTCAAAATATTCCCGGGAGTTACCGGTGCTGGTGTAAAGCAGGTTTTACAGGAAGGAACTGCGACACAGGTCAGCTAGCCTGCTCTCTTTATTTCCAATACCTTGCTGCTATCTATCTACCCATTTTGGAATCATGAACTTTTTGCGATATATTGGGATACAGTTAATTTCATTAATTTTGTTTTTTTGAACGTATTTAATGTGTCCTGGATTTTTTTAAAAAAAGGGAACAAAAAAGATGCTACAAGTCTAAACATAAAGTGAGTTTTTAGACTATACCTCCTTCTCAGTGCATCCAAATTAAGATCATAATATTTTTTAATGTTACACAAGTTTTAATTTCTGATAGTCTCTAATGGTAGAGATGCAAATCAAAGGAAATGGTAGTTTTAAATATCATGGCGGTTTAAGTTATATTGAATTTAAATCTATTATCTAGATATCAATGAATGTGTTAAAGCCCCTTGTAAGAACGGTGCTACCTGCCAAAATATTGCTGGAAGCTACCAGTGCGCCTGTAAACCTGGCTATACAGACAGGAACTGTGAGACAGGTAACCTGCCTTGTAAAATTAATAATCACCGTTTGCGACAGAGATGAGGTTCATTTCTCTCATTAGACCATATTCTGTTACTCTAAGATCGATGCAACATGAAAGTCCTCCATCCGTGATCTATAACAGACGCACGATATCTTAAAAATCTATTTCATAATTAAATAGAATAGTCCCTCTCGTTGCATCCAAATTAAGACCATAATATTTTCGTGTTATACAAGTTTTTGCTTCTGATAGTCTTATCCATTGGAGGATGCAAACGAAAGTAAATGGCCGTTTTAAATATAATTGCGGTTTAAGTTATACTGATGCCTACTTTGTTATCTAGACATAGATGAGTGTGCTAAATCCCCGTGTAAGAACGGTGCTACTTGTCAAAATATCGCTGGAAGCTACCAGTGCGTCTGTAAACCTGGCTATACAGACAGTAACTGTGAGACAGGTAAGCTGCCTTGTAAATTTATATATCATCTTTTGGCGACATAGATGAGGTACATTTCTTTTATCGGACCATGTTCTAAAACCGCAATTAAAAGTTGTCTTTACGTCATCATGAATTGATTGGACGGTTCGTAAATGAAAATCATGTGAACTTCGATAAAGCGCTGTGTGTTCCTTGTAGAAAACTCGCGAAGAAGTCTTGAATAGTTCCTCTAGTATCGTTGCAACTAGAAGGTCCTCCATTATCTTTATCTGAAATTAGTTATTGGGTTTCTTATTTTATATACAGATATAGACGAGTGCGCTAAGTCTCCGTGTCAAAACAATGCCTTGTGTCAAAATCTTCCGGGAGGTTACCGATGCAACTGTAAATCTGGACATACTGGACGAAATTGTGGAACTGGTGAATTTTGCCAGGCTTAAAAGTTTCGTTAGGAACAATAACTTTCATATTGCCTTCATTTGAATTTCTTTTAATCATTTCATTACCGAGGTATACAGCGCCTTTTCTGAGAAGCACTTCGTTGCATTTTGCAGTTCGTTGACTTAAATACCGTTTAGTAATAATTAATTGGGCACCACTATTATTGTTCATCAACTTTCATCCCCTCAAAAGACATTTTTGTGATTCCCCTATTTAATTCTGCCGCAAAAGATTGCGAATAAAATATATGACATATAAAAAGAGATACTTTTAACTTTAGGCAAGAAAAGGTATAAATATTTGTACTTTCATATTTAGATATTGACGAGTGTGCTGGATCTCCCTGTAAGAACGGCGCTACATGTCAAAATATTCCCGGGAATTACCTGTGCAGTTGTAAGGCAGGTTTTACAGGAAAGAACTGTAACACAGGTCAGCTACTCTGCTCTCTTTTTAATTTCAATACCTTTCTTGCAAACTATCTATCCATTTAGAATTATGAGATTTATGCAATTTAGAATAACAAACTTTTATAAATATCTCCAGAAGGATTCAATTTCATTAATTTTGCATTTGAAAACGTGATTAGCGAGTGTCCTGGATTGTTTGTAAAAAGATATATATAATATGACATACAGGAAAAGGTACTTTTTATTTTATGCAAGAAAAGTTATATTGATTTGTACTTTTTTCTTTAGAAATTGACGAATGTGCTGGATCTCCTTGTAAAAACGGCGCTAAATGTTCAAATATTCCCGGGAGTTACCTGTGCATTTGTAAAGCAGGTTTTACTGGGAAAAACTGCGACACCGGTCAGTGAGCCCGATCTCCTCTTAATTCCAATATCTTTCTACAATCTATCTATCTGTGAACGTTTTGTATCCCTGAGGGTATTTTATTTGATTGGAAATGGTGGCTTTAAATATTACCGCGGTTAAAGTTCTTTTGACTTTTAATTTGTTATTTAGACATCAACGAGTGTGCAAGATCTCCCTGTAAGAACAGTGATAGTTGTCTAAATATTCCTGGAAGTTACCGATGCAAATGTAAATCCGGATATACTGGACGAAACTGTCAAACTGGTGAGCTTTGTTAGTCTTAAAAATTTAATTAGGAACAGTCACTTTCATCTTGCCTTCATTTCAATTATTTAATCATTTCATTACCAAGATATCGCCTTTCCTGAGAAGCACTTCGTTACATTTTGAAGTTCGCTCACCTAAATACTGTCTAAGAATATTTAATTGAGTACCATTATCATTCTTCATTTACGTGCATTTCCCGATATACTCTGAATACCACATCACATTTTCATACTATTACAATTGCTACTTTTAACAACCAAGGTTTAGATTGAGGGCGCCACAGAAAACAGTTTTGGCAAGTTAAGTTCCCTCATCAAGTCATTATTAGGAAATAAATATCATTATAATTATATACCAACGGAATTATTATTCCCGATGTCACTTAATCAATATTATTATTGCTATTATAATTAGCATTATTATCATTATCATTATTTGCATTGTTACTCAGTTGTGATTTCGTCTTTAGATATCGATGAATGTGTTGGATCTCCATGCAAAAACGGAGCAACTTGTCAAAACATTCCCGGAAGTCACAAATGTAATTGTAAACCCGGATTTACAAGCAAAGACTGCAGAAAAGGTAAACATCACAAAAATGGTTCTTTATTGTTCACGAACTCTTTGCTATGAACCGCTGTTACTTAGTCATTATTATCACCATTATAATAATAGTAACTATTATTATTATTATTCGCGTTTTTACTAACTTGTGATTTTGTATATAGATATCGATGAATGTGTTGGATCTCCCTGCAAAAACGGTGCTACTTGTCAAAATACTCCCGGAAGTCACAAATGTAACTGTAAACCCGGATTTACCGGCAGAGACTGCGGAAAAGGTGAACTTCACCAAAATGGTTATTTATTGTTACGCTACATGTCTAAATATTCCCGGGAGTTACGTGTGCAGATGTAAAGCAGGTTTTAAAGGAAGGACCTGCAACGCAGGTCAGTTAGCCTGCTCTCTTTTTGATTCCAATACCTTTCTACAATCTATCTATTCATTTAGAATTACAAACTTTTATCAGTATCTCTAATGGGAGTTAATTTCATTAATTTTGCATTTGGAAACGCAAGTTTTTCTCTGTTAAAAACCCTCTTGAAGATTAACTTGAATCAGATTACTACGCGGTACTCCGTGCTCGCAACTTCCATTTCTTCTTTGCTACTTAAGTACGATGTATCACAACTCTCGGTAGAGCTTGCTCAAGGAAGGTACACATCGCTATCGGTCATAATTTCAAGAGTATTTCAACGCTGATTGATACAAAATTACATGAGATGTGAGAGATTTGTGAGTGTCAACTGAGAGTTTTCATAGTTTTCTACGTCATCACCCGCTAATTCGTTACCAGTCCATGTGATATTTTTAAGACAGAATAGGGGCACAAAAGGCCCAAAAAAACCGCGTTTTGGGCTTTTCAAAATTTTTCTTCTACCGGAATTTATTTGTACATGTGATAGGCTAAATATTTAAGCAAAAAAAACCAATTTTGTGTCATCTGCAGTTTAATTCCAATACCTTTCTACAGTCTATCTATCCATTTATAATTATGATATTATGATATTAATATCATTATGATATTATATTATATTATTAATTTATATTGATATAATATTATCCATTTAGAACTATGATAATTTAGAATTATGAACTATTTGCAATATCACTGGAAGGATTTGGAAACTTAATTAATAAGTGTCCTGGATTGTTTTAAAAAACGACAAAAGGGATGATAAAGTCAATTTTTCGACGATACGTCTTTCTCGTCAGAGTCAAATTAAGATCAGGATATTTTATTGTTACATTAGTTTTTATTTCTGATAGTCTTATCCATCGGAGACTGCAAACGGAAGGAAATGGTACTTTTAAATATCATTGCAGTTTAAGTTATACTGATGCCTACTTTGTTATCTAGATATCAATGAGTGTGCTAAGTCCCCTTGTAAGAACGGTGCTACTTGTCAAAATATTGCTGGAAGCTACCAGTGCGCGTGTAAACTTGGCTATACAGACAGGAACTGTGAGACAGGTAGGCCGCCTTGGAAGATTAAATATCATCTTTTGGCAACATAAATGAGATTTACTTTTCTCACTGGACCATATTCTAAAGGAGCGCCATTAAAACTTTTCTTCCGTCATCTTGTATTGATTTCTACAATCTATCTGTGAACTTTCCGCAATATCTCTGAGGGGATTTTATTTCATTAATTTTGCATTTGGAAACGTATTTAATAAGCGAAAGGAAATGGTGGTTTTTAATATTGCCGCAGTTAAAGTTCTTTTGACTTTCAATTTGTTAGTTAGACACCAATGAGTGTGCAAATTCCCCTTGTAAGAACGGTGCTAGTTGTCAAAATATTCCTGGAAGTTACCGATGCAAGTGTAAATCCGGATATACTGCACGAAACTGTCAAATTGGTGAGCTTTCTTAGGCTTAAAAATTTCATTAGGAAGAGTAACTTTCATCTTGCCTTAATTTCAATTTTTTTAATCATTTCATTACCAAGATATCGCCTTTCCTGAGAAGCACTTCGTTGCATTTTGCAGTTCGCTCACCTAAATACTGTCTAAGAATATTTAATTGAGTACCATTATCATTCTTCATTTACATGGATTTCCCGATATACTCTGAATACCACATCACATTTTCATACTATAAACTTTGAACAATATTAGCGCAGTTAAAGTTCTTTTGACTTTTAATTTGTTATTTAGACATCAACGAGTGTGCAAGATCCCCCTGTGAGAACGGTGCTAGTTGTCTAAATATTCCTGGAAGTTACCAATGCAAGTGTAAATCTGGATATACTGGACGAAACTGTCAAACTGGTGAGCTATGTGTTAGGCTGAATAATTTCATTAGGTACACAAACTTCCATCTTGCCTTCATTTGAATTTTTTTAGTCATTTCTTTATCATGTATGATCATCATCATAAACAGTTTTCTGCTTCTCTTTTTTATAAAACAACTAGATTCGGAGTCCGCAGGTCTGTACAGTAACAAATGAGAAAAACGTCACAATGTGGTAATAACATTAGTGACACACTTTATAGCTGAACCTTGTCTTTTTAGTTGTTGTTTCTCACATTTAGATGTCATCCGTGATGTAGAACAGACGCACGACAACATTGAATCTATTTGTTAATTAAATAGAGAACTGATTTTTAATTATATATACAGATGTGGACGAGTGCACAGGTTCTCCTTGCAAAAATGGTGCTCTATGTCAAAATGTTCCCGGCAGTTATCGATGCAGTTGTAAATCAGGATTTGCGGGCAGAAACTGTCAAAGAGGTTTGTGGACTCGAGAGACTACCTTTCACGGACTAACTGAACTTTCATCCCCTCATAGGCATATTTGTGACTCCCCTATATTTAATTATATCGCAAAAACAAACAAATAAATAATTATAATCCACAGAAAGAGATAGTATTAACTTTGGGCAAGAAATGTCATATTTATTTGTACTCTCATATTTAAATATTGACGAATGTGCTGGATCTCCTTGTAAAAACGGCGCTAAATGTGTAAATATTCTCGGGAGTTACCGGTGTAGTTGTAAAGCAGGTTTCATAGGAAGGAACTGCGAGAAAGGTCAGCTAGTCCGCTCTCCTTTTAATTCCACTACCTTTTTACAATCAATCTATCCATTTAGATTAAACGATTTTTGGTAATATTTCTGGAGGAGTTAATTTCATCAATTTGTTAACGTGTTTAATAAGTATCATGAATTGTTTTGAAAAACAAAAAGGATGATAAACTCTAAACATAAAGTTACTTTTGAATTTCTAAATTCAAATTAAGATCACAATATTTTAATGTTACACCAGTTTTTATATGTGATAGTCTTATCTATTGAAAGAAGCAAACGAAAGGAAATGGTAGTTCTAAATATCATTGCGGTTTAAGTAATATTGACTTTAAATCTGTTATCTAGATATCGATGAATGTGCTAAGTCCCCTTGTAAGAACGGTGCTTCTTGTCAAAATATTGCTGGAAGCTACCAATGCGCGTGTAAACCTGGCTACATAGACAGGAACTGTGAGACAGGTAAGGTGCCCCGAAAGATTAAATATCATCTTTTGGTGACATAGATGAGGTTCATTTCCATATTCTAAAAAAGCGCCATTAGAAGTTGTGCTTCTGTCATCTTGGACGGACGGTTCTAAAATAATAATCATGTGAACTTCGATAAAGCACTGTATGTTCCTTGTAGAAATCTTGGAAAAAAGTCTTGAATAGTTGCTCTAAAATCTATACAACTAGAAAGTCCTCCATTGTCCTTATTAAATATTAGATATCTGGTTTCTTATTCCGTATACAGATAAAGATGAGTGCGCTAAATCTCCGTGTCAAAACGATGCCTTGTGTCAAAACCTTCCTGGAAGTTACCGATGCAAATGTAAATCCGGATATATTGGACGAAACTGCGAAAGTGGTGAGCTTTGTCAGACTTACAAGTTTCATTAGGAACAACAACTTTTATCTTGCCTTTATTTTTTTTTTTTTAATCATTTCATTACCAAGATATCGCCTTTCCTTAGAAGTACCTCAATGGAGTACCATTATCATTGTTTATTTACGTATATTTTGCGATGTACTCTTTACTGAATACCACATCACATTTACATACTATTAAAATTCATTAATAATCACTATTAGAAAATAAATTTCATTATAATTGTATACCAATTCCCGCAATCACTTAATGATTATTATTATTATTATTATTATCATTATCATTATGATTATTATTATTATTATTATTATTATTACTGACCTTGTTACTTACTTGTGATTTGTCTTTAGATATCGATGAATGTGTTGGATCTCCATGCAAAAACGGTGCTACTTGTCAAAATATTCCCGGAAGTCACAAATGCAACTGTAAACCCGGATTTACAGGCAGAGACTGCGGAAAAGGTGAACTTCACCCAAATGGATATTTATTGATTTTAGATATATGAAAATTCAATTGGTAGAGCGCTGCACCAGCATCGCAGAGGTCATGGGTTCAAATCCCGTACGGGCCTGAATTTTTTTCAGGTCCTATTTACAACTACTCGTTTCAGTAGTGTTCTTAGCTGCGAGGATCTCTTAATTTCATCTTCATGGTTATTTGTTGTTACGCTAAATGTCAAAATATTCCCGGGAGTCATTTGTGCAGTTGTAAAGCAGGTTTTACAGGAAAGAACTGCGACGCAGGTCAGCTAACCCGCTCTCTTTTTGAAGTGCCTATGACACGAAATTTTTTTCGCATTTTATGGTTGACAGCGGTATTTAAAATTAGAAATAATTGACCTTTCTAATTCCACCATCTTTCTATTTAGAATGCTTAACTATTTGCAATATCACTGGAAGGAGTTAATTTCATTAATTCTGCCTTTAAACCGTATTTAATAGGTGTTCTGAATTGTTTTAAAAAAAAAGAGAAACAAAAAGGATGTCACGAGTCTAACGGGAGTAAATGTTGAATTTCAAGACGATATGTCTTTCCCCTTGCATCCAAATAAGGATCATAGCCAGTTTTTATTTCTAATAGTCTTATCCATTGGAGAAAGCAAACGGAACGGGAAGGAAATGTTAGTTTTAAATATCATTGCGGTTGAAGTTACATTGATACTCATAAATTTAATATCTAGATATCAATGAGTGTGCTAAATCCCCTTGTAAGAACGGTGCAACTTGTCAAAATACTGCTGGAAGCTACCAATGCGCGTGTCAACGTGGCTATGCAGACAGGAACTGTGAGACAGGTAAGCTGCCTTGTAAAATTAAAAATCGTCGTTTGGTACCATAGATGGGGTTCATTTCTCTCACTGGATCATATTCTAAGAAAGCGCAATTAAAAGTTGTGTTTCTGTCACCTTGTATTGATTAAACGGTTCTAAAATGATAAATATGTGAGCCCTGAAAAAGCACTGTGTGTTCCCTGTACGAAAATCGATAAGAAGACTTGAATTGTTGTCTAAAATCTCTGCAACTAGAAAGTCCTCCGTTGTCTTTATCTCAAATTAGTGGTTTCTTTTCTTGTTTTTTATTCTATATACAGATATAGACGAGTGTGCTGCATCTCCGTGTCAAAACGATGCCTTGTGTCAAAATCTTCCAGGAAGTTACCGATGCAAGTGTAAATCCGGATATACTGGACGAAATTGTCAAATTGGTGAGCTGATTAGGCCTAGAAATTCCATTAACAACAGTAATATTCATCTCTCCTTTATTTGAATTTTTCTAATCATTTCATTACCAAGATATCGTCTTTCCTGAGAAAGTTTCATTTTACAGTTCGTTGCTTTAAATTCCGTTTAATAATATTTAATTGAGTACAATTATTATTGTTCATCAATTTTCATCCCCTTGTAGATATCTTTGTGATTTCCCCGTACTTAATTCTACCGCATAAAAATAACAGATAAATAATTATAACATATAAAAAGAGATACTTTAAACTTTAAGCAAGAAAAGTTAGATTAATTTATCCCTTTTTATTTAGATATTAACGAGTGTGCTGGCTCTCCGTGTAAAGACGGTGCTACATGTCTTAATATTCCCGGGAGTTACATCTGCAGATGTAAAGCAGGTTTTACAGGAAGGAACTGCAACGCAGGTCAGCTAGCATGCTCTCTTTTTAATTCCAATACCTTTCTACAATCTATCTATTCATTTAGAATTACAAACTTTTATCAGTATCTCTGGAGAGAGTTAATTTCATTAATTTTGCATTTGGAAACGTAATAAGTAAGTGTCCTGGATTGTTTTTAAAATATATATATAGAGAACATATCAAAATAAATGGCAAGAGGTACTTTTTACTTCATGCAAGAATAGTTATATTAATTTTTACTATTTTCTTTAGATATTGATGAATGTGCTGGATCTCCTTGTAAAAACGGCGCTAAATGTTCTAATATTCCAGGGAGTTACCTGTGCAGTTGTAAAGCAGGTTTTACAGGAAAGAACTGCGACGCAGGTCAGCTAACCCGCTCTCTTTTTAAAGTGCCTATGACACGAAATTTTTTTTGTATTTTCTGGTTGACAGCGGTATTTAAAATTAGAAATAATTGACCTTCGCGCCTGGCGAGTTCTCCTTGTCCATTTTTTTCTACGTTGAAAGTACGATTTGGCGGCCAAAAAGTGTCCCCATAAAGCGCTTTAAAAAAAATTTAAAGCATGATTTACAGGAAGAAAATGCAACTCGGGTAAGCTAGCCCGCTCTGTTTTTAATTTCAACACCTTTCTACAATCTGTCTATCCATTTAGAATTATGAACTTTCTGCAATTTAGAATTACAAACTTTTATCGGTATCTCCAGAAGGATTCAATTTCATTAATTTTCATTTGAAAACGTGATTAATGAGTGTCCTGGATTGATTTTAAAAAAATAATTATACCTAATATGATATATAGGAAGAGGTACTTTTCACTTTATGCAAGAAGAGTTAAATTAATTTATACTTTTTTCTTTAGATGTTGACGAATGTGCTGGATCTCCTTGTAAAAACGGCGCTAAATGTTCTAATATTCCCGGGAGTTACCTGTGCAGTTGTAAAGCAGGTTTTACAGGGAAGAAGTGCGACACAGGTTAGCTAGCTCGCTCTCTTTTCAATTCCAACACCTTTCTACAATCTATCTATCTGTGAGCTTTTCGCAATATCTCTGAGGGGATTTTATTTCTTCAATTTTGCATTTGGAAACGTAATATATAATAAGCGAAAGGAAATGGTGGTTTTATATATTACCGCAGTTAAAGTTCTTAATTTGTTATTTAGACATCGATGAGTGTGTAAAATTCCCTTGTAAGAACGGTGCTAGTTGTCAAAATCTTCCTGGATGTTACCGATGCAAGTGTAAATCCGGATATACTGGACGAAACTGTCAAACTGGTGGGCTTTCTTAGGCTTAAAAATTTCATCAGGAACAGCAACTTTCATCTTTCCTTCATTTCAATTTTTTAATCATTTCATTGCCAAGATATCGCCTTTCCTGAGAAGCACTTCGTTGCATTTTGCAGTTCTTTCACCTAAATACTGTCGAAGAATATTTAATTGAGTACCATTATCATTCTTCATTTACGTGCATTTCCCGATATACTCTTTACTGAATACCACATCACATTTTCATATTATGAGAATTGTTACTTTTAAATACCAAGGTCTAGATTGAGGGCCCCACTGAAAACAGTTTTGGCAAGTTAAGTTCCCTCATCAAGTCATTATTAGAAAATAAATATCATTATAATTATATACCAACGGAATTATTATTCCCGATGTCACTTATTCATTATTATTGTTACTATTATAATTAGTATTGTTATCATTATCATTATTTGCATTGTTACTCAGTTGTGATTTCGTCTTTAGATATCGATGAATGTGTTGGATCTCCATGCAAAAACGGTGCAACTTGTCAAAACATTCCCGGAAGTCACAAATGTAATTGTAAATCCGGATTTACAAGCAAAGACTGCGGAAAAGGTGAACATCACAAAAATGGTTCTTTATTGTTCACGAACTATTTGTTAAGAACTTTAAGCAGTATCTCTCGTAGGGGTGAATTTCATTAGTTTTAGAGTTTTGAAGACTTATTTATTAAGTGTCCTGGATGGCTTTTAAATATAAATAATTTATTATAATATCTAAGAAGAGGTACTTTTTACTCCATAAAAAAATAGTTATATTTATTTATACTTTTTTATCTAGATATTGACGAATGTGCTGGATGTCCTTGTAAAAACGGCGCTAAATGTTCTAATATTCCCGGGAGTAACCTGTGCAGATGTAAAGCAGGTTTTACAGGAAGGAAATGCGACATAGGTTAGCTAACCTGCTCTCTTTTTCATTCCACTACCTTTGCAATATATCTGGCAGGAGTTAATCTCATTAGTTTTTCAATCGGAAACGTATTTAGAAAGTGCCCTGGATTGTTTTGAAACCAAAGAAGGATGAAACAAGTCTAACGTGAAGTTATTGCTGAATTCCTACACGATATGTCCTTCTCGTTGCATCCAAATTAAGATCGTAATATTTTCATGTTACACCAGTTTTTATTTCTGATAGTCATATATATTTAAAAAGCAAACGAAAGGAAATTGTGGTTAGCACAATTAAAGTTTTTTTGACTTTTAATTTGTTATCTAGATATCAATGAGTGTTCTTGTAAGAACGGTGCTACTTGTCAAAATATTCCTGGAAGTTACCGATGCACGTGTAAATCTGGATATACTGGACGAAACTGTCAAACTGGTGAGCTATGTGTTAGGCTGAAAAATTTCATTAAGTACAGAAACTTTCATCTTCCCTTCATTTGAATATTGTTAGTCATTTCTTTATCATGTATGAGCATCATCATATACAATTTTCTGCTTCTCTATTTTATAAAACGACTAGATTCGGTGCCCGCAAGTCTGTACAGTAACAAATGACAAAAACGTTTCAATGTGGTAATAACATTAGTGGCACACATTATAGCTGAACCTTGGTTTTTTTAGTTGTTGTTGTTTCTTACATTTAGATGTCATCCGTGATCTAGAACAGACGCACGACAACATTGAATCTATTTGTTAATTAAATAGAGAACTGATTTTTAATTATATATACAGATGTGGACGAGTGCACAGGTTCTCCATGTAAAAACGGTGCTCTATGTCAAAATGTTGCCGGCAGTTATCGATGCAGTTGTAAATCAGGATTTGCGGGCAGAAACTGTCAAAGAGGTTTGTGGACTCGAGAGACTACCTTTCTCGGACTAACTGAACTTTCATCGCCTCATAGGCATATTTGTGACTCCCCTATATTTAATTATATCGCAAAAACAAACAAAAAAATAATTATAATCTACAGAAAGAGGTAGTGTACTTTAGGCACGAAATGTCATATTTATTTGTACTTTCATATTCAGATATTGACGAATGTGCTGGATCTCCTTGTAAAAACGGCGCTAAATGTGTAAATATTCTCGGGAGTTACCTGTGTAGTTGTAAAGCAGGTTTTACAGGAAGGAACTGCGACACAGGTCAGCTAGTCCGCTCTCTTTCTAATTCCACTATCTTTCTACAATCTATCTATCCATTTAGAATTAAACGATTTTTGGTAATATTTCTGGAGGAGTTTATTTCATCAATTAGTTAACGTATAAAGTTACTTTTGAATTTCTAGACGTTACGTCCTTCTCGTTAAATTCAAATTAAGATCACAGTATTTAAATGTTACACCAGTTTTTATATGTGATAGTCTTATCTATTGAAAGATGCAAACGAAAGTAAATGGTAGTTCTAAATATCATTGCGCTTTAAGTAATATTGACTTTAAATCTGTTATCTAGATATCAATGAATGTGCTAAGTCCCCTTGTAAGAACGGTGCTACTTGTCAAAATATTGCTGGAAGCTACCAATGCACGTGTAAACCTGGCTACATAGACAGGAACTGTGAGACAGGTAAGATGCCCCGAAAGATTAAATATTATCCTTTGGCGACATAAATGAGCTTCATTTCTCTCTAACAAAAGCGCCATTAAAAGTTGTACTTCTGTCATCTTGGACGGACGGTTCTAAAATAACAATCGTGAACTTCGATAAGGCACTGTGTGTTCCTCGTAGAAACCTCGGAAAAAAGTCTTGAATAGTTACTCTAAAATCTCTGCAACTAGAAAGTCCCTCCATTGTCCTTATCTAAAATTAGACATGTGGTTTCTTATTCCATATACAGATATAGATGAGTGCGCTAAATCTCCGTGTCAAAACGATGCTTTGTGTCAAAATCTTCCTGGAAGTTACCGATGCAAGTGTAAATCCGGATTTATTGGACGAAACTGCGAAAGTGGTGAGATTTGTCAGGCTTAAAAGTCTCATTAGGAACAATAACTTTCATCTTGCCTTCATTTGAAGTTTTTTTAATCATTTCATTACCAAGATATCGCCTTTCCTGAGAAGCACCTCAACGGAGTACCATTATCATTGTTTATGATATTATATTGATAGTTTATTTGGCGATGTACTCTTTACTGAATACCACATCACATTTACATACTATTAAAATAGATGAAAACTCATTATTAGAAAATAAATATCATTATAATTATATACCAACGGAATTATTATTCCCGCAATCACTTAATGATCATTATTGTTATCATCATTATTATTATCATTATCATTATAATTATTGTTATCATTACTGACGTTGTTACTTGTGATTTGTCTTTAGATATCGATGAATGTGTTGGATCTCCATGCAAAAACGGTGCTACTTGTCAAAATGTTCCCGGAAGTCACAAATGTAATTGTAAACCCGGATTTACAGGCAGAGACTGCGGAAAAGGTGAACTTCATCAAAATGGTTATTTATTGTTACGCTACATGTCAAAATATTCCCGGGAGTTATTTGTGCAGTTGTAAAGCAGGTTTAACAGGAAGGAACTGCGACACAGGTCAGCTAGCCCGCTCTCTTTCTTATTCCACCATCTTTCTATTTAGAATTCTGAACTATTTGCAATATCACTGGAAGGGGTTAATTTCATTAATTCTGCCTTTGGAACCGTATTTAATAGGTTTTCTGGATTGTTTTGAAAGAAAAGAAACAAAAAGGATGCCACAAGTCTAATGTGAAGTAACTGTTGAATTTCAAGAAGATATGTCTTTCCCCTTGCATCCAAATAAGGATCATAACCGGTTTTTATTTCTAATAGTCTTATCCAGTGGAGAAAGCAAACGGAACGGGAAGGAAATGTTAGTTTTAAATATCATTGCGGTTGAAGTTACATTGATACAAATAAATTTAATATCTAGATATCAATGAGTGTGCTAAATCCCCTTGTAAGAACGGTGCAACTTGTCAAAATACTGCTGGAAGCTACCAATGCGCGTGTAAACCTGGCTATGCAGACAGGAACTGTGAGACAGGTAAGCTGCCTTGTAAAATTAAAAATCATCGTTTGGTGCCATAGATGGGGTTCATTTCTCTCACTGGATCATATTCAAAAAAAGCGCAATTAAAAGTTGTGTTTTTGTCATCTTGTATTGATTAAACGATTCTAAAATGATAAATATGTGAGCCCTGATAAAGCACTGTGTGTCCCTTGTACGAAAATCGATAAGAATGAGGACTTGAATTGTTGTCTAAAATCTCTGCAACTAGAAAGTCCTCCGCTGTCTTTATCTAAAATTGGTGGTTTCTTATCTGGTTTCTTATGCCATATACAGATATAGACGAGTGTGCTGCATCTCCGTGTCAAAACGATGCCTTGTGTCAAAATCTTCCAGGAAGTTACCGATGCAAGTGTAAATCTGGATATACTGGACGAAATTGTGAAATTGGTGAGCTTTGTTAAGCTTAGAAATTCCATTGGGAACAGTAATTTTCATCTCTCCTTCATTTGAATTTTTTTAATCATTTCATTACCAAGATATCGTCTTTCCTGAGAAGCGCTTCGTTTCATTTTGTAGTTCGTTGCCTGAAATTCCGTTTAATAATATCAATTGAGTACAATTATTATTGTTCATCAATTTTCATCCCCTTCTAGATATCTTTGTGATTTCCCTGTACTTAATTCTACCGCAAAAAAATAACAGATAAATAATTGCAACATATAAAAGAGATAAACTTTAAGTAAGAAAGGTTAGATTACTTTAACCTTTTTTATTTAGATATTAACGAGTGTGCCGAATCTCCGTGTAAAAACGGTGCTACATGTTTTAATATTCCCGGGAGATACCTCTGCAAATGTAAAGCAGGTTTCACAGGATGGAACTGCAACGCAGGTCCATAGCCTGCACTCTTTTTAATTCCAACACCTTTCTATAATCTATCTATTCATTTAGAATTACAAACTTTTATCAGTATCTCTGGTGGGAGTTAATTTCATTAATTTCGCATTTGGAAACGTAATTAGTAAGTGTCTTGGATTTTTTAAAAATTATATATATATAGAACATATCAAAAAAAAATGGGAAGAGGCACTTTTTACTTCACGCAAGAAAAGTTATATTAATTTGCACTTTTTTCTTTAGATATTGACGAATGTGCTGGATCTCCTTGTAAAAACGGCGCTAAATGTTCTAATATTCCTGGGAGTTACCTGTGCAGTTGTAAAGCAGGTTTTACAGGAAAGAACTGCGACACAGGTTAGCTAGCTCGCTCTCTTTTCAGTTCTGCAACTTCGACTTTGAACTTTCTGCAATTTAGAATTACAAACTTTTACCAGTATATCCAGAAGGATTCAATTTCATTAATTTTGCATTTGAAAACGTGATTAATGAGTGACCTGGATTATTTTTAAAAAAATAATTATACCTAATATAATATATAGGAAGAGGTACTTTTCACTTTATGCAAGAATAGTTATATTAATTTATACTTTTTTCTTTAGATGTTGACGAATGTGCTGGATCTCCTTGTAAAAACGGCGCTAAATGTTCTAATATTCCCGGGAGTTACCTGTGCAGTTGTAAAGCAGGTTTTACAGGGAAGAAGTGCGACACAGGTTAGCTAGCTCGCTCTCTTTTCAATTCCAACACCTTTCTACAATCTATCTATCTGTGAGCTTTTCGCAATATCTCTGAGGGGATTTTATTTCTTCAATTTTGCATTTGGAAACGTAATATATAATAAGCGAAAGGAAATGGTGGTTTTATATATTACCGCAGTTAAAGTTCTTAATTTGTTATTTAGACATCGATGAGTGTGTAAAATTCCCTTGTAAGAACGGTGCTAGTTGACAAAATCTTCCTGGATGTTACCGATCCAAGTGTAAATCCGGATATACTGGACGAAACTGTCAAACTGGTGGGCTTTCTTAGGCTTAAAAATTTCATCAGGAACAGTCACTTTCATCTTGCCTTCATTTCAATTTTTTAATCATTTCATTGTCAAGATATCGCCTTTCCTGGGAACCACTTCGTTACATTTTGCAGTTCTTTCACCTAAATACTGTCTAAGAATATTTAATTGAGTACCATTATCATTCTTCATTTACGTACATTTCCCGATATACTCTTTACTGAATACCACATCAAATTTTCATATTATGAGAATTGTTACTTTTAACTACCAAGGTCTAGATTGAGGGCCCCACTGAAAACAGTTTTGGCAAGTTAAGTTCCCTCATCAAGTCATTATTAGGAAATAAATATCATTATAATTATATACCAACGGAATTATTATTCCCGATGTCACTTATTCATTATTATTGTTACTATTATAATTAGTATTATTATCATTATCATTATTTGCATTGTTACTCAGTTGTGATTTCGTCTTTAGACATCGATGAATGTGTTGGATCTCCATGCAAAAACGGTGCAACTTGTCAAAATATTCCCGGAAGTCACAAATGTAACTGTAAACCCGGATTTACAGGCAAAGACTGCGGAAGAGGTGAACATCACAAAAATGGTTCTTTATTGTTCACGAACTATTTGTTAAGAACTTTAAGCAGTATCTCTCGTAGGGGTGAATTTCATTAGTTTTAGAGTTTTGAAGACTTATTTATTAAGTGTCCTGGATGGCTTTTAAAATATATATATAATATATTATAATATCTAAGAAGAGGTACTTTTTACTCTATGAAAGAATAGTTATATTTATTTATACTTTTTTATCTAGATATTGACGAATGTGCTGGATGTCCTTGTAAAAACGGCCCTAAATGTTCTAATATTCCCGGGAGTAACCTGTGCAGATGTAAAGGAGGTTCTACAGGAAGGAAATGCGACATAGGTCAGCTAGCCTGCTCTCTTTTTCATTCCAATACCTTTGCAATATCTCTGGCAGGAGTTAATCTCATTAATTTTTCATCCGGAAACGTATTTAGAAAGTGTCCTGGATTGTTTTGAAACCAAAGAAGGATGAAACAAGTCTAACGTGAAGTTATTGCTGAATTCCTACACGATATGTCCTTCTCGTTGCATCCAAATTAAGATCGTAATATTTTCATGTTACACCAGTTTTTATTTCTGATAGTCTTATATATTTAAAAAGCAAACGAAAAGAAATTGTGGTTAGCACAATTAAAGTTCTTTTGACTTTTAATTTGTTATCTAGATATCAATGAGTGTTCTTGTAAGAACGGTGCTACTTGTCAAAATATTCCTGGAAGTTACCGATGCAAGTGTAAATCTGGATATACTGGACGAAACTGTCAAACTGGTGAGCTATGTGTTAGGCTGAAAAATTTCATTAAGTACAGAAACTTTCATCTTGCCTTCATTTGAATATTGTTCGTCATTTCTTTATCATGTATGAGCATCATCATAAACAATTTTCTGCTTCTCTATTTTATAAAACAACTAGATTCGGTGCCCGCAAGTCTGTACAGTAACAAATGACAAAACGTTTCAATGTGGTAATAACATTAGTGACACACATTATAGCTGAACCTTGGTTTTTTCAGTTGTTGTTGTTTCTTACATTTATCGTCCGTGGTACATCATACATTTGTCATCCGTGATCTAGAACAGACGCACGGCAACATTGAATCTATTTGTTAATTAAATAGAGAACTGATTTTTAATTATATATACAGATGTGGACGAATGCACAGGTACTCCTTGCAAAAACGGTGCTCTATGTCAAAATGTTCCCGGCAGTTATCGATGCAGTTGTAAATCAGGATTTGCAGGCAGAAACTGTCAAAGAGGTTTGTGGACTCGAGAGACTACCTTTCTCGGACTAACTGAACTTTCGTCCCCTCATAGGCATATTTGTGACTCCCCTATATTTAATTATATCGCAAAAACAAACAAATAAATAACTATAATCTACAGAAAAAGGAAGTGCTAACTTTAGGCAAGAAATGTCATATTTATTTGTACTTTCATATTCAGATATTGACGAATGTGCTGGATCTCCTTGTAAAAACGGCGCTAAATGTGTAAATATATTCGGGAGTTACCTGTGTAGTTGTAAAGCAGGTTTTACAGGAAGGAACTGCGACACAGGTCAGCTAGTCCGCTCTCTTTCTAATTCCACTATCTTTCTACAATCTATCTATCCATTTAGAATTAAACGATTTTTTGTAATATTTCTGGAGGAGTTAATTTCATCAATTTTTTAACGTATTTCATAAGTGTCCTGAATTGTTTGGAAAAAAAAAAGGATGATGAAGTCTAAACATTAAGTTACTTTTAAATTTCTAGACGTTACGTCCCTCTCGTTAAATTCAAATTAACATCACAATATTTTAATGTTACACCAGTTTTTATATGTGATAGTCTTATCTATTGAAAGATGCAAACGAAAGGAAATGGCAGTTCTAAATATCATTGCGCTTTAAGTAATACTGACTTTAAATCTGTTATCTAGATATCAATGAATGTGCTAAGTCCCCTTGTAAGAACGGTGCTACTTGTCAAAATATTGCTGGAAGCTACCAATGCACGTGTAAACCTGGCTACATAGACAGGAACTGTGAGACAGGTAAGGTGCCCCGAAAGATTAAATATTATCCTTCGGCGACATAAATGAGGTTCATTTCTCTCGCTGAACCATATTCTAACAAAAGCGCCATTAAAAGTTGTACTTCTGTCATCTTGGACGGACGGTTCTAAAATAACAATCGTGAACTTCGATAAGGCACTGTATGTTCCTCGTAGAAACCTCGGTCTTGAATAGTTGCTCTAAAATCTCTGCAACTAGAAAGTCCTCCATTGTCCTTATTTAAAATTAGATATGTGGTTTCTTATTCCATATACAGATATAGATGAGTGCGCTAAATCTCCGTGTCGAAATGATGCCTTGTGTCAAAATCTTCCTGGAAGTTACCGATGCAAGTGTAAATCCGGATTTATTGGACGAAACTGCGAAAGTGGTGAGCTTTGTCAGGCTTAAAAGTCTCATTAGGAACAACAACTTTCATCTTGCCTTCATTTGAAGCTTTTTTAATCATTTCATTACCAAGATATCGCCTTTCCTGAGAAGCACCTCAACGGAGTACCATTATCATTGTTTATTTACGTGTATTTTGCGATGTACTCTTTACTTAATACCATATCACATTTACGTGCTATTAAAACTAATTAAAATCATTATTAGAAAATAAATATCATTATAATTAAAAACCAACGGAATTATTATTCCCGCAATCACTTAATGATCATTATTATTATCATTATCATTATTATTATCATTATCATTATTATTATTGTTATCATTATTGACGTTGTTACTTGTGATTTGTCTTTAGATATCGATGAATGTGTTGGATCTCCATGCAAAAACGGTGCTACTTGTCAAAATATTCCCGGAAGTCACAAATGTAATTGTAAACCCGGATTTACAGGGAGAGACTGCGGAAAAGGTGAACTTCACCAAAACGGTTATTTATTGTTATGCTACATGTCAAAATATTCCCGAGAGTTATTTGTGCAGTTGTAAAGCAGGTTTTACAGGAAGGAACTGCGACACAGGTCAGCTAGCCTGCTCTCTTTCTAATTCCACTATCTTTCTACAATCTTTCTATTTAGAATTCTGAACTATTTGCAATATCACTGGAAGGAGTTAATTTCAATAATTCTGCATTTGGAACCGTATTTAATAAGTGTTCTGGATTGTTTTGAAAAAAAAATGCAATAAGGATACTACAAGTCTAACGTGAAGTAACTGTTGGATTTCAAGACGATATGTCTTTCTCCGTGCATCCAAACAAGGATCATGACCAGTTTTTATTTCTGATAGTCTTATCCAGTGGAGAATGAAAACGGAAGGAAAAGTTGGTTTTAAATATCATTGCGGTTGAGGTTATATTGACTTTAAATTTGCTATCTAGATATCAATGAGTGTGCTAAATTTCCTTGTAAGAACGGTGCAACTTGTCAAAATACTGCTGGAAGCTACCAATGCGCGTGTAAACCTGGCTATGCAGACAGGAACTGTGAGACAGGTAAGCTGCCTTGTAAAATTAAAAATCATCGTTTGGTGCCATAGATGGGATCCATTCCTCTCACTGGATCATATTCCTAAAAAGCGCAATTAAAAGTTGTGTTTCAGTCATCTTGTATTGATTGGACTGTTCTAAAATGATAAATATGTGAGCCCTGATAAAGCACTGTGTGCTCCTTGTAGAAAAATCGATAAGAAGACTTGAATTGTTGTCTGAAATCTCTGCAACTAGAAAGTCCGTTGTCTTTATCTAAAATTAGTGGTTTCTTATCTGGTTTCTTATTCGATACACAGATATAGACGAGTGTACTGCATCTCCGTGTCAAAACGATGCCTTGTGTCAAAATCTTCCAGGAAGTTATCGATGCAAGTGTAAATCCGGATATACTGGACGAAATTGTCAAATTGGTGAGCTTTGTTAGGCTTAGAAATTCCATTAGGAACAGTAATTTTCATCTTGCCTTCATTTGAATTTTTTTAATCATTTCATCACCAAGATATCGTCTTTCCTAAGAAGCGCTTCGTTTCATTTTACAGTTCGTTGCCTTAAATTCCGTTTAATAATATTTAATTGAGTACAATTATTATTGTTCATCAATTTTCATCCCCTTCTAGATATCTTTGTGATTTCCCTGTACTTAATTCTACCGCAAAAAAATAACAGATAAATAATTACAACATAAAAAGAGATACTTTAAACTTTAGGCAAGAAAAGTTAGATTAATTTGTCCTTTTTTATTTAGATATTAACGAGTGTGCCGAATCTCCGTGTAAAAACGGTGCTACATGTCTTAATATTCCCGGGAGTTACCTCTGCAGATGTAAAGCAGGTTTTACAGGAAGGAACTGCAACGCAGGTCAGCTAGCCTGCTCTCTTTTAATTCCAATACCTTTTTACAATCTATCTATTCATTTAGAATTACAAACTTTTATCAGTATCTCTGGTGGGAGTTAATTTCATTAATTTTGCATTTGGAAACGTAATAAGTAAGTGTCCTGGATTGTTTTTAAAATATATATAGAGAGAACATGTCAAAAAAATGGCAAGAGGTACTTTTTACTTCATGCAAAAATAGTTATTTTAATTTGCACTTTTTTCTTTAGATATTGACGAATGTGCTGGATCTCCTTGTGAAAACGGCGCTAAATGTTCTAATATTCCCGGGAGTTACCTGTGCAGTTGTAAAGCAGGTTTTACAGGAAAGAACTGCGACACAGGTCAGCTAACCTGCTCTCTTTTTAAAGTGCCTATGACACCAAAATTTTTTTTGTATTTTCTGGTTGACAGCGGTATTTAAAATAAGAAATAATCGACCTTCGCGCCTGGCGAGTTCTACTTGTCCATTTTTTTGTGCGTTGAAAGTAGGATTTGGCGGCCAAAAAGTGTCCCCATAAAGCGCGCGGCCAATAAGCTCATATAACATAGCTGTCGCGTAGAAAACTGTAAACACACACCTCGGAAACTAAAGTGGAGAGAGGAGAAATCCAAAGGAGAGGACGATCGTATTGCCTGACCGGAGCGCCAAATGATGTTAGGTACCAGAATAATACACATATACCGAGTACTTCTATACACTAATTTCCGAAGGATGAAGTTGTATGGCCAAATTGTATGCGTTTCGATCGTTGTCATCGAGGACATTTTACTCTTCAGTGTCGTCGGCCCTATTCTCCGCACCGGCTTCGAAGATGGCTGTTACGAACGCATACCATTAGTCAAATCATGGAAAGATAAACAATGAACTCAGCTTAAAAGAATGCCGATTAAGGGGCCTGTTCCCAGACCAACCACAGTTGTTCAACATTCTTTTCTTTTCGGCGGGCATTTCGCAAGCGAAGAATAGTGAGTTCCTTATTGTTGTTTATTTCACGCGCTTGAGATGTACCTATATTCCTTGTCTTTCCACGTGACTACATTTGCGCTTTTCTTATCGTATGAAAATCGAACCAATTGTATTTTCCATCGTATTTTGATAACAAACACATCATTTGTAATAAAGTTCAACTCATTTCCTGGGCTGACCGATTCCCTGTTGCATGAACAGTGCGAAACCTCTGGCGGATACTGAAAAAAAAAACACAAGCTCGAAGCGGCCGTGTATTCTCTTAACCTGGGTTTCCGAAAATCCATCTCACGAGCCATCAATTCTCCCTGCTCTTCTGAAACTAAAAGTAGCCATTGTAGCGATGCCATTGTGATAACAGCACTGCAACGAAATAAACGAAGAAACACAAGTTTTATTGAATTAGACGGTGACGAATCCAAGTGCTGTGTGAAAGTCGATACATACGAAATTTAACCATTGAGCGAAATGGATGATGATGAGGATGATGATCAAGAGTATTTCAACGCTGATTGATACAAAACTACAAGAGATGTGAGAGATTTGTAATTGTCAACTGAGAGTTTTAGTTCACCCGCTAATTCGTTACCAGTCCATGGGACATTTTTAAGACAAAATAGGAGCACTTTAGGGCCCAAAAAAAAACGTGTTTTGGGCTTTTTGAAATTGTTCTTCTACCGGAATTGGATTGTACATGTGATAAGCTAAATATTTAAGCCAAAAAAAATTTTGTGTCATCGGCACTATAATTCCAATACCTTTCTACAGTCTATCTATCCATTTAGAATTGTGAACTATTTGCAATATCACTGGAAGGATTTGGAAACGTAATTAATAAGTGTCCTGGATTGTTTTGAAAAACGACAAAAGGAATGGTGAAGTCTAAAGATAAAGTTACTTTTCAATTTTTCGACGATACGTCTTTCTCGTTACATTCAAATTAAGATCATAATATTTTAGTTTTACATTAGTTTTTATTTCTGATAGTCTTATCCATTAGAGAATGCAAACGGAAGGAAATGGTAGTTTTAAATATCATTGCGATTTAAGTTATATTGACGCCTACTTTGTTATCTAGATATCAATGAGTGTGCTAAATTCCCTTGTAAGAACGGTGCTACTTGTCAAAATATTGCTGGAAGCTACCAGTGCGCGTGTAAACTTGGCTATACAGACAGGAACTGTGAGACAGGTAGGCCGCCTTGGAAGATTAAATATCATCTTTTGGCGACATAGATAAGATTTACTTCTCTCACTGGACCATATTCTAAAAGAGCGCCATTAAAAATTGTTCTTCCGTCATCTTGTATTGATTGGACGGTTCTAAAATGATAATCATGTGTACTTGGTTTCTTATTCTATATACACAGATATAGACGAGTGTGCTGCATCTCCGTGTCAAAACGATGCCTTGTGTCATAATCTTCCTGGAAGTTACCAATGCAATTGTAAATTCGGATATACTGGACGAAACTGTCAAACTGGTGAGTTCTGTTGCGCTTAAAAGTTTTATTAGGAACAGGAACTTCCATTTTACCTTCGTTTGAATTTTTTAAAATCCTTTCAGTACCAAAATACCGCCTTGAATTTATACTTTTTTATTTAGACATTAACGAATGTGCTGGATCTCCTTGTAAAAACGGTGCTACATGTCAAAATATTCCCGGGAGTTATCTGTGTAGATGTAAGGCAGGTTTTACAGGAAGGAACTGCAACTCAGGTAAGCTAGCCCACTCTCTTTTTAATTCCAACACCTTTCTACAATCTATCTATCCATTTAGAATTATGAACTTTTTGCAATTTAGAATCACAAACTTTTATCGGTATCTCCAGAAGGATTTAATTTCATTAATTTTACATTTGGAAACGTGATTAGTGAGTGTCCTGGATCGTTTTTAAAAAAATAATTATATATAATATGATATATAGGAAGAGGTACTTTTTACTTTATGCAAGAATAGCTTTATTGATTTGTACTTTTTTCTTCAGATGTAGACGAATGTGCTGGATCTCCTTGTAAAAACGGCGCTAAATGTTCAAATATTCCCGGGAGTTACTCGTGCAGTTGTAAAGCAGGTTTTACAGGGAAGAACTGCGACGCAGGTTAGCTAACTCGCTCTCTTTTCAATTCCAACACCTTTCTACAATCCATCTATCTGTGAACTTTTCGCAGTATCTCTGAGGGGATTTTATTTCATTAATTTTGCATTTGGAAACGTATTTAATAAGCGAAAGGAAAAGGTGGTTTTAAATGTTACCGCGGTTAAAGTTCTTTTGGCTTTTAATTTGTTATCTAGACATCAATGAGTGTGCAAAATCCCCTTGTAAGAACGGTGCTAGTTGTCAAAATCTTCCTGGAAGTTACCGATGCAAGTGTAAGTCCGGATATACTGGACGAAACTGTCAAACTGGTGAGCTTTCTTAGGCTTAAAAGTGTCATTAGGAATAGTAACTTTCATCTTGCGTTCATTTCAATTTTTTAACCATTTCATTACCAAGATATCGCCTTTCCTGAGAAGAACTTCGTTGCATTTTGCAGTTCGCTCACCCAAATACTGTTTAAGAATATTTAATTGAGTACCATTATCATTCTTCATTTACGCGAATTTCCCGATATACTCTTTACTGAATGCCACATCACATTTTCATATTATTAGAATTGTTACTTTTAACTACCAAGGTCTAGATTGAGGGCCCCACAGAAAACAGTTTTGGCAAGTTAAGTTCCCTCATCAAGTCATTATTAGGAAATAAATATCATTTTAATTATATACCAACGGAATTATTATTCCCGATGTCACTTATTCATTATTATTGTTACTATTATAATTAGTATTATTATCATTATCATTATTCGCATTGTTACTCAGTTGTGATTTCGTCTTTAGATATCGATGAATGTGTTGGATCTCCATGTAAAAACGGTGCAACTTGTCAAAACATTCCCGGAAGTCACAAATGTAACTGTAAACCCGGATTTACAGGCAAAGACTGCGGAAAAGGTGAACATCACAAAAATGGTTCTTTATTGTTCACGAACTATTTGCTCCATTTTTTTTTTAGATTTCTTGTTACACAAATAATACTTACTTTGCAACCTCAGCAGTAGGAAAGAGGGCCTACTACTACTATTAATAATATCTAGAAATTATCAAACATAATAATGATAAAAATACCTTCAGATGCAAATTTTTATTCTTAGAAAACCTTGTTAATAGGAGCAAACTCTTTAAGACTAACTAACTTCCCTTTGCGGGCTTAAAAGTGCTTCTGTTATTTTGTATTTGGAGATATCGACGAGTGTGCTGGATCTCGTTGCAAAAACGGCGCTGGTTGTCAAAATCTTTTGGGGAGTTACCAGTGCAGTTGTAAAACAGGTTATGCAGGCAGAAACTGCGAGAAAGGTAAATATTTTCAACATTTCTGAAACACTGTTTGGAATGTCTTGGCAATTCTGCAGACGCATTGCAGTGTTTTGCTAATCAGGAACGAGTTTGTATAGGTTTTTTTAAACAAGTATGTACTCTTTTTTATCTTATTTTTTTTAGATGTGAATAGGTGCCTTGAATCTCCCCGCAAAAACGAAGCCGTCTGTCGTCATAGTCGCGGTCGTTAGCATTGCAATTGTCAACCCGGTTTTACCGGCAGAAATTGTGAACAAGCCCTGAAAGTCCAATTTTCTTAATAAAGCCACTCCTATTTACTGAACTGAAACGTTGTGCATGTGCTTACACCTTAGAGACTTTGTCTTCGCAGATATCGATGAATGCTTCACTGAAAAGCCCTGTAAAAATAATGCCAAGTGTGATAACATCCCTGGCAGTTACCGCTGTAGCTGCGCCCATGGGCACACAGGACGCAACTGCCATATTGGTTAGTTATGCTTTTGTTTTGCTTCAAACTGAATATATATTTCATCACTTTCAAACTAAGGGAAAATTAGATTTTCTGTTCACCATTCATTTGAACTTCTTTGTCGCAGTCGCATGATTAACGTTCTTTTGGCTCTGCAGATATCAATGAATGCACAAAACAAAATGGCGGATGCTCTCACAGGTGCACTAACACTGATGGTAGCTTTACATGCTCTTGCCCAGATCCTGAACTGAATTTAGCACCCGATCGTCGAACTTGTGTCGGTAAGAAAATTGGTATCACCTCCGCAGGTTGTTCATTATGAATCAATTTTAGGGAAAAATTGAGATTCATTTTAATTATATATAACATACAACTTTATTATCTATATAGCGCAAAATACATGGGTATATGATCATGATCTAATGCACTTTACATTACGATGCTTAGAATATGCTTTAATATTACAATGAAATGGATAAAAAAAATCACATCTTACCTAAATAGTTAATAAATTTATTCTGGATAAAAAAAATATATATATATTTGCATGTAAAAATGTATGTTAAAATACCATAGGTCACACGATAAAAGCTAATTTAAAATAATGGGTTTTTAGCCGTGCCATAAAAGTTTTGAGATTGCCCAAAGCTCTCAGCTCGCCTGAAAGGGCTGCAAAGAACGCTCTGTCTCGTTCTTTTTTTTTTTCCATAGCCGATGATGTTGACATCAAGTGTTTTAAAAACCACATGTCAATCACACTACCCAAAACCCTCCTTCATGGGTTAAGCCGTGAGCATGTCACTCTACGAGATCTCAACTGCGTTGCAACGGAAACAAATACCCATTACACCCTTACGACAGCTTTCACCGATTGTGGCACGACCGCCACGTTCAGAAAGGGCGCCGTTGTCTACAGTAACACAGTTTTGGAAATACCAGTGGAAGGTGACGCTGTGGTAACCAGAGTTCGCGAGATTGAGATTCCTTTCAGTTGCTATTTCAAATCCAGCGGTGATGCAATATCTGTTGGATACAAACCTGACATCAGGAAACTGGTCGTCGACGAAGATGGGAAAGGAAACTTTTCACTAAATCTAGACATGTTTGCAGATAAAAAGTAAGCTTGCATGAAGTGTGTACTTAGGTAACAATGCATCGTGGGAGGCCAAATAGGGAGTTTGTCTTGAAGCAGTTTGAGCTTTCTACTCTATCATACTCGGGTTCGAAATAATTCACTAAAACTTGGAGCAACAAACTTCCATTGTTCCACATTTCGGCGTCAGTTGAAATTTCCTTAAGAGGGCGCAAAAAGTAGTAAGTGCTGATGTTACATCGAAGAACAATGAAGAAAAAATATTTGTTTGCTTTCGCATTTTCTGTTGCTCTGAAAATTATCTTCTTTTTTTAACCAGGTTCACCCTACCATACAGAGAAGAGGACTATCCAGTGCAAATCAAACAAAAACAGGATCTGCGTTTTCGAGCGTCCGTAAAATCCGAGGACAAAAATTTGTCGGTTTTAGTGGAAAATTGTTTCGCTACTTCCTCCAAAAATACTTACCTTGCGGCTAAATATTATCTCGTCAAGAACGGGTGAGATGTATACGATTGTTCCATGTGTCATTAAAAGGGATAAACAATGTACAATGCGACGAGCTAATGCCACTGAAAAAAAGTTGGAGACAATTTGCTTCATGACAATATATCTGTGGAAATCTTGGCCGCTGTGACTAGTCGTCTAGATTCAGGCTGGTTTGAGTTTGTGCGATACTCGTAGCTAGTAAGATGAGTCACAACTTAACTTATTAAAGAAGCAGCACACACGAAACTATTTTTTCCAATAATTTAATCCACCCTTTCAAACAGACAGATTTTTATGAGATCTGAAATTACACCTTGAACAAAGTTTAGAATTCTCAGAATCTCCAAAGAGAAAAAGTAAAAATTTTTGTTGGATATCAGGCCTTTGCAGATCAGAGACGGATTAATATTTCTCATTGAAATGTTTCCATGTGGTGTTTTGTAGATGCTGTGTCGATAAAACCACCAAATTCGTTCCAACTCCTAAAACTGAAGAATCCAGATTCTCCATCGAAGGATTCAAGTTCATTGCTGATCATCCATTTGTGTTTCTTCATTGCCAAATGAGGATTTGTGATTCTGATGACCTGAATTCCAGATGTTCTCAAGGATGTTTGAAAGGATCGAGGGAAAAGCGAGACGCTAACAATAAGGATAAGTTGTACTCTATGGTACAGGGCCCTCTTACAATTGATGATGACTTAGAAGAAACGAAAGCCAATCAAAAGACTGTAAAAGGTAAAATAGCAACTGACTGTTTTCTTCAGCTTTTTAATAAACGCCAAATATAAATATGCGAAGTGATTTTGGAACTTAAGTTGACAGTGAGGACTGCAACAAGATAAAAACCAATCTAAAACCTTTAGCCCCAAAAGTGACTGGCTTTTTACTTCTCCTTCCAGTATATTCCTTGAATCAAATGTAGAGGTCATGGAATTAGAGAGAAAGATCACCATTTTGCAAAAGAATCTCCTGACTGTCGATAAGTTCTTCTTGTCAGTGTCATAGGTACTGTGAAGAAAGCATATGGAGAACATAAATGCTGATGTTAGTGTGTTGAACGTTGAGGAGCTCAGATAGCATCTTGACTTCAGAAATAATTCTAAAAGTCAGTTTTCCCGTCGGAAACTTTTGTTTAATCCACGTTTTAATGGTCTTTACATTGTTTTATGTTAATCTTCATCATCTTAAACTTCTACTTCTCTCTAGCCTACTTTTTCAACCTTTTTAAAATCAAGACCTCGGTGAAAACTCAAATAAAAATGATTAGATAATAAATATAATGATAATAATAGTGATCCCTATCATAATTATCATCTTCATCTTTACTTTTATGTTTGCCTTTACTAATATTGACATCATTTATTTTCCTTTTTGCTAACAATTTTGAAGGTGCATGGTTTTTACTCGGTAAACTTATTCACCCAGATTTAACAATGCGTAAGAAAATTCCTTTTATTAAAAATCCTTTGGTTTATTTCAGATGCCACCATACCAGCAGTCCTTTCTTTACTTGTACTGGCTGTGATTTGCATTGTGGGAATGATTTGGTTAGATCACAAAAGAAAAAGAGTCGCTCGTGTGTATACTCCATAGTCAATGACATCAGAGGACCAAAGCCTCCTGCACTACCCTGTTGGTGGCCTGAAGTGACAAAAAAAACTAAACAAAAATTGTCTTCAAGATTTTTTGTAATAAAGAAAATAAAAAAAAGGTCGCTTGAGCCAAAAGATTTGTAAATTTTGATGAGAAGTCGCTACGACACAAAATGACTTACAAACACTAGTAGAATATCAAGCAGACTGAGAAATTCAGCGGATCGAAACTCGCCAACTATAACTTTAGCTAAATGTATCATATCCAGTGGGTGACAACTCGGTAAAACCTATTCAGCGGTATCTCTCATAACTAAGGAAATATTTTAGAGTTTTGATACTAGAAAATGTAAATCTGAGACCAAAGATGAAACGACCGACGGAAAAATTAGCAATTAAATCGATAAATCAGATAAACAGTGGTTTTAAATTATCAAAATAAATATACAACATACGACTCCGGAATATAATATACGATTCCTTTATTCACCACGGTATAAAAAAAGTTTAAATTTACGAAAAAAATCACGGCATGCGGAAAGAATCTTGTGACTCGTCTAAGCTCCTGCCAAGCGACAATGTTGTTGTTATTGTCGTCGTTTTTTTAATAGTGTTTATTACTTCCAAAAATGAAATTAGGTAGCCTTCAAATGTCAGTTTGAAAGAAAACTCGTCTCGTCAGGCTGAATTTCTAGTCGCACCATCGTCTTCTATGTTTTAAGTAATTCGCGTCTTTAAAGCTAACTACAATAGAGTTCATTTCTTCCTCGTTTCATTTTCCGAAGGTTTATCCTGATTGAACGCCAGCCGTTGCTGTGGAATTAAGATGAAAAACAATGCATGAATATAAAATCAAAGTACGTTGTTAGATAAGCCTGTTAAGTTCACTTCGGTGAAGTACAAAATAAAAGTATAATGGATCTTAAATTGCGTAAAGCACGGCTTTGGCGAAAATAATTGATACTTTCTTAAACCAAGATTCGTCGTGTGTATTCCAAAATGTTATCAAAAATAATCTGATTGCCCTCACGATATTTGTGCAGATAAGACATGCTACACGTCCATAGAATAGAATGGCTTTTTAGACAACGTTCATTAGATATAATTACAATTTCAGGTAGGCTTTCCCATCTCCCGCTAAAAGGAAGCTAAATTTTCTGTCACTCCTTCTTAGTGTCGAAGAGACATCAATGCTTCATTAACCTAGGCTAGTGGTTTCATTGTTTTCCTCGCTCTTTTTCCTTTTTTTTCTCTATTGTTTAACGTCAACTGTGTCTTCTACACCAAGCAAGAGCACATTTCAACTGGTCAGGTCACATTTCAATTGTGTAAAGTTTTTCGTATGTACCTTTAAACGCTACGGGCACACAATATAACCAGACTTCCTGCAAACACAATTGTTGCTCAGTTTTTCGCCAACTCGTAGGATTCTATCGTTGAACCAACAGATTGTTTCTGCCAACAAAAACATATTTTAACAAAACTGCAGTACATCAAGTAATCAGCGGGGAAGACTCGAGAAAAATAATTCGTTATGCAGCTGCCAGCTTTAGTCAAAATTCTTTACCTTAGTAACACTATTAGACAAAACGTACCCTTTGATTTTAGATATACTGGAACATTTTTGAGACTCGTCTATTCCGGAAATCCATACATCACTTTTTTTACCGCTTTTATTTCACGTGATAATACTCCAGAGTACAATTTCTTTCAAATTTCCCCTTTTTCACATGCATATGTTCGCATAATTTGCAAAAGATTAGGCTAGGAATTCCCTTGAGACCTAAAATGTTACAATTCAAAGCCTCACGGCGATAATATTTCTTGATTTATTCTACCTTTGGTTTACCTTCGTTGCCTTGATTGTCTTGTTCTTCAACTTCGTTCCAGTATTCCTCGGTGACTAATGAAATGAAAATAAATAAATTGTGACAAGTCAACGTAACTTCGTTAACATCCGAATGGATAAAATTTACCTGATCTCCTCATTGACCCCAGGTGATAAATACAATTTGCTCTCTAATTCTGTGAAAAGTTTATTTTGTTTTGTGAGAAATATTGAAGGAAAAAAAATAAAAACGGGAACAGTCAATGTAATGATGTTGCACATCAATCCTTTATTCTTATACCATATTATCAAAGATAAAATATACTTAAAGCTAGATAAAAATAATGGTTATTGAAAATTGTTTTCAAGGAAGAAATAGGTTTAGGTCTTTCTTCATTAGAAGTACCCTTGACCCTAGTCTCCTTCGCAGCCGTTCTCAAATTCGTCACGCAACGCTACTTAGTCAACGTTCGCTGAGGAGAAGCGTTGCGTGACAAGTCTGAGAATAGCTGCGCAGGAGGCTGCCGTGAGCCAATGAGTGACAAAAGTAGTTGGCACACCTCCCCTCCTGGGTGGGCGAAAAACATTCACTCGACATAATAAATATTATCTCATGATATATTATACAACCTATACACAACCTATTATAATATAAATATTATAATAGATTGCTTGCAAGTCCTCCCTTTTCCCTTTATCAATGTTACAGGAATATGTGATCATTTCGTAAAACCAGGCAACATTCAAATGGGGAGGATGGGAGATAAATAAAGGTTACAGGAAAATTCAGAGAGAATTCAGTTTTATATCAGGAAAACATTTTCATGTTTACATGTTCGTCTCATCAACTTTTTTTTTTTTGAAAATGTATTGATATAGAGACGAGAAATTACATTCTGGGCATCGTTCAGAAAACAGGATATTTGCTTTTAAAATCATCAGTGTTGAGTGTGCTCGTGACATAGCGCAGAGCACGCTACTTAATTCAAAGAACAAGCCAAAAATTTTCCCCTCTTCGTCAGTCATTTCAAGAATTTATGGGGTTAAGTGTTTTCCTAGAAGCGCTCTGCGCACGGATACTTATCATCTTCATTTATTAAAAAAATAAGTTTTTGCAAATAAATTTTTGCCTCTGTTTCGAGCAAATGTTCTAAAATAACGAACTCATAATTGTCTCGACGAACTTGGCGGATGATTCACTGCGTCTGGCGGCGTCAAAACAGTTCCGATTGAAAATTTGCCCTTTGGACTTACCTTCCCGTTAAATGCACAGAAGGTAGTGATTTCATATGGTTTGTATGAAGAAGACAGCGATTAAATATATCCTCTTGTGTGAATTGTGTTCTCTTGAATGTGCCATGTTATCTGGTACACGTGCAAACCCATAGTTACGCTTATTTTTTCGCCATCACCGCCATGGTGAGATAGGTCTCTTACATGTTCAACGCAGCATTCGGTCATGCGCTGGCAATTTTTCAACGGTTTGTCGTAATGAAGTTCATCAGTCTGCAATATTCGACGTCTGAACTTAATATGAAGACGCAGAGGTAATTCTAGCTTCGTAGAAATTTACGTGATATAGATCACCTACCTACGTGCTCGAAGTCGGACTGATCCCCACCACGACAGATTAAAACTAGGTGAACCAAAATCACTGTATATAGTGTTATCTTTGCTAACATGGTCATCTTAAATCAGAGAGCACCTTCAAAAACTCTTTCGTGTGTTCCACAGCACTTTTGGTGATGTGTTGCATGGAAAATAAATCATAGGCGTTCGTTCTGGTTTTTTTAAAAAACAGAAGCTCTCAGACCACCGCAAATGTTCTTGTCTGGGTCTAGGTTGGGATCGCTTTCAGGTCTTGCGCTTGAGATTCTGGGTCATGGAATAGTGCCAAGACGTTTAGAGAGCTGGTTTGTTCACACAAATCGATAACGAATCGAGAGTTTAAGAGGAGTATGAGCTAAAATCTGGGAGATCAGAACTAAGAAATTGTAAAAAGCTGTTGTTTGATGAAAAAGATTATCGATTAACGCTAATTAGTTGGTCATCAACGAGCGATAAACGCATTTGAATCAATAATCAATCAAAACATTGATCAATCAGTCAGCCATTAAGACACTCACTCACTCAGCCCATTAGTTTGTCAGTCAACAACTTTGAAAAAGTCTTTTCTCCAATTTTTTTTTCAGTAAGGGATATGTTATCCAATCTTTGTGGGTTGTTTTCAAGTATTTGCAACATTTGCACAACAACAAGTGGGCTCCAGTCGAACAAAATCATCGTCAGCCGAAATTTCATGACATCGCACCCTTAAACCTTGACAACTTTCTTATTACCGACAGTGTCATTTAATTTTAATAAGCATTGAAGGAATCTTCACATGTCCCAGAGCGTTGTAAATTACATTATAAGTTAGAGTAACAGAGTCATTTACCTTTGCAGCCATCTGAGCACGAAACATATGAGACACAAGGGGTTCGCTCTGGACTAAGTGTCTCCAAATCAAGCTTTCTTAAGTGTCTATTGAAAAGAAAAAAGAAACAGACGTCGTGCGCTTCGCAAAGTAACAGAGCAAACGCGTACTGTATGGCATGGAACAAACTCAGCGATTTCTAGATGTCCCCCTTAAAAGGCCTTTCTATGTTTCCGATCGTTGATTTTCTTACATTTTGCGGAAGCGAAGCTGCTATCCTGCAAACTTGTGGTAGCAGTCGGTTCATATAAAACCTTTCATGGATTCCCCAGGGCGATATCTCTGGGGGAAAAGTTTTGACAGTTTGAGATAGAATTTCTTGCTTAAAATAACAGACGCCGGTGAAGAAAAAGTGTGTTATTAGGAAAAATATGGTATTGAATTACTGCACTTGAGATATTGAACAACCTCGCATAAGTCTGGTGTCCCCCTTCAAAAGAACACCCTGGCAAACAAATTCACCTCTATCACAACATGCTTTCGCGAAAGTTTATTTAGCCGCGGAACCACCTTACCGAAAAGTAAAAAGGCATCAAGTCGATGACGTAAAGAGGAGGGAAAAAAAATCAACCTTGAGGAGATTCACTAGTGACAGATACTTCCCCCAATTTCACTGGTAATGACAATGACGAAAAAGGGGCAAATTTTCCACGCATGAAAAAAAGTCACGGAACTCGCTGATCAAAGATTTTCCTTTGTGAGGTTCTGGGTCTAACTACTTGGTGCATACTGTCAAATTAATATCGGCAATCAAAAAAGAAATGAAGTCATTATGACTGTTTTAAAATGTGTTGTAAAAACATATCGATTTTCCTATATTAAAAGTGTTGGTGTTGCATCTGTACTGTTTTGTATGATTAATAACTTAAACGCTTTCTTATACTCGTGTTGTAAATAGTACCGGTTAGTAGTAATTGTTTGTACTAAAACTTTAACGAAAAAAATTAATGATCATTCGCGGTCTCAAACATAGTTGGTATAAAAAAAGCAAACAAATAAAAAAAAGCAATTAAATTAGAGAGTAAAAATTTGGATCTACAAGTAATGAATGCGAACTAAGGTTTGAGCGTTTTTCCAAGTGGACGTTTCAGATATAAGTTTAAAAATTGCGTGGCGAAAGATTAATCTTGAGTTCTTAAAGAACCATGAAAAAATATGGTACATAAATGATGTCGGTTGAGAAAGTGAGTCAAAGAAAATAGCTTCCGCAGCGCATGACTGCAAACTTGTTTCCATTGTTGCTACTTTGCCTTCCTAAAAAATGCCTCTGTTTGCCTCCAAAATTAGGTTAAATTTGACGCAACATGCATATAATTATTGCTCTCATTTTAATTGGCGTAAGATAACCTTGATCTTATTTTGATCGGCGCAAAGGAAGAATTTTTGCTACGCCATTACACAACTGTCTCTTTACTGCGAACTCGGGAGAAGCGTAAATTTAATATAAAACCCCCATAACGACGCACTGGTCTAGCTATAAGGAATCAATCATATTTTGATCATCGCAGCAAGGAAAGGTATGAAATTAAGGAGAGATAGGATAGTTCTTTATACATGCTGAGAGTGCTGTTCAAAAAAAAGCAGGATTATATTCAAAACGCAGTGCTTGTTTTAACAAATCTTACCGTTTAGGCAAAAGTATACTAATGTACAAATTTCGTGCTGGATCTATTGGGAAATTAATTATTATCAATATAATAAATTCGACTTCTTATGAAATTCGAATTAGACATTTCCAACGATCCTTAAAAACCTGGTGCACATTTTTTCATCGACGAAATTCTGCCGCTAAATTGTAGAAATTGAGTATAGTTTAAGGTGATTTTTGAAGCACATTCATGATATCAGAAGGATTTGGAAAAGGTAAGCAGAATCCTCGCGTAAAACTCGGCGTCATGTGTTGAAAAAGAACGATGCATCTTTCTAATCGTCGCGATGTGTAAATTATTGTGGGTGAAAATCTCTCACATATAAATGTCCCTGGAACGACCTCAACCCCAAAAACTCATTTCGTTCTTACTTATCAGAAAACATTCTCCACTCAACAGGATGCCTCCAATTTTTTGTTTAAACAAACAAGTTAAATTTCAAATATCTGATTGGGTTTCTTCGAAAAAAAAATGAACATACAGAACTGAAAAATCACCTATTCTTCTGTGTCAGTGATATATTCTGGGTTCAATTATCACTTCTATTTTTGCTGGCACTTCCTGATTGATAATATTCCAAAAGATCTAAGGGCAGTGGCAAAAATTAATTATAAAAAACAAAATGGAACTTTCAGCTTGAAAATGACACTGTAAACAAATTACTGACACGTAGTTTCAATGATCTGACGAAACTGACTATATTAATCCTCTCTCAAGGATATCCAGTTTCTCTTGCAAAAAAATGCTATTGATAAAAAAGTTAACCTATTCAAGCTTTTTTCATTACCCATTACCCATGTTGGTATGATTTTTAGCTCGAGTCACACTGGACAAGCTGACTGTTGCCTTAGGGGAGATCTGTTGACATGCAATTAGTAAATGAATTAAAACCTTCAGGTGGTAGCCTACTTTGTGCTAGGCTGCAAACTCTAGCTCAGTTACCAAGGAAACCCTATCCATCGTCAAGACATATATTCCGCCGCGAAAGAGTCAGTTTCTTACGAAACCGTACTTGCATCTCAAACCTCACAGCTTTAAAATAATTCTGTTTTCGATAAGGAAACGTTCAGTTGTTACTTAATTCGCCGATGTTTAACTGAACGATTGAAGATTTCAATGTTAGCTTGTTTTTCTTTTTTTTTTTCCCTAATTATTTATCTAATTATATTAGAGAAATATTCTGCCTCAAGAAACCGGCCCCTAGAAACTTCTATTTCTAATGCCATTTTCCGATACTCTTTAATCCTTCATCCTCTAGCATCAGTATTCATATTCTCCACACTGATAAGGAGACTTTATTTGACAATCAGGAGCTTCTTGAATTGCTGACAATTTCCGTTGTTCTCATGAACTTTACATTTGATTCAACCCCAACTCTAACTTTTACCCTTTAGAAACTAGAAGCCAGTCACTCTTAGAAGCTAAAGAGTTAATCGTATACGTAATTATGTTCCTGAAAAAATTTCGCGCTTCTGATTGGCTGAAAACGGATGCACTCTCATGTAACACAAGTGCAAAGTTGTAACACGAATGCAAATTACAAATAGTGCGCGCACGCTTTCAAAATTACGTCTGTCTCGACTTTCTGCGATGTTTTTTTGTGCACATTATTAACAAGTAATAACATGATTCTCTTGCAATTTGGTGTAAAGACACTTCTAAATTTTTCAGTCTTTGAAAAATTTACTCGTGCTTATTTACACCAAATTGCACTCGAAATCATGTGATTACCTATACTAAATAGACCAAAGAAAGGCAAATTATCAAGGATCCAACGGCAAAATTCTTATAACTTTGAGCTTTGGCGAACAAAAAGTTGACAAAACGAGAAGCTAAGCTGAAATTTGCCAATCTTCTTCTTTTTTAGCATTCGTCAATCATGGATGTTTTGTTTCACCTAACTGGGTTATTTCTCATCGTCGTTACAGGTGAGATAAAATATCAATAAACGCCAGAGTCAAAGCTAATTTATCATTCCTGCCAATTGCAAAGATTTGTTACGAATACCTGAAAATAAGCCAACTGACCCTCGTCCGGCTTTATTTGAAACCAAAAGGAAAAGTCTCTATAACTTTAAAGATATTTCATAATCGCTTGGTACTACTCAGTAGACCCCTTAATGTGCTCAGCTCGAATGATCAAAGCCATGTGCTTCCCGGCAATACGAATGAAATGAGGAAGTTCATTTGAACCACATCATCGATTCTGATTGGCTAAAAGCGAGCTTCTAATTTTACTAGCGCTGTTTTTCCAATCATGCTAAACATAACTAAATGATGTCCTTTTTTTTTCCTTCTCTTTTTGCAGTCCGAGGAGATTCTGAAGGTAGCTATCAACTTATATGATATAGTATGGATGCCTCTCATAGCTCAAGTTCCTTTTTACATTATTTGTTTCAGGGGAACATTGCACTGAAAATATCTATGGAATTAAAAAAAGAAAGAAATTCCTTTCAACTTTTGCTTTATTTCGGTTGGGTTACATAAAATTGAACACGCGTTTTTGTTGCCATAGATTTTATTTTTTAAAATTATTATGCCTACAAGCATCCTTTTCAAATTTGTTGAGCTTGATTTTACAATGAGGGTTAAAAAAGTCTCTTTTGGTCAGTTAGTTTAACACAGTTGGAATATCAAATTGGAATTGGCCAGGTCGGCTCCAAATTCCAAACAAAAACCCATTACAAAAAAGAAAGAAACAATTCAGACGTCCAAAATTTGGCTGGATCGAATTTGTTATGATGAGACCTTGGATGTCTGTGCAATGCACGTCAGAAAGCCTTTTTTTATTTAAGTTGTTTGTTGTTATTAGTTTCTATTGTTGTTGATGTTGTTGTTGTTGTTTTTGTTACATGTGTAGGTGCTGCTGTAGATGGTGGTTATTCCGATTGGAGTGAGTTTTCTGAGTGCAGTGCTACTTGTGGAGAAGGTTTGAGGATTCGAAAGCGATCGTGCAATAATCCAGAACCTAAAAACGGAGGGAAAAACTGTAATGACTTGGGAGCAGACACGGACACCAAATCTTGCAACTCATTTCCTTGTCGTGAGTGTGTTTATTTTTGATAAATAGAAGTATCCAGGTTGGCAACTTGAGTCTAGGATTGACTTAGAAGGGATTTAAAAATGACGAATAATTTTTATATTGAGATGTCTTTGATTGAGGGTCGGAAATAACCTTATCTGCTTTGGTTTTGTATTACTTTACTCTATGATTGGTCAAAAAATACTCGCGCTAACCTCTCTCTAACCAATCAGAGGCAAAACTATTCCTTTTAACTTGTATTTTCCTTGCTTCAGAAAGTAGTTTGGTTTTTTTACAGCCATTTCTCTACTTTTTTTGTACCACTTTTAACATGTACTACTCACTTTAGCCGTTGATGGCGGTTATTCTCAATGGTCGAACTTCACGGAATGCAGTATCAGCTGTGGAGGAGGTGGAATCCAGAGTCGCTCGCGAAAATGCAACAACCCTTTGCCTTGCTGTGGTGGAATGAACTGCGAACACTTGGGACCAAGTACAGAGACAAGAGCATGTGGCGAATGTGCCTGTGGTAAATCAATGATCTACTTTAGTTGGTCATTTTTTGATAGCAACGACGACAAATACTATTACAAAGGATTTCAAACGACGATACTCCAACGACGATACTCCAACGACGATACTCAAGCTCAATATGACAACAGTGACGATGTTTTCAAAGAGGATGACGATTTGTTAACTATGATAGTGTCGTTGACGACAAAGACAAGGATGATGGTGACCTACCCTTTTCCTAACCGAACAACAGTCAACTAAAAACAAGTTAAGGTTAATTTTTAGGTTGGGGGGGGTAGGTGCGCACTTGCTCAGATTTTTAAACTGACCCTAACGATCGATGACGATGGCTTTGACAATGACAATGACGAGGCGGGAGATGTACTGCGACAAACACGACATAGATAAATAAGATTGTGTCGAGGACAACGACGATACGAATGTCGATGACTGACTGTAGTTTTTTTTGGCTTCAGATATCGACGGTAGCTGGAGTGAGTGGTGTGCCTTCACACGCTGCACAGTTTCATGCGGTGGTGGGATGAGAATCCGTAACAGAACTTGTACTAATCCTCCCCCATCAGGCCTTGGTCTCGATTGTGCCGGCCCAGCTGCTGAATTACAGATATGTAATACTGAGTCATGCCGTAAGTGTCAGAGAACAAAATTTGTAATTGCGAATTAAGAGACACGCATAGATGACGTCACCATTCGTAACATTTTGCTTTTTCATTGTATGAAAAATAGATTTCATGTTGCCGAGGGTCTGTTTTGTAATTTATATCACAGATGATGTCAAAACGTAGAAGGAGCAAAATGGCAGCACACGAGATGCAACCAAACGGGTGTCTCTGATATTCTCACCCCATTTTGACATCTTCTGGATCTATTACGGAACAGACCAACGACAACGTGGAATCTAGTTGTGAACTAATTATTCGCTTTCCTTTGACAATCCAAGATAATGCTAATTACACCCAGTGGTCAGAGTGGTCTGAATGCAGCGTCACTTGCGGTGTTGGAGAACAAAAACGTTCAAGATCTTGCACCAATCCCCCTCCTGGGCCAGGAAGGAAAAACTGTGTAGAAGAGCACTTAGGACCCGCTGATGAGACTCAAAAATGCAAACTAAAGCCATGTCGTAAGTGAATACGTACAAGATAAGAATTAAACGATCGAAACATACTATTACTTGGAGTGTGCATATGATATTTTTATTCCATGAAATGTTGTTTCCATAGACTACTAGCATTCCCCCTTTTTAGGCAAAAGTCCTCCGCGCGAATCAAAAAACATTGGCTACGAAAAAAGTTGACGTCAGCGCGCCTTCCGAGACTTAGGGAGCACCTGTATATTGATTTTGAATAGACAGCTGTTTCGAGAAAGTTTTCTGAAAAAAAGGACAAAATTGCACGCAAAAATTTTGATTGGTGACCTGGGTATTCGGAAATCAATTATTTTTTAAGTCAATTCAAAATATAAATTTACCAAAGCCGTGATGCCTTTTCCTTACAAAGACGTTTTCTCAGATTTCCCTGAAATGCCGAGGTAAAGGAACCGCAACCTGAAAACTACCCATATTACCTTTTGGGATTGTCGCGTGCACTTTTCTTTCGATAGTCTCTCTCAAAACAGCTGTTTGCATATGGAAAACCATTCACAAGCGGTTGGATTAAGTGCGTGCCAAATTCGATCGTTTTAGGAATTGCCTATGGCTCTCGACGTCATTCCACTGATAAAAAGTTTACCTGATCCACTCATAAGGCTCTGTATTACTCTATGACCTCCCTCCCCCCCCCTTCACTCCCCCCCGAAAACCATGTGACCCCCAAAATTTTTCACCCCTTCCCCCCTCCCCCAGTGACAAAAAAGACTGGTCCCTTAGTATGTTACATTGCGTTCTTAGAAGAGATTCGTGTTCCGTTTAGCAATAGACGGCAATTATACAGAATGGACAGAGTGGTCTGAATGCAGTGCGAGTTGCGGGGGAGGCTCCCACCTGCGAACAAGACAGTGCACCAGGCCACCTCCGAAATACGGTGGACTTGATTGCAATGAACTGGGACCTGCTGATCAGAGGCAACAGTGTAACCCAGACCCTTGCCGTGAGTTTCCGTTCAATTCTTATCTGTATCAATGACTTTGGCAACTTGACGATGAAAGTGTACGATGATTTGACCTTCTCTAGTAAACTGTTACAAAGCTTTACTTTCTGCAAATCTTTGATTGTAGTTTACTTGCAAGAAAGATCGATTCTTCACCTACCAACCCCATGTCAAACACTGATTTGAGATATGATCGCTACTGAAACAGCTCTCAGCAGAAAAAAATAACACGAAGGGTTCAGTCTGAAAATTCATTTAATCTTCGCCTTTCAAAATGAGCGAGTTTTACCTGAATCTTATCATTAGTACATTCCCTTTGGCAAAGTTACAAGACAAACGATTCTTGTCTAAGGTTATGAATATCACATGAGGTAATTTTGGGGAGTATGTCCTTACGAACAAAGCACGCTATTTTCAAGCTTTCAAGTTTCCCTTCACATACCAACTCGAAGACGCATATTTTTTTAATAATGCCTGCTTGAGCATGAACTACTGATCGGTTGAGTATCTAGAATAAAAAAAATTCTCAAAATTTAAAACTCGTCTGGGAATAAATAAGTTACCTAAGCTGCAAGTATCCGGTCTAGTCATTCATCATGAAGAAAATCTGACCTAGTTATACTAACGAGCCCTTTTCCGAGTGGACAGTGACTCGAATCTTATGCTATACCTCTGCTCTTTTAAAGCGAAAACCATATATCTTGAGGCCAGTTTATTTTCTGATGTTGTTACTTTCCCTTTTTTATTAGCCATTGACGGTAACTATACTGAATGGTCCGAATGGTCTGAATGTAACGTCATCTGTGGGGGTGGAGTACATAGCCGTTCAAGAACGTGCACCAATCCCCCACCGAAAAACGGTGGAAACAATTGCGAAGGGCTGGGACCAGTTAATGACACACAGGCTTGTAACCCAGACCCCTGCCGTGAGTAGGCCATCATAGTTTACTAAAGAGACCTAATAGATATTCAGAGAGTGAATAAGATTGGGAAGATTGCTTTTAGGGAATGTTCCTTGCAGGCATTTCACAGGCCTGTGCCCAGAGCATACGTTTTGGATGAGGAAGATGAACAATTGGATCAACTTTGGACAACGAGATCACCTGTAATAAGCAGGGGAATAGTTTATTGAAAACGACGAATTAGAGTAAAGACATTTTTATGTTCGTAACTACTCATGTTCATAGGCGATTATAATACCATATGAATGTAAGTTAAATTTAACGATCAATTTTAACTGAGAAAATGTACCCACATCTTTAAAAAGCGTCTTGTTTCTTTTACTTCGAGTAGCAATCGATGGTAATTTTTCCGAGTGGTCTGAATGGTCCGACTGTAGTGCTACATGCGGCGGAGGTTTACAAACACGAACGAGAAACTGCACCAATCCCCTTCCGCAATACGAAGGAAAAGACTGTGAAGGCCTGGGCCCCGCTGTCGAGACACAGTCATGCGGCTCGGAAAAATGCCGTAAGTACTTAACTGTGTACACATGCTTCTCTTGTTTGATTTACTCTTGAGGTGCTTCAACGGGCATGTTAGCTTTCGCTTTGCTTGAAGAAGATAAGCAAAGCATCATTTGAAAGGTCATGATGATGAATGATTTTTGATTGTGACTCTTTACCAGGTTTATACATCTATTTAACAACAATGAATATTGTAAAATCTCTTTCTTCAGAATATTCTTGTTGCTTAAAATAGTCGTTAAGAGACGGGTCCTTATTTATTGCCTGGAGGGGGAAGAAGGGTAGAGTTGAAGGAATTTGGTCGTGTCACGATAACATCCCTACCTCAGGCTTTGTCATATTCGTATCCAACCCCCCCCCTCCCCCTCACTAGCTCCCTCTTTACACTCTGTTAACGATTGATACCCCCTCCCTTCCCCCCTGAAAACCATGCGATCTGTTATCTCTCCCATCAGCAGCTTTTAGTATGTAGTTTAGGTTTAGTTAGTTTAGGTTAGTTAGTTTAGTCAGGGATAATTGGTTGATCTTGTATCATTTTATAATATATCCTGAAGGATTTACCGTGTATATATAAAGTTGCCATTACCATTACCATCTCTCCCAGAATCCTCCATTCGCCAACCCCCCTCCCAACCTCTCCGGCGATAAAAATAGACTAGTCTCTAAGAATTGTATTTTTTCGTTAGCAATTGATGGTAACTACACTAAATGGTCGGACTGGTCAAAATGTAGCGTCACTTGTGGAGGAGGGGAACAGAGCCGCACAAGAACTTGCACAAATCCCTCTCCTATGCACGGTGGGAAGAATTGCGAGGGCTTGGGACCAGCTAATAACACGCAAGAGTGTAACCCAGACCCCTGCCGTGAGTAGTTAGAGCATCTTTTCACTTCACAAGCAGTGATCTTTTCTGCGAAAATGATCACGAGCTTTAAAACACTTACGTATGAATTGAAATGCGTTTAAACACATGTCATGGTCATGGTCATGATATCTGCTTTAGATGACTTTTTTTCTTGTGAATAAACTTTCATATTATAAATGTTCATAACCGTGATATTGGTAATACTCTAAAAGTTTATCAATTGACGGACGAGACAACAGCAATCTTCTCTACAGTCTTTACTGAGTTTGTGCCTCAGGGATCATTGTCAGTATCTAAGCAATTGCACTTGTTATCAAATGACTGATCTTGATTCTGTTTTATTTTGAGTAGCAATCGATGGTAATTACACCGAGTGGTCAGAGTGGTCCGAATGCAGTGCTTCATGTGGTGGAGGTTTACAAATAAGAACGAGGAACTGCACCAATCCTACTCCACAATACGGTGGAAGAGACTGTGAAGGCCTGGGCCTAGCAATGGAGACACGATCATGCGGTTCGGAAAAATGTCGTGAGTATTCAACCACGTCAGCTTGGGTGTGTTGTTTTGTTTGTTTGTTGGCTTTTTTTTTAGTTTGCTAACTTCTTTTTTAGTTGGCAGATAAGCCTGTCCCGATTTTGCCTAGCAACTTATGAGCAACGTTTGGCGTTTGGAGCAACTTTTTGCTTTTTTAGCATTCTCGGGCAAATTTTGCTTATATCAAACACGAAAAAGTTAACGATTTAATTCATGAAAAAACTTCACTTTATACGAATTTATTAAATGGTTACCAACCTTTTGAATACTATTGACCATGTGTTTTGTTCCTTCAGACTTAAGAATATCCTTAAATTTCGTCCATATTTGCGAGCAACTCTATGCAGCTAAATTTCAAGCTATTTTCCACTACAGATGTTAGCATTTATAGTGAAGAACGAAAAACAAAGCTTTTAATTGACATTGATAAAAAAAAAATATCGACAAATTTCGGTAGCAATTTTTAAGATTTAGCTAGCAACTTTTTGGATTTTTTGCAATTTTTTAGCAACTTTTCGGCATTCCAGTGAGCAAATTTCAAGCATTTTACGAGCACAATGGGACAGGCATATTTTGCAATAGTTTATTCGTCTGCATATAAGCCTTGACATAATTTTATACAAAAAATTAGAACTATCATTGTTCCGATTATTCGTATAAAACTATCTCTCTTTGATGAGTAAGGAATTAACACTTTTTAATCAGTGGTTGCTTTTATAACAGGAAAACATCTTAACCCGCTCACTTCGGTAAAGAAAAACAATAATAATTGTTATTGGGGTTTTCCCTACTCTAAATACATTTGTCTCTGGCTGATGTGTGATTATGTAGACAAACTGAACTGCTTCCCGCAAGATATACACTGTAGACAGGAACATCATGTGTTTGAGATTCTCGGGAAACCGAGCAAAACTAAATGTTTCCCTCGAACCAGACACTGGTTACAAATCACGTGTATTTTCTTTCGATAGCCACTGATTCTGGACATTGTTTTTTCTTTTTCTTTCCAGCAATTGACGGCAATTATACCAGTTGGTCTGACTGGTCAGAATGTAGCGCCACTTGTGGAGGAGGACGACAAAGTCGTTTAAGAACCTGCACCAGTCCCCCTCCAAAGCATGGTGGGAGGAACTGTTCCGAATTCGGCTTGGCTGTTGACTCGCAAATTTGTAACCCAGACCCCTGCCGTGAGTAACCAATATGACTCCACTTGCGATATACAAAGACAGGGAATGAAACCTTTTGTTGAAAAATTTGTCCAATTACGAAGACACATTGTTCTTAGTCTCAAAAAAGGCATTTCTAATTATTATCAATAAATTTTATAGCCCACCTTGCAGCTTTTCTCAACACTTTGGACAAGTAAATTCTACCCCCAGCTTATATGCTAAAGATCGATTATTTGAACAGTGAACCATTTAAAACTGTTATAAGAGCTGTTATCAAAATTTGAAAGCATACACTGCTGCATTTGCATTAAAGCTGAAACAACTAACGTATTTCAATTTCAAGTTATGTTGTCAGTGATAAACTCATGGGGTACTGTTCATGCTTATACGTTAACAAACGAACGTACGATTTTATGAAAAAAAGAGAGATAAAACGCGCAGAAGGTTTGGCAACGAGATGATGTCATCTCTTACAGCAATCGACGGCAACTATACACAGTGGACAGAGTGGTCTGACTGTGGCGTCACATGTGGTAGAGGTGTCCAGAATCGATCAAGAAGCTGCACTAATCCACCCCCACAATACGACGGGAAAAGCTGCGAGGATGTGGGACCAGCCGATGAAACGAAAGAATGCAATAAAAACCCGTGTCGTAAGTGAATTTTGACTGACTCACATGGCAAAGTCATTCGTTAGACTTGACAAATTCCAGGAGAGCAATAGTGGTCGGGGAAAGACCGTGCTTATCGTTTTTGGGACAAGGGGAAACAAATTTTGAAGACAAACCCCTAAATCGTACCTCATTTGCGACTCTATTTTGTCAAACAAGAGATGGCAATTAAAAGGTACTCGATATGTCGAAACTCTTTATGGTGGCCAATTTACACGCATCATCAACTCAGTTGATGAAAACAAATTATCTTCCCTGATATCTACTAATTTACACTGATATGATTTAATTGGTTACTTTTATTCAAAAGCAATTGATGGAAATTACACGGCATGGTCCAAATGGTCCGAATGTTCTGTGACTTGTGGCAGAGGATCAAGGAATCGATCACGAGAATGCACCAATCCCTCCCCACAATACGGTGGAAAGGACTGCAACGTTTTGGGTCCTGCAAACGATATCCAAGAGTGCAACAAATCTGCATGTCGTAAGTCCTGTTCAAAAGCGGTTTTGAACGATTTCATGTTTTGTTACATAATTTATATGATTATGCTGTATGACTGACATTAGATTTGATAGAAATCATGCAGGAGGTACACTGGCATGTTGTCTGACAGTCTGTCTGATTGACTGACGTCTTGATCGACAAACTCGATCAGTTGCCTTACTGACTGAGGGAATACTGACTCTTTCTCTCTTAGTTGCTGATCCACTGACTCACCGACGGAAAACCTGAAAGACGATGTAGTTCCAAACGGCTTTACGCTATTATTTCATTTCATCGACAAAACGAAACCAAGCGAATCGATAACAAGCACAATATAGAGCAAAGAAAAGCGATCGAAGCGGTAAAAAATGATTGTGACTGATTCACGCGGCACCAAACTAGTTTTTAACCGACACAGAAATAAAACATGAATTCAATGAAAATAATTGACCAAGCAAATTAAAGTTTAAAAATCCCAGAGATTATAATCTCTTAGCAAAATGCAAAATAAAACCTAACTTGTGAAACAAAATATATGGCTAATTAACTAAAGAAACAAGAAAGGGTAAAATAAACTAAGCAAAAAGCGAAAAGCACGAACAAACATAAAGACGTTATCCTGGCGCCTACAGACAGTGATGCGGTCAGACAGACAGACAGACAAACAGAGTGACTGACCGATTGACTGACCGACGGACTGATTAGCTGATTGACCGTCTGACTGTCTGACCGAATGACTGCCTGACCGCCGTGACTGACATATCGAGTAATTGATTCACAAACTGACGCTCCGAGTCAATGACCTACTGACTCTCTGAAAGACCCAAAAAAGAGCAGCTAAATTTGCTTCTTATTTTTAAAAAGCTCCGCCCTGCTCGGCTGGTCTCGATGTTGGCATCGTGTTGGACAAATCAAAAAGTGTCAAGATCGCCAATCTTCATAAAGTAATCGATTCACTGGTTGACCTCGTGGACAAGTTTGAGCCGGCCCCAGACAAAGATCATTTTGGTTTAGTTACGTTCAATAGGAGAGCCCACGTTGAGTTCACGTTTACTGAGGAAGCTCGTTTCAGCAAAGAGCAACTAAAAGAAAAAATAAAAGACATGCCACGCACATTGGAGCTTCAGACACGCACTGATCTGGCTATGCAGGCAGCCAGAGATCAGCTTTTCTCGCCATCTGGAGGAGACAGACCAGATAAACCAAATGTCATGATTGTACTCACGGATGGAAAACCTACAAAACAACCCAAGGATTTCAAGATTTTCGCAACTGAGTTTTACCAGGACCCCAAGGTACAGCTTGTTCGTCCTTTGATAGGTCTCGATAACTTGTGCCATCCTCTCGGCAATCAGATGCAAGACCAAAACCAACAGCAACCGAAATTTGGTCGCCTGCGTTTTCCCACACACCAGGAAGTGTGCACGAAGAGTGTAGAGTGGTAGATCATGTGATTTGAGCCTCAAAGTAAATTCGTACACTGCCTGGGGTGCGGGAAACATGGGAGACGAGGTTTCGATTGCAGTTGGTTTTAGTCTTTCATCTGATTGGTCGAAAGGATGGTGCAAGTTATCTAGTCCAATCACAGGGCGCAGTTATGTTGGGGAGGAAAGATATTACCATTATCAGTATTTTTTGTCATCCTTATTTTCTTAAATCTTCAGGTTGCTGATCTGTACACCGTTGCAGTGGGTATTGGAACTGGCATCAACATAGCAACCTTACATGATATAGCCGGTTCCAATGGAAATGTAATCGCTGTAGAAAGCTTTGATCAGTTAGAAGCGGAACTGAGTGAAATTAAGGACAAAGTCTGTGGTAGGTTTCGTGTTAAAGCCTGGGGGAAATTTCCTCAACATGATTTTAATCAAGGATGATCTGCCCTGTAATCCAAGCCCTTTCCCATTTGTGTTCCACTTACCGGTACACTTAAGCAAGTAACTCCCCCTCACTTCCGTGTCCAGTGCAGTGTACACACAATGGTGTACCCACAATAAATCATTGCACGCTTAAACTTAATGCAATGACATAGATGCTAAGGCGAAAAACTAATGCTAAGACTTTGGGAGAACAGAGCTGAATAAACCACGCTGAGGTAGAGGTACTAAGATTCTTGAATCTTGAAAGCTTTTTTTAATATACTTCTTTTTCCGTTAAATTTCTGCGGCATCTACTAATAATACCACAAAACTATGTGCGTATAGATTACGAACCTAAAAAAGATAATAAAATAAAATTCAGAATTCAAAGTTCACAACACCCGCGAATAAGTCCATTTTCTGAAGGAATTGCTTGTGGTAAGTCTACCAAAGAAGCCGGGTCATCCGGAAAAATGAAAACTCTTCTACCCACTCAAAAAAAATTGCTTTGAAAAACCTTATTTAAAAATGGCGAAAAGCAGTTGGTATCGAACGGTGTAGAATTTTGATTAATTTTTATTCTCTCTTTTCTTTTTCAAGAATAAACAAGGGATGAAAGCAACAGCAAGCATTGCTTGCAAAAGAACCAATAAGAGGGAAAACATCAGAATTCACTGGGGTAGCAGTAACCGGGTAACAGAGCCATGCATAGGGAGTACTTATGGAGAAAAACGGATTATATTATATTCTGTAATTACGTACTGCCAGGAGATTTTTCGGTAATAGCCTCCTGGTACTGCGCAATAAATACACGGCTTTGATAAAACTTGATGCGATTTTTTCTGTGATTGAGCGAGTCCTGCTAGAAAATATTTTCAAAAAGCTGGCAACTCTTTTAAGTGGCGAACACAAAATGTTGTAGTCCTGCGTTTTTTTATTCCTGGCCTGAGAGAAAGGGGAGAGCGAGGGGGAGGTGGTCTGAAAGTTGAAGAGAAGAGGTGTCTTTTGTTGCTCCTTCCCCCTCCCCCCCTACCAAATAATCAACTACCCTCAAATACTCAAATTTATCAGGTAGATAACCAGGCCAGAACATGCGGGATTACAAAAAATTTCCACAAAAATGGTTGAAACCCTTATCGCACTCAGAAGTAATTGGAGCTCACAGCGAGCATCTACTAATTCGTCGGGGAAACGTAACCTCCGTTTGAGCTTAGTCCAAGTTATGTTAAGAGGTCTTAACACGACACAAGATTTAATACGAGCTGGATCAGTTAATTTCTTTACTTTTTTTGTTGAAAAAGCAAGCCAATGTCCACTTTTGATTAGAAAAAATAACACGTTATGCCACTGGAGGTGTACCGAACCAGTCATAACAGGGTCTACATAAATATCCAAAGGTCCAAAAGACAATGATATCCCGCGTGGTAGAGTGTTGTTTTGCGATAAACACAGAGATAACCTCAAGGCTTAAGATAAAGAATGTTAAATCCCTCTTTACTTTTCACTGGTTTAGCTAAAGTATTTAGTTACCAATAATACCTTGGAACAGGATCAAATCCAGAAACAATTTTAATTTTAACGGCTTCACATCTTTTTGCTTTTTTTCGCAATTGCAATAATTATGTCAACGAATCTTTCCGTCTGTCGACCAATAAGAAACGTATACGCTCGTAATTGCAACATTTGGTGTAAGGACGCCACACAATTCTCCCGCACACATTTAACGCACACCCCGAGAACACGCCTTTATGTAAGTTACCCCCAGACAGACATTTCAAAAGCAATTATGTGGTTCGAATTTTCTCACGTCTCTGGGTTGGCGGTTTATCCTTATGTTTTCATTCACGTATGAATACATCAATTCAAACTAATAACATAAATAATTGGGGCTCCAGAGTTGATAGTAAAAGGCTTCTAAAAAATCTTTTGTTATTGCCACTAAAAGAACTCCGATGGGAAATGATTTCTGCAATGTGTCTGTTTCGTTTACCAAATACACTAATTAATGTGTCGATGACAGACTGCGCTAAATAAGCCTTTCCTCAATTTAAGTGGGTTGAAGTGTTTTACCCTTTTTTTTACGGCCAGACAAATCTATTGACATGCAATATTTTTAGTGTCATATAAACAATCTTAACTTAAGACCACACTCAATGACACGTTTATCAGATGTCGTCTTCGACTGTCTGCTTTTATGAATGGGACGTGACCCTTAGCCTGCTACTGTCTCAAAGGTTTCACAACAAACAGTGCAATAAAAGTTGAATCATGAACTATGATTTAAAAAAAGGATAAAAACTCCTCTAAGCATACAGTTGTTGTAAATATTATAGCCTAAGCAGTTTTTTTCAGGTCCCATCTGACCACAGTCTCACCAACATAATTGTGTTTTAAAAGACATACAAATCTTTGGGCGTTTACATCCACTAAATTTAGACTTTCATTCATTTGCATGAACGTTTAAAATTCCGGCTCATAATTTACACTTGAGATGGAGCTTAATCTAAAGAATTATTTTGCAAGTTATGAATCACAATATCAGGGCCTTTACAATCCTTCGCACATTCAAAAAATTCATTGACAACAGCCTTAGGAACACTGAAGTTTGGGTGGCATTTATAAATAATATTCACGAACCTTTTAAACTCTACCTAGGTGGTTCAAGTTCTTGCTTTACCTAACTACTATCAGGAATATCTGTGGGCATGCTGAAAATCACACACCATGCACGCAAGCTATACGTTACCTGTCACAGATAGCAAGAACAACAAACTTGTTTTATTTTACTACGTGTAAGGCAAGCCATTTAATCTACAAGAAATATGCATGCAAGTTTACAAGGTCAGATATTTTGTATTCTTGCTCTCGATAGTCTTGCATAGCCGCAATATTCATTTGAAATCCTGTTAGTGAACGCTCTGAGGTTAGGCACTACTTTTGGCAAAAATTCCGTGAAGTTGTTAAGCTTATATTGACAAACCGATTATAAATAGATCATTTATGGATTTCTGTCAGTCCTGGTTACTTAAGGTTGATGTATTGTGTTTAGTGAGCACCACGCTCGAGAGATCTTAAGTACCTCTCTTTCTGATGAAATTAAGTTTAAGCGCTGAGTCCATCCGGAGCCAGAAGAGAGACGAGAAAAATTTTAAAACAAGGTGCCTGGACTCTTCAGTGCCGAATAGCTCCTTGTTAGAATTGGAAAACTTTCGTGGAATTTGAATAATTTCAAATTTTTTCCAAGGAGGCTTGCCTAAAAGTATAATCACACAATATTTCGTCTAATCTGCTTTTCAATGTTTTTGTAATCATGATTCACGACTGCACTATGTAAGTAATATAGCAGAGGAATTTGTTGGCAATGGGATTAAGGTTACTTATTCCTCTTCAGCGAAAGAATTTAGGGTTTTTAGCCTAGTCGCAGATACTTAAACATAAAAAATCACTGAACACTAAGAGAATTCATAAGTAGATCAGAATTGTGCGGCCAGATATGTGAATTTCTAAATCGTCTCTATTTTTCTGAAAATTCATGGAAACTTTCCAATTTACAAAGAGGTCATTCTCTTACTTATTGGTCTGTCTAGTCAGTTTGTTTCGTCAAATGGCAAAAGCGCTCATTGAACCGGCAGTGTTCGACCCCTCTTCAGCAACTTGTAAAGTTATTTTCATGGCGCAGTCGGGACCTGCCCTTTAATTAAGTGTAAGCCAAAATGGATCAACCTTAAATCTGATGTGTGTTCGTAACAGGATTAGGAAATAACAGACATTTAATTATTCGGATCAATATCAGTATCTTGGCAACTGCCCACCCACCCCTCCCCTAACCCAACATTAATCTTAACTTGTTGTCAATTGACTGTTGTTGAGTTAGGGGAGGGGTAGGTGGACAGTTGCCCAGATACTGATATTGATCCAATTATTCCAAAGTTTCACACACGGAAATCTTTGAAACGATTGGGAACATCCAATTTCCATCCAGCAATCATCAGAAGGGAAATTTAACTATACAGCACTAATATGAATAAGGCAACAGAGGAACTAATATTAATTTCATACGTTTAGAATAGCAATCAAATGAAAATAGCACCAAAATGAGACATGCCCAAGCGTGGCATTGCCCTTCAACCTCCGCCCCACACCAAACTCCGCTTGAAAGTGTGTTTAGTACACCCTCTCACTCTTTGGAAAGCAAAACACTTCCGTACGTCACCCGTCCAAACGAGTTTGCAGTCAACATGGTCGGTTCAGCATGTCTGTTCAGCTCTGTGACCTTGAGAGCTGGGTGCACTAAAGATACAACTAAATAATTTATTGCTACATTTACACCAACAAGTATCCTTGAGTTTTTCCATGGCAGAGTTGAAGGAGAAAAACGAATCTTTTTTCTTCCCCAGTCCACTTGACCGCAAACCGTCATATATTGAAAAAGAACTCAATCTTACTCCAAGGTCTGAATATCAGTTACCTGCGCCTTCTGACATTTATTTCCAATTATTTTAGCTCTGAGAAATCAATAATAACTCCACTAGTCAAAATTTTTCTTTGTTCTCATTACCTTTCTTCTTAACCATTTGACAACAATTACGTGCCAAAACGTTTCTGTGGCTCAAATGTGAACATAACGTCCTGAATTAAATCTCGACGGCGACTGAGGACGTGGCAAAACAAAAGATCCAACAGGCAAAACAACAGCTGAGCGCATGCGTTTTATAACTTTGTACATTTCTTTGCCGTTCTCCGCAAAACATCAACGTGAAATCACCAAAATTTGCTCGGACAGAGAACTGGAAAACCCGACCGCAAATTATTTAATTATAGGTTTCAACCGATTTGAGACTCAACGCTGTTCCCATAAATTATGCCAAAGTCGAGGTATGGCGCCGTAAAGACTTTAAACACATTCAGCCTTTGCGAAATTTTGAATTAAAATATGAAACGATTTTTTTAATCTGCGTCTTTCTTGGCGCTGCTGTCCTGATAAGTAGTGTCCGACGTCAAAACATTTGTCACAATAAATTAGATTCACATCAGACCGCAAGAGATAAGATTATGTTGTAAAGTTCAACGTTAATGACCTACCTTTGATAAGAAATCTAAAACTATTTTGCAACACAGGTAGATAGCTCTCAAGAAGGTCTCTTAATTTCCGGGTAATAAAATTCATATGCAAAAACAGAAAGAAATGAAATTTCTACTTTCTGCAAGCATTAACAAACAACCGGTTATTTTATCAACAGCACGTTGCGATTCAGGAAAAGGAAGTGCTTATGTGGATGATCTGCGAGAGTTAATTAAGCCTTTTAAGCAAAACTGGCCTAATTCAACAGCAGTAAAAAAAAAACAGATAACTCTTTTTTTTTCATAAAAAAGAGAGAGAGATAAAGAAGAAAAAAAAAAAGGAGCAACGCAAACGGGCTCCTTTGCCAACAATCTAACTCGTTTCTACCAATGAACCATCTTAGCAGAAAGAATTATTGTCAAAATAAATTATCTTTGATCAAATTCAAATTTGATTCTTTACAATGAAAAAAGACTCGTGAAAATTTGCGGTGGTTTGAGAAATTATAAACAGAACTGCTCTTCACTAATAAATAAACTGAATTAGCGAAGACTAAAAGATCATTCGTGAACAAACTCTCGACGTAAAAAAATATTACATAAGTTTCCAATAAAACAATAGAGTTTATGTTCGAGGGCATAAATCTGTTTTGGGCGCGACTCAAAGTCACCTAAGTCCGAGCCTCTAGCTTAAAAGTTTAAGCAACGACGACGGCGACGCCGTGGACGACGTCGATTAAGAAATGAACACACTTTACCTTCGAATTTCGCGATACTCTCATTTAGTTTGTTTCTCATTGTCAAAACTATCTAGAAAATGAATATGGAACACGGCGTTAAATAAATAGTAAACATTTTTTAAATAATTGCCGTCGTCGTTCTCCAGACAGCGCAAAGTTTGGTCATTTCACGTTGTTGTTTTGCAGAGGACGCAAAGAAATTTACAAAGATTCATAAAGCACGTGCACAGCCGTTTCTCTGCTTGTTAAACCTTTTGTTTAGTGAGATTCTCTTCACCGTCGTCGTCGTGGTTTTCTTAAACTCCCTAATGACTCTAAGACGGGCCCAGAACATATGAATGCCAAAGAACAAAAACTGTATTACTATTACTAGTCGTCACTTTGGAGGGCATTGAGAAAATTAAAACAGCACCTACTTATGCTTACTTTGCAACCACGCCTTGCCGTAATTACCATGTTAATTAAGAGACCTTCCAAAAAAAAATTTACTAATGACTCGAGTACTCGAAACTCATTAACGTTCGGCTTTAAATTTCATTTTTTTAAGACTTAGACAAGACTTTTTCAAAAAATAAACTAGAAGCGTGTGCTTTCAGGCCGAATCCTTTAAACCCTAAGAATGACCGGCTTCTAATTTCTCCATAAAGTATCTCCTTTGAATCAAATGTAAAGGTCATGAAAATAAAGGAAATCGTCACCAATTTAGGAAGTTCAAGTCTGATTGTCAAACAAATTCTCCTCATCACCACCAGAAGAAATGAAAAAAAAAAACGGTATGGAAGGATATGAATACCACTGTTAGGATTTGACAAGGGATAACTCGCCATAATTTTAAATTGCAAACAAGAACAGAGCAGCTTTAAGAAAAGAAAGGCATTAATGTATTCAAGACAAAAACTCCGGAAGAATAAACAAAGAGACTTCCTAGGAACTAAATTACTAGACCCTATCTTCAGTCTTAATGAAAGATCGGTTTTGATGCTATCAATTTTTTTGAGTGTTTGAAGAGGAGAGGCGTTTCATCTGAACATAATGAAGTCAGGTTTTACACGAACAGCAACGAAAGAAAGATTCATATCTTAATTACTGAAATTAAAGATTAGATCGAAATGTTACTGAAAATGCACACGCCCAAGGAAATTTCCTGTAATCATAATAGAGATTATCTTTACAATCAATTTATTATTTTAAAAAACATTTTTACCCAATGAACTTAAAGGAGAAAGCGGAGAATGTAGCAGAAAATGCCAAATATGGCTCCATTTATCTGATCTGCCTGATAATATCCGGTCAAAACAGGGAGATTAAGAGGTGTGTTAATGACTCTTGATCCTTTCTTTCCACCATGAAAGCCACAGGAAGACCAAGTTCAGTTTCGAGAAAAAATTCTAAACTTCGCTTCTTGACTCATTTAAAACCAGATAGATAGCTATTCATGGAGGTGTTGCTGATATCGAAAAACCCTATATTGAAGTAAAATGATTCGGATTTTGAAAGAATTTTAAATCTAAAATCGCTTTGATCGAAATTTGATTTCTAATGTCATTACGCCTCTGTTTGCAAAATGTATCGTGAACATTCGCGTTTATTCCGCCTCAAGTTCGTCATTACCACGCGTTAATCCGTGTTAATCAATTTGTCTCTCAAATTTGTCTCCTCTGGTCTGGCAAGCTATCCGTTAATAAAAGTTCTCTTCCGATGGAAAAGTAGGTAATTTAATAACAATGGAGAGCAGTCGTTATAAAGTAGCCCCGTATGTAACAGAAGAAAAAAGAGACGGGAATTTTTCAATGCGTCTTTGCTTTAAACTCAACTATAATTATCGGCTTTGCGTGCGCAAAGGTATTATCCCTTCCCTGGCTAAGCCGCACAGGAAGAGATTCTTGTCCGCTTTCGCTCAAGATAATGTTGACCTATTACTCTCTCAGCGTAAATTGGAGTTTACTTTCATCAGAAGTTTATTTGTCTTTTTTGACGGTTCGGCGCTTCAATTCAGCTCCAAGAATTTTGAAAATCAGAGAGCTCGATTTCGGACAGACATAGAAAAAAGATTCTTTTGAACTTCGTTTCTGAATACACTAAAATTCCGAACAGTTGCTCGACATCCGGAAATTCAAGTCAGCTTTAATGGAGTTTTCTTTGAAATTAAAACAAATGTCGTGTCTGCCTTATAATCTGTCAAAGGGAAAAGACTAAAAGTTCAGCTCATATTTTGAGTTAATAGAAATCCTACGGTTACAGCCAACTGCCACACATTTCGCTGCTTGTAACTCATGACTGAGAGCTTTACAAAAAGTGTAATGAACCTACTGATCAATTATTGCCAATTCCCATCTCATGCAGATGTCACTGTTACAATCCTTGGGTTCCCACCAATTTCCAAGTCTAGAATTTTCAAAAACAATGAAACTGAAGTAAAATACAATTGGAAAGAATCAATCATCCCTTAACGAGCCCGATATGTAAGTCAATACGAGAACTATTTCAACACTTGATATTTGTGCCATTCTGGCACAGTATATGCGACAAGACATGGTATACATAACGGAAACAGATAACATTGTTAACCCTGTAGCCATAAGGTCAACATAAGCATTCTCCTAACCGATTTCTTCACATTTCCAACCAAAACTAGTTGAAGGAATTTCCCCCTAAAATCACGGACAATTGCCCTAATGAGATCAATGCGTATATTCTCACAGCTTTACCTTTGTTTTTGTATAAGAAGAGTTTAGAGAAAGTAAACCCTAATCCATTTGACGGCTTAAGAGGTTAAGCAGATCCGTGGGCTGAAGTTTGTCTGTGTTAGTAATTTTTTCAGCCACAATCTTCATTACACGTTTATTTTTCAAAAGCATCTCCGAAATCGATCTGCATTTTGGCGCCTTTGTGTAACTGTTCTCTACTAAATTCTTCCAAAACATCTCACAGGCATTGAATAAAAGAAAACAACAAAACACTCGCAACATAAACACCATTAGATGGCGAACAATGTTCAAACTTAAACAAAGATGAGAACAAGGGGCGATTATTTGTTCGATGCTACAACGGAAAGACAAGTATTCCAAATCTTCGGACACGAAAGTTGCATCAAGGCCAAAAATGTTCTACCACCCTCCTACGCGTGAAAAGAAACCACATTTCGATCATATTTGCATTTATTGACAATAACTCTTGAATAAATGATTTGAGCACACAAGAACCGGCCGATTGAAAAACAATTCAATGTTTTCGGCGCACAATTCGTTCGAGAAATTCGCCTAATGACTCTCTCCACGATAAAGTGCTCTTGACAAAATTGAAATTGACTCACGCCAAACGCGGAGATTCGCAAAAGCGATTCACGATTGCCCTCAAAAAAGCTGTAGCATTTAGTCTAACATTCGTTCAGGCATGACAGATTAACACACGAATGTTTGCATATCTGTAATCTGTTTTGTACTCCATTGTTCACGGCGTTAAGAGGCGAACTTAAGAGCATAATAAAGTAATATGCGGTCTGACGTTCTCTTCGCTAGTCATTTGGATCGTAAATACCACCAAACATGAAGCCGACCGGTCAAACCTTCTTGTATAATTTGATTTTTGGGTTCCATTCGCGTCATGGTACGTGACGATTGTATACAATCGATGTTGTTTATCTCATAGCAAGCGCTTATCTTGCCAAAATTACCACTTGGCGCCTTCCGACGAGTATTATTCAAAACTAACCGCCACAAGACTATTTTGACATCATGAATCATTAGAAATAATCCAAGACAAAACTACGTCGTTTTAAATCGAGGTCTCTTGAAGAACGGGAACCATTGACCAGTCACTACTCCCACTGCAGTCTTGCTCGGTCGCGTCATCGACGTCATTCTCTTCTGCCAGAGTCGAACTGCTCTGTGAAATAAGCTGTAGGTCTAAGTCAGAGAGAAGCTCTTTCTCGTGAACAATTTCACCGTTTATCTCCTCCGTGTGTTCGTGACTATCCACTGCCGTTTGTTCGGTCAGATCAACTTTAAGAAGCGAATCGTTCTCGCAAATACATCCAAATGTCTCGCCACTCGTTGAAGTCTTCTCTGCATCGGTCGTTCTCGTATCTAGCGAACTCTCCGTCATCTCCCACTCGATACTCGCCCCCAAATGGCAAGACTGATTGCTCTGTTTATGTTTGTCGGGGGTACGACTCTTTGAGCGAAAATCCGAAATCGCGCTGGCGGCAGAGTTGCTACGAGAATTCTTGAACGCTCTTATGTTATAATACTGTCTGTTAGCTTCGACGTTTGAGATCACATCATCATGAAGATGTGACATACTAGTTTCGCTTAACCCTTCTGCATGAAGCTTTCTACTGGCCACCTCTTGATGGTGCAAATCACTCCGCGCGTCCGCAAAAGCCTTTGATATAACCTTCGCTAAGCTCTTCGCCTCGTTGTTGCTCTTACACAATACGACATTGCATTCTACGTATTCTGACTTCGATCCAAACTGATAGGTGAAGAAAAAGACTCGCTGATGAGCCTTGCAAACGCCGGTGAATCGTATTCTTCGAAGAAGAAACACCTTCTCTTCATCCTCCGTACTGTCCCTATCACGTAAGGAGAGCTCCTCTTTCGTTAACTTCAACGAATAATGATCCACTTTTTTCAGTTTTTGTTTCTCCGCAACGTAAATAGATTTTACCGTGTCACAAATTTCCGCATAACCAGGGCTGCACAACTTCTGCGAGCCGAGGTATTTCACGGAGTAAGTTGGTGTGTGAACAGTGAAATCCACTCGCTGGTAGTCTCGGTCGGCCCCTTCACCATTCGTTCGTGATCTCAGTGGGCGACAAGAAAACAGGCTGATCATATCCTAAAGAGTGTCGTGCTTCACCGTCAGTCGACAGACAGTAGATCTATCTTGTTGCTCGCGGCATGTTTTGTGTATGAACTCGAGAGGGGTGCTTGTGAATTGAACTGCCACACGAAACCCAAGAAGTTCACTCCACACTGAGGTCCTCTAAACACTTACTTTTTTTCTTCCGAGTCAGATATGTAGGTCGGTAAGACCTTTTCACTTCCACCACCGTGCGCTGAAAACAACGTTAATTGACACTTCAATGATATGCAAACTCACCACTCGCGGCGAAAACGTTTCTTCCTTCCTGCAAATTGTTGAGGTTTATTAAGCAGACAAAACAACTAAGCCTCTAAAAGGATGCTCGTGGCTTCTCGCGACTTAGTGTCGGCTTTCACGTCGGCCTTCTCTCCGGTACAGCTCGCGTGTTATGCCACTATTCCCTCCAGAATGGTGTGTTACTATAATCGAATTTCATGATAATAATCGAGAGATCTCGATGACATGACATGATTTAAATTAATCATTGCAGCTCGCTCCACTGCCTCCGTTCTCTGCTCGCTGCGTATGAGGTATTGTTCTCGTCAAAAATTATTGAAATCGCCGATCGCCCGGTTTCACTCGGAGTCGAATCCCAAGGGACTACCGGCGAAAGAAGATCCAGTCGGCTGGAAGTCAATCCACTTTCCTAGAATCACAACGTGTAGAATTCGCTCTCTGCAAACCAAACAAGGCTCGTTTGCATTAATAAGCCACCTGTCAAAAAGTCTACTTAAATATTGATATAGTCAGTTTTGCGTGAGGCAAATCCGGTAGCATTGATTCACGTCAAGTATCGTCTTACACACTTGACACTTGCCGATCGCTCACTTCTCTTTCAGACAAGAGATCTGTAAAAAACAAACAACATTGCATCAACCCTTAACGACGAAAGGTTTAGCATCCATCAGAAATAAATGAAAGCTTACTGATCGCTGTTTGATATTTGCGATCTTACACTTTACACCTTGTGAATAATTTTACCAAAAGATGCATGGCAGGAAGTTTTCCATCATCGGCTGTAACTGGCAGTTGTTCGTGACCTGCGAACTCAGTTTAGATAGCCACTTAAAAACAGAAATAACATTTCTTTATTATTGATCGAGGTTATTAAGTGGTAATCTATCTATTTCTTCGAAGACAGACAAGAATTTGAATGGTGCAGATTAAGGCTTCAAATTAAAACCCCTCCACCGGCTCTAAAGTAAATTTTCAAATATTCATCGCCGATAAGCGCGCGTCTGAAATAATCGCTCGAAAACCTGAATGCATACGATAGACATGACTTGTTTATAAGCATCAGAAAGAGCAAATATATTTTATAATGATCTTTTTATTGGGAAAAGGAATTTTAAACATGCGAATAGCGCGTGGGCTGTTATGATGTATGTCATGTCGGAAACACGACAGGTGCCTTTGTCAAGAGGGTTTCTGCTGACCACGCAGATTGGCCAATTTTTCCTCTGACGAAGGTAAAAAGCTCGAAACGTCAGCTTTAAAACTCTTTACAGCGGCTAATTTACGTTATCGACTTAGTTGATGATACCAAATTACCCTGTTATACTCTCCCACCGACGCAGCACTACAGTTTCTTAAGAAAATTACCCCCTTTATTCAATTTTTCTATGGACAACATAGTGGTCTGCAATTTAATATCAGCCACACATTTCCGCCACATAAAGAAGTGAATATCGTAAGTCAAGCATGGCACGTATTTTACAGGAATTAAGAAAATATCCATGACTAAATGTACCAGCCCATTCCATCAGGAAATAACATTTTCCGCATCGAACCATTATGAAGAAGTAACTATATTTAGTTCAATTGTAAGAGTGAGTAATCGGTATACATAAATAATAATTTTATAACAAATCTTATAGGAGACAGGGTTGACATTAGAAAGCTCCAGAGGATAAGAGTGTTATCTCCGAGTGTTGAAAATATTGCACGAGAGAGAGCTATTCGAATGAGACATAGATATCATCAACTCAGTTTATATTATAAGCTGAATTATACACGCATTTTATAATTGATTATTCGGGACAAACACAGATTACGTCATCATTTACAATCATTTGCTTCTTCATTATATGAAACGATTAGATTCCATGTTGCCATGGGTCTGTCCAGTAATAGATCACGAAGACATCAAAATTTGGTAAGAACATCTGTGACACACTTGGCTGCGTCTCGCGTGCTTCTTTTCTGTTCAGACGTCACCTGTGATCTATTACTGAACAGCTGTACGTTAACATGGAATTTAAAAATGGACATGTAACTTATTATCAATGATACGCATACGACTAACGCATGTTCTTCGAAACAAGAAAAATTATGATATTATTTCACAGCATCTCCTACAGCTAATAAAATCAACTAAATATCAAGTGCCATTTACGAAACGAAGTTTTCTCACGCATTTCCAGTTGTCACGAATTAATGAGTCACTTTACACATTTGGCAAGACGATTTGTCACATACATTTGACAAAGATAATAAGTTCCATTCAAACACCCTTTTTAATTTCCCTAAGGTGTCTTCCGTTTCATCTGCACAAGCAAACTATTATTTTCCTTGACGCTTATTCCTCTTTAACTCTTTAAACCCTGAGAGTGATCAGCATCTAATGTCTCCTTACAGAAGAACTGCTGAATCACAAATTAGGATCATGAGAATGAAGGAAATGATCGCCGATCTAAAAAGCTGTGATTGTTAAACAAATTCTCCTTGTCAGTACCAAAGAAAATGTATAGAAAAGGGTAAGGAGGATATGGATACTGACATTTGGTTGTAGAGGGTTAAAAATGGCGGCTTCTCAAATTTTGGGCAAACTAAATTCTGTTGAAAAAAAGGGGTCACAACGTAAAAATAAACTCATCGAGCAAAACACGCTGGTGTGCCGGGGATGGTGCGGCTTCAAAATATGAAATTTTAAGACTCGTCACAAAATATACGTCAGGATTTACCGTAAATTTTTGCATGAGCGGCTGCAGACGGTGTTGGAGGCAGCTGTGTCGGGAAAAGGTGAAACTCAAACAGGACAGCTTACTCGCGGGCTCAACAGACGGTGGTCAGAGGTCTTCTAGGCGGCGGTGTGGTAACCAGCTTTTTTTAACCGCTGATAAGCGCACCAACAAGGAAGTGGCGTATTGGTTTCCATGGCGGAGGTGAAACCACAGAATTATGAATTAACTCCCAAATATAAACAAAATGTGACGCCTGTTCCCGAACGGATGCTAAGATCGAATGGCAGTGTGACGTCTTTTCGAGCGCATGGTGTGAGTTGTTTTCGCCTCGGAACAAATGGCGGATCGATACTTCCTGAACCATTTTCAGCCCCTACTCCCACCCTTGGAAAAACTAAAACTGTCAGTCATTTTATTTTTCTCCTCGAAAAGAGTGCGCTTAAATGCAACAATCATTTAAGCCGCATGATGCACTGCTAGCTATGGTGTGTATGCAATTTTATTCAATAATATTTTCAATTACGGTCAGAATATAGAGGTTGTTGTTCCTTTAAAACCACTGAAACTTTATACAGGAGCATATATTAGAAGTAATTTCTTACATGTCTTTGGAAGTGTTTCTTGTTCGACATAACTCTTACAACATCTTAAAATAACCCTTCTCAAACGAATTACAATTTTTAGTGCACACGTTCCCTTATAACACGTTCTCAACTTATTTTGAACTGATAAATTGGGGTACAAATCCACCCTGTAAAGTAAGTTAAAAAAATAATAATAATGCGCCATTGCTTGAAAACTCGTTGTTGAATATCATGATCGCCTTGTCGCGTCCCTTCACCTCCCAGGATCTGATAAGTAATTCTTTCTTTTATCTAACAGAGTTTTTTCGTAAATAGTTACGAGAACTTGGTATTATATTCATCAAAACAACATTCCCTAGCTGACAAGCGTATACATTCTCGTCACCTTTACGCTGCATAATGTATTGATATTGTGAGGAGAGGTTACGGTTTAATCAGTTCTGAGCACTTGGAGGTAAACCAAGGGAAGAGTCGATAGTGCCTGGGAATGTAAGTCGAACTTCTACCTTCTTTAATCATTTATCACTTCGTTAATGATTTTCAACACACGCAAGCGCAAGACCTTATAGAGATATCTCAGTTAACCTTTTCACTGCCACGACCTCATGACTAATTCTCCTTACTGTCTGCCATACAATTCTTAAGATGTTAGTAAGAGAATTTGGTATTGGATCAACTAGTAATCCCTAACTGATATTTTTCTTTATTCTCATTATTTGTTTGCTTGATAATGTATTGATATTGTGAGGAGAAATTCTATCTTGGTCTCTCATGAGAGTGAAAGGGTTAAAAGAGTGCTCTTCGTCTTACAGCCTAGATGTCAGTAAGAGATGTTTCATGTCTCGGAAACTCTCGTCAAGTGAATGCTGGAACTTTTTGGCATCCGTAACCTCAGAGGTTGTAAACGTCGCAATAAAAAAGTTAATTCTGAAAGGAAGAAGCAAAAAGCCACAATTAACATTCAGGAGCTCTGGCAGCAAGAGACCGTGAAAAACACTTTTGCCTGGGACGGGAAAATTGAGTAGTTAACTCACCATTTATTGGCAGCAAGGGGATTCAATCCGATTGCCTAGCTCGACAAACAGAGAAGCAACGAGGACATAGCATGGCAAAGGTCCTAAACTCGTTCTGTTGATAAATCCTTCTAAAATATATTTCGATTAACTCGCCCGCTCGTTCTCTTTAGGTCGCTACTTCGACCTTTCTTTTTCTTTTTTTGCATTCGTGTCTATATTTTTTTCCTTTCGTTCTTAAGTTTCGCGTTCGTTCGTTTGCTCTCTTGCTATTTTTTTCCCTTTTTCGTTCATTCGCTCCTTTGTGCGTTCGCACGCTCGTGCGTTCGATCTTCCGATCTTTCGTTCGCTCGTTCGTTCGTTCTTTCGATCTTTCGTTCGATCGTTTGTTCTTTCGTTCGTTTATTCGCTCGTTCGCTCGTTCGCTCGTTCGTGCTTTCGATCTTTCGTTCACTTGTTCGCTCGTTTGTTGTTTCATTCGCTTTTTCGTTGATTCGCTCGTTTGCTCGTTCGTTCTTTCGATCTCTCGTTCGCTTGTTTGCTCGTTTGTTATTCCGATCACCTTTTCGTTTATTCGCTCCGTCGCTCGTTCATTTAACAGCTCACCAGTTCGTTTGTTCGTTCGCACCCTTTCATCATATCTTTGACTCGTTGGTTTGAACATTTGAAAGGAAGACTAATTTAACACTCAAGTGACTGTGGCATAGTTCTTTGAACCAGAATAACTCACCTGTTGTCCTCGATGCTATAGAATGCTCCATACCCGTCTTTCACCATTGCAGCGCAGCCACCAAGTATTGAAGAAAATCCTACACAACTTGTCGACAGGACGAAGTTGCCACCACCACCGCTGCAAAACACCACGAAGGAAACCGGGATTAAAGAATGAAAGACGTAGTTCCAAGTTTTTATTGGGCCAATTTTCAATTGAGTGTCAAGGAGTTTTACTTCATTTTGCCTTGTGATTGGTCGAAGAAGAAAGAATCGTAAACCAATCAGATCCAAACCTTAAACTAATCAGACACACTTTCCCGCGCTCCAGGCGGTTTCCCTGTTTCCCCGAAAGAACTTTTCGGTTTCTCAAAGTCGCCATTCTATTACTTGTTTTTATTGGCGGTTTTGTTAACTTTGTTCGAACTCTACGATTTTCAATCAATATGCGCTACAAGACGAGACATGAAAGCGAAAATAGTGTGAGACAAGAGTACCTAGGCACGCATAAATAAATTGACCAACCAAATGCGCGCGAGTATTGCACTTAGTATATTTCACTATTATAGTACAGGAAATAAATACCTCGCCGTCCACGCTTTATCTGTGTAGATAGCCGGTGTTGGCAATCCTGGGTAACAAAAAATAATTTAAAAAAATACTTAAGATATCGAATCACGAATTGCCAGACGCTACAATTTAGTTCACGTATCTGCAATTCATACAAAATATACGATAGACATGCGTGACAGATGATCGGACTCAAGAATCAGCAGTAATTTTATCTTTAATCTAACAGAGAAAAAAAAAGAAAAATATTCTGTTTGGACACTTGGAATAAAAATTATTTTCAGATAAAAAAAGAGTAAGTAAAAACCTAGAGAGAGAAACAAGAGAAAAGGAAAGAAACATTTCAACATTCACGACGTCGGGTGGGTGTCATGGATGACTGGTAACGCAACGCAATCACTATTGTTCAGTTGACACACCAGTTGCCATTAAAATGTATTGATTTGCATAATTGTGGTTACAAAAGGTCGAAGAAACGACACTTGAATACTGCGACGGCTTCTTAGCTAAAACTGTTACAAAACTATTGGCAAATATTTATGATGTATTAGAAAACGAAATATGTTTGGATCTAGGGTATTCATTCCATTTTTATCACGAATATATTTCAGAAAGAACAACGGAAACACATGGGTTTAGATGTCACGCATTTATTAACATTTCGCAATAAATAAACACATCTTTCAAAACTAAAACAGTCCATCGGCAAGGAAAACCTTGTTATGGCTCTCTCCTATATTTTAGGTCCGTCATTCGAAGTTCTGAACAGCAAAGCGAAGAAAATTGTTTTTGTTGACATGAAAGTGTAGTTCTAATACAGATATCGCGATGAAGGTGCCACATAGTGCACCCTCTACCAATTGCTTACGTAGGAAGGTTCACTATACGGCATCACTAAGTTAGAAATAGTTACTTTCATTAGATTTATTAATGTAAGAATATCAACCGCTCTGAATGCGATCACCTCCTCCCAGTCCTCACTAATGGAGTAAAGGGAACGGTCATCAATCGTCGCCGACCGATTGCCGTGAAGACAAAATCGGCGACGTGCTTCGCGCTCAGAGGTGAACGCTACGCATCGTCATCACGGTTGATGGTGTTGTCTTTGTTGGGATACAAAGACGGGACGCGTACTATAGAAATGATCCTAGTAAGTACGGTCTTAATTGAAACGCTTTAGCCACAATGACTAGTTTTATATCTAGATCGCACGGATATGGTAGATCGGGGTTACTTTTAACCTGCGCGTGCGTAATTGAGGCATCTTCGAGGCCCAGGCCCCTACACAGTGTTGGGTTTCTTTGACAGTTGTAGTTTCTTTGACAAGCTAACAAACCCAGACGTAATTTCGGTTGAAGTCCAGTATTAGACTCAAACGTATCACAAGGAAACGCCAAAATTTTAATGCCGTTCGACTTTAGGGCTCACAAACCGAAAATAAATTCTAAGAAAGACATATTTCCGTTTCTGATGAGATATAGCAGGGGAACTTTGCCACGGTTTGCTTATGTTGAAAACTTTAAGTTTTTTCTTCACACCCTTGCTACGCATTCTTTCTTGGTTTTACGCGAGAAACGAATTTTTCGACATTAGTCAATGTGCCATTCACAGGATGGAAAATAGTCAGACAAAGATCATTTGAGTCGTTTTTGTAATGAACTAAAATCGCCACATTACCTTCGGAGGCAGCTATTAACTGAAGCCCCAGTAAATGACGATCAATTCCTGAACGGGAAAAGAAGAGGAACTGTTAATTGCTAAATTATTCTTCAATTTTGCAATTCTGATTTTTCATTACCCTTTCAGGGAGACTCTGTGACAGAAACATGAATTGTTCAAGAGTTAGTGATCGTACCTTGGCCATTGACCGCGTCTCTCATGAGTGAATCGTGACTCGTGTAAGCTTCACGAAACAGCCGCATTTTCGTCGACTTCTGAAAAAATACGAGAGCAAAAGACGACTATAATTTCTAATTCAATTTCCCTTTCCACTTTGTCCCCTAAGAGTGACAAGAAGCTAATTTCTCCCTACAATCAATGATATTGCCCGTGAATCAAACATTAACGACACGAGAATAAAAGCAATGAGCAACAGTTAAAGAACCTCTTGATTGTTACACAAATTCTCTTTGTCGGCACCTTAGAAATGTGTAGACAACTGTATGGAGAATATGGATATTGATACTGGGGCGTAAAAGGGTGAAAGAGACATTAAATGGCTTATAAATCTATCATCAAGAACATTGAGGCCTAAGCTAACTCGAATTACGTGATCTTTACTGACTCAAATTGTTGAAAAGTCCCTTACATCAGCATTGCCATCGAACATTGCTTTACACCAGGCCACTGATTCCATGGTACATGAACGAATCTGAAACAAAAAATCAAAGGAGGAAATTTTTTACAATTCATTTTTTTTTAATTCCCCCCACTAACTAACAAAGCTGGTCACTTTGACAACAAGGGGTAGCTTTCTACAAAATAAAATGTGGTGCTGCGTCGATATGGAGTGTTACGAGATATTTGGTTTAATCAATTGAATTAAAAATGTAAATTGGTCACGGTGACGAGTTTCTAAAGTTGATGATTCAAGCGTTAGCTCTCCTTCATAGAAAATGGCGAAGGGCTAACGCTCTAAACGTTAGCTTCTGAAACTCTCTACGGTGGCCAATTTACACCAACAACTCAGCTGATAAGACCAAATTATCCTCGCTTTGAAAACGTCAAGGTTGCAGAGGAGGCTTGTTCCGGGATTTTTTGCCAAGTGTACAAATAACTATCACCTTTGACGTTTTTGACTGGGAGTCAGCCCGCTGTGGTATTGATTTTGCAATTTATTGACAGGACATCAACCTATTTGATCCGGGGCGTAGAACTGAATATGAAAATTACTTCCTTTGCGGCTTCTTATAAAACCAATACCATTTGCTCATCAAAAGACTTAATTAAATAAAAAGGAATGACAACTAAGTTGTTGAATAGAAACACATTTTACAGGAAACTCACTGTTTCTGTCCGTCCGTGATAAAATTGTCGAGTCTGACCTGTTTCATAAGTGGGCGCAGGTCTAAAGAATAACAAAGTTCAATGATTAGTTGCAAACGAGAACAAAAACAAACATCAAAACAGTAGCTCCAACACACGTACTTACTTGCGATGTAGCCTGTAATACGCCAGTTGAATTGCCAATTGTACAAACGTGTCTGGGTGAATCTTGTAAGGCTTAATAAAACCTTTTCCATATTCCCGTGATGAATGCACAGTGATATTTACATCGTCAGCCTACCGAGTGAAAAAGTTGGACATAGAAAAAGTGGGTTGTAATTTTTGTTTTGCGTGATTTTTTTGGGATTTTGAGGAACAGCTCCCATTCATCCATTGATAAATTCTTGGGTCATAGCCGAAAAACGATCAACAGTCGGCTGCCAAGCGCCGGCCAACAGTCAGCCGACAGAAGAGGGACAGTTGGCCGACAAACGACCGACAGTTGGCCGACAAAAAACCAACAGTCGGCCGAAAAACAACGGACAGTTGGCCGATAGACGGCTGAGGTATTTTCAAAAGGTAATGTACTTCCCTTCAACATGATCTCCTCAACAAACTTATCCATTTCTAACAACTCCATTATCAAAACACGAAACTGTGCATTTGATACAAAAAAATAGATTTACCCACCGCTTCCTGATATTTTTGAACGGCCAGATCTACTGCTCGGTTAATACCATCATCAACTTTAAAAACCAGTTCTTGGGGTTTATAATAGTTCTTCACTTCTGGATTTCCCTGATCAAATAAAAATGCATGTAATTTTGTTCACATACTCGCAATTTGATTACGCACGCAATTTGATCGGTTCTTTCTTATGATCTATCGGAGGACAGACGCACAGATGAAGTCACCGTTACCATTCTTTTGCATCGTTATCATATCCAACAAATACATTATTCATGAATGTTGCCGTGGTCTGTTCACTATTAGATCTAGATGACGTCAAAATGTGATAAAAACATCGGTGACACACTCATCTGCGCCTTGTGTGCCACTCTTTCGTTCTCACCACATTTTAACCTTAGTAGTGACCAGTGTCCAAATTCTCCTTGCAGTAATTCTCCTAAATCATTCATTAATATCACGAGAATAAAGGAAATGATCGCCAATCTAAGATGCTTCAATTGTAGAACAAATTCTCCTTATCCAGACCAAAAGAAACGCGAAGAGACGAGTATGGAGAATATAGATACTGATGTTAAGGTGTAAAGGGTTAACGTCATCACCGAACTGACGCGCGGCAAAATGGAATCTATTCGTCAGTGAGATATAGTGAGCTTTTTTTTGACCCCACCCCCCCTCCCCAGGAGTGATAATTATCTCAATTCTCCTAACTTTTTTGATTCACAGACAAGAAGACAAGTTGTGAGAATTACAAAACTTGTCAACAACATTGTAAGCGATATCGTCGTGATGCAACTCCCAATTGTCAGGCACATACATGTACATGTATAGCCAACAAAGACGGTCAAGGCCTCCTGGAAGACAGAGTTAGCTCTTACACATCAAGAGTGAAAGATTTGAAGGGTGACTGTCAACTACAAGAATATTCAAACAGGTTTTAAAATTATAAACAGAATAAAGACCAACTGCAGGCTAAACATTCATAATCAAATTTTATATTTAACAAACCTTCCACTCTCCACCTTTTTCTTTCAGATATTTTATTGCCAAAATGATAGAGTTTATTTCCACAACACCATCAAATGGAGTGTGCTGAAACATAACAGAACAGTTGTTTAAATGATGGCCAAAATAGTTTGAGACATTCAGAAATTCATAAGGTCTTTAATAACCTGTGTTAGAGCTTTGAAACACAAATCAAATGCCCCCCCCATCCCCCCCAGCTTTCAAAGGCCCTTCATTCAGTTTCCTTAAGGGAAGAGAATCAGAACAAAAGCAGCTCAAGGATTGTCAACACACAAAAGAAATAAATGGAAGCAAACTTCATGAAGTCTAGTGTGAGGGAAGAAAGGTTATGTCTCATGGTACTGGCAACAAGGATCTGTCTTATGATGGGAACCCTGGTTTGCACAATTTTCAATTCTGTTTTAGCAAGTCAAATTCATATTTGCTTCTCCCTGGTGAAAATCTTTCAAGGATCTTTAAGGATCTTACAAGATCTTCATGAGGACCTTTGAGGATCCTCTTGAGGATCTTCATGAGGATCTTCAAAATTCTTGTTAAGATCTTCAAGGATCCTTCATTTTCTTGCCAAGATCTTCAAGGATCTTTGATTTTCTTGCCAAGATCTTCAAGGATCTTTGATTTTCTTGCCAAGATCTTCAAGGATCTTTGATTTTCTTGCCAAGATCTTCAAGGATCTTTGATTTTCTTGCCAAGATCTTCAAGGATCTTTGATTTTCTTGCCAAGATCTTTGAGGATCTTTGACTTTCTTGCCAAGATCTTTAAGGATCTTTCATTTTCCTGTCAAGATCCTTAAAGATCTTGTCTGGATCTTCAAAGATCTTTACATGAACTTTGAAGATCCTTTAAAGATCTTTGAAAATTCTTTGAGGATCTTCCAAATTCTTGTTAAGATCTTTGAGCATCTCTCATTTTCTTGCCAAGATCTTCAAGGATCTTTTTGAAAATTTTGAAGATCCTTAAAGATCTTGGAAAGAAAATAAAAGACCCTTAAAGATCTTGGCAATAAATTGAAAGATCTTTGAAGATCTTGGCAAAAAAAAGAAAGATCCTTGAAGATTTTGACAGCCAAATTAAAGATCTTTGCAAGAGATTTGAAGATCCTTAAAGATCTTGACAAGAATGTCAGTGAACCTTGAAGATCCTGGCAAGAAAATGGAAGATCATTGAAGATCTTAGCAAGAATGTTATAGAACCTTCGAAATTTTGACAAGAAAATAAGCATACTTAAATTCTCATACTAAGTTAAAAAGAAAAATTGAACCAAACATAAAAAAATGAAGATAAAACTTTTTTTATTGCTAAACGAGAATTACCTATCCTCTTCTAGTAGGACTACTTCTACACTATTTCTGTTCAGACTTTAGGTTAGTATTAAGATTTTCATTTTCCAAAAAATCTGGCAACAGTCCAGCTCAAAGATAAGAAGACCAAAATATATGTGTTAAACTTGTCTAGGACTAGACTATGACCAGACTCAGACTACTCTTACAGAGGGGGTAAACATGAAAAAAAGGCAAACAAGAGTACTTCAATGACTATATTTCTGAACCATATTAACCTATATAGCAAAGGAAAGCTTAGGAATCACACATACTGAATATAACTAATATGTTGCCCTAAACTAATTTGTTATTTGACATCGGATCAATTTGTCCACCACATGGTGTGAAAAACCTAGGTATACTTGAGAAAAGATAACTGCACAAAGATTGCATGAAATCAAGTGTTTTTAGTGTCAAAACAAAGTACTAGGGTCGTTCTTTTGGATGAGCTGAGGAACTTTTGGAGTCGTTTATATTATGGGCACAGTGCCCGTTCAAAGTTCACCGAGATTATTGGGTGAGTTATTCCACAATATCTTACTTAAAATTCAGCTTATAGAGAAACTGTCAGCTTATCCAACTCAACTCAGTAAGAGGATACAGCCCTGAAAACTTCAGATTAATTGAACTAATACATCCTGAGGTACAAAATAAGTGTTTTCGGGAATTCATATGACAACCTCTAAAAGAGCTTTTTAAGTTGGTTACACAGAACCAAGTAAATTCACACCTTCTTCAGAAACATGTCCTTCAGTGAGCGTCGAGGAGAATCTCTCTAGATCGATAAGCCTGTATCCTTGTCCCTGTAGCACATCATTTGCATCCTCACTCTCCAAGAGCTCAGAGCAAGAATCATTAGGCGAGGATGGCATCTTCATTTTATTTCCAGAAGTACCAATGAATTCTTTTCATTCAGCCTCAGAGTCAGAGCAATCGAGAGACCTGCTTGGAGTTTGATTGACGATTTCGGTTGTTTCTGTCTCTCTTTTCCCTTGTTTCTCAACTCCAGAAAACGCCTTTCCTTTACTTTTATTTCTGTGTACATTTTTCCTTTAGTTCCGACCATTGTCGATGATATTTGCCGTAACAACGAGCTTGTTATGTTTTTATGCGACCGTTAAAAATCTCGGCGCGTATAAATTCCTATCCCATAATGCAAAACCCTATTTGTTGTCATGTAAGTAGTCACAAAGTTTCCCGAAAGCCTCGAGCATGGCGTTGCTATGCGGTAACCTTCATTACACTCATTGCACAATAATTTTCTGCGAAAATTCCTTGTTGTGTTTAAATTATAAAACAGTGTGCCCTCAATTTACAATTTTGTTATGTTTGAAATTACTTGAGGATTTCAAAGGAACCTAATTCATAATGCAGAGATGTGGTAGAGATCTTGACAAAGTTGCCTTTGAGATCTACATCAAATTCAAAAAGGATCCATATAAAGAGCTGTACAAAATCATGAAATAAATCTTTTAACGATATTTGGAAGATCCTTTTCAATTCCTTGAGGATCTTGAAGGATTGTAGAACAGATCATGCAAAGATTTTGACTAGGATCCTTGTAACTCTTGATCAAATTCTTAAGGATCTTAGCAAAGATCTTAGCAGGATCCCTAAAAGGTTCTTTTGAAGGTCTTTAAAAGATCCTCATTAAATCCTTGAGGATCCTGAAGGATCCTTGAAAAGATCCTGCAAAGATCTTGACTTAAGGATCCTTGTAAGATCCTGATCAAATTCCTAAGGATCCTGGCAAAGATCTTTACAGGATCCTTGAAAGGATCTTTTGTAGGTCTTTAAAAGATCCTCATTAAATCCTTGAGGATCTTGAAGGATCCTTGAAAAGATCTTGCAAAGATCTTGAGTAGGATCCTTGTAAGATCCTGATCAAATCCTTAAGGATCCTTGCAAAGATCTTAATAGGATCCTTGAAAGGATCTTTGGAAGGTCTTTAAAAGATCCTCATTAAGACCTTGAGGATCTTGAAAGATCCTCAAAAAGATCCTGCAAAGATCTTGACTAGGATCCTTGCAAGATCCTGATTAAATCCTTAAGGATCCTTACAAAGATCTTGAAAGGATCCTTGAAAGGATCTTTTGAGGGTCTTTGAAAGATCCTTGCTAAATCCTTGAGGATCTTGAAGGATCCTTGAAAAGAACTTTGTGAGGATCCTTATGAGGATCTTTGTAATATCCTTTGAGGATCTTTATCAAATCCTTGAGGATCTTAACAAACGTTTTTGCTTACAAAGATCTTTGAGGATCTTTTACAGATCCTTTAAAGATCTTTTAAAGATCCTTGTCCTTAAGGATCTTTGGCAGGTCTTTGTCAATCCTTGAAGATCCTCAAAGATCCTGTGAGGTTTTTCACCAGGGCTACATTGGATTACTTCAGTATTGTACACAAATTACTTACATCACAGTGAGTAGCCAGTCTGCCAGATTTGAAGACAATAATACTCATTGACTTATCAAACCAACGGTTTCTACAATCTCCAGTTATGGCTTGACTACAAACCTGTCATGGGAATGTCCAGATAAAAAACCAATATCAGCAAAGACTAAATCAAAAAAATGTCCATTAAAAATAAGCCATTTCCCCCCTTTGGATAATTAGGTATAAAAAATAAAATTTTTAACTATTTCAGCTGCAGTAATTTAACCATTTAGAGTGATCAGCATCCAATTTCTCCTGGCTTATAATATCACCCTTGAATCACACATTATGGTTATGAGAATATGGAAATGTTCACCAACTGGAGAAGCTCAAGATTGCTAAACAAATTCTCCTTGTCAGCACCTTAGGAAATGTATAGAGAACAGTATGGAGAATATGCATACTGATCATGTTAGAATGTAAAAAGGTGATTCCATTAAAAAAAAATCTGCTTGACTGTAAGACTGACCCATGTGGCTAGTTTCTGTAGCAAGATCAAAACAACCAGTAGTGTTAATTTTGATACTATTCCTGGATGGAATATAAATCCATTTAAGGTAGCTCTGTCCCTAACTTCATTTCAGGTTGAGTTTAGTGGTACCAATCTGCACCCCTAGGTGGAGAGAGACACAAAGAAGACAAAACAACACAATGACCTTCCTCTGCATTGCTTGAATGCAAACCTTTATTTCCTGAATCCATTCATTACTCTCCTGCACCACTTCCCACTAGCTCACCAACTAAGAGTTATGAATTAAAGTGAAATTTTAAAATTTTACCTCAGTTTTAGTGACAGGATCATTTTCATCAAGTACCAAAACAAACAAACTTGTTTCAATGGTATCTAGAATGCTTTGGTTATTGCTGTCTAATGCTTTCAATCGTTCTTGCAGCTGAAGATTAAATGCAGGAGAACAGTTGCAATCAGTATTTGTCCATCAGTGCAGATTGGACCAACTTAGACTTTTTTCATTTTACTATCAAGGCCCTCTGTTATTCAATAAGTCCAGCCCAGGTATTCAAATATTCAACAATTTGTATTCTTTATCATTTTCATTGTATTATTTTTTATCTATTTTGTCGCTATCACTTCACTTCAGCCTGTAATATACTACTAAACTCTTCAAATCCCATGAGTGACCAAGACAGAATTTCTCATAACTATATCAATACAATATCAAGCAGATAAGTAATGGGAATAGAGAAATATATCAATTAGGGAATTATCTGTTGATCTAATACCAACTTCTCCAAACTAACATCCAAAATATATAGTATAGTAGACAGTAAGTGAATTACTTTTAGGATCTTTAAAAGAATTCTATGCCCCATGGTTTTCTTTTGGTTTCCTAACCATTTCTCTCCAACCTAATATTAGTGGTTCTGCTGTGTCATTAAAAAAATTACTTCAAGCCACTTAGCTGCCACTTTACCAGTACACTGCTCAGCTGCTCAATTCTTAAAGCAGCACACAAAACTACTGGCCCAGCAGGTATACAGCTCTGCAGCTCAATGAATGAGTTGCCAGTAATCGGATCCCTCTGGTATGCGTATTCATTGTTATTTAAATAAAAACTTACACTTCCCACGTATCAACATTGCTTTAATCCTTTTCTGATAAAACGGCTGCAAAACAGCACTGAATTCTCTAAAAAAACTCATTTTTTTGGAACCCAAATCAATTTTTCGACATACATTTCATTGTAACAATTTGTGTTGTTTGCCCCGTGGTGATCCCAGAACCCTTAGCGCATAACAAAGAGATCCAATTACTGACAACTCATTCATTGATCTAGAAGCACATGAAACTAGCAACTACACAGGACCTCACACTTGCTATTGACTATTAATATTCCAATGTGTCACCTACTAACGGCAACCCTGAGCTAAGAAGTCAGGCACTTAGAGATTTTTTATAACTCCAAGGGTTTTGTACCTCATGCCAGGTATCTCTTGTTTCTCCTGTTAAACTACCAATTCCCATTCCTTGGGATTCTGAAAAAGCTATTGATCCTATCTCTTGAAGTTGTCTAAAAAAGGGAAAAGAAATTTGTAGAAATTTCAGTGCAACAGACTTTTAAACACATTTTCAGTCTGTAATTCATTTGGTAATCTAGGGAATTTTGCCATTATAAGCATATGTAATGATTTGCTTTAATATATTTAGTTTTTCTTTCAGATTCAAAATTTAAATCTGACACACAAATCAAATAAAAAATTTAAAAAAAGAAAGAAAAAAGGAATAAAAAAACACCAATAAAAGATAAAAAAGTACCAAGCTAGGGGGAAACACTGAAACCAAAATGAAATCTGCATCCTTCAGAAAGTTCACAAGGTTGAGTGGAAAGAATTGTTTTTAAAATTCCAAAAAAGTTCAAATTATCCCCACTCCCCACTTCACCCCTACCCCCTTCACCCCTACCCCCCTCCCAAACTGAAATAATCATGTCATACTGCATCCTTTAGAGAGTTGGCAAGGTTGGGTGAAAAGAATTCTCAAATTCCAATCACACTGAAATTATCCATCTCCCCACTCCTTCCCCCCCCCCCTGCCTTGCCACCACAATTGTGGTGGAATTGTTTCTTACACTCTCTCTGATTTTACCTTTCAATTTCTGCTGGTGAGAGAAGCTCCATATTTTCATCCAGCACCACACAACTGAAAATCCGTCCTCTGACTTGCACAATAATGTGACGGGGTGAACTGTGAGGAGCTATAAGCAAGAATCATCAGTTAAAAGTATATAATTCACTTAAAAAATGGATAATGTTTGTTTTAATTTAACTATATTCAAAACACATAACGATAGCATTTTGGTCACATAAAGGTCTTTTAATCTACCCAGTGCTACAAGTTCAAGTCATAATTTTTTTAAACAATAGGGGAAAATAAAATTGCATAAAATTGGATTTGATTCCAAGGGGTGTAGCAGCCTGATGTTACCCTAAATCCATCGCAGTCCCTCACTTTAAGATTCATGTTAATCAACCCCTATGCCCCTTAAGAGCAACTAGCATCTAATTTCTCCTTACAATATCATCACTGAGTCATACATTAAGGTAATGAGAATACAGAAAATAATCATCAACTCAACAGTCTCTTGATTGTAAAACAAATTCTCCTTGTCGGCATGTTAGGAAAATGTATAGAGAACAGTATGAAGAATGTGTATATTGATGAAAGGGTGTAAAGAGTTAGTAGATTTTGTTTTTACCTGTGACAAAGTTAGTCCTTAAGGAGTCCTTTTCCCTGCCAGGAACTTTACAACATGAAAAGAGTCGCGTAAACTGAAACATACAGAGTGGAATTGAACCCATTCTCTCAATGGGGCTTTCCTCTCTGAAATAAATAGGAAAATAAGATTAAAACTGCTCAGTGAAAAAAATATCTTGTTTTTGTAAAAGAAACATAACTCACCTGTAAAGCTCTTGCCAAACTTTAAGGAATGCATGGGTAAATATGGCAGCTCTTGTTACTTGGGCTCCAGTTTGGACTGGCCATATGTCTGTCACTGGTATCGGTCCTCCAATGTTGACCATTGGGGCAGATGGATATCTGGGTGTTAAGTATGCTACATCCTCCCACCATTCTTCAAGCTTGTTGAGAAACCAGAAACGTTACACAAGGTGTATTTTTAGATATACTGGTACAGTAAATGCAGCCTTAACCCTTTAAAACACTGAGAGTGATCAGCATCTAATTTTTTTCTTTACCATTACTGTTGTTATAATGTTGAATCATTCATTATGATCATAGGAGTAAAGGAAATGATCACCAACCTGAGATACTTTGATTGTTAAACAAATTCTCCTTGTCAGTACAAACAAAATGCAAAGGGAAGAGTATTAAGAATATAGACACTGGTGTTAATGTTAAATGGAGCTGTCCAATTTTCAAAATATCAGGATTGTTCACAGTAGTCTTGGACACTAATACACTTTCACTATTTTTTTAATTCACTCGTTTCTTTGATATAGCAAAACTGGCTGACAAAGTAATCACAAGATTCACTTACCCAATTACACATGTTGCTTGCTCTTGTCTCAAGCTTGCTTTGAAGTTCTTTTCCAACTCCACTGGCAAATTCATTCACCAAAAACTGAGTCTGAAGATACTCTTCTGATGTCAAGTGAGGCTTTACTGTCATGAATAGATATGAAAATCAAAGTTGAATTTTTTAAGAGCTAACTGTTAATGGTAGGATACACAGGGGCGAGATCCCCAAAAAATGGGCAGAGGGAGGAGAGGGACAGTTATGGGAAACAGCATAGGAAAGCAGGTGAGAAATATAAAAAAAAAATTCAAACATTTGTCAGGCATTAATCAGTGGGTTTTCAAAGAAAAGAGTACATTGATGTAGAACTGATAACCACCAGATCTGATTAACTAGTAAATTCTCCTTGTGATTCCAATAGATCAACTCACAAACAGGTTATGAGAAGACACAAGCTTATCAGCTATGGAATGTTATTTTGATACAACAATAAATTCTCCTGTTTAATTTACAACAAACTGTATTGCAGTCAGTAGGGAGAAATACTGATAAAACCTTAGGACTTTAAGGACAAATCAAAGTAATCAGTAAAATCACTTGGTTTCAACTGAAAAGACGGCTGAGTTTTCATTTTCTTTTTTTTTTTTTTTGCAATGCATGAATTTTAATAACTTTTAGTGTTTGAGGATAGCTTGAAATAAAGTGTTGATTCATAAGTTTGAGAGGGGAACTGAACCTAAACCAAACATCTCCAGTTTTCAAATTTACAGAATGCATCTCTGAGCATCTTCATGCTGTGGTTCAATTTACTCCTAAATCTAAATTTCATTTTTCCTTTCTTGCAAACTCATTATAATTCTCTAATATGCTAAAAAAGGCAAAGGAAATTATATTCAAATCAAAGATAAAACTGAACCTTTAAATACATACCTGTAAACAAAAAAAAGTATGTGTTATTTTCAATTACTATACCTGATGCCAAATATTTTTTACAAGTCTGTTCTAGTGGAGGAACAGGTAAGCTTGGAAGTTTATTTTGAAGCTGAAAAGTCTTTTCCATGTTTTTGAACACTGATGAAGCTAAAAACACAAAGAAAATATGTAATAAGCTGAATATTATGCATGAATTTTGGTTGGTTCTTTCTTAATATCTTTAGGTGGACAGACAAAGATGACATCACCATTCAGTTTTTTGCTTCTTTATTGTATAAAACAAAGAAGTTTTATATTGCCCTGAGTCTGTTTTGTAATAGATCACAAATGACATCAAAATGTGGTCGCAGTGCATCAGTGACACACTTGGCTGCACCTTGTGTGTCACCTTTTTTGTTCTTAACCCCTTAACTCCCAAGTTCTCATTAGTAATTCTTGTTACTGTCTGCCACACAGTTTTTGTGATGTTAGTTTGGAGAATTTGATATTGGATCAACTTATAATCTCCTGATTGATATTTTGTTTTATTCTCATCACTTGTCTGTATGATATTGTATTGATATTGTAAGGAGAAATTCTGTCTTGGTCACTCATGGGAGTGAAAGGGTTAACACATTTTGATGTGAAGTTATCTTATTGAGTTAATTAACATCGCTAACTCCTTCACTGCACTGGCACTCCTGAGAGATATTATCAACAATCACAAATAAAATTTGTATCAAAGCACAGCCATAATATATCATCTATATATTAGTAACTCGAGATGTAATCAAAATCAGGGACAACTCTATAAATCATCAAATGGAAGAGTGTCTAAAAGACTATGAGGTCTTGGCTTTGTGCACTAAAATAATCTAACTTTGTATCATATCTTCTATTTCCAGAAACACTTCTACTAAAATGGACCCAAGTGCTGAAATTTAATGAGTTCAGTGACCCATCTTAATCAGGGGCAAACAAAATATTCAAGTGGAAAATTCGTTACAGTTTCTTGACCATTGCAGGCTAATCAACCATCAGTAATAAAAAATTAACACCACATAATTCTTCACTTATTGTGAAATGCATAGATTTTCCTGATTTAGATTCACTAAATATCCCTGCAAGAATAAGCCGTTTTTCCATTTTCCATTCGAGTGTTCGTAGTAAGCAGAAAAAGGGAGCAGGTGGTCAATGTGCTACAAAAACTTGGCAAAATTTTCAGAAAGTCCCCCCCCCAGCCACCGAAAGAAAAACAAAATCGATCTTGTGATCCTTTACCTGAAAGGCCACGGCTAGAAATACAAAACAGTTGCATACAGCTTCTTTCAAGAGTTTTCAATCCCAACCGTGATCCTAAACAATGCATGAATGACTATTTTTGGCACCAAAGCTGGGCCAGTGTCAAATCGAACCTGTTGCCGATGGGGCGGGAACACTGGTAAACACAAAAAAAATCAGTGGACGTCGAGAGACTGAGTACGAGACTACCACAAGCATGTTGGACGAAGCTAGTTTCATCATGGATTATTGAGATTCTTTCTCCTTACGTTTAATGATACATTTTGGATCGTCAGTCTAAAATGGCTGGGTTAGAGATTCTTTCTCCCGAAGGACTACGTCTCGATGGCCGAAGAGCCCATGAACTACGAAAGATTGTCTGTAGAATGGGGGTTTTCAAGCAAGCGGATGGCTCAGCTTACATCGAGATGGGAAACACCAAGGCATTAGCTACAGTTTATGGCCCTCATGAAGTAACAAACAAATCTAAAATCCTACACGATCGAGTGCTGCTAAATTTTCAGTTTAGTATGGCGACGTTTAGCACAGGAGAACGAAAGAAAAGACCAAAAGGAGACAGAAAATCCACAGAGACGTCTATGCTTATAAGGCGCACATTCGATGCCACTATTCTAACACAAATGTACCCTCGCTCACAGATAGACATTTATGTGCAGGTTAGTAGAACATTTTATATACGTCTAGAAAGAGTGTAGTTCAAATTCTTGGTCATTTCTTGAGGTGCAACTCGGAGACTTGGTGCCTTCTGGCTCATAGCCAATCCCTCTCCCCTCCCTCCCTCTGTTATAATTGAACTGGGTAAATTCCTCGGGGAAAATGACCCAAGATCACTCAACTGCTCCCTAGCTCTCCCTCCTGTTTTTTTTGTTCCACTTTCCCTCTTCATACAAACTTATTTATTACAAAAATATCACAAATCTATATACAGTGGAACCTCAATTTAACAAACCTCTATATAATGAAGTTGTTGGTATAACAAACCATACTCTTCAGCCTGGCCAAAGTTACAGGAAAATATATGGAAAGAACCTCCATGTAACAAAATCTTTGTTATAACAAACACAATCCAGATGCCCAAATGTATAATATGCCCTGATATAACAAAATATAGGCATGCTATGCATGTAAGAGTTATTGTTTGGGGGGGTGGGTGGATTACTTGAAACTTTGTAAATGATGTCTACATTCTTACAAAAGGAAAGAAGAGTATTAATTAATGTGGAAAAGAACAAAAATGTTGAATTAACTCATGCACAGGTATTTTGGGGTAGATTGTATGTGTTGTGCAAATAACTGTGACCAAAAATTAACTGTATTGGTGCCACGGATACCTGTTAGTACAAAATGCAGACTGCAGACCGGATACAAAATGTAGACTAGGTAAAAAATGTAGACTGCTGAGTGGGTACAAAATGCAGACTGAGAATCTAAAGAGTGTTTTTGTCTGGTATGTGATAACATGTCATCTTACAACTTACCAAGCGTCACGTAATCACTTTTCCACAATCAGCTTTCACTATTATTTGCATTATTTTGGTGATGAAAATGTCTGAACAGCCTTTTTACCAACCTAATAAAATGTGAACAGATTTTACCAACCTAATAAAAGTAGATTTAGATGTAGATATAGATGTAAACGAGATGTCATCATTGAATATTTAACACGTGCAACATTCAAGAAACAATTGACAGCTTTGCGCATGGTCCATATCTTTGTAAGAGGTATGTGTTTATATTGTTGACAAAAATGCCAATCCCAAAATGCTGGGTCGCGCAATTTCACACATAAAAAAAAAATGATAAAAGTAAATTAACATTTACCAGCTCTCAATATGACAAACACTTTAGTTGTTTTTCTGCAAATTCATGAATTGAGGTTTTCGATGTAACGAACACTCAATATAACAAATGTTCGATATACTTGTAACGAACAAATTTCCGCAATCTCTTAGCACTTAATTAAATGGAGGTTCCACTGTATTCAGTTGACATTCTATGCATGGTGGATGGGGGAAGGGAGATGGTCAGAGTATGAGCCAACTATGACTGGAGCTGCTGAAATATCTATATTTTGATTTTCTCTACTTTCTGTCACCCATTTCTTACAAAGTCAGTTTAGAGAATTTGATGTCTAATTAAACATAAGTACCACTCTTGATTTTCATCTTTCTACAGCAAGTGACCTATTAATTTTCTAAGGAGAAATTACTGACTTGTCATTTCCAGGAGTAAAAATTATTAAATTAGACTTTCAAAAAATCTGCCATAAGATTTTTATCTGATCCCAATCAATTGAAGGAAATCTTGTTTTGACCCACAGATAATATGGAAGTGCATTCCTTCCAACTGTGCTTGGAAAAATGCTTAAGAGTTTGAAGAATTATGCTTACTTGGACCCTTTCTCCAACTTCTCAGCTCACTGTAAGATAAATGGCCATTGAAACAACTGCATATATTCATTTACTGTGGCAGCTTATAAATTTGTTTTTTACTTACAGATTCTTCAAGCTGATGGTTCAAACCAAAGTGCTTGCATCAATGCAGCTACCTTAGCTCTCATAGATGCTGGAATTCCAATGAAGGATTATGTCAGTGCTTGCACAGTTAGTTTTGTCAATGACCAACCATTGATGGATGTTAACTACTTAGAAGAAAGCTTTGGAGGCCCACAACTAAGTCTGGCTGTTTTACCAAAGTCTGGAAACATTGTCATGTTCCAAATGGATTCTAGACTTCATATTGATAACTTGGAAAAAGTCCTGGAATTGGCAAAGAAAGGATGTAGTGATATCCATGTCTTACTTCGACAAACTGTGCGTGACTATTCTCAAGAATGTGTGGCCACTTTAGCCAGTAATTAAAATCTCATCCTAGACTTAATAAGTTCTAAGGCTCTTAGACTGCCTTTTTTTTCTTCCAAAAGGAATTACGAACTAGACATCTTACTGACGAAAAGCAGAAGTTCTCATTTGCAACCGGTCCCATTAGGTCAGTATTGAACGTTCAGTGGCCAATCTAGAAGAAGGGTCTGGGGGGTCTGCAACCTCAACGCGGTAATATCTGGTCGAATTATTTTTCTTCCATTATCATTAGCAGCAGACACAGCATCTAGAAAGTCTATCACCTCTTCGTAAAGGACTTTTTCTGCCATTGTGAGAAACTCTCCTTAATGGATCAGAAAATCAGGTAAAATGCTGCCTTCTTGGAACGATTCGTCAAAACAGCTGGTTATGCCTGCAGTGTACTGCGTCATGTAGTTGTTTTTTGTGGCACTATCAACAACATCCTCTGAGTAAAGCTTCGGAGCTCAACCTAAATCCACTTTCGTGTGAAGCTTCTTTGAAATTTGCGGGAAGAACGATTCCTCAGTGACCACCGCGTGCAGAACGAATATGGCTCCACCCGGGTAAAGCTTCTGGAAACAGCTTCGCAACGATTATTCAACGTCCACATAGTACAGAGAGGCCACAAAATGAATTGTATCGAAGCTCTCCACGTTAGGAAAAGACTCGATGAACTTCTTCAAGATGATCTTGCATCAATCGAACGACACATTAGCTGAACTTGCGGCTTGCGGCCAAGGTGTGGTCGATGCTGTAAACTCTGCTATAATTTCTTGGTTCGGCTCTATGATAACAGAATGTATGGACGGCTTATTCATCTGATGAGACTTTCCTAAAACGTTGGAAATGCAAGGGTGAATTCGTAAGTCGGTTTTACCCCTGCATCTTCCCACTCCAAAAACTCGAAACAAGGGGTTTCCCTTTAAATGATCGGTGATTTTATTTAGTTACATGGGAGGCGACCCCTTCCACAGAGTCAGTCATTGCATCTGTGTACGTTAGTTTGCTGATAAAACTCTTGTTATATTGTATATTTATATAGGGCCACCTGAAAAAGACGGTCCTTTTTCAAATAAGTTTAAAAAAATTTCTTGGCAAGTTAGGTTTTATACAGGGTTTACTTACGGAAAGGGGCGCGATGGGAAGGGGGCGGGGTCCTGAGGTGCTCATCACCTTATGAACTCTCCTTGTGGAATAAATTTTCTTACCTTGTTTGAGTCAAAAATTTAAACCTGGTATGAATGAATGAATTCGAAGAATCTACGTCTCTACTCCACTGAGTAGTTCTTCATTGACCACTTCCTGCTTAACACTCCATTTGCCCTTCTTGTTGTAAGAATATGAGCCTACGGATACACAAGGTCAGCAGCCCATTACTTGATGGGCTCCTGACAAGGTAGAGCATGCGGTGTCAACCAATTCAAGTCAGGCGCGTAGAAATTTATAACCTTGAATCCCCTTTCTCAGCTTTGCCCTTTTGATGGATCAAAGTTATTGTTATTTTATTCGTAATTATTGCATAATAAACATTTTCCACGATGTGCAAAAATAACGATCAAGTGCAGGCGTAGGTAGGGGTATCTCACTGCGTCCAGCTATGATAGTGATGACCTAGAAAAACGCAGGCAAAGGCCAATTTACCCTTATGGACTGTTCGGTTAGGTGATCTGTACTCCACGCTAAGGTTATAAGTGGCCCTCCAAACAAAAATGTAAGGCTAATGATAAATCTGATCTGTTCCATATGATGCACTGCACATCTTCAAGTCCTCCGTTGAGACCCTCATTTGAGGCCCTCGTTTGAGCCCTCACTTGAATTCATTAATTTTACGCTAAGACCACTTACGCAGAAGGGACATAGAGGCGCGTATGGACATAAAAGTATGCACGATCTTAGCCCCAATAAGTTGACCCATTGCAGTTGCAGCTTCGACGGGAGCAGGCATGAGCAACAAATTAAGAGATTACAGCATCAGTGAAAATGCCAGATTTTTGATTGACAATAGTGAAGACCCAGGGCTCCGTGAAGTACTGATCCTCCACAAGTACTGATGTTGTGTTTTGGTAAAGGTACCTCTAATGATCGCGAGGATCACTTATTTTATACTAGTTGGAACAGGATAAAAACACGCATCCTTGTTTCATTTTTGGTTGTGAGTACTGACCGAAGCTGGATACGGAATGGCATAACAGTCCAAGCTGTCAAAGTCGAAAAAGTTTCGACTTAAAGCATGTACTTACAAGCGGCGACGAGACCATTTTTCTTTAAAAAGCGGAAGAAGCACAAAGAGAGAGACTAGGACCAGCGCGCGCGAGAAGTCATGCGTGTCTGCTTTCGCACGCGTGTGCCACTGTACTTCCCTAACTCCAAAGTGGTTAGTACTTTTAGATTTAGATTCGGACTCTCCAGCCCAATTTTCGATGGGATGGTTTAAAAGTTTGCTAATTTTTTTTTCTCTTTCTTTTGGACTCCTTTCGGATTGCTTTTGTGCCTGGCCTTATTATTAAGATGCAGAAAGGGAGGATTTTTAGTACAGGTCATACTTTTTAATCCTAAAAAACAAGCATTAACAATGAAGAAAAAAATCGAGCTCGTTCCATTGCGCCAACGCAAAAATAGTTTGAATAGCCGACCAAAGAAGGGAACCAAAATCGGAAAAAAGTGGCGCCAATTTCCGCTCCACGGTTTACACTCCCAGCAAGGCATCTCACATGACTAACCTCAACCAATCAGGTACTTTGCTGCGGTTGAGCAAGATGGCGGATTGCTTGAAGCTTGTGCCGGATCCATCAACTAGCGTTAGATTTGGCCTGAATTCTTCATAACAAATGCACTCCTATAGATTTTCGAGAGGTGTTCGTGCTGTCGGAATTCGCAAGTCTTCAGGGAGGTGACACCTAAGGCAATACAGTGGAGGTTTGCGGGTTTGAAGTGGTCGGGACACGATTTTGAAAGTTGTATCGACAAAACTGTATGCATCGAAATTTGGATGGGATCTAGATGGTAGTTCAACAGTTACTGGACGAGGTAGATAGTTATTGCACTTTAAAATTATATTCTCCAATTAAGAGACTAACTATCGACTCTTTATGCTATTTTTGGCGTGTAATTTACAGCACAAATATCAGTCTCACAGTAGCTAAAGATGTTGCAAAATGTTATCGTTGCGTTTTCGATAAATTATGTTTATTATGAATTATTTGTCAGCCTCCCCTCGTACAAGCGTGCTTCCACGGTGATGCTACCGAATTGCGGACGTTGATAAGCCGAAACGAGGATGTAAATCGCCAAGTAAGTAAAGTTGATTAAATCAGTCTCACTCTCTTAATAATCGAATTTTTCGGGTCACCGAAGAAATGTCAGTTGAATGTGCATCATCAAGTTCCTTCTCTTGAATAAGGCAAACTTATCAATTATTTAAAGAATTCGTGTAACCAGTAATAAAACTCAAGTTTGTTGTCAGCTGAATTCTCAAATAAACTGCTGTTTTAGATGTGAATAACTGATACGTCGTTCCTAATCAGTACATGTCTATGAAATGTCAATGTTAGATTTTAATTTCAGATAGAAAAAAATTCCTTCCACGGTTGAGCAATCTTTTTGTTATTACCTTTTATTTTGGTTCCTAACCTTTCTTATTCATAACCAGGGATTGTAGAGTAAGGAAATAAATAACAATTTAGGTGGAGAACTTTCCTCTTAAGATTAGAAATTATCTGTAGCATGTTGCTCCCTTTCGAGGAAGTGAGATTAAGCTGTTAAATAAATATATATATTTTTTTTTTATCAGGGAAGGGTTGTATGTAGTTAGTGTTGTGTGGTAGAAATATAACACCAATGTTTGCACAATCACAAATTGCTGTTGCCAGTTGTTTTCTGTTTACCTGACCTAGCATACCAGTCTATAATACAGGGCTAAAAATTGGCCGTCGCATGGTCGTCAGTGGTGAGTTAAAACTGACCAGGGCCACCAAAAGTTAAGGTTTGAATGCCTGATATGCGACTATGCTACAGAATTTCGAAAAGTTGCAATTTAAATAATGCGAAGTACAAAGTTAAAAATAAAACTCAATATTTAGTTTAATTGGACTGCCTTTTTCTTCATTTCTTTGCCTGGACTCTAAGATCATCTATTTAAGTTAATTTTTAGTTCTGAAGTGGAAATTGCAAGCCATTTTAACAGTGATTTCATGAGCTTGTTCCTCCCTTTTAGTTAATGCTCTGTTAAAAGCCATAGGGCATTTATTTAAGTTTTTCATTTTAAACTAGAGGAAATTGAGGGCTACTTCATTTTGGGATGGGCCACTAAGAATTCAAGGAAACTTGCCCGACTGGCCACCAAGCGCTGGAGTTAATTTTTAGCCTTGATAATATGTGTAAAAATAGACTTTATTTTGGAGTCTGTACTATTGATCCGTTTTAGAAACTGTTGGCTACTGCAGGTAGATAACGAAGATTGAGTAGTTATTTTACTATTATATACCATTTTAACGTAATTGCTTGGACAGTGGAACATGCAAATATGCAATGGCATTACACAGTAGAACAGGGTAGTTTTAAAAATATGAGGGAAAGGAAAGCAAAAAAATGGCTGCTTTGAAGGATAAAAGCTTTCAGTCTTTTAAGCTTGATGTTAATGCAAGGAACTTTCAAGTGAAATTTTGTTTGTCATGAAAGACACTTAAACAGTAGTTTTTGTATTGATTTTGTAGAATGTGTTTCACGAACTATAAACCAAAAGACTTGAAATTAAAATGATAACGGAATCTTTCTTTTGTTATTTATGGCTTTACATATATTGTGCAAGCAGACATTTTGGTTACAGCAGTATTTTTCCTTGCCCCTTCAATGCTTGCAAAAGTATTTGCAAGTCAAAAAATCATGTATATTAAGCATTGCATTGGGTTTAATTGTTGTTCCCAACTTGTGCTGTGCATGTACATCACAGATTTTACCTGGCAATCGTTTCAACATATTTTAAGTTGTTCCTGACTAGCTTTGTTAATCTCTAGGATGAAGAGAAGAGGACTGCTTTACATGCTGCAGCATATTGTGGAGAGAGTGACTGCATTAGCATTCTTATTGCTCATGGTAGGATTTAGTCACTGAATCACTACACTAAATTACAGTTTTACCTTATCATGAAGAGTCATCGCAGTTCAATTGTGAAGGGACTTTGTTCATGCTTGAAGGTAGCACATGTCCCTCAAAAACAGACTGCTTTGGTTATTAATTTTTACAATTAATCTGTGTTGTATTTGGGCAATTTTGATCAGAGGGGGAGGGAGAGGGGAGGAGGATTGTAGTCACTGTCTAGAGTTCTAGGGAAGGATTTGCTACCCAGATCTCCATTTTGTAACTTTATTTCAGACTAGAACATCAATTTTCTATACCAGCTTTTGGATCTAGGCTTCAAAATCCTTGCCATTCATATGATTTCTGAAAATTAAACTTGATTTACACTTATAGTGCCGTTTGGTTTAGTTTGATTAATCTTGGCATCAGAACTGAAAATTCCAATCTAACATTATTATACATTTCGGTTACTCTTCTCTCTTTAGTATTAATTTCTAGTGAAAAAGAAAAATATGTTTAAACATGTTATGGTTCCCTTGCAGTACCACAAAGCTGTGTGGTATAACAGGGAAAAGTGATCACTCTGATGGCAAATTTATTTTAAATCTCAATAATTTCATTCTATTGAAATGGTGCCTTTTTTTTCCTCAGGAGCAAGAGTAAACACTAAAGACAGTAAATGGATGACCCCTCTTCATCGTGCCTGTGCCTCTGGTAGTGTGGTATGTTCTTTAACCCTTTATACCCTAAGAGTGATAAGCATCTTATTTCTCCTAACAGTATCACTCCTGAATTAAACATTAAGGTAACAGAAATAAAGGAAATGATCACCAACTGAAGAAGCTCTTGATTGTTAAACAAATTCTCCTTGCCCTTGGTGAGATCAACTGTAGGAGTTCTAAGACCACTAAAATTACTGTGTACATGAAGTATTCCAATTACAGGTATCTATGGCGTAAAGTTAGCAGCATACACATACATATATATGAATGTACTTAAACATGCTATTTTTCAATTAAACAGACAAGTGAACCTTTTTATTTATTATACATCCTATTATGCTATCCAGATTCACTGAGCAGCAACATTGCCCTCAAGGTCATGGCTGAAAAGCAGATTATATAAATGAAATCTGATTTTTCTTTTGGGACTGCAAAAAACAGTGGCTTGCCAGGGTCAGTGAATGAGAGAATACATCTATGCTCAGCTCACTGGGAAATCTTCTTGCCCTGTTGGACGAGACAAATGTTTTTGTTAGTTTGTCTGGTTCAAAAGATAGATTTTTCCAGTTTAAAGGATATACCCTTTACTTGCAGGAGTGTGTCAAAGCGTTGATCAATAGTGCAGGGGATGTCAACGCAAGAGACAGAAACTGGCGGATTCCTCTGCATGTTGCTGCTAGCAACAATCATGTGCGATGTGCAGGTAATTGCATAATGTAACCAATGTTGGAAGGGTCTTCATGGAGCAAGTGTGGCTCTAGCATTGGAGAAGCTAGGTATTTTAACCCTTCAACTCCCAAGATCTTTTTAGTAATTCTCCTTACTGTCTGTCAAATAATTCACATTATGTTAGTTTAGAGAATTTGGTCTCAGATAAATTAGTAATCCTATAATTGATTATTTTCTTTATTCTCATCACTTGTCTGTATAGATATAGTAAGGAGAAATTCTGACTTGGTCACTCACTGGAGTTAAAGGGCTAATAACTAGTTTTGGTAACCTGAGCTTTATCTTTTTCCTATAATTGTTTTGAATTTTTGCTTGTAGAGGTTCTTATTCCTCACCTACAAAATGTGAATGTGACGGACAGAGCTGGGAGGACAAGCTTACACCATGCAGCATTCAACGGCCATGTTGGGGTATGTGTTGGAATTTAAAATTATATTTATGTTTATGGAACTCTCCTTCTTCATTTAGTGCTCCCCCTTCTAATCTTGTTCTCATCATAGTTTAATTAGCTGATGTTTTTAGATCTTACTCCAGTGGATTACTTGATGTCATCTGTGAATCTTGAATTACATGTACATGTATATCAGACGTATGCTTTTATACATACCTGTATCTGTGCTAACCATTTATTCTTGATTCACTTTCCTTGAAGTTTCTTCTGATTCTCAGCTGCTGATAAAATGATTTTACTTAGGCATGTACTTGCACATGCATGTGATATGAAATGGTTACTCTTGAGTAAACTTGGAAATTCTTGTTTTACAGATGGCACAGCTTCTGATAACCAAAGGAGCCCACTTGAATGCTGGTGATAGGAAGGACAGAAAGCCATTGCATTGGGCTGCACACATGGGTAAGTCGTGTACAATGTACTTGTAAATGCAGTTCAATCTCTTGGTCAGGTTTGGTCAGAGATAAACAAGTGTTTCTTTGTCTTTAAACCAAATGAAAATAGGCAAATATCATTTACTCATGAGTAAATGTGTTAAGGGATTTCATTTTATTTCTTCTTGGGCTAAGGCTAGTAATATCGTATGTGATTTTGTAGGACGCATTGAGTGTGTAGAAGTTTTGGTTAAATCTGGAGCTGAAATTGACTGCAAAGACAAAAAGGTACAACCTTTATATTTTGTGTGCGTTAATTAAAGAAATAAGAGTTGGCTACAAGATTTTAGAACAGTTTATTTGTGGGATAACATTTAGGGTGACCTAGAGAAAATGTTTGTTCCTGATTTCTGAGGAACAAAGGACATGTGAATCTCAAGACCACCTATTCATAATTTCCAATGGGACAAAAGTAACTATTGCTATAATTTTCTTTACATCATTTCTCCATTCGTGGCCTCTTTAGAGTTCTTCTGTTATCAAGAATCTTTCTCACTTTGGTTGGAAAATCCTCATAAATGTTTTTAGAAGCAACACAACACAAAGCAGTCCTCCTCCTTGTGTTCTATGTTCTATCCATCAACATGGCCAGTTTGACAAATTGATTGTGAACAATTGTTGCATAGTTGTATAACTTGGATAAATTCTGTTCTTTTTTTGTATTTGGTTCTGTTGTAACTTGTATGCTTTTCTGACCTTGCTTCACCAGAAATCTTACTTAAACTAATGTGAGATTTCAGTAATGGGTACAGCCATTGCATAGATCAAAACCTGAAATGAGTTTACTTGTGGGAATACAATTTGGGCTATGCACAGAATATTTAAAAGATAATGTTTGAACTGTATAGAAAAACTTCCTTTTGCTTTTGTTTGCATAGCATTACACACCTCTCCATGCTGCAGCAGCTGGGGGACAGTTAACCACACTGAAACAGCTGTTAGGACATGGAGCATCAGTAAGTTTCTTAAGAAAGATAAATTTAATGATCCTAAGAACATTCATATTAGTAGAGACTTAAGAGTAGAAGATTGCAATATAATACTGTACAAGATATATGTACAGTAAAATCCTAAATATGCATCTTCTGACAGTGTTAATGGTTTATAAGGTACTTGTAGACCCTTTCATGCTTTCAATTTGGTAAAATTCTTGATAGAATATCTTGTGAAATTAATCCTGTTGGTTTTTTCTGTTTTGTTTGTTTGTTTGTTTTTTTTTTTTTGCATTAAATAAAAAATTGATTACTGTGTGGGAATAGAAGTGTTGCACATGTTTTAAATCCTGCCTCAAGTTTGTGGAAAATAGAAACCCTTAAAAAAAGTTTGTTCACATTCAAAGCATCTAGCAGAAGTATAGGGAGCCACACTTTTTCCCAAATTGATTGTATTCTCCTTTCAACAATTGAATCGTTTCCTCAAAAATTTTCATCCAGAGACTCAAAACTTTCAAGTATTTAGGACCAAGTTTCTGGTAAAGACTATCCACTTGTATTTGAGCATTTTGTAAACTTTTGTATAGAGACTTTAGCTTAGGCAAGAGCAAGGGTGTGAGTTATGTGCCTACAGCTGTAAAGAGTACAGAAGTTACTCAGAAGCAGCCACACTCCTAAATCATCTAAGATGGAATGACCAATCACGAACAGTAGACTACTTAAAGAACACTACTTTATCTACATTTTGTAGTTGATCAATACATATTCAGGTATTTACTTTGTTACTTTGCAGGTGGATGCCCCAAACTTGAATGGTAACACACCGCTTCACATTGCATGTCTCAATGGACAAGACATTGTCATAAGTGAACTGATGAGCTATGGTGCTTCTGTAAATGCCACTAACAAGAAAGGCATGGTATGTTGTTGTTAAACTTCACACCAGGGTGTTTCACACTTTAACCATTTCAATGATATAGGTAATTGGATGTAACATAGAGCTTAATCATACATGTAAAACGAAATGACTCCTATAACTGTTTATTCATTCAATCCTGTACATCACTTTGATTCCTTTGTGGATGAGTTCACTGATAAAGATGTTGCTAAGTGACTTTCCTGGTCCAGTTGGAGGCATGCTGCAGGAGTTCTGATTTTGTTTAGCCTATTTTGGGTGATATCTGTAAATGTATGTGTGCAATATTTGACTTTGCCACAAATAATTTTGTTTTTATCATTTCAGACTCCATTACACTATGCAGCAGTGTCAGGGCAAGGTGATGTTTGTCTTGAACTGCTCCTGAATGATGGAGCCAGTCCTAACTTACAGGTGAGGATTGATTAATCTTATTACCAGTTTATTATGTGTATTAACCCTTTACACCCTAACATCAGTATACAAATTCTCCATACTGTTCACTATACATTTCCTGAAGTGCTGACAAGGGGAACTGTGTTTAAAAATCAAGAGCTTTATAAGTTGGTGATCGTTTCCTTGATTCTTGTGACCTTAATGTTTGATTCAGGGGTGATATTGTTGGGAGAAATTAGAAGCTGGTCACTCTTAGGGGGTTAAAGGGTTGATAATATGTCTCTTGAATTTATCATTATCTATGTATAGTAAGATTAGTTTATATTTATATACTCTACTCTGTACCAACAAGTAACAAAGAAATAATTTGTTGATAACAATTACAACAGTGCAAGAATGGAAGGACTCCACTTCATTATGCTGCTCTCTATGGGCGCTGCTCTAGAGCTCAAACTCTTCTCCAACAAGGTAATGTGTATATGTACATATGGACATTTCTTTGTTAGATGTACCTTTTTACTTCCATGTGTATACACTTTATGGCAGTATGTTAATTACGTTGGATTTGCATGTTCTCACTACTGGGAAAACTTAGTGATTAAATACTTGGATTCAAAAAGGTCTTTGACATCCAGAAAGGTAGAAAAAAGTTAAGCAAAAATTCTTAAGTTCTGTTTTCAACCATGGATCTTTTCCAATGTTTGTCATTTTCTAACAACATGTATTAATTGAATAACTTTTGGACACTTAATTATTATTTTCATCTGTGCATGTGTACATGAATTATTAGATTAGGGCAAGGCAGAGGTGCACTGTTCACATGTGATATGTGGGTAAGGAACTGTGAAAGATTCCATAACTAAATTTGTTGTTTCCCATCTCTGTTTAAGGTTGCTATGTAGATGCAACAGATATCAGAGGAAACACTCCTTTACATATCACTGCATTACATGGTCAAGAATTATTACTAAGTGTGCTGTTGGCCAGTGGAGCAAACCACACAAGGTGAGTGATTGAGTGAGTTTGTGGTTGAATAAGCTTTTTCCAAAACATATGTGTTACCCGTAATTAGCATTTATGGAAGTTATCTTTAAACTCTTTCAGGCGAGGATCATTTGGAATGTTACCTCTTCACATGGCAAGCTTAGGTGGTTTCACAGACTGTTGTAGAAAGCTGATATCATATGGTAAGTTTTAAATGTGTAGTGAAAAGAATTCAGGTTAAAATTGCTAGAATTAAATTTCTTGTAAAACTTATATGTAGGCTATTTAGTTCTTAAAAAAAGAATTGTGTTCATGAGAGAAGAAACGTAAACATTCAGGCAAACTTTGTTTCTGCCATGCCCAAGAACTCTTAGATATTCAGGACCCTTTATTTTCCCTTCCAATTGCAATCAGTTTCCTTACAAACTATTTAAGAGAATTTGGTGATGTAGTAAGATCACTCTCTCCTGCTCATGACCTTGTTGACATAAAATGTTGCTGAAAATTTAAGAAAAGCACTATATTTGGAGTTTAAATTGTTTAATTTGTTACTTTCTTCAGGTAATGATGTAAATGCAAGAGATGATAATGATCACACTTGTCTTCATGCTGCTGCTTGCAGTGGGTCAGTCACACACAAATGTTGTAGTGTAGAGTTACTGAATATTGTTATAGGCCTTCTGATAGGGTGTACTTTGAAAGGAAAACTGCTTTACAATGTAGAAGTGCAGTGTTGCATATATTGATCCAAAAGTAATTATAATAAATCAAAATAAAAATGCACACGTGTTGCATTTCTGTGACCTGAAACCTTCAGCACAGCACTATCTTCCTTTTGTTCATAATTATGTTCATATGTGTACTCTAGGATAATGAGTATTGTAAGGGCATATTCATAATTCAGTCTTCTTTGTTGTGTTTACAGAAATGTTGAATGCTTAGGACTTCTTTTGCACAATGGTACTAATCACACTGCTTTAGACAAGTTAGGCAGGTTGGTATGATTACTCCCCAATATATGAGTTGATTGTTTTTATTTTTGAAAATTAATGCTTTTCTTTTTTATGTTTCTTTGCCCATCACTTAGCAGCATTTAGCACAGATTTAACATTGCAGTGTTCTACACTGTACTGTTGAAACAGGATCGTGTGATATCAACAAAAGCTTTTGATTGGGCTGTTCCTTGTTGCATATGAAAAAAAAGACCCAAAAGGTTTCCAGCAGCTTGTGAATGGTTTATACAGATAAGAAAAATTTGCATGTAATATGTGTTACCTTGTTTGACACAATGCTTGTTTCAGAAGAATAGAGAAGTTTGATTTATCTTCACCAGATTCTTTTTCACATCCCCAAAAGAATTTTACACTTCAAGCATTTACATGTATTATGGCTTATGAAAGCAAAAAACTAAAAATCAACTTACTTGCCAAAATGCAAACTTAATCAGCAAGATCAAATCAAGTTGAGGCATGTTCTTGCACTTGTTTTTCTCGAATTGGTTGCAGTTGCACTGCATGTTTTGCCTTGTCTGCATGCTTTCATTTTGCTTTAACTCTTCAACTCCCAAAAGTGACAAACATGTAACTTCTCCCAATAATATCCATACATTACTCAGCAAACAAATAAAGAGAATACACAAACTTGTTACTAATTTAAAAGGAACTGTATAACAAATAAAGGCAAGAATTAACAACCAGGTGATGGGAGGTGAAGGGTTAGGATCAATATCAGTATCTGGGCAATTGCCCACCTACCCCTCCCCTAACTCAATAACAGTTAGTTTACAACAAGTTAAGGTTAATGTTGGGTTAAGGGAGGGGTAGGTGGGCAGTTGCCCAGATACTGATATTGATCCATGGGTTGAAAATAACAGATACATGTAGTTGGGATAGGCCTTTGACCAGAGGTGAAGTAAGCAGGTGAAGTTGCTGTCATAAGCTGCTGCTTAATTAATGTTCATTACTGTGAAGTTAGCTTTTAAATTTATTGCTGTCATACTGAGTTGCCAAGTTGTGTACTTGCCGTGGATGACCAGAATTTGTTTTCTCCTTCGCTCTCCTTTTCTCTTCTCCTGATATTTAAGAGAGAATTGTTACATTTATTTAATTTCTATTGTTTACAGAACTGCCCTTCACTATGCAGCCGGCCATGTACAATACTTTTGTGTTAAATCACTGGTAGCTACGGGCTGCAGTGTAAATCAAGTGGACACAAGAGGCTGCACTCCTCTGCACTATGCTGCAGCAGCAGATGAGGAGGCCAAGTAAGCAACACCTTTATTAATTAATCGATGAACACGAACGATGAGAACTACTGTCTTCGGCATGTTTTTGTGTCTGAGTTTTGTTACGTTCTGTCGTATCCTTTTTAGGTGTGTGGAAAACTTACTACGAAATGGAGCCAATGCAAGTAAAAGAGACAAACAAGGTTACAGTCCAGTACACTACGCTGCTGCCAGAGGACATAAACTGACACTAGAAATGGTAGGAGTTATTTTATTGTCATATTCAATATTATTGTTAGTCTTATTACTTTTAATATTTTAAGGACCGAGTGGAGTCCAATTTAGTCTGTAATCATACGAGTGGTTAACAAAAATCGGACCAGCAAGATATAATTTGTACACAACGTGTTTTAACGGAGTTGTGTACAGTTTAAAGGATGAATACTATTTTGTATTGTTTCAGTTGTTAGATGTAGCTGCAACAGATCTTCTTAATAAAAGTTCTGGTTCCCCAGCAACCACCCCTCTTCATTTGGTGGTAAGTTTTCTATGTCATTCATTCATTTTTTAAATCCTCTGTAATGATCCTTTGATAAATTCAAGCATGTGGATTAGGAGATGAAAGAACTAAGGGATTTTAACCCGATCTTTTTCTTATGTAGGCCTACCATGGTCATTACCAGGCTCTTCAGGTGCTCCTTGAGTCTTTCTTGGACATTGATATAAAAGATCACAATGGTAGGGTGCTTCTCGAATGTACTTGTCCTACATGTGCATTTTTTTTTTTTTTGTAATGTTGTAGTACTTTCTATTTTCTGTGTCTTGGATTTTTAAACCCTCCAGAGTCCTTGTCACCAGCCTCGTTATTAGCGCTTCAGCACGAGCGTGAGAGTATGACGCCTTGAGCGGCGCGAGCTGGCGAGAGGTCTACGAGGGTCTAGCAGTAATAATGAAGGCGAGACTTCCCGCAAAACTCTTTCCGACTTGTTTCAAATCTTCCCGTAGGTAGAGAAACGCACGTCCTGTAGCGCTGATACAAGGTTCTGGTGCTAGGCTACTTTGTCACTAGCTATGATTTTATGTTGATCTGATGTGCAGTTGTTAGCCCTATCAGCTGATAAAGTTGACGTATAGCTGCGAAATGACCTCATTAGCTTGTCCGGGAGCTGTCATGCAGAATATATGCGAAATACTGAACATGGAGGGAGAAACTGGGGAGCAAACTAATTTTTCGCTTTAGGGGCAACCAACGCGAATAACTTCGAAGGATTTTGCAAGACCCCCACTCGGTTTTATATTAGACTGTTCCAGGAGTTCTGTTAGTAAAGCAGAGCGCGACAGTAGCGATCAGTAGCGGCGAAGTGAAAATAGAGGGAGGCTTGGGTCGGGTCTCGTGATGTACCCGAGTCGACCTCAAACTTCCCTCGTTTTCGCTCTGCCATTACTGACGCGCCGTGTACTATTGTGCTCCGTGTTACTACGTGTAACTGAACGCCTGAAACAGGCTAGTTTTGTAATTAATTTTGTAATTTTGCTTTTAAGCATGAAAGAAATACTATATCGGTTCCAGGCCTTCAATTTGTTTTGTTTTGTTTTTGTTTTTGTTTTTAATTTCAGGTCACACTCCCCTTTACCTTTCTTCTTTTCAAGGACACGCGTACGTATAAGTATTTTCTACGTTATGAAAATAGTTTATTTGAGTACTTTTTCAGGAATGCGAGAGATCAGAAATTCTTGGAAAGGTAGAACTCTGTTAACGCGTTTGCCAGACCTGTTTAAGTCTTCAAATAAGTCTTCAGCGTCTTTCGACGCTGAATTGACAACTGCTCTATGTATTGTTGTGTAATAAGTGATTTGTAAAATTATTTTTCGAAATTTCTTTTTTATCTTACAGCGAATGTGTAGAATGCCTTTTAGAACACAATGCCAAAGTATTAGTGTATGATAAAATAACAAAGAGTACGCCTCTGCATGCAGCAGGTAATTTTCATGTTGATCTTTTCACCCTCCCCTTTCCTCTTTTAGGATAACTGATGGTGACTTTTGCTGTTTAAATTCCGTCTTAAGGGTCTCCTCCCGTGAGAAAAACAGTTTTTGATTGCGCTCTGGCCGCGCGAGAATTGAGCCGAGCGGGTGACTTTAAAATGTCAATCGAGGGTGAATAGGCCAACTCACTGGTATCAATAAAAAAAGGGGGGAGATACACGCTTTGTACTCAAGGAGGCCCCTTGGAGCCAAGTTGCAAATTCGTGACCAATTTTGAACATTTCTCCTGAAAGGTAAAACCTGACTTTTCCCCCAAATATAACAATTATTTCGGTAGTTACCTGATATACACCATCCTCGAATGAAAGCCATGCGCTGATTGTGGCAAAATTATCAATAAACGTCGCATCCTATGGGAAACATAATTTTGTTCGAAGATTACAGGCTAAAAAGTAACAAGTGCGGCACCATTCAGTAATCTACATCATCCTCAAAAATTTGTATCAAAATAGTGAGGTAGTGGAACTTAAAATTTTTCAGTTTCCAAGTTGAAACTCCCTACACCGAGAAACTCTCTCTGGTAAAAAGTGACGCAGGTCAGGCAAAAACTATCAGTTGTTACGTCGTAATTAATACATCATTTGTCTCGTTGTTTACAGCTTACAATGGTCATACCGATTGCTTGAGACTTCTACTCCAATACAGTAACCCAGAGAATGCTTTAGATTGCACTGATGCAGATTTAAGGTTTGTTCTCACCTTACATGAATGTCTGCCCGTTGTGTTATTCTATCTTGTTCCTTGCCTGAAAGTATTGTCCGTTGCGTTTTCTTCAAAGTTAGGCCTGATGCATAGCCAATAGTACTTGAAGACGAGTATAATTGTAACTTGCTTCTGACTGAAACCTTATTTGCTAATGGAAAACTCTCTTTCATAGTAAAATGAAAGTTAGAGTGAATTATGACTAGGGTTTCCATGATCCTTCATCTGTCAATTATTTTTTTGATACGTCAAATCTTATTAGGTTGTTACTTTTAGTGTAACAGTTTTCTGTCCCGGTGTCTCTGCAGAACACCCTTAATGGCTGCTGTGGGGAATGGTTTTGTGGATTGTGCAAATCTTTTGCTCGGTGAAGGAGCCAATCTTTTAGCTTTGGATGTAAATCAACGTAGTGCTCTTCACAGAGTTGTAAGTAGCCGCCGTGATGTGGCGTAATTTTTCCTTATTTTACAAATTTTGCCACATACGCACTATATTTTTAACCCTTTGACCATAAGAGTGATTAGCATCTTAATTCTCCTTACAATGTCAGCCCTGAGTCAACTGTTGAGATCACAAGAATAAAGGAATTGATCATCGACCAAAGAATCTATTGATTGTTTAACAAATTCCCCTTGTTAGCACCTCAGGAGATGTATAGAGAACAGTATGGAGAATATGCATACTGATGTAGGCTGAAAAGGATTGATTGTAAGGGTCATAGCGAATTGTAATTAAATGAAACGAAACCTCACGATGTTAGTGGATTGATGGGGGCGACAACAAAATCAGTGAATGAAAAAATAAATCTGAAGGACGGAAAAGTTAAAAACGGATTGAGAAATAATGAGGTTGAAATATCAGCGCAGGAATTATCAGGATGGTCAATCCGTGATATACATGTAGATGACAAAAACTTGGGGAAATCATTTGTAATAATTTTATCGCTTTTATTGAGAACCTGACATAGGGCATCTGACCTTCTTTTTACCTCTTTGTCCCAGATGCTGGTGGTACGGGGAAAGATTGCGCCCTGAATGCCTCAAACTGCGATAGAGCGATTTTACAATTGAGTGTCGAAAGTATTCCGGAATTGCTTTGTTTTTGGTTAACTTCACTCTGTGATTGGTGCGGAAATCTCGTGCCACTTCCTCAACCAATCAGAAGCAAAACTGAAACCAATCACGACTTGGTCGGTCGCGTTTTCCCGCGCTTTAGGCATTTTGATTGGTTTTTACTTTGAGCTCTCTTAAATATAGTTTTCTTGCTTCTGTCTGGCCCTTGTGATTAATTTGGGTTTGGTTTTACGACAAGCAATCGAAAAGTGCTCTATTTTGCTACTAATATTTAATTTTCTTTCCACGCTGAAGGCCGCTAATGGTCATGATGAGTGCGCTGAATCTCTTTTACGCAGAGAAGCAGATGCACTTTGTAGGTGAGTGTAGTGCTCTGTTTGAATATTGAATCGTATTATTGCTCATCACCTTTGACTACACGAAGTCTTACAGCTTTCCTCGACTGCTAACTTGATATTGACTCAGCTTAACTACTACTGAGGCCTCAGTGGACGTTTTGCGGCTGTAACGTATGGTTTTCACGTTCTAACAGGATATCGGATTTTTCTTTATTTTGTCAGAGATTGCAACGGCCGCACGCCTCTTCACTTCGCAGCAGCTTGTGGTCACGTTGGTATTCTAAATGGTCTTCTGCAGGTTGCAGGTAGTGGTGTACACATGGATAATCACGGTTATACACCTCTTCACTGGGCTTGTTTTAACGGTACGTATTCAGAATGTTTACAACTGAGTTAAGACATATGCTGCTAGTTCTCAAATTCTTGGAGTAAGTTGTGAACAGATAGGCAGATCGTGCATATGTTTAGGAATAATTCATCTCGTTATCATCTAAAAAGAGTCGTGTAAGAGCTACCGAAGTATTACTAGATTATGTTCAAGTTCGTCCTGTGTCGGTCAGTTACGATATCATGACCGTGCGACCAAGATTTATGCCCGAGACAAGAAGAATCATCCGCCATCGTAAAAAATGATTCGAGTACGCGGGTGTCTCTCGCCATCCTTGCGTTTTTATCTGAAGTGCGAGCGTCGTTTGGCTTCGGAGGTACTGCGCCCAAGTGCAATATCCTCACTTGTAGTTAAGCTGTCATGATGAATTCCTTGTTAGTTGTCCCATTTACCGGTCAAAATATTATTTATTTAGTATATGCTGTTTGTGATCTAATTAGTTAGTTAGCGAGGGGAAAAGAACGAACGTGATAACATTTCCCCCGCTCTCAACATGTATTTTTGTGGCTCATTTGATAGTATTGTAATAGTTTGATAATATTGATAGTAGTGCTAAATCGTCAACTGGGACTCTCTCAAGGCAAGAATTATTTGAGCCCTCTCTTTCTATGTTGACGTGAACTGCACTTAATCTTTAAAGATCATGTCAAAATATCTTGCTAAAAACTAGCGTTCCTTCTGGTGGATTTACCTTAGGTCATCTCTCTGATTATATCGTAAATATCTCGAACCCAAGTATATTGCACCATTTTGGTAGAGTCCTAAATGTTTGGAAACAACGTGAACTTCATCGTGTATCAGTGGAGCCTCATGTTTGAAGTTGATGCGTTCGGTTAAACATGATTTTCATTTATGATAGCCTCTAATGAGTTTTTCTTTACTTTCCAGGTCATGATACATGTGTGGATTTATTGTTAGAGGTAAGAAGAGTATTCTGTTTTGTCTTATTGTAGTATTCTTGTATCATTGCTTCGCATTTGTTGTATTGATGACCAGAATTCTTTCCTCCTCAAAGCGAATTGTGCATACGGAATATTTCTAGTCTTCTACTCATATGAAATAACAGCAACTAGGGAAGACCCCTTTTTGACGTCTCCCAACTTTGGCGTATGCAAAGGTTCATTTGGATAAATCTCAGCTGGTGTCTTTTTGGAATTCACAGGGTGACCATTCGAGAGTATTTGATGGGAACCAGTTTACGCCATTACACTGTGCGGTGTAAGTATTCAGTGTTTGACCCCAGTGGGGTCCTTAAGCTTCATGAACCCTTTAACTCCCGTGAGTGATCAAGACAGAACTTCTCCTAACAATATCAATACAATATCAAGAAGACAAGTGATAAGAATATAGAAAATATCATTTGGGGAGTACTAGTTGATCCAATACAAAATTCTCTGAATGAACATCGCAAGAATTGTATGTCAGAGAGTAAGGGGAATTACCAACGAGATCGTGGGAGTGAAAGGGTTAACACTTGCACGTTTTCTTTAACGGAGAATAATGGTCCAGAAAGCATTTAATTTCTATCTCTGCAATGCAAAAGTCCTATGAGTCCTTTTTATGTGACTTCTTGCGATTCCAGCATGATATCTTGCAAGCAGGTTATTAGAACTGACAAGCTTATCAGGTATAGGTGTTACGTTGATTAAAAACCAAACACTCACAAACACATTTTCTCGTGTTTGATTTACAAGTAAATGTATTGCAGTCGGCAGGGAGAATTACCATTTGGATCCTAGTTGTAAAAAAGGGTGATAGAGGGACATCAAGAGTGCATCTGTTACCGGTTGCGAACAATTGGAATGAGTTACGATTGGGTTGGATGTGTGTTTTTTGACCGGAAAAGATATTAAAAAAGAAATCTCGAAATGTCGGTCACTCTCACCATTTTCCCGCGTGCTTGAGTCGCCCAGATAGCGACGTGTAATACTGCTCTTCTCTTGCAGGGTAAATGATTATGAATCATGTGCAGAAATGTTACTTGACACATTGGGCGACGAGATAGTTAACTTGTGCGATAAGAAAGACAGGTAAGCCAAAGGCGTCTTTGAGGTTATAAGTACACTGCATGCGGCAAATATTTACCAAGATAAAGTGGGTGTTGATGCAGATTTTATTCTTTTAACTCCTACATGTGGCTCTTTCATTTCTCTCTGTGTCTCTCGGCGCCTGGCCCCAGTTTTTTGAAGGGTCGACTTCGCTATCCACCGTAAAATTCTCTAGCCGGTGGATACCGCAGTACGTTTTGTTAACACTTACCCGTTGGATAGCGATTTATCCGTTGGATAGCGTTATCTTCCCGTGTAACAACTGAGTCCAGAGGTATAGATCCTACTAGCGAATTGTCGGGTCCGACAACGTCGGGAATGGAAGGGAGAGGGGTGGAGGTAACCTGCGGTTACTCGCATCAAATTTACTGGAATAGTACAACATGTAGTCGAGTAAGGCGTGGATCCTGGGATGAGTTTAGCGGTATGGGCTTCTGGCTAGTGTGCGATCCTTTTTTTTTTTTTTTTTTTACGTGAGATCCCATTGTACTCACTCTACACTGACACGTTTACGATCGTGTGACCCGCCAGAGTTGCATGAGTGTGGGTGAATCTTGAGTGGCAATTTAAGAGTCTTTTTAAAGACTTATACATTTAACGGGTTTTAGAAAACCGCTGAAAGGGGCTGGAAGGAAATGAAAGCGTAATGTTGGCAACTGCATGGTAGGCAGGAGGTGTTCTTGTTCCTAGTACAGTTTATCTCGTTATTATCATGCAACAGCAATATAAGAACAGACAAAACGTTTGATGGAATTGTCAATTCCTTTCAATGCTTGTCAGTTCTGTGACAGTCATAGTTGTGTGCTAGTTTATTTGCATAGTAAGGGTGACTTTTAAATGGTTAGCCAAAGAAGTCAGGGACTGCATTGGCTCGCTTTACGTTCAACCAATCAGATGCAAAAGTGAAAATAAATCGTGATTCTTCTACCTGCGTTTTCCCGCGTTTTCTTTTAAATGGCTCTTTTGGAGACTAGCCCGAATGAATGAATGACCTCGGTGATAACCCTGATTTTGTGTTAACGAAACCCAGTCGAAATCCACTACGCGCCAATTATTTTTTTTTTTTTATTTTTGTTTTTTTTAAACTTTTTGCTGATTGCTTCATTTGTGTGTTGATATCTTTAGAAAGAGTCAATCTTATTCAAAATACTCTTTTATTGCTGGCGTGTTGCCTGCTTTTAGAGCGCTTTTCGATAGAGTGCCATATAACCAAGACCAAAGCAATGACAACGGCCAATGAAAAGATAGGAAAATACATTTAACAGCCAATGGAAAGTCAAAGTAAAACCGACCAAACTGGAAAAGCGCCGTACAACGCGGGCGACCGAGTCGTGATTGGTTTTGGTTTTGCATTTGATTGGTTGAAAGAGTGGCGCGAATTTTTTTAGACCAATCAGAGCGAAGTAAAGCAAAAATGAAGCAACTCCGTATGACTTTCGACGCTCAATTGAAAATCTCTCTAACGTCCATATCACTGATTGCAAATTGCAGAACTCCTGTTCATGCTGCGGCTTTTAACGACCAAGTAGACTGCCTGCAGCTTCTGTTAGCAAGAGGAGGGAACGTAGATTCAGTGGATCAAAGCGGAAGAACACCTCTCGTAATGGCCGCTGACAATGGTCATGCTGGTTCAGTGGGTGAGTATCGTGTTGTTTTTCCGAATGCCGAAGCAGTGTTCTCCATTTCGGGCGATGACCTGTAAAATTTACCAACGGTAGTACTTCTTACTACCGTCTAAAATGGCTTGGAACTCTAGAAAATTGACAGGTTAAAGGGATTGCTTCACTGGTTTGAAAATTTCTTTCACCTGTCGAGTTCAAAGTGAGGAAGAACACTGCGAGGTTGTTGTTGTCTTATCCCTGTTCCTTTTGTCTATTGTTTAAAATGGCTCTCATTGATTGGTTCATGGAACATGATAGAAATATGGGCGTATCCTTGGTGTGGTTCAATGGGTGATTATTTTTGGATGAGTGCTGATTTTCATCCTTGTTTTGCTGTAACGTTTAAGTGAAAGAGCTGAGTAGACTAAACAGCTTGTTATCTTGCTTTCCAAGAAGAATAAGCATTGAGTAGAGTTTTACTAAATGAATGTTTCTCGAAGGTCGCAGTAACTTAACGGGCCTGTAAAGCTGTTCTAATTTTCATTCCAGATGGGGTTTTAAAGGTTTTGAAAACGGTATATAAAAACTATCATCTTAAAAATCAAAATGGGCTGATTAAGGTGCCAGAAACTGCTTCTCTATTGTTTAAATTTTGATTTTAAAATCTGGTTCGGGCCCGTTCATTTACCGGGACTTAAGAGAAACGGGCCCGAAGCCCCGGTTGGTTGAAGGGTGGATATTACCATCCTCTACTGACAACAGTCCTTCTCAGGACTACACTCAACCGAACGACCAGACTGCACTTTCACATGTTACCCCCGGGTTCAACCAATTACAGAATCATTAAGTAAAAAAATTGTAAGTCCTTTAAAAAAAAAAAAAAAGTGGGCATTTGACCTGCAACTTTAGGTTCATTTGTTTATTTGCTAGTCGTAAGGTGGTGCTTCTCAGCAGACGTTTTACAACTTGTGTTTTTTTTTTCTGATACAGAATACCTAGTAGGGGACGGTGGAGCAGACGTTAATATAGTTGATCAAAGTAAAAACACAGCGTTGCATGTGTCGTGCCGTCAGGTGAGATTCCAATTGTTTTAACCCTTTGTACCCTAACAATAGTATTCATATTCTCCACACTGCTCTCTCTACATTTGCTATGGTACTGACAAGGAGAATTTGTTTGAAAATCAGAAGCTTCTGATATTGGTGATCAGTGACCTTTATATTTGATTCAAGGTTGATATTGTAAGGGGAAATCAGAAGCCAGTTACTCTAAGGGATTGAAAGGTTAATCGTTGTTGTGTTGTGTTTTGCTATCCCTCGCCTTCCTTTCCGGTTCCTTCTACAAATTAGGTGGAAGCTTTTGGCGATTCGTTTCCACCGCTTGAGTTCATTTGAGTGCGCAAGACTTAGGATTCTTTTCATGATCTTTACCAAAAGACGCTTGCTCTCACGTAATATTTTTCATACTCCCATAGTGATAAAAAAAAAATTAGTAACATTTAATCTCGATAGCTTCTGCTGTTTTGAGTGTTTGCATATTTATCCTGTCTTTCTCCACTTACTTCTCAGTCATTTATCATTTTACTTTTTATTTACTATGTTTGTTCGTATCTGTTCGTTTGTTGGCTTTTTCTCATCTTGTTTTTTTATATTTATTTTTTATTTGTTTCTGTTCTGTAGGGCAACACTGCTTGCGCTTTATTGATTCTAGACAAAATGGAGGACTTGCATCTCAGCCTCGCTAACTCTGCTCTCCAAACGTAAGTATTAACCGTGATACGAAGATGTAAGTGTGACTTGTAACCCGCTCATACAAAAACTCTATGGTATTGATATTGTTATAATACTTGTAAAGGCACGCTTCAAAGTCCTCAATAATTACCTATTGTGTGCCAATAGCCCTTTGTGTGTTTGAAGTTATAAGTGGGTTAAATCCATTCTTCAAAATGTTGTGAGGTGGACATCAGATGCTGAGTGAATTTGTAAATCACACTTCTCCTTATCTGTGTCCCGTGTCTCTTCCCTCATCCTGCATTTCTCATCGAGTTTCCCTATCTCTTGGCTCGTCTCCTTCATCCGCTGTCCCTCTTTTACCATCGTGTGTTCCCTGTCCCTTTAGTTTTACCCTTTTCATATGTCCTGTCTCTCGTGTCTCTAACTTTATAGGCTTTATCTCTAGTCTCTCATGCCGTCTATGAATGTAGGACGCAGGACTCGTGTGAAATCTCTACCAGTTCTTATCTGTGGAGCACTGTTTTTAAAGCTTTGATGTAAACTTTGCAACCTCTTTCCTTCTTTCCTTGAGCTTGGCTGGAACAGTATCTAAAATCTGAAACTCATCCACGAAACAATTTTTTTTGTCATGTTCTCACAGACCCTTACACTTATCCGCAAGAAATGGCTTAGTTCCTGTTGTACAGGAGCTCATAACAAGAGGGGCGAATTTACTAGCCGAAGATGAGGACGGACATAATCCTGCCCTCGCTTGTGCACCCAACACACAAGTAGCCGACTGCTTGGCCCTTATCCTGGCAGCCATGATACCCAACTTGGGATCTCCGAGGGCAACCTCGGAGCGTCTGGAGGAGACAGACGACCACTCAGACGACGACTTATTAGATTTTGTGACGCCCTCAAGCAGTGCTACGGTGTGACGGGGACAACTCATCGGTGTATTTTTATTATAATTCTAGGAACAAACATTTTATATTTCAATTTGTCTGAAAGAGTTCAGCCCTGATTGGGACGTACAAATTTCACGGGTGAAGGAAATTGTTACCGTGCTTTTTCCAATTCCGTTTTCAAATTACAGCTGTCCCTTGCAGCCACAAGAACAAGGTATTTGTCAAATATAATATCGCTTCAACAGCAATTTACAGTATCGCACAAAGGTTTCTTACCAAAGGTGACGTATCCTGATGGCGAGAAGCAGCGTGATACGTCTTGAATTTACCGCCATTTCCGTTTCCATTTTTTTTCTTAGGTATTACAATAAGTACTGTATATTCAGCGAGAAAAAGCCGTTATGAAATTTGCCAGTCGTCGTTTGGATGGAGCTACAGCCGTGAGACCTTAGTCTTTATTACATAAATTCGTTTAGAGATTCACACAGAAGTCTGTAGCGAGTTCAACGAAATTGTTCGCTCTCTTGTAAAACCCTTTTTTACCTTCTGGAAAACGTCTTTTTTTTCTTTACTCTCAAGTCTCACATATGCAGCATGTGCAGCTCAATCGAATTCAAGCCATGAAAATCGTTGCAAAAGATTTGAAAGATGGCAGTTAATAAGTAAGGATGAAATAATATGCAGTGTTTATGCACGAAGGGAGATCCCTATCCAGTCCAAACTTTAATGCCCATTCACGCCAAAGCCTAAACCTATTTTGTAGCTGTAATGTTAAACATGGCTTTTAGTTGTTGTTGTTTTTTTTCCATAAAAGCTGCCTAAACCGATCTTTGTTGCCTTCAAATTTAGCACATTGAAAACTATGGAAATTTCAGTTTCACAGTAGTCTCCTTCTGGAGGCTGACTAAACGCGCTTTGCTGGTGTGAATGGGGTATAAGTCCAGATTTTCCAGAAAAGAATCTCCATTCGAACTGATTACTTTACACATTCAATTGAGAATTGCTTCACTGTGTCAGCTTTTAAATGCTTGTTTTGATTAAGTTGTAATGGCTATCAATATTACCCATTCAAGGCCAGTTTCATTTGATATTTTTGTTTTGTGCTTTGCATCGGGTTAAGGTATGTAATGTACAGATATTTAAAATTATCTTGAACAGAACCGAAGCAATTTCTTAGTGTATTTTTTAAACTCATCACCTCGGTATCAATTGTATCATATTTCTGACATCGTTTTGATTAAGAATGGTTTTTACCATTTTTTTGATACATCTGTGTTATTAAAATGAATATCAAAATGAATCGCTCATCTTTTCTTGTAATGTGGTCTTCTTTTTCTTTTGGAGATACTTCATTATTGATCTCTACCTTGGGTCGCTATCATTTGAATTTTTCTGTGTATCTTCTAATTTAAATCCTTTCTCGAAATCTCTTAAGAGAAGGAAAACGTTAGGCAAACATTAACCAGTTTTGATACGCTAAATCTGAGGAATAACAGTCAAAATTGTGGAATGAAATATTTGAGGTTGGTTGTTCCGGAAATCGTCAGAGTTTTCGATTCCTCCTAGATCTTCAAAGCTAAACGTGCAAGTTTACCACATACCGCGTTTTTATATTTTAAAAAGTTACCTAATTGTTCGAAATCGCCCTCGAATTTTCTAGGAAAGTGGAATATAAATAATGTCATTTTCAAATCGCAGTGAACAAATTATTTTCGCCCCAAACAGTCAAGTGAGTTGTCTCTTGCGTTTGGCTATTGTCTGTGCGACTTCTATGACTAGTCGAAAGAAACTCAGACGGAAGTGTTCCTCCCGCCAAAGCCGGGTATGGTTCACACCAAAATTGACACAAGACAGACCAGAACCTCTACAGAGCCATACTCGTTCATTGCCATACAGTAGAACCCGTAACTCAAACTCTTGAGGGAAACGGCAAATGGTTCGAATTGCAGAGGTTCGAGTTATCGTGGTTGGTGTTTAATTTCAACAATCTTCTCAACAATTAAAAGGGAACTATACTTTTACTATGGTTGCATAATTAACAGTCGTTTTCGTATAATTAGTTTGGATAAAAAATATTTACTTACAGTTGAGAAATCCCTGTGTATAGATCAGCCTTGAAACGAGTGAAATTTTGTAAGAATTCTTAGCATTTAAAAGTTAGCTTAGCGCCTTGAAAAAGGAGCACTTTTATAAATTGACTGAAAATAAGAGTGAATAGAACACAAGAACAAATATACCAAGGCACATAAGGTTAGATGGAGTATTTTAAAAGAAGTCATTTTAGGTGAGAACGGTGTTTTATTTTCAGTTTGGAGGAAACTTCAGTTATACGTTGAAATGTTACACAATGACATATTAATTTCGACTCAAAGTTTTCCGTTTTAGAGAACCTTAGGCACAATGACAATATACTAACAAACGGTCGGAAATGGAAGGCGCTTTTTTGTCTCTTCAGCTGCTCGTAGAAGAATAGTACTTGCTTATCATTTCCGCAACTTGGAGGGATTTCCAATCAGCGCGCGCGAAAAACACAATTGACCTGCTGTGTGGTATATACTTATTAACTTTTACCTATTGGATTGAAATTAGTTGGATGTTACCGCCGGCACCTCCGAAATACAATGATATCTTCACTCACAACCACCCACTTCAAAGAATTTACACAAATTATTACCAACGAGAACGGTAAGGAAAGCAAAGTGCGTTTGTCATTCTTGAAGTGTTAACTATTACCATTGGCAACATTTTTTCAAAATGAACATGTTGTGGAAAAACTATAACAGAGTGAATCATGAACCTATTTGTTCTGTTGTTCATGCAGAGATAAAACAGAAGAAGCAACGAAAGAAAAGGCGTCATGTCCAACACGGCTTCTGTGGTATTTCTAGCTTTCACAATTGTTGAATCTTTGATCATTGTCTTTGCGAACATTTTTACCATCTACGTGTTTTGGAAACATCGCATCAGATTGAGGAGAAACTCTTTTCTTCTCAAAAACTTGGCCATTGCAGATCTACTAGTTGGATTGATAGAGGCAATAGCTTTAGGCGCCTCTGATATTCCAAGTAATTTTGGAAAGGAGTCTCCGATCAAAGACACACCGGTCGAAACCATTTTACGTTTGTCTCGATTATCATATTTCTGTGCATCGGTAGCTTTCCTCGTGATGATTTCGTTAGAGCGGACATATGCTTTAATTTACCCTCTCCGCCATCGGGTATTAAGCTCGAAATGGTACCACTGGAGTGCATTCGTAGTCTGGATGATTGTGATAATCATTTTTGTTACATGGTGTCTGCTTTCTGAGTACGACATCTTGAAAAACTCTTGGACATCTTTCTACGCCTCCTTCACGCTCCTTTCCTTTGCTGTAATCTGTGCATCGTGTTACGTGATCAGAAGAGGACTCAGCCGAAGATTTCCTGTTCTAAATACCGTTCACGACATAAAAAATGGAACTGAGCAAAACAGTAAACTTTCTAAGACTTTGTATATTATGATAGCTGCTTCTCTTGTGTGTTGGTTTCCGAGTGTTGTGGTTTATAGCATTTATTTTCAGTGTGGGCGAAGTTGTCTCCCAAAAACTTTGTTTTCCTTCTCCTCATGTTTTCGTTTGGCAAATTCTTGGATTAATCCAGTCATTTATTGTTTGAAATTTACCATGTTTAAAAGAGCGTTAACTAGCATGAATCCTTGTAAACAGTCCCAACGTTACAGAGTTAGGCAAAGCTAAGTGTGTAAAATAGTCGACCATGAAAAAGCTCCTAACTTGAATCTGATAACGAATTCTAGATTGTCGAAATGTCAGTCACTGCTTCCGATAACAGTCCTTTTCAAAGCTAATCTTATCCAAACAATCAAACTGTATGATCTATATTTTTAAAGTTGATTTGATGGTCGGAAATCTTGATTTTTCTCAAAAGGAAAGTGTAAGAATCACTGAAGTAGCGCTTACGAGGAACGTATAGTAATGGCTACCTGAGGTATTTATTGCACTCAGCCTGTTGTGGTTTATTGCATTTATTTTCCGTGATCCAACGGACTAAGTCGCAGTAATTAAGTTTCAGTTGATCGAATCAAACCATACAAAAGGTTGTCTTTTTTCCCTTAGGGTGTCCGAACCTATTGTACATATAAGTCATTAGAAGAACATCCAGTTGGAATTGGTGTTATTAAATTCTAAGCCCATGATTTCCATGACCGAGTGTAAATAATATTAATATCCTTTTTTTAAACTAGCATATATTTTTAAAGAACTAATTAAAGTAGAGAAGATGCTCCGTGTTACCTTCCCCCTCTCCAGAGGTAACCAAATTGAAAAACATCAGTTTGTAGGAAAAGTCATTAGGACAACGTAGATCCGATTCAAAATTGTCACTACAATTTCAATTTTTAGAAAACTCGTCAATGTTTGTTTTGTTTTCTAAAGAAAAATATTAAATAATGCGGCTAAAATACTTTTAATCGTAGATCAGTACAGCTTAAAGTGATGTCATCCCCAGTTGGTCAAACACCTTTTGTGGAGTCTTAATTAAAACCAGAATCTTGGTACATCATTGGACTTTTACAGAGTAATATTTGTATGAAGACAGTTTAATTTGATCCTACTCTTCGTAAAACACCTGCAGTCACAGCCCACTTTTTATTTCAAACAAATGGCAGTTTCTATGCTTTGGGGCAAAGACAACGTAGCTAAATAAAGGCTTCAGAAATGGAGGATTCTAACACCGCATTTTTCTACTTGAACACCATTGAAACCGTGGCCAATGTCATCGAAAACATTTTCACCATATAGGTTTTTTGGAAGAACCGCGCAACACTGAAGCTATCCTCCTATTTTCTCGGTAACTTAGCGTCGTGTTTGAAAATCCGAAAAAGACTTAGCCAAAGAGATCCTTGCCTAGATATGGCTCGCGACAAACAAAACGTATCAGGGCTCAATGCAAAAGTCTCAAGAACTTTTTATATTGTGATAGCTACGTCTCTTGTCAGATGGTTTCCGTGTATCGTAATTTATTGCGTTAATTTTCTATGTTCAAAATGTCTCCTTACATATTTAATTCACTTGTCAACTACTCTTCGTTTGGCAAATTCATTGATCAATCCAATTATTTAGAGTTTCAGAATTCTTACGTTTAGAGAGACATTATTACGGATAATTATTTGTAAAAAGTCTTGACTTAAATATCTTGCAGCTTCGTTCATTTTTGCAGTCACACATGACAAAAAAATTTCAAGGTCTGTACTAAGAGCCAACGGAAAGAAATCTAAGGGTTGATGTCACATTGTGCGTTCATGACTTAATAGCTGATCGTTGCTGGAAACCTGCGAAATCTTTAGTTCACGCTTTACTCCTTAACATCAGTATGCATATTCTCCACACTGTTCTGCATACATTCCTAAGGTGCTGACAAGGAGAATTTGTTTAACAATCAGTGCAAGGGTTCCTTCGGTGAATGATCATTTCCTTTATTCTCGTGACCTTAATATGTGATTTAAGTGTGATTTTAATGAGGATTGTATGGTTTCCAGGGGAAGGAAGGGAGATCACTCGTCGCCAACAGAGTATAAAGGGGGCACCATAGAAAAGTCATTTTTATTACCTCCCTATGTGAGAGATTATAAGCATATTGCAGAGCCGAAAGGGGGGGGGGAATTTGTTAAAATTTTACCGTGATACGATAAAAATTCTATAAAATAAACAAAGTTTCCAACTTGCAGGAAAATTCGAGGAGGAAGTCCTTCTGGCTTTACCTTGGAAATTGGTAAATTAATGGGAGGGGGGTGGCTGGCGTAAGAAAAACATCTGCATTCTTACTAAGGATCTGTTGACTTTGAAGGACATCAGTAGACCAGATGATAAATTATTTCGGTGAAAAGACTTTTATGTACAAACTAGTGGTTTTCAATCTGGTTATACCATTGTTTAACACTAATTATGCGGGGCAGATATCGCAAAAGGGATTGGAAAGATCAAGTGGACACGTGGTATTTTTTTTCTGAAAGCGCTGCGTAGGATATTTTTAACTCTTGAGGGCTCTGGACATCTTTTCAAAATATATTTCTATAAATAAATTTGTAATAACTTTTATCATGCCTTGTGCACTGTGACCTGTTATTGAATGATGTTTTTTAAATAGAGGATATTGAACCTCACTCGTGAGAGATACTTTCAGCGCTCGAAGATAAAATTCGTATCCCTAAGCGGCCATGTAATGTTCTGTTTATTTTATTTATTCTGATGAAATTTCAAAAGAACCGGCAACGCGCCTGAGCGGTAGGTCTCCTGTAATTGGCTAATGATGTTAGTAACCATGGCGACACCAAGAACCTCACACGTGAAAGGTAAAAATAGTATCTTCACTGCGCGCGATGAAGATATGATTTTTTAGTAAAAGGAAAAATCCTGGTATTTCATCAGTATCTATATAGTAATAAAGTTTATTACCCATTTGTTTATGCCTATGGCGAGAATACTGAGAATTTTCCTTATTTGTATCGATTCTTAAAGGGGTTTTCATGGGATTACAATTTAATGACATCAATTCCTCAAGCAAAATTAGATAACCCTCGTTGTAGTTTATTCGTAACCTGGGTCCAATAGATACCATCATCATCTTGTCAGCTGAATGTTCTTCAAAGGTCTTTTCTGTACAACAAGTTTCAAATTGGACACCTTGGGGGAAAAAAGACAATTTCCGCTATCTGACAGTCTAGTATTGCGACCTAGTCAGTCGAAACACGGAAAATAAACGCAATAAACTACAACAATTAACCTGAGAGTAATGCACACTATTATATATAATATTTTGTGTAGTATGATATGTTTATAGCGTCCTCCAGTGTTCTCTCATGCGCTTTCTCGGTGATTACGTAACACTTTTCCAATTAAAGAGCGAGATCAAGATTTCCTAAAAAAAAAATTTCAAGTTTTAATTGCAGATCATGTAGACTGATCGTTCAGTTGAAATTAGTTTGAAAAGAAACGTTGTCGGAAGAATTGACCGTCATTTCGGCAACCTAAGAGTCGTTATCAGAGTTAAGCAAGGAGCTTTTTTGTATAGTCGAGTGCTTTTAACACTCAGCTTTGCCTAATTCTGTAACGTCGGGACATTTTATAAGGATTCATGCGTGCTAACACTCGCCTAAACATGGGCAGCCTCAAACAGTAAATAATTGGATTAACCCAGGAATTCGCCAAACGAAACAATTTGGTTAAGGAAAGTATAGGTCTCGGAAAAGAACGAGGGAAACGCGGAAAAAAAATGCTGTAGGCCACAACGTTTGGAAACCAACACACAAGAGAAGCAGCTATCACAATAAATAGAGTCTTGGAAAGCTTTGCATTCTGTTCAGTTCCATTTTTTCTGTTGTGAACGGTATTTAGAACGGGAACTCTTCGACTAAGTCCTCTCCTGATTACATAACATGATGCACAGATTGTACCAAAGGACAGGAACGTGATGGAGGCGTAAATAGCTGTCCAAGATGCGCCTCCTGAGAGGCCGTATACAAATAAAAAACACAATGTAACAACAATGATTACAACAGCCATCCACAAAACAACTGCAGTCCAAATGTAACTTTTCAAGCTTAATACACGATGGCGGAGAGGGCAAATCAAAGCGTAGGCACGCTCCAAAGAAATTACCACGAGAAAAAATATCGACGCAAAAAATGATGATAATTGAAAGTAACGCAAAATGTTTATGTATGTTTCGCTTTTGATCAGTGCTTCTTTTCCAAATTGCCTTGGAATTCCAGAGGTGCCAAGAGCAATTGTTTCTAGGGATCCAACAAAAAGATCTGCAAAAGCCAAGTTTAAGGGTAGTAAACAGTTTCTCTTTAATCTGGTGCGGTGTTTCCAAAACACGTAGATGGTGAAAATGTTCGCGAAGACAATGATCAAAGATTCAACAATTATAAAAGCAAGAACTACCACAGAAGCCGTGTCGGACATGACGCCTTTTCTTTCGTTGCTTTCTTCTGTTTTATCTGTCACTAAAAGAATCTCTGTGCAACAATCACCTTTAAAAGAACAAAATGGATTCACGGTTCACTCTGTGACAATTTTTCCGAAACATGCGCATATTGAAAAAAAAAATGTAGATGAAAAAACAATGTTCATCATGGAATTTCACTTTGATTTACTCACCGATCTTTGCGGCTAATAAATTATGTAACTTCCCGTCTCAACGCCTTCAACAGCAGTTAGCTGTAAGAGCAAATGTTTTATTTAGAAAGTGCTAGCGGTGAGATCAAATGAGTTTGAATACAATAGTACAATTAACAATAAAGGCCTATCTTAAGTGCGTGTCAATGGCGATGCAGGAAATTCACTCCTTGACTTCCTTAATATAAGCTTCATAAGTATATAAAAAGGTTAATGGAGCGTTTCGTGATTACCGCCGAGTAACCGAAGAGACAAAATTGCGTATCAAGTGTTTAACTTTCGACCATTTGTCAGTATATTGACAGAAATAAACTTATTCTTTGGTTTCTGTAAGGTATATTCTAAAACAATTATTTACTTCAGTGTTGGTGAAAGTAGTGAATAATTGCTGAATAAATAATCTGTACCAAAACAATGCAAACTGAAGTGTTTTTATGATAGGCACTCCCCGATGAGTTGGCATCGTTTAGAGTAGTCCTGTTAATATCCCCCAAGGCAATAATGATTGCGTAAAATTCGCTGCGTAACATATAAATCTTTGCTTGAAGGATCGGTCATTATTTATCGCTTTGTAGCCTTTGGAATTAAGGAAAAATAATCATCAAAGTTTGTGATATCATTATCTGTCAGGTAGAGCCGCAAAACGCGGCGGCCAAGTCAACTTCGTCACCAGGCCACCCTTTCCTACGACCTCTACTCAAACAGCTCGTAAATAAAAGCAGTACACAACAACTCTATGCAGGTAGTATGGAGATGCCCTATGCTTCCAGTCCACATAGTTATTATTCATTTGTGTGTTTTGTGCGATCAACTAGCTGTGCTCTGAGTTATTAATGGTATCATAAGAAAATGAATTCTTTATTTCCGATCCTTTTTAAAAGTTCTTGATTAAAACTTAGAAAGGGCAAACATTTGCGGGTGGTCAAATTGTACGTTCCCAGATATTAATTACGAATCTCGCTCACTTTCCGCGTAAAAAATCTTGAAAAACGTGGTAGGTTTCGGTCAGTAGCAAAGGATCAGTCAATTTGAAGGGAATTTTCGTTGTTCGAGCATGTTTCATACCTATGCTATTGCGATTCTGTGCATAATTTGTGTTGAGTCCTTACTAATTTTCATTTGCAACGCTTTCACCATATTCGTCTTTTGGAAAAACCGTAACAAACTAAAGAGAACCACATTTCTTCTCATAAACTTAGCTGTGGCAGATCTTCTTGTCGGACTCATCCAGTTGATATCAACAGGAGCGTATAATACTATACTTCAAATCCAAACAAACAGCACACGAGCTGGCATTGAATCAGAAGAATGGATTTGGGCTGTGCCTCAAGTATTGTCACCGTATGCATCAGTATTTTTCCTTGCGCTCATCTCACTGGAACGTGCATATGCTCTGATATGGCCGTTACGACATCGAGTAGCAAGTATCAAAGGCTATATTTACAGCGCTATCTTTGTGTGGGCTTCTTCCATAGCTCTTCAGACATTGTCTTTGCTTGTTATGTACTGTAAAATTCTGAATTTTGATCACTTGATAATCGCATTATCTTGTATATCGGCTTTATTCCTGATTACAATTTGTGCGTGCTATTTGACAATGCGAGCTAAACTCAGTTCCATTGGATTTGCTGCAGTTGCGGGCAAGGGGAATTCACTAGAACAGAACAAGAAACTCTCCAAGGCGTTTTTCACTGTGACAGCTGCCTCTCTTGTCTGTTGGGCTCCAAGTAGTGTCGGTTACTTTATTCTTCATCTGAGTTCCAAGAGATGTCCAATGGCAGTTGTTCACAGTATTTACATTTTTTATTTGGGCAATTCTTTGGTGAATCCCATCATTTATAGTTTTAAATTTCCCATGTTTCGAAAAACTTTACGAAAAATGAGACTAAAAAAGACTCAGTATAAAGTCAGTTGAACAACACAGGCCTATGAGCTTCTAGTTCTCAAGTCTAAAGAAAGCCAAGAACAATTCCAGCTGATTTCTATTGGAACTTTATACTTCGTTGATATCTAGTATACTGAAGAAAAAGTTGCCGTACAGATGCTGTGAATCAGAAAAGGAACTGTACATAAAGAATCAGATTCAAATAGACTTTCTCGCCCCTTGAGAATCGCTTAGCTGGATGGCAAAAAGATGACTTAAATCTAGATGCTAAATTCTATGAACTTATATTTGAGAAGATGATAATATGATAGTTAGTGTACACAGTGTACACTGCACATAACTTATTTCCCTTCGTTTGCATGTACCTACGTGTAATTCAAATGTTGTAAAACCAGCTGTCTCTGAAGTTATTAAAATGAATGTACATGACACTGAGTTGCTAATGAAGGCAAGTTTGACTCCTTCAGTGTGTTTTATGGAAAAATTCTACTAAAAGTCCCTTTACTTACATAGCCTTTGGAGAATCATAAAAAAACAGCTTATTAATCTTTTAAAAAAGGGAATTTGATTTTGCTTGCTGTGCCAATTGTAATGTATGATTTTGTAATTATTTCTTTCTAGAAGGTGAAGCTATTAACATTGCAATATTATAAGTTTTTTTCAACCTCTTGTGTTTACTTTGCGTTGTATGTATTGCGATGAATCTTTTCTTTTACAAAAAATCTTGGTTATCTCATTTACATAAGAAACTTAAGTTTTTAATCATTTTTTTCATAGAGTGAGATCCATTTCCTGAAAGTCTCAGTCAACATTTCCTTAATAAACAATGCCATTGTCTAGAACCTAGAGTTCGTTCGATTATATTTGCTTTGTTTCTTCTTTTCTTTTTACTACATCACATAGAGAGTATACTCCTTACTTAGCCTGCCACACATGCGATGAGCTGCTATCAAATGTTGGCAAATTCCTCGATTACTTTGTAATTCAATAATGCCGGATACAAGTGTTGTCGTAATTCACGGCATTATTTTCATTGAATCCCTCGTTATTTTCTTGGGTAATACTTTCACCGTATTTGTGTTTTGGAAAAACCGAAACAAATTGAAGCGTACCTCATTTCTTCTCATAAACCTGGCTGTGGCAGATCTTCTTGTTGGACTCGGTCAAATGATAACAACTGGAGGGTTTTACATTCCACATCATATCCTGACTAACAGTACTCTTAGTAATGATGTATTGAAGCAATGGATTTTAGCTGTGCCCCAACTCTGTTCGCCTTATACATCGGTTTTCTTCCTTGTGCTCATTTCGATGGAACGTGCATATGCTCTGATTTGGCCGCTACGCCATCGAGTAGCAAGCTTCAGAGGCTATATTTACAGCGCCATCTTTGTGTGGGCTGCCGCAATAACTTTTGGTACAGTGACTTTGCTAGCTGTAAAATCTGAAATCCTGGATATCGGCCATTGGATGGTTGTATTATCTTGCATAGCTGTTTTCTCTCTGATTGTAATTTGTGCTTGCTACGTGGCAGTAAGAGCTAGACTCAGTTCCAATGGACTAGTGACAGTTGCAAACAGGGACAACTCACTAGAACAGAACAGGAAACTTTCCAGGACTTTGTTTATTGTGATAGGCGCCTCTCTTGTCTGTTGGGGCTCGAGTAGTGTTGCCTCTTTTGTTTTTCATTATTGTTTCAGGTGTTATACTCGATCCGTTTATTACAGTTTTTATATATTTCATTTGGGCAATTCTTTGGTGAATCCTATAATTTATAGTTTTAAATTTCCCATGTTTCGAAAAGCTTTGAAACGGATGAGTCTAAAAATGACTTCTAGACAATATCGAGTCAGTTGAACAACACAGGCCCGTGAGCTTCTAGTTCTGAAAGAAGAAATCGCAGATATAGAGCTATTTATGAGTATAAAGTAAGCGAAATGTCATTTTAACTGATCCTTATTCAACCTTTTCATCTTGGCGGTGAATCAGAAGAAATTAAAGAATCAGATTCGAACATCATTTCTCATCATTAACCTGGCTGTTGCAAATCTTCTTTTCGGAATGAGTCAAATGATATCAAAAGGAAGGGTATAACATTCTACGTTAAATCCAAACGAACAGTATATGACATAGCTTTGAATCAAATCTGTTGATATTAGCGGTACCTTATTTATTGTCACCTTTTGCATCAGTATTTTACCTAGCTCATCTAGCAGGAGCGTGCAAATGTTCTGATTTGGCTACTACACCATCGAATAACAAACATCAGAGGTTATATTTGCAGCGCTATCTTAGTGTAGGCGACTGCAACAGCTCTTTAGACATTGTCTTTGCATGTTACGCAGTGTAAAATCTTAGACTTCGATCATTTGATGATTGTATTGCCTTACATAGCGGCTTTTTCCCTGATTGCTATTTGTGCGTACTCTGCAACAATACGAGCTAGACTCAGTTCCAGTGGAACAGAACAAGAAACTCTCCAGGGCGTTTTTCATTGTGACAGCTGCCTCTCTTGTCTGTTGGGGTCCAGGTACTGTCAGTTGCTTTATTTTTCTTCCGAGTTCCAAGAGATGTCCGTTCGCAGTTGTTTACAGTTTTTACATTTTTTATTTGGGCAATTCTTTGGTGCATCCAAATATTTATAGTTTTAAATTTCCCATGTTTCGAAATACTTTACAAAAAATGAGACCAAAAAAGGGTCAGTATAGAGTCAGTTGAACAATACAGGCCTATTAGCTCCTGTTCTCAAAGGCAAAATCGCGGAAACAAGGCAATTTATTGGTCTAGAAAATGCCAAAAACAATTCTGGCTGATTCCCATTGGACCTTTTTGCCTCGTTGATTTCTAGTATTCTAAAGAAATAGTTCCCGCACAGATGCTGTGAATCAGAAAAGGAACTGTAGACAAAGAATCAGATTCAAAAAGCCTTTCTCACCCGTTGAGGGTGGCAGAAAGATGACTTAACTCTAGGTGCTAAAATCTATGGACCTACTTTTGAGAGGAAGATGATAATGTGTTAGTAAGTGTACACATTTTACACTGCGCATCAATTATTTTCCTTCATGTGCGTGTACCTATGAGTAATTCATGTATTGTAAAACCAGCTGTCTTTGAAGTTATTAAAATGAATGCTCATTATTTTGAGTTGCTAATAAAGGCACGTTTGACTCCTTAGATGTATTTGAGGGAAAACTTATACAAGATTTCCTTTACTTTCATAGCTCTAAGAGAATCATAACTGCTTACTAATCTTTCAAAAAGGTGAATTTGATTTGGCTTGCTGTGCCAATTGTGATGTATGTTTTTGTAATTATTTCCTTCTAGAAGGTGAAGTTATTAACATTGCAATGTTATAAGTTTTTCTTTAACCCCTTGTGTTTACTTTGCCTTGAATGTATTGCACCGAATCTTTACTTTAATTAAAAATCTTGGCTACCTCGTTTGCATAAGAAACTTAAGTTTTTAATCATCTTTTTCATAGAGTGAGATCCGTTTCCTGAAAGGCTCCATCAACATTTCTTCGATAAACAATCATGGGCTAGAACCCGGAGTTCGCACAATTATATTTACTTTGTTTCTCCTTTTGTTTTTTTACCTTATCACGTAGAGAGTACACTCCTTACTTAGCCTGCCACACATGCGATGAGTTGTTGTCAAATGTTGGCAAATTCCGCGATTACTTTTTAGTTCAATAATACCTGATACAAGTGTAGTTGCAATTCACGGCATTATTTTCATTGAATCCCTCGTTGTTTTGGGCAATACTTTCACCGTAGTTGTGTTTTGGAAAAACCGAAACAAATTGAAGTGGACCTCATTTCTTCTCATAAACTTAGCTGTGGCAGATCTTCTCGTTGGACTCAGTCAAATGATAACAACTGGAGGGATTTACATTCCACATCATATCCAGACCAACATTACTCTTAGTAATGATGAATTGAAACAATGGATTTTAGTTGTGTCCCAACTCTGTTAGCCTTATGCATCTATGTTTTCTTCCTTGTGCTCATTTCGATAAAACGTGTATATACTCTGATTTGGAGAAGCCAGCTTCAGAGGCTATATTTACAGCGCCATCTTTGTGTGGGCTGCAGCAACAACTCTTAGGGCATTAACTTCCCTAGTTGTGAAATTTAAAATCCTAAATATCGACTGTTGGATGGTTGCATTATCTTGCGTAGCTGTTTTCTCTCTAATAGTAACTTGCAACTTTTGTAACACGCGTGGAATTAATCGTTAATTTTATTCGGCCCATGCGATTACCACCACCAAAAGCTAAAATTACCAGCAGTGTTATTTTTATAGGTAATAGCATGATTTCGAGTGCAGTTTGGTGTTAATAGACAAGAGTAAATTTTCAAAGATAAAAAAATTGCATAAGCCTATATGGAAAGTGCAATTTGTAGACCCTGAAAACTTTGTAAGTGCTTATTACGCCAAATTGCAAGAGAATTCATGTTATTTCTTGTTAATAATTTAATGAAAAATAATCTCAGAAAGTCAAGACCAACGAAATTTTGAAACGTGCGCGTACTCTTTGTACCTTGCACTCATGTTACATAAGAATGCACTCGTTCTCAGCCAATCAGAGGCGCGTAATTTTTCCTTACGTTACTTACATAAAAAATGAAAAAAGCACCCAGTCTATTCTTAACTAAAAGATGTTGGGTGCCTTGTTAATATAAAAAAATTAATGATATCTTTAATTATCTTCTTCATAGAGTGTAATCCATTTGCCGAAGTTCTTAATCAAACCTTTATTGACAAATACATTACGTAATGGGTATATTCCTTCTTATGTGAAAGCCTGCCACACAAATGGTGAGTTGTGGTTGAAAGCTTGCAAATTCTACAATTACTTTTTTGTTCAAGTATGACCGATAAAGTGTTGTCATGATTTACTGCATAATTCTGTTTGAATCCCTCATTATTTTCTTGGGCAATACTTTTACCGTTTTTGTGTTTTGGAAAAACCGAAACAAATTGAAGAGGACCTCATTTCTACTCATTAACCTGGCTGTGACAGATCTTTTTGTTGGACTCAGTCAAATGATATCAACTGGAGGGATTTACATTCCGGGTTATACCCAGACTAACAGTACTCATGGTGCCGGTGTATTGAAGCAATGGATTTTAGCTGTGCCTTCCTTATGTTCGCCATATGCATCACTTTTCTTTCTCGTATTCATCTCACTGGAGCGTGCATATGCTCTGATTTGGCCGCTACGACATCGAATAGCAAGTTTCAGAGGCTATATTTAAAGCGCCATCTTTGTGTGGGCTGCCGCAACAACTCTTGGGGCACTGACTTTGCTAATTGTGAAATTCAAGTTCTTAAATTTAGATCATTGGATGGTCGCATTAGCGTGCATCGCGGCTTTATCCTTGACTACAGTTTGCGCCTGCTACGTAACAATACGAGCTCGACTCAGTTCCAATGCACGAGCAACAGTTGCTAACAAAGACAATACGCTGTAACAAAACAGGAAACCCTCTAGGACTTTGTTTATTGTTATAGGCGCCTCTCTTGTCTGTTGGGGCTCGAGTAGTATTGCCTACTTTATTTTTAATCTGTGTTCCAGATGTTATCGTCGACTTCTTATTGAAAGTTTTTACATATTTCATTTGGGAAATTCTTTGGTGAATCCTATCATTTATAGTTTTAAATTCCCCATGTTTCGAAAAGTTTTGAAACGAATGAGACTTAAAGTGACTTCTAAACAATATCGAGTCAGTTGAACAACACAGGCCTGCGAGCGTTTAGTTCTCAGAGAAGATATTGCGGAAACAGAGCTTTTTATTGATTTAAAGAAAGCGAACTATAATTCTAGCTGATGCTCATTCGACCTTTTCATCTCGGTAGTGAATCAGGAATGGAACTGACAATAAAACAGATTAAGATTTCCTTTCTTGCCTGTTTGAGAATCATCTGACTGCACTGCAGAAAGATGACTCAGATCAAAGGTTTCACTTTGAAATTTATAAATTTAGTACTGAGAAGATAATGATAATGTGTAAGAGACCACTGTACATTACTAATTTTCCTCTATGTGTAACTTAAACCAGCTGTTTTTAAGCAATTAAAATAGATGTGCATTATATGGAGTTGCAAATAAACGCGAGGTTGGCTTTCTCAATAAGCTTGGTGAAAACTTCAAAAAAATGTCCCTTTAGTTACAAAGCCTTTCGAGAATCAAAAAACTGCTCATTTATCTTTTGAAACGGTAATTTCGATTTTGCTCGATGTGCCAATCGTAGAAATATGTTTTGAAATTATTTCTTTCTAGAAGGCCTTATTGGTGTGGAAATGTTATATATATATATATATATAGAATTTGCGCCTTAGAAGTCAATAAATTATATTTTTCCATTAACCCCGTTATGTTTACTTTGCGTTGTATGCAGGCACCCAAACTATACTTTTAATAAAATCTCGTGCACCTTATTTATATAAGAAGGTTGCATTTTTAATCATCTTTTAAAAATTCTAAAGAATGTCCTCTTGCTAACTCTGACCTTCGAGAATCATTCAAATATGCTTATTCTTCGTTTAAAAGGGTCGATTTGATTTTACATAAGGTGCCAATTGTGGCATACATTTTGTAAATACATTTTGTTTTCCTAGAAGGAAAAATTGTTAGCATTGCTATGTAATAATTTCATTTATCAACCCGTTACGTTGTATGCAATTAACGGATGGAAATGCAGACCATCTTTTCTATAAACGAAAAATCGTTCGCTCATAATTAATTTTGGGAACTCAAGTTTTTAATTACCTTTGCCATAGTGTGAAGTCTGTTGAAGATCTTAATCAAATTTTTTCTTCTCTGGGTAAATATTGGTCAGAGCTTGTAGAATGATGTGTTTGTGTTTATTTTTCCCCTGAAATTTTTTTCCAACTGCAATATACATGCCTCGATCCTGAATTTTTGCTTTAAGAATCATTAAAACTGCTTTTCATTCTAATTGCATCGCATTTTCTCAACGTGCTAATTTTGGTAAAATTATTGTAATTATCAGCTCTGTCTTGGAAGGAGAGTTAATGATATTGCTTAGTGATTTTCTGTTTGTTATTCCCTCTCTCGTACGGCTGTGTTGATTACAAATAAGTAATTAATTCAGTCTTATTTCCAAAAAAATATTATTTTGTTCTTTATTAATTTTGAAAGCTAAAGTTTTTAACTACCTATTTTTGTAGTGGGATTCGTTTGATGAAGATCTTAATCACAACGTTTTTAGCTAAATATTGGTTGGAGTTAATTGTAGAAGATTTTTTTTTATTTTACCTTTTTTGGTTAACTACATCACATCGTGGGCGTATTTTTTTCTCATATAAAAGCCTGTTACGCAAGTGACAACCTGCTAAAAAAAAAGTTGGTAAATTTTCCGAATACTAAACACTTCAAGTATGGCTAATGCAACTTTTGTGATCAACTGCATTATTCTCTTTGAATCCCTTCTTATTTTCTCTGGAAACTCTTTCACCATTTTCGTGTTTTGGAAAAACCGTAACAAATTAAAGCGGACCTCATTTCTTCTCATAAACCTGGCCGTGGCGGATCTTCTTGTTGGACTCAGTCAAATGATAATGACTGGAGGGTTTTACATTCAGATTCTTAGCAAACCAACATTACTTCTGTTGAGGATACTTTGAAACATTCACTTCTAAGTAGTTACCAACTAAGTTTGCCTTTTGCATCAGTTTTCTTTCTCATACTCATCTCACTGGAACGTGCCTACGCTCTCATTTGGCCGCTTCGCCATCGAGTAGCAAGCATCAGAGGTTATATTTACAGCGCCATCTTTGTGTGGGGTGCTGCAATAGCTCTACAGGTAGGGAATTTGTTAATGTTGTTCTTCCACTTCTCGGAAATTGACCACTGGATGATTGCAGTATGGTCCATTGCGGCTTTATCGCTGATCGTAATTTGTGCCTGCTATGTGGCGATACGAGCTAAACTCAGTTCCAAAAGATTGGTGTCAGTTGCTAGCAAGGACAATTCACTAGAACAGAACAAGAAACTCTCCAGGACTTTGTTTATTGTGATAGGCGCCTCTCTTGTGTGTTGGGGCTCGAGTAGTGTTGCCCATTTTATTTTTCATCAGTGTTCCGGCTGTTTTTCTAAACGCGTTCTCTACAGTTTTTATATATTTCATTTGGGAAATTCTTTGGTGAATCCTGTCATTTATAGTTTTAGATTTCCCATGTTTCGAGAAACTTTAAGAAAAATACTATCACCTAAAACTTCTAAACGATCTAGATTTGAACAAAACCGGGCTTCTGAGTTAGTAACTGTCAATGAAAAATTCATAGAGACAGGTGCTTATGTGCAAGAAGGAATAGTAAAATCCTAGCTTTTTCTTGTACGGACCTTTCCGTCTTCTAAAAAATTTAGAACACAGGCAGATAGTTGCCTATCAGAGGAAGCGAATCACTTTGATCACAAAGTATTAGAAGAAAATAACCTTTCTTACTTATTGAGAATCGCCCGGCCAGATTAAAAAAAAAACAGTTATCTTTTTATTTATTGTTATATTTTGCCATGAATCTAATTATCAAGTTACAAGTGGAAGAAGCCCATGAGAAACCAGGCCTTTACATGATTGGCTCCCTGGCAAACATCATATTCACAGTTTACAGGTAGAATAGTGACGACTCAATGGCAGAGATGAGTAGAAATTGAGTAGAGCTAAAAAGTTATTTTAACCTACTTATATGCGTGATGCATAATTAGTCAAAGAGAGAGAGAAAGAGGGGAATATAGATATAAAAGCATATTTATACTCCTGTTTTGAAAAATGTTGCAATTTGAAAATATATACCTGAAATATATACACCCTTTCTTTTACCGTTAGCTGTTGAGAGAATATATCATATTGAGAAAATTTCTCACACAAGGAAAGTACAATAGCTGCGCGCTGTTAAAATAGAAAAAAAAAGTTATTTTTCCTTTGATGTGAGATGTTCATGCATGATGCATCACATTTTATTCAATATATATTTTTCACTCGCAACACTTTTTTAAAACGGGTATATATACACCCGTTGCAATTTGAAAATATATATTAAATATATATATATATATCTTTTCCTTTATCATAAAAAAAATTGATGGACGAGACGTGTATATACACATCGAGCAAAACTTGAAAATGTTTTTTCGTTATTGTGTGAGGGTAAAATAAAGCAGCTGCGGTACTTTCCTTTTAAAATATTTTTTCTTATAATCTATTCCCTCAACTCCCTTTTATGGGAAAAGAAAAGGTATATAAATTTCATAAACATTTCCAAATTGCAACGTTTTTGAAAACGAGTGCATATCTACTGATATATAATTATATAAGATATGCTAAGTTTATGATAGGAGCTCGAGGAGTGCTTTCAGTTTTGAAGTGAAAGAGACAATACTAGAAACATTTTGAACTCTAGATCTAGAATGAAGAAATTTTAAGAATTTAGGACCTTGGAGAGAGATGGAAACTTTTTTTTTTTATGTGAGTCCTACAGTGGGGTGAATGAAAGAGCTTTTTCATAAGGATGCATCTGGATTGTCAGTGTAACATGCTAGTGCAACTTTCGGAAAGAAGACTGGCTTTCAATAAATACATACATTTGCCTATTTGACGTCGATAAGAACTTTAAACACACGAACTTATCACTGGTTGATGATGTTGAAGTTGATGATATGGTATTATGCGAGTGCCAAATGTTTTGGCTATCGTTTTCATCTTATCGTAATTAGTCTTACCATTCATATGTTTTGAGTTACGATAATTAATTTACACTCCGGGGAGATGGAAAGAAAAGCAATTTTTTTTACCTTCTCTTGTACTAGTGAAAATATCTAAAAGATGCCAGTATGCTAAATTCGCACTTCAAGAATCAGAAATTTAAAAAAACAGCTTTTCAGTGTTTCAAATTGAAAGAATTGCATAATATTTACTAGATATGACATTTCTGTTCCATATATAGTAATTGTCAGTTCTTTCTGGCAAAAAAAGTTAACATCTTACTTAATGATTATCTATTTGGTAGCAGCTCAGGTGCACTTTGCGTTGTATACAGAGCGACTGATGCAATTAAATGAGCTCAATGTTTTCTTTAAAAGAAAATCAAGTTTAATTAAATACAGGAGAAAATCACGTTTTTAATTATCTTTTTCCTTTACCAATAGAGCTAAATCCTTTTTTTGAAAGTATTAACAACACTTGGCCGAGTAACTATATTGACTAAAGTTTGTTGAATTATGTTTACCAAATTGTCTTCGTTTATCTAACAACAGATTACGGGCTCCCTCCCTTCCGTTTCACCCTGGGGGGGAGGTTACGGCTACACCTACAACATGGGATGTTCTTTCTCTTATGTACGGCGACGTACTCCTGATAATAATCTGCGTGACAATACGGTCCAAACTAGGGCCTATCGGACTGGCAACTGTTGCTAGCGCGAATTAATTTCTGGGAAAGAACAAGAATTTGATCAGAACTTCGTTCATTGTGACAGCTGAGTGCCCCCCTTGCTTGCGGGGTACCGAGTGGTGTAATCTACAATGTGTTTGTATTTGTGTTCAGTGAGGTGTTATCCTATGGGATGAAACAGTTGTATTTAGCTTCAACTTCCCTCATTTGACTTATCTTCTTAGGAATCAAATCATTTACAGCTCAGAATTACCTATGGTTCAAAAAGTGTTTAAAAGAGAAAGAGACAAAAGAAGACTTCAGAACAGTACCGAGTTGGACAGTGTAGGCCCGAGAGCCTTTAACTCTTAATGATTAAGTATGTCAGGAAGCGACTGGCAAACCAACTGAAGAACGACTCAATCAAGTCCGGATTCAGTGGGTTTTTAAGGTGTTTTGATAAAAAACAGAATTTTGACTACTGCCTATAAAGTGGCTGCAGATAAGTCTGCAGATGCCATTTTCAAGGTTCTCTCAATCTTAGCCCCTGTGTTCTCATCCCTTACAGTGCAAGATGGTGGGGAAAACGCCTTGAGGACGAAGACAAGTTTTCTTTGGTTGTAAAAACTGACTGGGGGAACCTCTTCTTGGGAAAGTTGGTTTTCTAGGTTTATCAACGTCGGTGCCTTTACCGTGATAAAAACAGGAGACTAGGACCAGCTTTTTCTATTGATTCCCAGATCTCTGCGCGGTCAATCTAGCTTCAGTTAACGGATGATGTGGCGGGACAATCAAGGAACTGACCAGTGACTTTATTTCCGTTGAGAATTTGGAGAGGAACCCTCGTGGTAGCGAGGAATACTGAAATAAGCAGAAGCTTTGGTGTGTTTACAGCCATGCTGCGTAAAGAGGATGTTGCTTCCATGAGAAAAAACTATGAAATGCCCGATGGCTTCGATGAATCTCATCTTGTGGCAAAGGAACCTGTTTTGCAGTTCGATGGGTGGTTCAGAGAAGCTTCCAAAAGTCCTAATATCGGAGAGGTAAATGCCATGATTCTATCCACATGCGGAAGGTTTGTTATGATTTTTTTCTCATCTTTTCAATTACTTTTAATGTATTCTTTCGCATCACCCGGTACCTCTTACATAGCATCATTGTTATGATGCTCGCCATATTGGATTATCAACCGTTTCAGCGGCGTTAGGAATGGAAAGAGTTTCTTTGTCAAACTACTGTTTCTTCCGCAGGGACTGTCGCCCTACAGCAAGAGTGGTGTTGTTAAAAGGCTGTGATAACACAGGATTCACTTTCTTCACTAATTATAACATGTACATTATATTGAGTTGCTAATAAAGGCACGTTTGACTCCTTCCATGTGTTTGAGGGAAAACTTATACAAGATTCCCTTTACTTTTATAGCTCTAAGAGAATCATCACTGCTTACTAATCTTTCAAAAAGGTGAATTTGATTTAGCTTGCTGTGCCAATTGTGATGCATGTTTTTGTAATTATTTCCTTCTAGAAGGTGAAGCTGTTAACATTGCAATGTTGTAAGTTTCACCTTCTAGAAGGTGAAGCTATTAACATTGCAATGTTATAAGTTTTTCTTTAACCCCTTGTGTTTACTTTGCATTGTATTGCACCGAATCTTTACTTTAATTAAAAATCTTGGGTACCTCGTTTACACAAGAAACTTAAGTTTTTAATCATCTTTTTCATAGAGTGAGATCCGTTTCCTGAAAGGCTCGATCAACATTTCTTCGATAAACAATCATGGGCTAGAACCCGGAGTTCGCACAATTATATTTACTTTGTTTCTTCTTCTTTTTTTTTTTACAACATCACATAGGGAGTACACTCCTTACTTAGCCTGCCACACATGCAATGAGCTGTTATCAAATATTGGCAAATTCCGCGATTACTTTGTAGTTCAATAATTCCTGATACAAGTGTTGTTGTAATTCACGGCATTATTTTCATTGAATCCCTCGTTATTTTCTTGGGCAATACTTTCACCCTAGTTGTGTTTTGGAAAAACCGAAACAAATTGAAGCGGACCTCATTTCTTCTCATAAACTTAGCTGTGGCAGATTTTCTCGTTGGACTTAGTCAAATGATAACAACTGGAGGGATTTACATTCCACATCATATCAAAACCAACAGTACTCTTAGTAATGATGAATTGAAACAATGGATTTTAGTTGTGCCCCAACTCTTTTAGCCTTATGCATCTATGTTTTCATCCTTGTGCTCATTTCGATTAAACGTGTATATAGTCTGATTTGGAGAAGCAAGCTTCAGAGGCTATATTTACAGCGCCATCTTTGTGTGGGCTGCAGTAACAACCCTAAGGGAATTAACTTCTCTAGTTGTGAAATTTAAAATCCTAAATATCGACAGTTGGATGTTTGCATTACCTTGCGTAGTTGTTTTCTCTATAATAGCAACTTGCAACTTTTGTAACACGCGTGGAATTAATCGTTAATTTTATTCGGACCCTGCAATTACCACCACCAAAAGCTAAAATTACCAGCAGTGTTATTTTTATAGGTAATAGCATGATTTCGAGTGCAGTTTGGTGTTAATAGACAAGAGTAAATTTTCAAAGATAAAAAATTGCAGAAGCCTATATGGAAAGTGCAATTTGTAGTCTCTGAAAACTTTATAAGTGCTTATTACGCTAAATTTCAAGAGAATTCATGTTTATCCTTGTTAATAATTTCAATGAAAAACAATCTCAGAAAGTCAAGACCAACGAAATTTTGAAAACGTGCGCGCACTCTTTGTACCTTGCACTCATGTTACATAAGAATGCACTCGTTCTCAGCCAATCAGAGGCGCGTAATTTTTCTTTACGTTACTTACATAAAAAATGAAAATGTACCCAGTCTATTCTTAACTAAAAAATGTTGGGTGCCTTGTTAATATAAAAAAATTAATGATATCTTTAATTATCTTCTTTATAGAGTGAAATCCATTTGCCGAAGTTCTTAATCAAACTTTTATTGACAAATACATTACGTAATGGGTATATTCCTTCTTATGTGAAAGCCTGCCACACAAGTGGTGAGCTGTGGTTGAAAGCTTGCAAATTCTACGATTACTTTTTTGTTCAAGTATGACCGATAAAAGTGTTGTCGTGATTTACTGCATAATTCTGTTTGAATCCCTCATTATTTTCTTGACCAATACTTTTACCGTTTTTGTGTTTTGGAAAAACCGAAACAAATTGAAGAGGACCTCATTTTTACTCATTAACCTGGCTGTGGCAGATCTTCTTGTTGGACTCAGTCAAATGATATCAACTGGAGGGATTTACTTTCCGGGTTATACCCATACTAAAAGTACTCATGGTGACGATGTATTGAAACAATGGATTTTAGCTGTGCCTTCCTTATGTTTGCCATATGCATCACTTTTCTTTCTCGTACTCATCTCACTGGAGCGTGCATATGCTCTGATTTGGCCGCTACGACATCGAGTAGCAAGTTTCAGAGGCTATATTTACAGCGCCATCTTTGTGTGGGCTGCCGCAACAACTCTTGGGGCACTGACGTTGCTAATTGTGAAATTTAAGTTCCTAAATCTCGCTCATTGGATGGCCGCATTAGCGTTCATCGCGGCTTTATCCTTGACCGCAGTTTGCGCCTGCTACGTAAAAATACGAGCTCGACTCAGTTCCAATGTACGAACAACAGTTGCTAACACAGACAATACGCTGGAACAAAACAGGAAACTCTTCAGGACTTTGTTTATTGTTTTAGGCGCCTCTCTTGTCTGTTGGGGCTCGAGTAGTATTGCCTACTTTATTTTTAATCTGTGTTCTAGGTGTTATCGTCAACTTCTTATTGAAAGTTTTTACATATTTCATTTGGGAAATTCTTTGGTGAATCCTATCATTTATAGTTTTAAATTCCCCATGTTTCGAAAAGTTTTGAAACGAATGAGACTAAAAGTGACTTCTAAACAATATCGAGTCAGTTGAACAACACAGGCCTGCGAGCGTTTAGTTCTCCGAGAAGAAATTGCGGAAACAGAGCTTTTTATTGATTTAAAGAAAGCGAACTATAATTCTAGCTGATGCTCCTTCGACCTTTTCATCTCGGTAGTAAATCAGGAATGGAACTGACAATAAAACATTAGATTAAGATTTCCTTTCTTGCCTGTTTGAGAATCATCTGACTGCACTGCAGAAAGATGACTCAGATCAAAGGTTTCACTTTGAAATTTATAAATTTATTACTGAGAAGATAGTGATAATGTGTAAGAGACCACTGTACATTACTAATTTTCCTCTATGTGCAACTTAAACCAGCTGTTTATAAATAATTAAAATGGATGTGCATTATATGGAGTTGCAAATAAACGCGAGGTTGGTTTTCTCAATGAGCTTGGTGAAAACTTCAAAAAATATCCCCTTAGTTAGAAAGCCTTTCGAGAATCAAAAAACTGCTCATTTATCTTTTGAAAAGACAATTTTGATTTTGCTCGATATGCCAATCGAAGAATGATGTTTTGAAATTATTTCTTTCCAGAAGGCCTTATTAGTGTGGAAATGTTATATATATATAAATAGAATTTGCGCCTTAGAAGTCAATAAATTATATTTTTCCATTAACCCCTTATGTTTACTTTGCGTTGTATGCACGGTACCCAATCTATACTTTTAATAAAAATCTCGTGCACCTTATTTATATAAAGAGGTTACATTATTAATCATCTTTTAAAACTTCTACAGAATGTCCTCTTGCTAACTCTGACCTTCGAGAATCATTAAAATATGCTTATTCTCCGTTTAAAAGGGTCGATTTGATTTTACATAAGGTGCCAATTGTGGCATATATTTTGTAAATGTATTTTGTTTTCCTAAAAGGAAAAATTGTTAGCATTGCTATGTAATAATTCATTCACCAACCCCTTAGGTTGTATGCAATTAACGGATGGAAATGCAGACCATCTTTTCTATAAACGAAAAATCGTTTGCACATAATTAATTTTGGAAACTCAAGTTTTTGATTACCTTTGCCATAGTGTGAAGTCTGTTGAAGATCTTAATCAAATTTTTTCTTCTCTGGGTAATTATTGGTCAGAGCCTGTAGAATGATATGCTTGTTTTTATTTTTCCCCCGAAATTTTTTTTTCCAACTGCAATATACATGCCTCGATCCTGAATTTTTGCTTTAAGAATCATAAAAACTGCTTTTCAGTCTAATTGCATCGTATTTTCCCAACGTGCTAATTTTGGTAAAAATATTGTAATTATCAGTTCTGTCGTGGAAGGAAAATTGATGATATTGCTAAGTGATTTTCTGTTTGTTATTCCGTCTCTCGTACGCTGCGTTGATTACAAATAAGTAATTAACTCAGTCTTATTTCCAAAAAAATATTATTTTGTTCTTTATTAATTTTGAAAGCTAATTAAAAGCTTTTAACTACCTATTTTTGTAGTGGGATTCGTTTAATGAAGATCTTAATCACAACGTTTTTAGCTAAATATTGGTTGGAGTTAATTGTAGAAGATTTTTTTTTTATTTTACCTTTTTTGGTTAACTACATCACATCGTGGGCGTATTTTTTTTCTTATATAAAAGCCTGCTACGCAAGTGACAATCTGCTAAAAAAAAAAGTTGGTAAATTTTCCGAATACTAAACACTTCAAGTATGGCTAATGCAACTTTTGTGATCAACTGCATTATTCTCTTTGAATCCCTTCTTATTTTCTCTGGAAACTCTTTCACCATTTTCGTGTTTTGGAAAAACCGTAACAAATTGAAGCGGACCTCATTTCTTCTCATAAACCTGGCCGTGGCGGATCTTCTTGTTGGACTCAGTCAAATGATAATGACTGGAGGGTTTTACATTCCAGATTCTTTCCAAACCAACATTTCTTCTGTTGAGGATACTTTGAAACATTCACTTCTAAGTAGTTACCAACTAAGTTTGCCTTTTGCATCAGTTTTCTTCCTCGTACTCATCTCACTGGAACGTGCCTACGCTCTCATTTGGCCGCTTCGCCATCGAGTAGCAAGCATCAGAGGTTATATTTACAGTGCCATCTTTGTGTGGGGTGCTGCAATAGCTCTACAGGTAGGGAATATGTTAGTGTTGTTCTTCCGCTTCGCGGAAATTGACCACTGGATGATTGCAGTATGGTCCATTGCGGCTTTATCGCTGATCGTAATTTGTGCCTGCTATGTGGCGATACGAGCTAAACTCAGTTCCAAAAGATTGGTGTCAGTTGCTATCAGGGACAATTCACTGGAACAGAACAAGAAACTCTCCAGGACTTTGTTTATTGTGATAGGCGCCTCTCTTGTTTGTTGGGGCTCGAGTAGTGTTGCCCATTTTATTTTTCATCAGTGTTTCAGGTGTTTTCCTGAACCCGTTCTTTACAGTTTTTATATATTTCATTTGGGAAATTCTTTGGTGAATCCTGTCATTTATAGTTTTAGATTTCCCATGTTTCGAGAAACTTTAAGAAAAATACTATCACCTAAAACTTCTAAACGATCTAGATTTGAACAAAACAGGGCTTCTGAGTTCGTAACTGTCGATGAAAAATTCATAGAGACAGGTGCTTATGTGCAAGAAGGAATAGTAAAATCCTAGCTTTTTCTTGTACGGACCTTTCCGTCTTCCTAAAAAATTTAGAACACAGGCAGATAGTTGCCTATCAGAGGAAGCGAATCACTTTGATCACAAAGTATTAGAAGAAAATAACCTTTCTTACTTATTGAGAATCGCCCGGCCAGATTAAAAAAAAAAACAGTTATCTCTTTATTTATTGTTATATTTTGCCATGAATCTAATTATTAAGTTACAAGTGGAAGAAGCCCATGAGAAACCAGGCCTTTACATGATTGGCTCCCTTTGGCAAACATCATATTCGCAGTTTACAGGTAGAATAGTGACGACTCAATGGCAGAGATGAGTAGAAATTGAGTAGAGCTAAAACGTTATTTTAACCTACTTATATGTGTGATGCATAATTAGTCAAAGAGAGAGAGAAAGAGGGGAATATAGATATAAAAGCATATTTATACTCCTGTTTTGAAAAATGTTGCAATTTGAAAATATATACCTGAAATATATACACCCTTTCTTTTACCATTAGCTGTTGAGAGAAGGAAGCAAGGAAAGTACAATAGCTGCGCGCTGTTAAAATAGAAAAAAAAATTTTTCCTTTGATGTGACATGATCAGTGTTTCTTTTCCAAACTGCCTTGGAATTCCAGAGGTGCTAAGAGCAATTGTTTCTAGGGATCCAACCAAAAGATCTGCAAAAGCCAAGTTTAAGGGTAGTAAACAGTTTCTCCTTAATCTAGTGCGGTGTTTCCAAAACACGTAGATGGTGAAAATGTTCGCATAGACAATGATCAAAGATTCAACAATTATAAAAGCAAGAACTACCACAGAAGCCGCCTTTTCTTTCGTTGCTGTCTTCTGTTTTATCTGTCACTAAAAAAATCTCTGTTCAACAGTCACCTTTAAAAGAACAAAATGGATTCACGGTTCACTCTGTCACAATTTTTCCGAAACATGCACATGTTGAAAAAAAATGAAGAAGATGAAAAAAATTGATGTTCAGCATGGAATTTCACTTTGCTTTCCTCACCGATCTTTACCGCTAACAAATTATGTAACTTCCCGTCTCAAAGCCTTTTTTGAAGCGGTTAGCTGTAAGAGCAAATGTTTTATTTAGAAAGTGCTAGCGGTAAGATCAAATGAGTTTCAATCTAATAGTACAATTAACAATAAAGGCCTATCCTAAGTGCTTGTCAATGGCGATGCAGGAAATTCACTCCTTGACTTCCTTAATATAAGCTTCATAAGTATATGAAAAGGTTAATGGAGCGTTTCGTGATTACCTCCGAGTAACCGAAGAGACAAAATTGCGTATCAAGTGTTTAACTTTCGACCATTTGTCAGTATATTGACAGAAATAAACTTATTCTTTGGTTTCTGTAAGGTATATTCTAAAACAATTATTTACTTCAGTGTTGGTGAAAGTAGTGAATAATTGCTGAATAAATAATCTATACCAAAACACTGAAGACTGAAGTGTTGTTATGATAGGCACTCCCCATTGAGTTGGCATCGTTTAGAGTAGTCCTGTTAATATCCCCCAAGGCAATAATGATTGCGTAAAATTCGTTGCGTAACATACAAATCTTTGCTTGAAGGATCGGTCATTATTTATCGCTTTGTAGCCTTTTGGAATTAAGGAAAAATAATCATTGAAGCTTGTGATATCATTATCTGTCTGGTAGAGCCGCAAAACGCGGCGGCCAAGTCAACTTCGTCACCAGGCCTTCCTTTCCTACGACCTCTACTCAAACAGCTCGTAAATAAAAGCAGTACACAACAACTCTATGCAGGTAGTATGGAGATGTCCTATGCTTCCAGTCCACATAGTTATTATTCATTTGTATGTTTTGTGCGATCAACTAGCTGTGCTCTGAGTTATTAATGGTATCATAAGAAAAACTGTGTTAGCTTCGCCTTTATGCAGGAACGGTGAACAATGTTTGGAAGATTATCCGAATGATTGCTAACTCCGAATCACAAACTTTCTACTCAGCGGAAAAGATCAAGATAACACTCTGACGTTTTCATCTCAACAAAAGTTAATCTAGCGGTTTTGGTTTGTATGATAAAAATGGAAGTTTCCTCCAATTTTAATATGTGAATGAAAAAACGCCAGAATTGTCAATCATCCGTTAATATAACAGTGTGCCTTTGTTTACTTTAATCATATTTATTCAGGTTTTTTATTCTTTATTTCCGATCCTTTTTAAAAGTTCTTGATTAAAACTTAGAAAGGGCAAACATTTGCGGGTGGTCAAATTGTACGTTCCCAGTTATTAATTACGAATCTCGCTCACTTCGCTCCGCGTAAAATCTTGAAAAACGTGGTAGGTTTCGGTCAGTAGCAAAGGATCAGTCAATTTGAAGGGTATTTCATTGTTCGAGCATGTTTCATACCTATGCTATCGTGATTCTGTGCATAATTTGTGTTGAGTCCTTACTAATTTTCATTTGCAACACTTTCACCATATTCGTGTTTTGGAAAAACCGTAACAAACTAAAGAGAACCACATTTCTTCTCATAAACTTAGCTGTGGCAGATCTTCTTGTCGAACTCATCCAGTTGATATCAACAGGAGCGTATAACACTATACTTCAAATCCAAACAAACAGCACCCGAGCTGGCATTGAATCAGAAGAATGGATTTGGGCTGTGCCTCAAGTATTGTCACCGCATGCATCAATATTTTTCCTTGTGCTCATCTCACTGAAACGCGCATATGCTCTGATTTGGCCGCTACGACATCGAGTAGCAAGTATCAAAGGCTATATTTACAGCGCTATCTTTGTGTGGGCTTCTGCCATCGCTCTTCAGACATTGTCTTTGCTTGTCACGTACCGTAAAATTCTGAATTTTGATCATTGGATGATCGCAATATCTTGTATAGCGGCTTTATTCCTGATTACAATTTGTGCGTGCTATTTGACAATACGAGCTAAACTCAGTTCCATTGGATTGGCTGCAGTTGCGGGCAAGGGAAATTCACTAGAACAGAACATGAAACTCTCCAGGGCGTTTTTCACTGTTACAGCTGCCTCTCTTGTCTGTTGGGCTCCAAGTAGTGTCGGTTACTTTATTTTTCATCTGAGTTCCAAGAGATGTCCAATGGCAGTTGTTCACAGTATTTACATTTTTTATTTGGGCAATTCTTTGGTGCATCCAAATATTTATAGTTTAAAATTTCCCATGTTTCGAAATACTTTACAAAAAATGAGACCAAAAAAGGGTCAGTATAGGGTCAGTTGAACAATACAGGCCTATTAGCTCCTGTTCTCAAAGGCAAAATCGCGGAAACAAGGCAATTTATTGGTCTAGAAAATGCCAAAAACAATTCTGGCTGATTCCCATTGGACCTTTTTGCCTCGTTGATTTCTAGTATTCTAAAGAAATAGTTCCCGCACAGAAGCTGTGAATCAGAAAAGGAACTGTAGACAAAGAATCAGATTCAAAAAGCCTTTCTCACCCGTTGAGGGTGGCAGAAAGATGACTTAACTCTAGGTGCTAAAATCTATGGACCTACTTTTGAGAGGAAGATGATAATGTGTTAGTAAGTGTACACATTTTTCACTGCGCATCAATTATTTTCCTTCATGTGCGTGTACCTATGAGTAATTCATGTATTGTAAAACCAGCTGTCTTTGAAGTTATTAAAATGAATGCTCATTATTTTGAGTTGCTAATAAAGGCACGTTTGACTCCTTAGATGTATTTGAGGGAAAACTTATACAAGATTTCCTTTACTTTCATAGCTCTAAGAGAATCATAACTGCTTACTAATCTTTCAAAAAGGTGAATTTGATTGGCTTGCTGTGCCAATTGTGATGTATGTTTTTGTAATTATTTCCTTCTAGAAGGTGAAGTTATTAACATTGCAATGTTATAAGTTTTTCTTTAACCCCTTGTGTTTACTTTGCCTTGAATGTATTGCACCGAATCTTTACTTTAATTAAAAATCTTGGCTACCTCGTTTACATAAGAAACTTAAGTTTTTAATCATTTTTTTCATAGAGTGAGATCCGTTTCCTGAAAGGCTCCATCAACATTTCTTCGATAAACAATCATGGGCTAGAACCCGGAGTTCGCACAATTATATTTACTTTGTTTCTCCTTTTGTTTTTTTACCTTATCACGTAGAGAGTACACTCCTTACTTAGCCTGCCACACATGCGATGAGTTGTTGTCAAATGTTGGCAAATTCCGCGATTACTTTTTAGTTCAATAATACCTGATACAAGTGTAGTTGTAATTCACGGCATTATTTTCATTGAATCCCTCGTTGTTTTCTTGGGCAATACTTTCACCGTAGTTGTGTTTTGGAAAAACCGAAACAAATTGAAGTGGACCTTATTTCTTCTCATAAACTTAGCTGTGGCAGATCTTCTCGTTGGACTCAGTCAAATGATAACAACTGGAGGGATTTACATTCCACATCATATCCAGACCAACAGTACTCTTAGTAATGATGAATTGAAACAATGGATTTTAGTTGTGCCCCAACTCTGTTAGCCTTATGCATCTATGTTTTCTTCCTTGTGCTCATTTCGATAAAACGTGTATATACTCTGATTTGGAGAAGCAAGCTTCAGAGGCTATATTTACAGCGCCATCTTTGTGTGGGCTGCAGCAACAACTCTTAGGGCATTAACTTCCCTAGTTGTGAAATTTAAAATCCTAAATATCGACAGTTGGATGGTTGCATTATCTTGCGTAGTTGTTTTCTCTCTAATAGTAACTTGCAACTTTTGTAACACGCGTGGAATTAATCGTTAATTTTATTCGGCCCATGCGATTACCACCACCAAAAGCTAAAATTACCAGCAGTGTTATTTTTATAGGTAATAGCATGATTTCGAGTGCAGTTTGGTGTTAATAGACAAGAGTGAATTTTCAAAGATAAAAAAATTGCACAAGCCTATATGGAAAGTGCAATTTGTAGACCCTGAAAACTTTGTAAGTGCTTATTACGCCAAATTGCAAGAGAATTCATGTTATTTCTTGTTAATAATTTAATGAAAAATAATCTCAGAAAGTCAAGACCAACGAAATTTTGAAAACGTGCGCGTACTCTTTGTACCTTGCACTCATGTTACATAAGAATGCACTCGTTCTCAGCCAATCAGAGGCGCGTAATTTTTCCTTACGTTACTTACATAAAAAATGAAAAAAGCACCCAGTCTATTCTTAACTAAAAGATGTTGGGTGCCTTGTTAATATAAAAAAATTAATGATATCTTTAATTATCTTCTTCATAGAGTGTAATCCATTTGCCGAAGTTCTTAATCAAACCTTTATTGACAAATACATTAAGTAATGGGTATATTCCTTCTTATGTGAAAGCCTGCCACACAAATGGTGAGTTGTGGTTGAAAGCTTGCAAATTCTACGATTACTTTTTTGTTCAAGTATGACCGATAAAGTGTTGTCATGATTTACTGCATAATTCTGTTTGAATCCCTCATTATTTTCTTGGGAAATACTTTTACCGTTTTTGTGTTTTGGAAAAACCGAAACAAATTGAAGAGGACCTCATTTCTACTCATTAACCTGGCTGTGACAGATCTTTTTGTTGGACTCAGTCAAATGATATCAACTGGAGGGATTTACATTCCGGGTTATACCCAGACTAACAGTACTCATGGTGCCGGTGTATTGAAGCAATGGATTTTAGCTGTGCCTTCCTTATGTTCGCCATATGCATCACTTTTCTTTCTCGTATTCATCTCACTGGAGCGTGCATATGCTCTGATTTGGCCGCTACGACATCGAGTAGCAAGTTTCAGAGGCTATATTTACAGCGCCATCTTTGTGTGGGCTGCTGCAACAACTCTTGGGGCACTGACTTTGCTAATTGTGAAATTCAAGTTCTTAAATTTAGATCATTGGATGGTCGCATTGGCGTGCATCGCGGCTTTATCCTTGACTACAGTTTGCGCCTGCTACGTAAAAATACGAGCTCGACTCAGTTCCAATGCACGAGCAACAGTTGCTAACAAAGACAATACGCTGTAACAAAACAGGAAACCCTCTAGGACTTTGTTTATTGTTATAGGCGCCTCTCTTGTCTGTTGGGGCTCGAGTAGTATTGCCTACTTTATTTTTAATCTGTGTTCCAGATGTTATCGTCGACTTCTTATTGAAAGTTTTTACATATTTCATTTGGGAAATTCTTTGGTGAATCCTATCATTTATAGTTTTAAATTCCCCATGTTTCGAAAAGTTTTGAAACGAATGAGACTAAAAGTGACTTCTAAACAATATCGAGTCAGTTGAACAACACAGGCCTGCGAGCGTTTAGTTCTCCGAGAAGAAATTGCGGAAACAGAGCTTTTTATTGATTTAAAGAAAGCGAACTATAATTCTAGCTGATGCTCATTCGACCTTTTCATCTCGGTAGTGAATCAGGAATGGAACTGACAATAAAACATTAGATTAAGATTTCCTTTCTTGCCTGTTTGAGAATCATCTGACTGCACTGCAGAAAGATGACTCAGATCAAAGGTTTCACTTTGAAATTTATAAATTTACTACTGAGAAGATAATGATAATGTGTAAGAGACCACTGTACATTACTAATTTTCCTCTATGTGTAACTTAAACCAGCTGTTTTTAAGCAATTAAAATAGATGTAGATTATATGGAGTTGCAAATAAACGCGAGGTTGGCTTTCTCAATAAGCTTGGTGAAAACTTCAAAAAAATGTCCCTTTAGTTACAAAGCCTTTCGAGAATCAAAAAACTGCTCATTTATCTTTTGAAACGGTAATTTCGATTTTGCTCGATGTGCCAATCGTAGAAATATGTTTTGAAATTATTTCTTTCTAGAAGGCCTTATTGGTGTGGAAATGTTATATATATATATATATATATATATATATATATATATATATATATATATATATATATATATATATATATATAGAATTTACGCCTTAGAAGTCAATAAATTATATTTTTCCATTAACCCCTTATGTTTACTTTGCGTTGTATGCAGGCACCCAAACTATACTTTTAATAAAATCTCGTGCACCTTATTTATATAAGAAGGTTGCATTTTTAATCATCTTTTAAAAATTCTAACAAAATGTCCTCTTGCTAACTCTGACCTTCGAGAATCATTCAAATATGCTTATTCTTCGTTTAAAAGGGTCGATTTGATTTTACATAAGGTGCCAATTGTGGCATACATTTTGTAAATACATTTTGTTTTCCTAGAAGGAAAAATTGTTAGCATTGCTATGTAATAATTCATTTATCAACCCGTTACGTTGTATGCAATTAACGGATGGAAATGCAGACCATCTTTTCTATAAACGAAAAATCGTTCGCTCATAATTAATTTTGGGAACTCAAGTTTTTAATTACCTTTGCCATAGTGTGAAGTCTGTTGAAGACCTTAATCAAATTTTTTCTTCTCTGGGTAAATATTGGTCAGAGCTTGTAGAATGATGTGTTTGTGTTTATTTTTCCCCTGAAATTTTTTTCCAACTGCAATATACATGCCTCGATCCTGAATTTTTGCTTTAAGAATCATAAAAACTGCTTTTCATTCTAATTGCATCGCATTTTCTCAACGTGCTAATTTTGTTAAAAATATTGTAATTATCAGCTCTGTCTTGGAAGGAGAGTTAATGATATTGCTTAGTGATTTTCTGTTTGTTATTCCCTCTCTCGTACGCTGTGTTGATTACAAATAAGTAATTAATTCAGTCTTATTTCCAAAAAATATTATTTTGTTCTTTATTAATTTTGAAAGCTAAAGTTTTTAACTACCTATTTTTGTAGTGGGATTCGTTTAATGAAGATCTTAATCACAACGTTTTTAGCTAAATATTGGTTGGAGTTAATTGTAGAAGATTTTTTTTTTATTTTACCTTTTTTGGTTAACTACATCACATCGTGGGCGTATTTTTTTCTCATATAAAAGCCTGTTACGCAAGTGACAACCTGCTAAAAAAAAAGTTGGTAAATTTTCCGAATACTAAACACTTCAAGTATGGCTAATGCAACTTTTGTGATCAACTGCATTATTCTCTTTGAATCCCTTCTTATTTTCTCTGGAAACTCTTTCACCATTTTCGTGTTTTGGAAAAACCGTAACAAATTAAAGCGGACCTCATTTCTTCTCATAAACCTGGCCGTGGCGGATCTTCTTGTTGGACTCAGTCAAATGATAATGACTGGAGGGTTTTACATTCCAGATTCTTAGCAAACCAACATTACTTCTGTTGAGGATACTTTGAAACATTCACTTCTAAGTAGTTACCAACTAAGTTTGCCTTTTGCATCAGTTTTCTTTCTCATACTCATCTCACTGGAACGTGCCTACGCTCTCATTTGGCCGCTTCGCCATCGAGTAGCAAGCATCAGAGGTTATATTTACAGCGCTTTCTTTGTGTGGGGTGCTGCAATAGCTCTACAGGTAGGGAATTTGTTAATGTTGTTCTTCCAATTCTCGGAAATTGACCACTGGATGATTGCAGTATGGTCCATTGCGGCTTTATCGCTGATCGTAATTTGTGCCTGCTATGTGGCGATACGAACTAAACTCAGTTCCAAAAGATTGGTGTCAGTTGCTAGCAAGGACAATTCACTGGAACAGAACAAGAAACTCTCCAGGACTTTGTTTATTATGATAGGCGCCTCTCTTGTTTGTTGGGGCTCGAGTAGTGTTGCCCATTTTATTTTTCATCAGTGTTCCGGCTGTTTTTCTAAACGCGTTCTCTACAGTTTTTATATATTTCATTTGGGAAATTCTTTGGTGAATCCTGTCATTTATAGTTTTAGATTTCCCATGTTTCGAGAAACTTTAAGAAAAATACTATCACCTAAAACTTCTAAACGATCTAGATTTGAACAAAACCGGGCTTCTGATTTAGTAACTGTCAATGAAAAATTCATAGAGACAGGTGCTTATGTGCAAGAAGGAATAGTAAAATCCTAGCTTTTTCTTGTACGGACCTTTCCGTCTTCTAAAAAAAATTTAGAACACAGGCAGATAGTTGCCTATCAGAGGAAGCGAATCACTTTGATCACAAAGTATTAGAAGAAAATAACCTTTCTTACTTATTGAGAATCGCCCGGCCAGATTAAAAAAAAAACAGTTATCTTTTTATTTATTGTTATATTTTGCCATGAATCTAATTATCAAGTTACAAGTGGAAGAAGCCCATGAGAAACCAGGCCTTTACATGATTGGCTCCCTGGCAAACATCATATTCACAGTTTACAGGTAGAATAGTGACGACTCAATGGCAGAGATGAGTAGAAATTGAGTAGAGCTAAAACGTTATTTTAACCTACTTATATGCGTGATGCATAATTAGTCAAAGAGAGAGAGAAAGAGGGGAATATAGATATAAAAGCATATTTATACTCCCGTTTTGAAAAATGTTGCAATTTGAAAATATATACCTGAAATATATACACCCTTTCTTTTACCGTTAGCTGTTGAGAGATTATATCATATTGAGAAAATTTCTCACACAAGGAAAGTACAATAGCTGCGCGCTGTTAAAATGGAAAAAAAAAGTTATTTTTCCTTTGATGTGAGATGTTCATGCATGATGCATCACATTTTATTCAATATATATTTTTCACTCGCAACGCTTTTTTAAAACGGGTATATATACACCCGTTGCAATTTGAAAATATATATTAAATATATATATATATCTTTTCCTTTATCATAAAAAAAATTGATGGACGAGACGTGTATATACACATCGAGCAAAACTTGAAAATGTTTTTTTGTTATTGTGTGAGGGTAAAATAAAGCAGCTGCGGTACTTTCCTTTTAAAATATTTTTTCTTATAATCTATTCCCTCAACTCCCTTTTAATGGGAAAAGAAAAGGTATATAAATTTCATAAACATTTCCAAATTGCAACGTTTTTGAAAACGAGTGCATATCTACTGATATATAATTATATAAGATATGCTAAGTTTATGATAGGAGCTCGAGGAGTGCTTTCAGTTTTGAAGTGAAAGAGACAATACTAGAAACATTTTGAACTCTAGATCTAGAATGAAGAAATTTTAAGAATTTAGGACCTTGGAGAGAGATGGAAAACTTTTTTTTATGTGAGTCCTACAGTGGGGTGAATGAAAGAGCTTTTTCATAAGGATGCATCTGGATTGTCAGTGTAACATGCTAGTGCAACTTTCGGAAAGAAGACTGGCTTTCAATAAATACATACATTTGCCTATTTGACGTCGATAAGAACTTTAAACACACGAACTTATCACTGGTTGATGATGTTGAAGTTGATGATATGGTATTATGCGAGTGCCAAATGTTTTGGCTATCGTTTTCATCTTATCGTAATTAGTCTTACCATTCATATGTTTTGAGTTACGATAATTAATTTACACTCCGGGGAGATGGAAAGAAAAGCAATTTTTTTACCTTCTCTTGTACTAGTGAAAATATCTAAAAGATGCCAGTATGCTAAATTCGCACTTCAAGAATCAGAAATTTAAAAAAACAGCTTTTCAGTGTTTCAAATTGAAAGAATTGCATAATATTTACTAGATATGACATTTCTGTTCCATATATAGTAATTGTCAGTTCTTTCTGGCAAAAAAAGTTAACATCTTACTTAATGATTATCTATTTGGTAGCAGCTCAGGTGCACTTTGCGTTGTATGCACAGCGGCTGATGCAATTAAATGAGCTCAATGTTTTCTTTAAAAGAAAATCTAGTTTAATTAAATACAGGAGAAAATCACGTTTTTAATTATCTTTTTCCTTTACCAATAGAGCTAAATCCTTTTGTTGAAAGTATTAACAACCCTTGGCCGAGTAACTATATTGACTAAAGTTTGTTGAATTATGTTTACCAAATTGTCTTCGTTTATCTAACAACAGATTACGGGCTCCCTCCCTTCCGTTTCACCCTGGGGAGGAGGTTACGGCTACACCTACAACATGGGATGTTCTTTCTCTTATGTACCGCGACATACTCCTGATAATAATCTGCGTGACAATACGGTCCAAACTAGGGCCTATCGGACTGGCAATTGCTGCTAGCGCGAATAACTTTCTGGGAAAGAACAAGAATTTGACCAGAACTTCGTTCATTGTGACAGCTGAGTGCCCCCCTTGCTTGCGGGGTACCGAGTGGTGTAATCTACAATGTGTTTGTATTTGTATTCAGTGAGGTGCTATCCTATGGGATGAAACAGTTGTATTTAGCTTCAACTTCCCTCCTTTGACTTATCTTCTTAGGAATCAAATCATTTACAGCTCAGAATATCCCATGGTTAGAAAAGTGTTTAAAAGAGAAAGAGACAAAAGAAGACTTCAGAATAGTACCGAGTTGGACAGTGTAGGCCGAGAGCCTTTAACTCTTAATGATTAAGTATGTCAGGAAGCGACTGGCAAACCAACTGAAGAACGACTCAATCAAGTCCGGATTCAGTGGGTTTTTAAGGTGTTTTGATAAAAAACAGAATTTTGACTACTGCCTATAAAGTGGCTGCAGATAAGTCTGCAGATGCCATTTTCAAGGTTCTCTCAATCTTGGCCCCTGTGTTCTCATCCCTTACAGTGCAAGATGGCGGGGAATACGCCTTGAGGACGAAGACAAGTTTTCTTTGGTTGGAAAAACTGACTGGGGGAACCTCTTCTGGGGAAAGTTGGTTGTCTAGGTTTATCAACGTCGGTGCCTTTACCGTGATAAAAACAGGAGACTGGGACCAGCTTTTCCTATTGATTCCCAGATCTCTGCGCGGTCAATCTAGCTTCAGTTAACGGATGATGTGGCGTGACAATCAAGGAACTGACCAATGACTTTATTTCCGTTGAGAATTTGGAGAGGAACCCTCGTGGTAACGAGGAATACTGAAATAAGCAGAGGCCTTGGTGTGTTTACAGCTATGCTGCGTAAAGAGGATGATGCTTCCATGAGAAAAAACTATGAAATGCCCGATAGCTTCGATGAATCTCATCTTGTGGCAAAGGAACCTGTTATGCAGTTCGATGCGTGGTTCAGAGAAGTTTCCAAAAGTCCTAATATCGGAGAGGCAAATGCCATGATTCTATCCACATGCGGAAGGTTTGTTATGATTTTTTCCTCATCTTTTCAATTACTTTTAATGTATTCTTTAGCATCACCTGGTACCTCTTACATAGCATCATTGTTATGATGTTCGCCATATTGGATTATCAACCGTTTCAGCGGCGTTAGGAATGGAAAGAGTTTCTTTCTCAAACTACTGTTTCTTCTGCAGGGACTGTCGTCCTACAGCAAGAGTGGTGTTGTTAAAAGGCTATGATAACACAGGATTCACTTTCTTCACTAATTATAACCTGCACATTATATTGAGTTGCTAACTTAAAAGGACACATAAATAAGTTGAAATACGTTACAATGTTATTTACAAAACAATGCGTCTACGCTCGAAAAGAATTCTTGCAGTTTCTCCGAGATTTAGCACACAGAACGCAGTGAACTAGCCCTTCTTTCGGCAAATTTGTTTCCATCATTAATTGTTTTACGCTGTTATGGACCACAACGGTTTTGAGCAACAAACTCAACATTTCCCTGGCACCATCAAAATCAGCCGGACAAACCTGCCTTGATGTATTGCGTGACGACATTTTGCTAATTTGTTCCCACTTTATACGACTTTGTTTCGCGGGTATAACCACCACTAGTTATTGTAACAACAATGATTATCACAGCCATCCACAAAACAACTGCAGTCCAGATGTAACTTTTCAAGCTTAATACACGATGGCGGAGAGGACAAATTATGGCGTAGGCACGCTCCAAAGAAATTTCCACGAGAAAAAATATCGACGCAAAATAAGATGATAATTGAAAGTAACGCAAAATGTTTATGTATGTTTTGCTTTTGATCAGCTTTTCTTTCCAAGTTGACTTGGAATTCCGGAGGTGCCAAGAGCTATTGTTTCTAGGGATCCAACCAAAAGATCTGCAAAAGCCAAGTTTAAGGGTAGTAAACAGTTTCTCCTTAATCTAGTGCGGTGTTTCCAAAACACGTAGATGGTAAAAATGTTCGCGAAGACAATGATCAAAGATTCAACAGTTATAAAAGCAAGAATTACCACAGAAGCCGTGTCGGACATGACCCCTTTTCTTTCGTTGCTTTCTTCTGTTTTATCTGTCACTAAAAAAATCTCTGTTCCACAGTCACCTTTAAAAGAACAAAATGGATTCACGGTTCACTCTGTCACAATTTTTCCGAAACATGCACATGTTGGGAAAAAATGAAGAAGATGAAAAAAATTGATGTTCATCATGGAATTTCACTTTGCTTTCCTCACCGATCTTTGCCGCTAACAAATTATGTAACTTCCCGCCTCAAAGTCTTTTTTGAAGCGGTTAGCTGTAAGAGCAAATGTTTTATTTAGAAAGTGCTAGCGGTAAGATCAAATGAGTTTAAATCCAATAGTACAATTAACAATAAAGGCCTATCCTAAGTGCGTGTCAATGGCGATGCAGGAAATTCACTCCTTGACTTCCTTAAAGTTAGCTTAATAAGTATATAAAAAGGTTAATGGAGCGTTTCGTGATTACCTCCGAGTAACCGAAGAGACAAAATTGCGTCTCAAGTGTTTAACTTTCGATCATTTGTCAGTATATTGACAGAAATAAACTTATTCTTTGGTTTCTGTAAGGTATATTCTGAAACAATTATTTACTTCAGTGTTGGTGAAAGTAGTGAATAATTGCTGAATAAATAATCTGTACCAAAACACTGAAGACTGAAGTGTTGTTATGATAGGCACTCCCCATTGAGTTGGCATCGTTTAGAGTAGTCCTGTTAATATCCCCCAAGGAAATAATGATTGAATAAAATTCGTTGCGTAACATACAAATCTTTGCTTGAAGGATCGGTCATTATTTATCGCTTTGTAGCCTTTTGGAATTAAGGGAAAATAATCATTGAAGCTTGTGATATCATTATCTGTCTGGTAGAGCCGCAAAACGCGGCGGCCAAGTCAACTTCGTCACCAGGCCTCCCTTTCCTACGACCTCTACTCAAACAGCTCGTAAATAAAAGCAGTACACAGCAACTCTATGCAGGTAGTATGGAGATGTCCTATGCTTCCAGTCCACATAGTTATTATTCATTTGTGTGTTTTGTGCGATCAACTAGCTGTGCTCTGAGTTATTAATGGTATCATAAGAAAAACTGTGTTAGCTTCGCCTTTATGCAGGAGCGGTGAACAATGTTTGGAAGATTATCCGAATGATTGCTAACTCCGAATCACAAACTTTCTACTCAACGGAAAAGATCAAGATAACACCCTGACGTTTTCATCTCAACAAAAGTTAATCTAGCAGTTTTGGTTTGTATGATAAAAATGGAATTTTTCTCCAATTTTAATATGTGAATAAAAAAACGTCAGAATTGTCAATCATCCGTTAATATAACAGTGTGCCTTTGTTTACTTCAATCATATTTATTCAGGTTTTTTATTCTTTATTTCCGATCCTTTTTAAAAGTTCTTGATTAAAACTTAGAAAGGGCAAACATTTGCGGGTGGTCAAATTGTACGTTCCCAGATATTAATTACGAATCTCGCTCACTTTCCGCGTAAAATCTTGAAAAACGTGGTAGGTTTCGGTCAGCAGCAAAGGATCAGTCAATTTGAAGGGAATTTTCGTTGTTCGAGCATGTTTCGTACCTATGCTATTGCGATTCTGGGCATAATTTGTGTTGAGTCCTTACTAATTTTCATTTGCAACGCTTTCACCATATTCGTGTTTTGGAAAAACCGTAACAAACTAAAGAGAACCACATTTCTTCTCATAAACTTAGCTGTGGCAGATCTTCTTGTCGGACTCATCCAGTTGATATCAACAGGTGCGTATAACACTATACTTCAAATCCAAACAAACAGCACACGAGCTGGCATTGAATCAGAAGAATGGATTTGGGCTGTGCCTCAAGTATTGTCACCGTATGCATCAATATTTTTCCTTGTGCTCATCTCACTGGAACGTGCATATGCTCTGATATGGCCGTTACGACATCGAGTAGCAAGTATCAAAGGCTATATTTACAGCGCTATCTTTGTGTGGGCTTCTGCCATAGCTCTTCAGACATTGTCTTTGCTTGTTATGTACAGTAAAATTCTGAATTTTGATCACTTGATAATCGCATTATCTTGTATATCGGCTTTATTCCTGATTACAATTTGTGCGTGCTATTTGACAATGCGAGCTAAACTCAGTTCCATTGGATTGGCTGCAGTTGCGGGCAAGGGAAATTCACTAGAACAGAACAAGAAACTCTCCCGGGCGTTTTTCACTGTGACAGCTGCCTCTCTTGTCTGTTGGGCTCCAAGTAGTGTCGGTTACTTTATTTTCCATCTGAGTTCCAAGAGATGTCCGATGGCAGTTGTTCACAGTTTTTACATTTTTTATTTGGGCAATTCTTTGGTGAATCCCATCATTTATAGTTTTAAATTTCCCATGTTTCGAAAAACTTTACGAAAAATGAGACTAAAAAAGACTCAGTATAAAGTCAGTTGAACAACACAGGCCTATGAGCTTCTAGTTCTCAAGTCTAAAGAAAGCCAAGAACAATTCCAGCTGATTTCTATTGGAACTTTATACTTCGTTGATATCTAGTATACTGAAAAAATAGTTGCCGTACAGATGCTGTGAATCAGAAAAGGAACTGTACATAAAGAATCAGATTCAAATAGACTTTCTCGCCCCTTGAGAATCGCTTGGCTGGATGGCAAAAAGATGACTTAAATCTAGGTGCTAAATTCTATGAACTTATATTTGAGAAGATGATAATATGTTAGTAAGTGTACACAGTGTACACTGCACATAACTTATTTCCCTTCATTTGCATGTACCTACGTGTAATTCAAATGTTGTAAAACCAGCTGTCTCTGAAGTTATTAAAATGAATGTACATGACACTGAGTTGCTAATGAAGGCACGTTTGACTCCTTCAGTGTGTTTTATGGAAAAATTCTAAAAAAAATCCCTTTGCTTAAATAGCCTTTGGAGAATCATAAAAAAACAGCTTATTAATCTTTTAAAAAAGGGAATTTGATTTTGCTTGCTGTGCCAATTGTAATGTATGATTTTGTAATTATTTTTTTCCAGAAGGTGAAGCTATTAATATTGCAATATTATAAGTTTTTTTCAACCTCTTGTGTTTACTTTGCGTTGTATATATTGCAATGAATCTTTTCTTTTACAAAAAATCTTGGTTATCTCATTTACATAAGAAACTTAAGTTTTTAATCATTTTTTTCATAGAGTGAGATCCGTTTCCTGAAAGTCTCAGTCAACATTTCCTCGATAAGCAATGACATTGTCTAGAACCTAGAGTTCGTTCAATTATATTTGCTTTGTTTCTTCTTTTCTTTTTACTACATCACATAGAGAGTATACTCCTTACTTAGCCTGCCACACATGCGATGAGCTGCTATCAAATGTTGGCAAATTCCTCGATTATTTTGTAATTCAATAATGCCAGATACAAGTGTTGTCGTAATTCACGGCATTATTTTCATTGAATCCCTCGTTATTTTCTTGGGTAATACTTTCACCGTATTTGTGTTTTGGAAAAACCGAAACAAATTGAAGAGGACCTCATTTCTTCTCATAAACTTAGCTGTGGCAGATCTTCTTGTTGGACTCAGTCAAATGATAACAACTGGAGGGTTTTACATTCCACATTATATCCTGACTAACAGTACTCTTGGTGACGATGTATTGAAGAAATGGATTTTAGCTGTGCCTTCCTTATGTGTGCCATATGCATCACTTTTCTTTCTCGTACTCATCTCACTGGAGCGTGCATATGCTCTGATTTGGCCGCTACGACATCGAGTAGCAAGTTTCAGAGGCTATATTTACAGCGCTATCTTTGTGTGGGCTGCCGCAACAACTCTTGGGGCACTGACTTTGCTAATTGTGAAATTTAAGTTCCTAAATCTCGCTCATTGGGTGGCCGCATTAGCGTGCATCGCGGCTTTATCCTTGACCGCAGTTTGCGCCTGCTACGTAAAAATACGAGCTCGACTCAGTTCCAATGCACGAGCAACAGTTGCTAACACAGACAATACGCTGGAACAAAACAGGAAACTCTCTAGGACTTTGTTTATTGTTTTAGGCGCCTCTCTTGTCTGTTGGGGCTCGAGTAGTATTGCCTACTTTATTTTTAATCTGTGTTCCAGGTGTTATAGTCGACTTCTTATTGAAAGTTTTTACATATTTCATTTGGGAAATTCTTTGGTGAATCCTATCATTTATAGTTTTAAATTCCCCATGTTTCGAAAAGTTTTGAAACGAATGAGACTAAAAGTGACTTCTAAACAATATCGAGTCAGTTGAACAACACAGGCCTGTGAGCGTTTAGTTTTATTGATTTAAAGAAAGCGAACTATAATTCTAGCTGATGCTCATTCGACCTTTTCATCTCGGTAGTGAATCAGGAATGGAATTGACAATAAAACACTAGATTAAGATTTCCTTTCTAGCCTGTTTGAGAATAATCTGACTGCACTGCAGAAAGATGACTCAGATCAAAGGTTTCACTTTGAAATTTATAAATTTATTACTGAGAAGATAATGATAATGTGTAAGTAAGAGACCACTGTACATTACTAATTGTCCTCTATGTGCAACTTAAACCAGCTGTTTATGAATAATTAAAATAGATGTGCATTATATGGAGTTGCAAATAAACGCGAGGTTGGCTTTCTCAATAAGCTTGGTGAAAACTTCAAAAAAATGTTCCTTTAGTTACAAAGCCTTTCGAGAATCAAAAAACTGCTCATTTATCTTTTGAAAAGGTAATTACGATTTTGCTCGATATGCCAATCGTAGAAATATGTTTTGGAATTATTTCTTTCTAGAAGGCCTTATTGGTGTGGAAATGTTATATATATATATATATAGAATTTGCGCCTTAGAAGTCAATAAATTATATTTTTCCATTAACCCCTTATGTTTACTTTGCGTTGTATTAGGGGCACCCAAACTATACTTTTAATAAAAATCTCGTGCACCTTATTTATATAAGAAGGTTGCATTTTTAATCATTATTTAAAAATTCTAAAGAATGTCCTCTTGCTAACTCTGACCTTCGAGAATCATTCAAATATGCTCATTCGTTTAAAAGGGTCGATTTAATTTTACATAAGGTGCCAATTGTGGCATACATTTTGTAAATACATTTTGTTTTCCCAGAAGGAAAAACTGTTAGCATTGCTATGTAATAATTCATTCATCAACCCGTTACGTTGTATGCAGTTAACGGATGGAAATGCAGGCCATCTTTTCTATAAACGAAAAATCGTTCGCTCATAATTAATTTTGGGAACTCAAGTTTTTAATTGCCTATGCCATAGTGTGAGGTCTGTTTGTTGAAGATCTTAATCAAATTTTTTCTTCTCTGGGTAAATATTGGTCAGAGCTTGTAGAATGATGTGTTTGTGTTTATTTTTCCCCTGAAATTTTTCTCCAACTGCAATATATATGCCTCGATCCTGAATTTTTGCTTTAAGAATCATAAAAACTGCTTTTCATTCTAATTACATCGCATTTTCTCAACCTGCTAATTTTGGTAAAAATATTGTAATTATCAGTTCTATCTTGAAAGGAAAGTTGATGATCTTGCTTAGTGATTTTTTTGTTTGTCATTCCCTCTCTCGCATGCTATTACAAATAAGTAATTAATTCAGTCTTATCGCCAAAAAATTAATCTCTTGTTCTTTATTAATTTTGAAAGCTGAAGTTTTCAACTACCTATTTTTATAGTGAGATTCGTTTAATGAAGATCTTATTCACAATGTTTTTTAGCTGAATATTGGTTGGAGTTAATTGTAGAATATATTTGTTTATTTTTTCCTTTTTTTAATCAACTACATCACACCGTGGGCGTATTTTTTTTCTTATATAAAAGCGTGCTACGCAAGTGACAACGTGCTAAAAAACGCTGGTAAATTTTCCGAATACTGAACACTTCAAGTGTGGCTCAGGTAACATTTGTAATTCACTGCATTATTCTCTTTGAATCCCTTCTTATTTTCTCTGGAAACTCTTTCACCACATTCGCGTTTTGGAAAAACCGTAACAAAATGAAGCGGACCTCATTTCTTCTCATTAACTTACCTGTTGCAGATCTTCTCGTTGGACTCAGTCAAATGATAACAACTGGAGGGTTTTACATTCCACATCATACCCAGACCAACAGTACTCTTAGAGATGATGTATTGAAATAATGGATTTTAGTTGTGCCCTAACTCTGTTCGCCTTATGTATCAGTTTTCTTCCTCGTGCTCATTTCGATTAAACGTGCATATACTCTGATTTGGCCGCTATGCCATCGAGTAGCAAGCTTCAGAGGCTATATTACAGCGCCATCTTTGTGTGGGCTGCAGCAACAACTCTTAGGGCATTAACTTCTCCAGTTGTGAAATTTAAAATCCTAAATATCGACAGTTGGATGGTTGCATTATCTTGCGTAGTTGTTTTCTCTCTAATAGTAACTTGCAACTTTTGTAACACGCGTGAAATTAATCGTTAATTTTATTCGGCCCCTGCGATTACAACCACCAAAAGCTAAAATTACCAGCAGTGTTATTTTTATAGGTAATAGCATGATTTCGAGTGCAGTTTGATGTTAATAGACAATAGTAAAATTTCAAAGATAAAAAAATTGCAGAAGCCTATATGGAAAGTGCAATTTGTAGTCTCTGAAAACTTTACAAGTGCTTATTACGCTAAATTTCAAGAGAATTCATGTTAATCCTTGTTAATAATTTAATGAAAAATAATCTCAGAAAGTCAAGACCAACGAAATTTTGAAAACGTGCGCGCACTCTTTGTCCCTTGCACTCATGTTACATAAGAATGCACTCGTTCTCAGCCAATCAGAGGCGCGTAATTTTTCCTTACGTTACTTACATAAAAAATGAAAATGCACCCAGTCTATTCTTAACTAAAAGATGTTGGGTGCCTTGTTAATATAAAAAAATTAATGATATCTTTAATTATCTTCTTCATAGAGTGTAATCCATTTGCCGAAGTTCTTAATCAAACCTTTATTGACAAATACATTACGTAATGGGTATATTCCTTCTTATGTGAAAGCCTGCCACACAAGTGGTGAGCTGTGGTTGAAAGCTTGCAAATTCTACGATTACTTTTTTGTTCAAGTATGACCGATAAAAGTGTTGTCGTGATTTACTGCATGATTCTGTTTGAATCCCTCATTATTTTCTTGGCCAATACTTTTACTGTTTTTGTGTTTTGGAAAAACCGAAACAAATTGAAGAGGACCTCATTTCTACTCATTAACCTGGCTGTGGCAGATCTTCTTGTTGGACTCAGTCAAATGATAACAACTGGAGGGATTTACATCCCGCGTTATACCCATACTAAAAGTACTCTTAGTGACGATATATTGAAGAAATGGATTTTAGCTGTGCCTTACTTATGTTTGCCATATGCATCACTTTTCTTTCTCGTACTTATCTCACTAGAGCGTGCATATGCTCTGATTTGGCCGCTACGACATCGAATAGCAAGTTTCAGAGGCTATATTTACAGCGCTATCTTTGTGTGGGCTGCCGCAACAACTCTTGGGGCACTGACTTTGCTAATTGTGAAATTTAAGTTCCTAAATCTCGCTCATTGGATGGCCGCAATAGCGTGCATCGCGGCTTTATCCTTGACTACAGTTTGCGCCTGCTACGTAACAATACGAGCTCGACTCAGTTCCAATGCACGAGCAACAGTTGCTAACAAAGACAATACGCTGGAACAAAACAGGAAACTCTCCAGGACTTTGTTTATTGTTATAGGCGCCTCTCTTGTCTGTTGGGGCTCGAGTAGTGTTGCCTACTTTATTTTTCATCAGTGTTTAAGGTGTTATCGTCGAATTGTTCTTGAAAGTTTTCACATATTTCATTTGGGCAATTCTTTGGTGAATCCTATAATTTATAGTTTTAAATTTCCCATGTTTCGAAAAGCTTTGAAACGAATGAGACTAAGAATAACTTCTAAACAATATCGAGTCAGTTGAACAACACAAGCCTGTGAGCGTTTAGTTTTATTGATTTAAAGAGAGCGAACTATAATTCTAGCTGATGCTCATTCGACCTATTCATCTCGGTAGTGAATCAGGAATGAAATTGTCAGTAAAACGTTAGATTCAGATTTCCTTTCTTACTTGTTTGCGAATCATCTGGCTGCACTGCAGAAAGATGACTCAGATCAAAGGTTTCACTTTGAAATTTATGAATTTATTTCTGAGAAGATAATGATAATGTGTTAGTAAGAGACCACTGTATATTACTCATTTTCCTCTACGTGCAGGTGAAACCGGCTGTTTTTAAGTAATTAAAATAAATGTGCATTATATGGAGTTGCAAATAAAGGTGACTGTTGGCTTCCTCAATTAGCTTGGTGAAAACTTCAAAAAAATTTCCCTTTACTTACACAGCCTTTTGAGAATCAAAAAACTGCTCATTTACCTTTGAAAAGGTAACTTTGATTTTGCTCCATATGCCAGTCGTGGCATATGTTTTAAAATTATTTCTTTCCAGAAGGCCTCATTAGTATGAAAATGTTATATTATTCTATTAACCCCTTATGTTTACTTTGCGTTGTGTGCACAGCACCCAATCTATACTTTTAATAAAGATCTTGTTTACCTTATTTATATAAGAACCTTACTTTTATAAACATCTCTTAAAACTTTTACAGAATGTCCTCTTGCATAAGGTGCCAATTGTGACATATAGTTTGTAATGATTTTGCCGAAAAGACAAAATTGTTAGCATTGCCTTATAATAATTTATTCATCGGCCCCTTGCGTTGTATGCAGTTAACGAACGGAAATGCAGGCCATCTTTTCTCTGAAGGAAAAATCGTTTGCACATAATTAATTTTGGGAACTCGAGTTTTTAATTACCTTTGCCATAGTCTGAGGTCTGTTTGTTGAAGATCTTAATCAAATTTTTTCTTCTCTGAGTAAATATTGGTCAGAGCTTGTAAAGTGATATGCTTGTTTTTATTTTTCCTCTGAAATTTTTTTCCAACTGTAACATATATGCGTTGATCCTGAATTTTTGCTTTAAGAATCATAAAAACTGCTTTTCAGTCTAATTGCATCGTATTTTCTCAACGTGCTAATTTTGGTAAAAATATTGTAATTATCAGTCCTATCTTGGAAGGAAAGTTGATGATATTGCTAAGTGATTTTCTGTTTGTTATTCCCTCTCTCGTACGCTGTGTTGATTACAAATAAGTAATTAATTCAGTCATAACCCTCCAAAAAATTAATTTCTTATTCTTTATTAACTTTGAAAGCTGAAGTTTTTAGCTACCTATTGATATAAAGATGAGATTCGTTTAATGAAGATCTTAATCACAACGTTTTTAGCTAAATATTGGTTGGAGTTAATTGTAGAATATGTTTGTTAATTTTTCTTTTTTCAGTCCACTACATCACATCGTGACCGTATTTTTTTTCTCACATAAAAGCGTGCTACGCAAGTGACAACCTGTTAAAAAAAAGTTGGTAAATTTTCCGAATACTAAACACTTCGAGTATGGCTAATGCAACTTTTGTAATTCACTGCATTATTCTCTTTGAATCCCTTCTTATTTTCTCGGGAAACTCTTTCACCATATTCGTGTTTTGGAAAAACCCTAGCAAATTGAAGCGGACCTCATTTCTTCTCATAAACCTGGCCGTGGCGGATCTTCTTGTTGGACTCAGTCAGATGATAATAACTGGAGGGTTTTACATTCCAGATTCTTTCCAAACCAACATTACTTCTGTTGAGGATACTTTGAAACATTCACTTCTTGGTGGTTACCAACTAAGTTTGCCTTTTGCATCAGTTTTCTTCCTCGTACTCATCTCACTGGAACGTGCCTACGCTCTGATTTGGCCACTTCGCCATCGAGTAGCAAGCATCAGAGGCTATATTTACAGCGCTTTCTTTGTGTGGGGTGCTGCAATAGCTCTCCAGATAGGGAATTTGTTAATGCTGTTCTTTTACTACTCGGAAATTGACCAGTGGATGATTGCAGTATGGTCCATCGCGGCTTTATCGCTGATCGTAATTTGTGCCTGCTATGTGGCGATACGAGCTAAACTCAGTTCCAGTAGATTGGTTTCAGTTGCTAGCAAGGACAATTCACTGGAACAGAACAAGAAACTCTCCAGGACTTTGTTTATTGTGATAGGCGCCTCTCTTGTTTGTTGGGGCTCGAGTAGTGTTGCCCATTTTATTTTTCATCAGTGTTTCAGGTGTTTTCCTGAACCCGTTCTTTACAGTTTCTATATATTTCATTTGGGCAATTCTTTGGTGAATCCTGTCATTTATAGTTTTAGATTTCCCATGTTTCGAGAGAATTTAAGAAAAATGCTATTACTTAAAACTTCGAAACGATTTAGATTTGAACAAAACAGGGCTTCTGAATTAGTAACTCTAGGTGAAAATTCATAGAGACAGGTGTTTATGTGCAAGAAGGGAAAGCAAAATTCTAGCTTTTTCTTGTCCGACCTTTCCGTCTTCCTAAAATTTATAACAGATGCAGATAGTTGCCTATCAGAGGAAGCGAATCACTTTGATCACAAAGTATTAGAATGAAATAGCCTTCCTTACTTTATTGAGGATCGCCCGGTCAAATTAAAAAAAACAGTTATTTTTTATTTATTTATTGTTTTATCTTGCCATGAATCTAATTATCAAGTTACAAGTGGAGGAAGCCCCTGAGAAACCAGGCCTTTACATGATTGGCTCCCTTTGGTAAACATCGTATTCACAGTTTTAAGGTAGAATAGTGACGATTCAGTGGCAGAGCTGAGTAGAAATTGAGTAGAGCTAAAACGTTGTATGAACGTTGTTGTATGTGTGATGCATAATTAGTCAAAGAGAGAGAGGGTATATAAATATAAAAATATATTTATACTCCAGTTTTCAAAAATGTTGCAATTTGAAAATATATCTGAAATATAAACACCATTTCTTTTACCATTAGGTGTTGTCAGAATATATTACATAGATAAAATTATTTAAGGAAAGTAAAATAGCTGCTGTTTGCATTTAAAAATGCATACAGAAATTCTTTGTGTCAGGAGATGCTTTGCAGCATATGAGAGAGGTGACCGCAAGAATCAACCTCAGCCTCCCCCACAACTCAAGGAGCTCGGGTTTCCCCATACGTTTTCCTCAGGTACAACAGAGAAAGCCTTCACTTAAACCAGTTAATACAGCCGTTACTAACGAAGTCATAATCCCATTAGTAGATAACGTCCGGGCTAGCTGCACATCCAACGCGGTGTCCTGATGCTGAAATGATGAAGAAGCCACATGAGTCTTGCAGCGCATAACAACATGGTATATCACAGCCGACCAAAAGTTTTCAAGAGCAAAATCCATTACAATCCTTAACAAACAACCTTGAACTTTACCTTAGTAAAATACTTCTGCTCGGGTTGTCAAAATGTCATTCACTCACCAACCGCAGTCCTTTTCAAGACAGTTCTCACCAAACGATTGAACTACACAACCAAAAGTGCGAAAGTTTTTTATCCAAAACTCGCTTAATGCATAAGTCCCTCTCTGATCCAAATCTTTCTTTTCACTTCAATTCAGACCAACACTAATGTTAATGTTCGCCGTAAATGTTTTTACAACCTTTGTCCTTTCTAACGAGCGTCCCACTTTCGTAAACCCCCATCTATAGCTTCAAGTTTTTTTCAGACCCTGCTCTTTTATAAACCCTCCCCCTCCCACCTGGCCCCCTATTTCGTACATTCCTTTCTTCCATCCCCCCCCCCTCTCTCAGGGAAGGAAAGGCCCACTCAAGTTTTTTGTCTTGCCACATATGTGCCAACGAGCCAGAAAGGGGTATATTTATTTTATCCAGAACCCCCCCTCGGCGGTTAGTTTTCATATCACGCAAAACCACTTATGAAAAAAGCCAGTGTTGGTCTGATGGTGAACGTGCATTTAGAGGACTGACGTCATTGGAACACTTTTACATCATTTTTTGCAAGCTGTTCTTCGCCATCCTTAAACATTTTCGTTCCCCTTTTTTCAATTTTTCATCTTACATCTTTTCTTGGATCGATTTCAGTATCTGGGCAACTGCCCTCCTACCCCTCCCCTAACTCAACAACAGTCAACTGACAACAAGTTAAGGTTAATATTGGGTTAGGGGAGAAGTAGGTGGGCAGTTGCCCAGATACTGATATTGATCCCTTTTCTTTTTTATATTTCAAGGAGATGCGCTCTGACGCTATAAGTAGGTGCGCTGTATTTGAAAATTGATGTTTTGGTTCCCAGTCTCCGCGGATTGAGTAAGATCTTTTGCATTGTGTATCTTCCGCAGGTGTGCCATGCTAGTTGATAAAAATATAACAAAGCAAGATTCACTTCTTTGAATCGGTAAAGGTGATAAAGATATCATGAAAAAGGAATTTAAGCATTTTACTCGATCTGTAAACACAAAGTTACATCCTATGTCTTCAGTGTGATCAGTGGGAAAGTTATTTCCAGGAGCAAAGAGAGAAACATGGACCAGCAACAGCCCTTCTTCAAGGTAAAAAACATTGATAGACTCTTGTTGAAGTAAACTGAATGTGTATTTGGTTAGCTTCATGTGATTGAGTACTTCTACATCAATAGTTATACCGGTCAGTGCTAAAATTTAATGCTCGAGCCTAACACATACTGCTAAGCGCACTGAGGAAAATCGCCATGGATAAGGGAGGTAGTAGATCAGAAACGATCTAGGCGCAAATTTAGTTCAAATTGTTAATGTGATTATTCGTTGTAGTAACGACAATGTATTCCTTTCCTAAGAGCACGATTACTGCTCTTCATAGTTTACTCTGACGAAGGCTTACGCTCGAAACGTCCGCTTAGAACTTCTTTACGGAAGCCAATTTACATTTATCAACTCAGTTGATAAAAACCAAATTATCTTTTCGACGCAGCATTACAGTTTCTCTAGAAACTTACCCCCTATATTTTGTATTACATTGAACAAATCCTAACCTGTCTTGCCGTGGAAAATCATGTGAGAGTCAAACCTTGTTAAGTACTATTTTTGGAGATGACGGGTCAAATTCGACCATATTTTTTTCCAGCTTACGTCGGCGCTTTTTCTTTATATAGAGGGATAAGCGGCAGTAGACAAGGCAAAAGAAAAAACCAATAAACGTCAACACGCCGCACCCCACCGCACTGCTTTTGGTGCAGTAAGGCCTGATCGCTAAATAGCAACATACATTAGTCACCGTTTAGCTCCTAAAAACTCCTGAAAATGGTGACACCAGTCGTTTGGACAGGTAGTTGTAATTTCCCACCTTGCTAGGCAAACTTAGTGGAGTGAAGTTAATTTTGGAATTTTTAGCATGAGCGAGAAAAATAAAAAACATTAGGTATTTCATAAACTTTTGCGGACAAATGCATGGAAACAATAACAGGGTTACAAAAAAATGGCGCAATTTTTGAAAGCTTCGAAATGAGTGAAGTTTTCTGCACAGTGCATGTGTTGAAAACGTGAAAAAGCTGTACCACGCTTCCTTATAAATTCACGATTTATTCACTTGATTTGACGATTTTACTACAACGCTTCAGTTAACTCTCCGCTTATTCGAAAGAAACACGCACAACGTCCCGTTGTAAGCACGTGGAACAGTGCCATATATGGGGCGATAAAACACGTGCCGCATACATGCTTGTTTTGTTATGTATAGATAAACGAAATCACTTACAAATGTCAATCAAATTAAGAATAATTAATGTATCGTACAGTTTCTAACATATGACATAAGCAGGACGCTGGATTAAGCTTAGATATTTTACTTAAGATCGTCCAGCAACGAAACATAACCTAGCTTTTGAAAACCATAGTTTCATCCTTGAACATTCCAAAAATTGTTCGTTCTCGAAAAATACACAAACGAAAAACTTCTTAGTTATCCTCTGACTTCTAAGAGCAACTTTGGTCAGCTTTATGACGTCCTCGCATCAACAGTACAATGAACGATTTGAATCCAGGGGAAACAGCTGATCATGTAGTCTGAGCGTTTTTCCTGTGTGAATAATCTGAAAAGGACAGCTGTCGTTGACAGTGACAAACGCTACGACAACCTGTGCGGAAGTCGATTCCACCTGACTCGGATGATGACTTCCTCTAAGGTTGTCGAACCGTCAATCACTGCACTGACAACAGTCTTCTCAGGAAAACTCGGCACCCAGACGATCAGGCCACAAATCAACTAAATTTTCAAAATTCCCAATAGTTATCGTTCATCTAACTTGGAAACAGCAAATCTTAGAACACAAATGAATAAAAGGGGTAAGTTTCCAAAGAAACTATGGTGCTGCGTCGGTGGGAGAGTATAACGGGGTAATTTAGCGTTAACAACTGAGCTGAAAACAAAAATTGACCACCGTAAAGAGTTTAAAGGCTGACGTTTTGAGCGTTAGCCCTTCGTCAGAGCGATGACTAGATAGCAAGACTAAATATGAATCTAGTCAAGTTCCTACAGTTACATCAGCGATCCATCAGGCTTATCGTATTTTCTAGATATTGAAATGTGTATACATGGTGTAAATAGTTAATATAAAATGAGGCACGTTTTGATCTGGGGATGGTAATAAGTAATGTCATAGTTCTCACGGGTGAGTAACTATTTTAGAAGTTTATAGAAATTTAAAGAAAAATTCAGGCTTCCAAAGGTCAAAATACGAACTTTTCAATCATATTTCCCATTTGTGACATATTCCTTTACGCGGAATAAGAAGAACCCATCAGCTTTGTTGCCTTGTTCCCAACGACTAACCAGTATATAAGATCGCTTCAAGGAATAAACTTTTTCAAGCCTCTTTTTCTGCACTTTCTTATATTACAGCTCACCTGCATTAGAAAGTTATAAATGTAATGAAAGCAAATTTCACTGAGGTTCACTTCACAATTCAAGTTCGTGACATAAGTTATGTATGAAATTCAAGTAACACGTGTCACTTAAAGATTGTCGTCACTGATTGGCTACTTTCATCTGGCGTCGAAATATTACATCGCGACATCGAATGTAGAAGCTCTCTCAGATTATTAAAGAATTTGCCCTCTTTGTAGATCGAAGCAGGAATGTGTTAGCGTATGCAAAAGTATGCGTGCTATGTGCGTTTAGCCTTCTGCTGTTATATATGCATGTATGTGACTTACGAGAACCCACCGGAAAATGGTAAGTTTGATTGTCGATACTCAGTATTGTATAGTCCTTTCAGTATGTATAGATAGCCTATATGCCTCTTTGTATCTTATATGGCGCATTTCATATCTCGATCGTCCTCGGCTATCTTTGGATTTTAACTAGTATAGCTCTTATTATCAGTGTGTTCCCCAGTGTAATGACAAAACCTGAGGGACCTATCTT